GTAAAATACTTCTAAAAACGCTCACTTACGGCGAAAATCTACCTCGACAATGAGACACTAGCGCAAATGTAAGTCGCAAGTTGCCTAACGAGCGCTCATTAGAGTGCCAAAGACAACGCATTGAACAAAGCTTGATTATCCAGCTTGTTCCAGTGCGGAAAGAAGATCCCTCGAATTTGAAAATTTATCTTTAGAAATTCCCGAATTCCGCGCTTGAACGGTTCTTCGGTCGTGTTTTCTCAGAGCACTTCCTGGCGCGGGAAATTGACTGATTCTTGAGAATTTTTACAATAAACATGGTTTTGTTAGAATTTTAATTTACAAAGGGGTACACCCTTAATCTTTGGAAGGTTTTTATTTGACGAATTTATTTTCACTTAGTTAGGGTAAGAGTTAGGGTTAGCCGTTAGCCCTAAATCATTTGAATTTTTATGTTTTTTCCCTCAGAAAAATAGTGAAGTGACACCCTTATTTTTCTTAGTCTTCTTTACGCAGAAATTTCATAAAGAGCTATTTTCGTTTTGACGGAAAAAATTAAGGGTGTCACTAAATAAAGTATTTGACAAAAAATCGTGTTAAGGATATCAACGCCCTTAACTGTATCAAAACTTTTTTGATGATTTGTTTTCTTTTTCTAAAAATCTCAGTTTTTTTCGCACGTTTTGGGAAAATTTGTGGGTGATAAGAAAAAGCAAAACTGACACTACCTTGACGGTGCGTCTTAACAAACGCGGTCGAGAATTGTAATTTTTTGGCGAAAAAATGAAGATTTCAGAAATTTCGCGAAAATTTGTAATTCAAATTTTCGAACACAGATGGAAAAAAATTTTAGAAGCCAGATCGGGGCGGAGCGAAAATTTCCTGACGTTTGAAAATGCTCTTTTTGATAGAAGTTCTAATTAAAAGAGGAGCCCTTGATCAAGGAGCTTCAAGAAGTTCTCGTTTTTTTGCTGATAAGTTCAATTAAGGCGCTGCCCCGTCAACTATCGCACAAGACAAAATCGACTTTTTGAAGCTTATCAGGTGCCGATTTCGCGCGCTCTAGAACTTGGAGCAAGAAAGGGGAGATCCTTAAGCAAATTTCAATAGACGGATTTGAACCTGATCAAACGAAAGGGTTAAGGTTATACCGGGTTGTTGAAAATCGAGTTTTAACTTGGATCATTTTCGCAGAATCGATTTCTAACAAAGAGATCCCCTTATCAAATTAATTTTTTTCACAACCAAAGATTCAAATTTTTAAAGAAAAAATTGAAAATAAGGGGGTCACTATGTTACATCGAGAAAAAAATCTTGATATAAACGATTAATATTGAGCGTATCCCCTTAAACTTAATTAATTTTTTGCAGAGAAACACCCTTAATTCAAAAAATTTTTCTCTAAAAACACTCAAATCGTATGATAACCGGATTAAGAGTCTATCAGTATAATCATCCGCATTCATATAAAACGAGTACCACGTGAGTACCTATTACCGTACCCCCTTAAGATAGCTCGAGCGCTCACACTCAAACCGGTTACGCACGGGAGCACCTTATCCCAGAAACCACTCCAAGCTCACGGTCGATCTTTTTTTTCTCTCTCAAGAGGGCGATTTTCGAAATTTTCCTTCAAAGAATTTTGTCGTCGTTGAATATTCCGCGAAACACCCTGTTTTGGAGAGAAGAAATATTCAAAAATTCTCGAGCGATGAAAAATGATGAGTGAAATTCGGATGTGGAAATGCGAAAAATGGCGGAATCTGATTTGGATTCAAGGTGATTAGCGATCGCCTTGGTTCGTTGGGGAAAATGAGTCAGATTTCTAGAAATTAAGAAGGGGTACCCTTATTCTTAGATGAACATTAGGGTAAGGGTAAAGATCAGGCAAGAATAAGGGATGAAAAGTACATTGTCATTATTCTCTTGTGGCATTTTGAGAACCTTAAGCGAAAACGTTTTTTTAAGAAAAAATAAGGGTATCCGCCTTAGTTTTTTTTTTGAGAAATTGTCAGTTAAATAATGTTGCTTCAATTTCAAGATTTTTTTAGTTTGAATTTCAAACTTTGAAATATTCAACAAATAAGTTAAAAGGCGCAATTACTTCACAAAATCACAATTTTGTTATTTACGTTATGAATCATAACTTATGATACCCTTAAGTTTTTCTTAAAAATAACAATTTGGTTAAGATTTTCTTTCTTGATATAAAAATAAGGATGTGCAATTTTTTTCAAATTTATTGATTAATTTTGCTTCAATGTCAAGTTAAAATTCAATCTTTTCGATTGCTGTGAGGGGTTTCCTTAAGATCTTTGCCTTCTTTGTAATTCCACGTAGCTCTCTTGTAACGGGGGACGTTATAATTCCCGGCGGTATAAATTCAACAACACAGCTTGAAATAGAACGAACATAAAAGAACTTGAATTATATTCTCCTCAGCAGAGGTTGGATAATCTCCGAGGCGCGAAAATCCCCGCTGAGCAATCAACGGACAAATGCGAATAATTGAGAGATCCTTTTAGGCCTCACTCGCTCAAGCTCTTAGTAAGTAGGAAGCCATTTCGACAAACGCGAAAAAATGGACTTCTTGAATAATCTTCTAGCGAAGAAAAAAAGAAGAAAGAAGTGAATAAGGTGGCTTCACGGAGGTGTTCGGGCAACCCGATTGCGGTGGCAACAAGGTGTTCACTCTCTTCGCTTTTCCGAGAATCTTCTTTCTATTTTTTTCTTTCGAGAAAAAAGCTGCGAGAAGCAGACTTATCCGATTGTACCGATTGAACTAGATTTTAATGTAAAATGATGTGAGTGAGGGGAAAGAGGTTATCGTTATCACGATAATTTTCTTACTCAATTATTTTCTAGTCCTTGAGATAACACAACGACACCCTTATTTATTCCGCTACCAATCTTGACCCATTTTATGATCATTTATCTTATAAAAATCATCCTTTTATTCTCAACTCTTTTTTTAGTAAAATATAATAAGGGTCTCTCTTCGCTTATTTGATTCTTAAAAAATTTTGTTGAACCCTTGCTATACCCTTAAGTTTTTCTTCATCAAAATTCAATTTTTCTGGAATAAATTAAATATTATCGAAAAAAAAAATAAAATATAATAAGGGTCTCTCTTCGCTATTTTGATTTTTTTGAAATTTTGATAAACGATCGCTATACCCTTAAGATTTTTTTCATCAAAATTCAACTTCCTAATTTTCATTCCATTCTCAGGTCACCTGAAAATCGCAAAGTAGTTGAATCGCAAAATCCCCTTTTTCCATAATCTCCATTATTTTCATTGTGGACTCAGAATTCCCCCTCTTTTTTTTCTGGTACACGTTATTTTTCCTCCTCCAAAAGAGTCGCCGTCCCATGCTTTCCGGCTTAGCCAATCTGATCCCTAACCCTCCATCGAACAACTCTATTTCTATTCTGTTTCTTACGCTTTTGAGTCGGGAGGAGGGGGATTTCGCCTCTTTGATCCCCCGCCGCTCGAAAAATATTATTCGAGAAAGGTGAATGCGATAATTTTTAGGCCGGCCTTTTTGGTTTTCTTTTTTTTTGGATTTTGCAAGAGCGACAAAAGTTGAAATTTAACGGGCACGGCGCATTTTGATCGGCGATTTAAGGGAGTTTAGGCGCAGTAATGCGAATAGATCCGCAGCACTGCTGGAAAGGGTCTATCTAATGGCTTTTTGATCAAATAAACGTGCGAATTTCTCAAGGTTTGAGACGATGGTAGAAGAAGATTCCAATCTACCAAAGAAGAGTCCGAAACTTCGACTTGACCGGATGGAATATGGGTGTGTATTTTCTATTTTTATAGAAAAAATGGGGCAGCAGCAAGAATCGACAAAAAACTTCGACAAATTTTGCGTGGGCGGTTACTCGGCTGCTGATTGGTTGGTAAGCAAAATCCTGGCTTCTGATTGGTTTAAAATTTTCACGCAAAATCAATCGGAATTTTCTGTTGGTTCCTTAGACCGAAAATTTCGCCTCGAAATTTTAGACCAATCAAAAGCCTTGATTCGACCAACCGGCCAATCAGAAGCTGTGTAGCCGCCAACGCAAAATTTTGTCGGATATCTTGTCGATTTTTGCCTCCTTTCGAAAAATCCCTCTAGATTCTCTAGAAACCATTCTAGAATTTGAAGAATCTAGAATAGGCTTTATCGAAAAAAAATAAACGTGTTCCAAAAAGGATAAGATTCTTACGGAACCCTGAATTCAGTGAAAACATTTCGTGTCCTATTTTGCTGCAAATAGATTAGAGCCTTATTTTTTCCGGATAATACTTTGTTTATTCAAAGGCCCCCACGAAAAGGGGCTAGTTAACGAAAAAGTGAATTCAGGGAGCTATTTTTGTAAAAATGAAATAAGCAAATTAAGAGTGCGATTTCTAAATTGAGAAAGGGAGGAAATCAAAATCGGCGCAAGAATTGATAAGAATTCGCTTATCAGCGGCACCCTTACACGTTTAGATGTTCTTATACGCTCAAGTATCCACTCACGTTACGAAACATTAAGACAGACTGACATTAAAATGGATTGGGTTTCCTCCCTTAGCGATTTTGTAACGATTCTTTTATGCATTTCACCGAGTCCTCAAATCAAGTTTCGTCGTGGATTTTTTATCATATAGAAATGGCGTTTTTCAATTATGTCTTTTTTATTGCTTTTTTGATTTTTCAGAGCATTATTGGGTAAAAAAAAGGGATAATACCTAAATTAAGTCTCTTTCTGTCGAAAAAATCCTCATGAATTGTTACAAAAAGTGAAATTCTTTGCAAAAAAGATCAACCTAAAGTACCTTCATAAAATTATTGAAAAACTCGTTTCATTAGCTTATTCTGGTGGTTATTTTTCTTGTCTAGAGAAAAAAAAACTTAAAAATCAGCCCAATTGTTAATGAATTTCAAAGTAAAAAATAACATAAAAGTCCTTTTTTGTAAATAAAAAAATTCTTATTTTCGCTATGTTTATGTTAAATTGACTACATATTTCATGTACTGAAACTGTACCTGATCATTTTTGGTCCTGTAGAGATCTCTTTGCTCCGTCAAAAAGTTCAATCAACTGTATTTTTCCTGTTCTTATCAAATCGCTTTTTCAAGTTTCTTTTTGATTTTCAGAAGTTTGAATTTTCTTGGTTTCAAAATTAAAAAAAAAGTAAAAAAAAAATGAAGTCTCCGCTAATATCTCAATTGGCGACTTGCGTAAAAACGAAATGGACAGTGCTCTCGGTTGTTCCTTTTCGTCGAGGACGCTGAGCGCGATGCTCGTGAAGATTCGCGGCGGCGAAAGCTTGCTCGCGAGCGCCCTCATCGCGAATCATCGCGCGCGGCGAACAGCGCCGTTTTCCAAGCGTTTTTCGGCGATTCTAGCGTTTTTACGGATTGGGGTGATTGGAAAGATAGATTTGAGAATCTCTCGCGATTCTCACTTTCTCAATTTTTTTTGAGTAACAGGAAAAACTTGATAGCCGACTTTTTATTTCCTAAAAAAACAAGTGTCTACTCGACTAAAATTCTGCTGTACCGAATATCTCATACAGTATCTTCTCTGTGGTGCATGAATATTTGAAAAATGTTGTCGATAATCCATATGAATCAGTCTCCTAGACAATCTCGAATAAACCCTTTTTTCGGGTCGAGGGGAAGGGTTGTTTTATGTGTCTATTTTGGTGAGATGGAATGTCGAAATACAATGTTTATGCATTTCAAGAGCACTACGTTTTATTTCTCATCACTTTGTTTATCCACTTGATAGGGTAACTTTTTCGATAGCTATTTCCATCGACTCAGTCTTTCTGGCATCCTGTTGATAATTTCCTGTTTAATGAACACATGTTTTCTGATGTTTTTTGACAAAGAAAAAAATGGCATTTACTTTTGATCAGTTATAATTTTATTTCCAGAGAAACAATTTAAGGGTGTCAACAAACATTTCACCATTTTTGTGTTTGCGATTTGAATCCAGTCCTCGAATAAGCATCGTTTTAGTTGTGCAAGAAATTCTTCTGCAAGGCCCTGTAATCAATCGAAAATGGATAGATTCTCAATAGAGCTCCCCCGCAAAGCATTGGTTTTGGAAAGTTGTAATCAGCGCCGCACTGAGAAACCGCACGGAGCATCTCTGATTTTGTCATCACAAGAGACCGAGTCATAAATTGCCGATGTCACAAGAGTTGGTGACAAGAAAATAAGGACACTGCGGGTTGATTTCAATACCATATCGTCCTCTTTTAAACCCTCTTTTCTCATACAAAAAGAGAATTTTTCGAACTTTCAAACGGAACCTTAAGGAGCCCCCTCCCTTTAAAAAATATTTTGAACAATTTCTTCTTTTGCTGAATTTGAAGTCTGTCGTTTTGATTGAGCTGAACTGCGCTGATCTGAGGCGTCGCCCAAAGTGAGCACTATTCACGACTTTCGCTCCCTAATCCTCCTAAACCTAACAACAGCTTTTCGAAAAATAGAAATAAATCAAACTCGCATAAGCGGCCCAGAGATGAAGCAATTCAGCTTCACGGAACGGAATAATTTAAGTTCATATTTGAATATATCGACGTCTTCCCCTTAAGTTCACTTTTCGGAAGATAAAATTTCTGTTCGAAAGAAACCAAAGGAAAGGGAGATGTACTTCAATAAGAAAAAAGCGCTTGTCATTGTTTTCCCTCGTGAAAGCTCTACGGGAACGATAAACCTATCAGCCGCCAATTTTCAAAGCTTGGCTGAGAAGATATCTCACCACCTTTGCTTTTTATCATCGGGCTCCATTTTTCATGAGCTGGATTAGATACAAAATGAACCCCAGCCCAGAATATCCTTAAGGGTATACTCGTCGATTTAGCCAATTTTCCTTTCCCCATGTTTATCCTTTCACCGTGCCCGTTTCACTCATTTCCCCTCTCTCTTCCAAAAATGTTTACTGTTTAACATTTCGACCTGCCCAAGTCGTTTAGTAAAATTTAATTTTTCCAAAGCCATTTAGTAGCTTACCTGGCTCAAGCTCTAAAGACGCACGCAACACAATAATCGCCACTTACTGCGCGACCTAGGCAGCTACTACCGCACTAATGAACACGAACAGGATCAGGTTAGACTCGCAAAAAGGACAATAGGGAAAGGGAGGAAATGAATCAGGATCAACTCAATTCTTTAAAAAGTCTAAAAAACCTAAGAAAATTTGGGAAAAACAAAGATTCGTCTTTGATCTTGATAAGCTGGAAGGGATGAATATGCAGCAAGGCTGTAATCAATGAAACTGATAAGGAGCCCACCGAGTCGAAGATTCTAAAACACAAAATATGAATATGAATATTGGTCTCTTTATCCGACTATCTCCTTTTTCGACTTAGTACTAATTGTTGTCGGGGACTGTTATCGCAGACCAAGGGGGTTTGGGACATAATAGAGGGGAACCGGGAAACGGTTTATTCAGTAGGTACTTTGGGCATTCCAGAAAAAAAATCTTTAAATAATATTATTAAATATAATATGAATCATCTTATTATATTTTATAATATTATATGTCATATTAATAATATTATAATTATTATAATAAAATTATATAATAATATTATAATATATATATAATATAATATTATAATAATATATTATTATATAATTATATAATTATAATTATATAATTATATATATAATATAATAATATATATAATTATATAATTAAATATATAATATGATATTATAATAATATATTATTATATAATTATATTATAATTATTATATTGTTAGTATATGACCGCTGAACAATAGCTTATTGATGTAAAAGAATAAGACTTATGTATCGCTCCTTAATTTTCCCGAAAATCATGTGTTTATAGTGCTTTGTACAACTTCCAATCAACGTGCCAGGCCCTTCGCTCTTACGAACAAGGGGCCTATTAAAAAATAGAAGGTGCCACTTTTCCTCTAACACCTTCGGCTCAAAGCTCTCAATATAAACCAGCATAAGCGTAATTCTAGAGACACGCACAAAGAGAGAGGACCCTCTCTCTGGGGCAGATGCAAAGAGAGTGGTTAGGGATTATCCATCCACTTCAAGCGCATTTAATACTGTTGATGATTACGTGGTTGCGAAGTATATATCTTGGGCGGTCAGAATACTGAAAAAATCCGCGTTGATTTTTAGAAAATAAATTATAGAAGCAAAAATTTGCGATTTGAAAAATCAAGATCAAAAATCAATTTTTCAAGCTGAAAAAACTCAAATTCAAAATTCAAATCGATGAAAAAAATGCCCCTGTTCTTCATAACCAGATCAAGTGCCTGTGGTTCCAATCGGCTCAGAACGAGAGCAAGTACAATTTCACCGCGCTGGTCATTCCGGCGCCTTTTTTACGCAAATGCAATATTGGAGCCTTTCAGCCTGACACTGAATTACTAAAGATGATTGTAAGCAGTGTTGGACATGAATAGACCCTGTTGGAAATTTGAAAGTTTGACAAATGGAACATTTTAGAAACTGGGCATTTTTCGTCATTTTCTTTGAGAAATTTTCTTTCCTAAATGTCCAAAAATTTTAATCTTAAAATATTTTTCATAAGGCTTAGATTATAAACGAGAGTTTTAGAGAGTCTTTTCGGTCCTTTCTGTTTGTAATGAGTTTATTTTCTTGTCAAATGAGTCGGGGGAAACTCTCAATTTTAGAAGGATGCTCAATAAATTGCCCACGAGCAAACAAAAAAGGGAGTCTATTACTCCATCTAATGGATGATCCATCTAACGATAGCGAGTATGATAGCTTCCAAGTGTATGTTCTTGACATTCCATTAACGAAATGTCGAACGAAGTCTACTTTCTCAGCATACTCCATTTCTTGAAGACTTTTTTTCTTATCAGAAAATCGATCAAAGAAATTGACCGGCGATGATTTATGACATCATTGAATTTTTATTCGGAAACAGGGGAGAAATGATAAGCAAAATGAGCCGACAGTCGATATCCTCTTGAATATTTTTTCAGGCGAAGAAATTTAACTCATCCGTCAATTCATTTTGGTGGATAAGGTTTTGGTTCAATCAGGTTTTTTAATTTTGGGGGCTCTCAACCTGAATTTTTTGATTGAAAGAAACTGTGATTTTTAGTGTGACACCCTTATTTCACTAACCAAAAGAAACCCTTTTTCCCCTTGTAATTCGCTATACAAAATTTGGCTAATTGAACCGATGCCAGATCGATTTCAACTTTCCCGAAAAAACGAAAAACTGTGCGCAACGTTATCTGACAAAGTGGCAGGTTGATTTGGACTGTGGCGTCATAACGGAAGAATTTCCGGTTAATCGGCTCAGCGCTGGAGTGCTTAAAAGGGGGCGATAGCCATCGCGCACAAAAAACATACAATGTTCGGTTAAGAAGCCACGTTACCCAAATCCAAAGTAGGATCGTTTTCTTGACGCCGGATTTAGCCGAAAGGCAGCGGACGTGGGTCACGTGTTGCGAAAACTAATAAATCATATATTCACATAATAAATGTTTTTCGCGCAAGAATGGCTTGACCAAACAGTTTTGTTTCAATTTAAGGACCCCCCCCCAAAAAGGCAATGATTTTTTTAAACAACGATTTCGGAGTGATCCCCTTAAGATTTTCGAAAATTTTTTTGCCAATTTAATAGCCCGATGATTGGTCGAGGGCAAAAACAGGTTTTTAGAGTCCTTAAGGGTGTCTCTCTCTTATTTGCAAAAAAACGCAAAAACAGAAAACCGTCAAGTCAATAAATAAAGAATTATTAGAAATTGTCTTTTCCCCACAAAATAATAGAAGAAACAACTGGTCGTTAACCAAACAACGCGTTTATCAAAGTTGTGAAATAGTACCGCGCGTTCCGGAACAGAAAATAATACTTGCGGGGAAAGAGAAACTAATTGCTTTAATTTATTGAACTTCGACAAAGAGCGGGCCAATTCTTGCGACATACTGTATGGAGGCTTTTGCATTTGGAGGGGCAAGGACAAGGCATGCCTTCCTCGAGGATTGTTGGAATTCTTGAATCCAGAAATAGAACAGATTCGGCAGACTTTCATAATTCTGTTCTCATTTGGCCTATTCGGGGATGAAAAAATGGGCAGAACCAGAAATTGGAATGATTTCCGTTTGACCAATAAGATTGCTATATTATTCCTACCGGCCAATAAGAAGCCTGATCCATAAAATCATCTCCATATTTTGGTTCGACCCGAAAATGGGCAGAACCAAAAATGGAAGTGATTTTCGCGATCAGGGTTTTGATTGGCCGGCAGATAAAATACAGCAATCTTATTGGTTAATCGAAAATGCACCTTTATTTTTTGTCTGGGTCAAAAAAAAATATACATTGTAAAATTTCTTTCCAGAAAAACAGCCAAAAATCCAGGAAAAAAATCGAGCTGTGAATGAGCTGTCTCGTTTGTACTGTAAATCTCTCGGCGCTACAAATCGACGGCTGGAACATGAAAATATTCGTGACTTGAACAGGAAGAAAAGTCGTGTTCGAGCGTGTTGACACGTTATTCTGAATTTCCGATTGCTGATAAGGCGCCTCAGTCCTCGGATTATGCCGGATTTTAGACACCAGAATCATTCTTTTTTTCTCTGACTACTTTGACTTCTTCGTCCATCAATAATCAATTTTTGGATAAGAAAGAAAAGGGGAATCGTAATTTCTTATGTTAAAACTCTTGTCAAAAAATCTTACTGTACAAAAACTGATTTCCTCGGCCCCTGAAATAAGGGAATGTTCCTGCCCACTTCACGTTTATGAAATCTCGCCTCGCCTACTTCAGAAAAGAAGAACCTTTTCGAGAGTTTATTCAAGAGTTGGCGCCTCGGAATGCACTTGTGTCAAAGAGCTGGTAACTGTTTTCCATACAGCTAAGAGATTCTCTACCGAATCAGAAAATTGATAAATTCAAGTTCCAAAGAAGGAGAGGCGAAAATGTGAACATGAATTTTTCGCCACGCGAAAATCCGATTTCGGGTCGTTCGCTGACTTGAGCCGGGATCGAGAATGTGGGTTTGGGAAAGCCTTCACATTGTTCACCGATCTTGAGCTCTGAGTGACACTTTTCAAGAGAAAAGCATGATTTTTATGAAAATGAATTAGAAATTCTGGCGAAACCGCTAAACGGTTTTTATTAAAGGGTGTAGTCGTCGATTTGTCAAATTTCAGTGGCTTATAACTCGGGATTGGGAATTTGTTGAAGGCTCTAGAATGGCTCATATAAAAGATCTTTTCTAGATCTCACTTTTGTCAGAGCCTTTTCCTGACCCTGACTCAGGTTTCCCGCACAGGTCGCCGAGCCTTACTCTAACTCTTAGGTAATTTACAGTGGGTCAAGTAAGGTTCTCCTTAGAAATGAATTAATCAGCAAAAAACCAAAACGGTAATTGAATTTCTAAGCTTAAGATCATATCTCTCAAATAGAACGTATGCCAATCGTGAGCAAAATAGCCAAGTGACCAAAGAGCACTTTTCGGAGGATGGAACGTGGCGATCGTCGGTAAGAACCAACTGGAACAACAAAGTTGATAACAAATTGACATTTGCAAATCGATGATTTCGAAAAACCGCATTTTTCTTGCAAAATTTTCAGAAAAAAAAAATTTAAAAAATGCTGAGTCAACATTATTTTCGCCAAAACATTTCCTTTTCCGACAAGAACGATAAATTTTTCCGGCAGCTACAATCATTCTGTTCCGCTATGTTCAGCTTCTTACAAGCTGATTTTGAAATTTTAGAAGAAAAAAAAATGCATTCGAAATGAGCTCTTTCTCGAGAAAAACCCGAAAAAGCTGATAAGGGTATCTTCATTCAACGGAGCCCTCGAACATCTAACCTCAACTTTGCTTGTTATAAGAATATCTTTTATGATTTGCTTTTGCAGCAATTTTTTTCGTTCTTGAAGTCATCCAAGTTTTCAACGATAATTTTGTTGAATGAACCCTGAGTCGCAGATTTTCTGAGCTAAGATCGCTTAGCTCTCAGGAAAGCTCCGACCAGTAATTTTTTAGACAAGGTCAGCTAGGCTTAGCTCAACATTATTTTGAAAGAAGGCTGCTAAGCTAAGCTTAGCTCAATCGAGGCCTCAGCTTAGCTCATTTATCATTTGGAAAACTTAACCTAAGCTGAGCTGAGCTTGGCAAAACTCAGTTAATATAACTGATGAATGGAATGCGCTATGCTCAGCTTAGCTTTGCTTAGTCAGACAGCACAGCCCAAAGCTCTGCTTTTATTAGTTTTCTGATTGTTTAGCTGAAAGTTGCTCAGCTTTGCTTAGCTCAGTTTTTTCTAGAACAAATAAACTGGACTGGCTTAGCTCACAGAAATTTGATTTCTACTTTTAAGCATTAGCAATTATCACTTTCTTTTCAAAAAATGGGCTTAGCTCATCCAAACTAAAACAGGATTATTACTTCCTGTGAATTCGTAATCCCCATCCGGAAGTTGTCATTGTCAAAAGTTTCAAACGTAAAGGCCACTATTTTCTTTGCTTGTGTTTCAAATACGGGGCAAAGTGGTGCCCTCGGTAAAAAAATTGAAAGAAGCGCTTGAACAGTTTTGAACTTCCGTAATCATCACTAGAACATCGCAAAAACCAATTCGCTTTTTTACAAATGCAGCGTTCGAAATTGTGGCTTTTAGAATTCGCAAATTTGGAAGAAAGAGGAATCTTATCAGCTCGAGTTGATCGAGGGATTAATCAAGGGAATCCATGTTACTGATAAGAAAATACATTCCGAAAGGAAGGAAAGTCGCTTCCGTTGCGGCTGAATTTGATGAACAGCGAAATTTGACTTTCGCAAATTTTCTCAATAATCGAAGGATGATCAAATTTTGAAAAAAAATTCGAGAAAAAATTTTGAAAAAAAATTGAAAAAAAATTGGAAAAGAAGATTTTGAAAAGAGTGAAAAAAATATGTCAAAAAACAATCCTAACTTTTATAAATTTTTTCCCAAAATTTCCCAATTTCGATTAAATCCTTTTGCTATGTGGCTTGAGCTGATTAAAATTGGAGGGCGGGGCGGAAGTATCTTCGGAATTCGCGGAAGGAGATGAGAATCATAACTCTTCGTTATTATGAGAAAAATTGGCAGAGAAGAGATTTCGCAACACCGAAATATTAATGACCTTTGGGAAGGGGGTTCTCGCTTTTCATTAACCGCCACGTGCGAGCGAAATATCGAAAATCGTTGAGAATCCATTTTGGAGCTTTTGATTGACGGAAAAGTTTACGATGTCAGCAAGTATATCAGAAATCATCCTGGAGGAGCCAGTATAATCATGAGAAGCGTAAAGAAGAAATTTGATTCTACGGAAGATTTTCACTCGGTTATTGGTCGATTTAGAGGTACCGGTGATTTTCGTGAGCCCTTGGAGGACCCCGGAGGACCACCCTGCTGAAAGAATTGCCAAGAATGGAATTTGAACTTCATAGAGAAAGAAAAACAAGAACTCGCTTATCTAAGGGTTCCATTATCCACAAATTCGGAATTCTTCGACAAGAGAATATCTCCTTTTGGGACTTGTAGATATTTTCGCCACTTCCGGAGCAGGAATTTCTCCACTTTTCTTTTTCTTTTTTTTTCCGTGCTGTTTTGTTTTTCGTCTACCTCCGTTTTTCCGAGTGCCAAGATAGCGATAAATTTTTTGCTCTAGAATTTCTCCTTCAAATGAATTATTTTCAGGTCATTCAGAATCGGCGATAGAAGAACTTGACGACTACTTGATTGGAGAGCTGTCTGCGTCTGATTGAACATGGAATCTGAAGACTCGGTTTTCTCAGCTGATTCTCTCCGTCGACGCGTTTCTTTTCTTGTTTAACCGTTTGACGCGCGACACGTCCAGGAAACGCGCTCTTCATGTTCGTCACTAATCCGCTTTTCACTTTTCTCCGAAAATAAATTTAAACCCAAACACACAGCTCAAAAGTTTATTCTGCCACATTGAATTCACTGCTTTAATTTATTCTGTAGCAAAGAAAGCCAATTTCATTTTTCATAAATTTGAAAATTTTAGTTCAAATTTTTGAAAAAAACAAAAACGGCTAATTTTATTTGGAAAAACGTGAAATTATCCAATGCCAAAAAATTCTTCCAGCCAAATCTTCGTGTTCTCATGATAAGTTTTGTTCAACCAACAATTGTAGAACATAAAAAAGACAGATAAGCCATCGAATTGGACAAAACTCCACTTGGTTTGCGACCTGTTATATTTAGCGGAAGCAATAAAATAGCTAATTGAGTTTAATCAATGTTAAACGATTTCCGGCCTATTCCAATATTTCTGCCGAAATCAAATTCGAAATTAAGCTTTTAGCCGCTTAGATGGCGTTTTGGGAAAAATATATCTGCGGGTACCAAAACAAATCCAGCTCCGTTTTGTCTATTTCCCTCATTTTAATGAAACTCGGTCGCTAAGTGATTCGAGTATGAGATTATTGAAAAATGCGTCGTTCAATAATGGTTGTTTGAGATTAAAAACCGCGAAAATGAAAATAATCCTTTTCGCCTTTAGTTCAATTTGATTTATTTTGAGTTAAAAACGGGGTCACAAGAGAAGATAGAATTCTGGCTAATTAAAAAGTGCTACTCATGTAGATTTTCATCTATGACCTGATTACCGAAACATGTGCAAAAAACCCTGAGTCGGAAAAATTTCCGAAAATTTTCGATTTGAATTAAGGATCCCTCCTCGATTTTGACTGATTTTTCAAACAGTGATTTCGGATTGATACCTTTAAGATTTTCGATTTTTTTTCCTGACTCAGGGTTTCCGCACAGGTTTTGGTAATCAGGACAGGGATGAAATTCTTAAGGGGATCAATCCGAAATCGCTGTTTGAGAAAGGCAGTCCAACTTGAAGGGGGATCCTTAAATCAGCCTGAAACGAACATTGCCTGGTAGTTGCGTTTTTTGAACTCTAGAAAATTGAAGATGACGCAACGATTAATCCGTGGAATATACCGAACGCGTTTTTCGATAAGGAAGGCCGATATGACACCTGGCGAATTCTATCAAGTGTTTTTTCTTTCTAAAAATCGCTTCAAAGGCGCTTCCCACTTGAGAAGGTACATGGGCGGCGCTTCTTCCGTAAACTTCGTAGAGCGCGATTAAAATCTTGTAAGAATCTGATCACTCGAAGATCTCACGTTTTTTAATTAGAAATCAACAGGAATAGCCTATTCCGAATAGGGGTCTTCCTTTTTCTCTAAATAAATTTGGAAGGGGAGTAAACACGAAGATGCAAAAGATAAGGTATCGTTAATTTCCCGAGTAAGTCTTGGCAGTGACTTTCTAAAAATTAGTGTTGGTCCTGTTTGCTGCGATTTTCATTACAAAAAAATGCTTGTTAAGAAATTCACAATTATATTATTTATTTATTAAATTTTAAAAATAATCATTTGTTTCATTGTTTATTCAAAAATAATTTAATGATTATTAAAGTGTTTGTGTAATAATAAAATTTTCATAAATAATTAAATTAATGAATAATTATTTTCAAAAAAAAAAAACAAAAATTCGTGAAAAAGCTCAAAGAAAAAAGGTCGTCTAAAAAGCGAAGGATCCCCTTTTTCTAAATCAAGAAGCTTGGTTACGTAGATAAATATGCATCGCGGTACATTTGTTCAAGCTTATTGAGGACCAAACCGATCAAGAAAAATCGAGTTTTATCATTACCCAAATTTTTGTCACAAAAATTCTCCGCGAAAACTTTGGATCGTTTTTTAGAAATGAAAAGATAATCACGTGTTGAAAGAAAAATCCAATGCTCTTACCAATATCGTCCGCACTAATCGCCGGTTTCTTCCCTGACAATCTTCACGCCAACGTTGCCCACTTTAGAAAACAATATTTTAAGGCCCTCGTGCCAGAGTCAACTGATCGTTTTCGACGAAAAATTCGCGCCGACAATTAAATTTTTGAAAAAGGAAAAAAAAACATAATAGCTCAACGTAGCCCGGAGAAAACTTGGTAAACGTCAGCTTCGGGCATATTTGTAATAACCTCGGAAGGTCTTGGAATTTGAGATACGTCGGGGTTTACATTATCTATCTAAACATGAAGTGTTTCACGAGTCCCTTGGGTTTTATTCCAAAACGTATTTTTTCATCATTTTTGGCATTTTGGAATTCCTTCGTCGCGAAATGCTGACCAATTCCTTACGTAAATTTTGTGTTCTTTATTCGGGCCCGGTGAGAAAGTAGCAAATGTTGAAAAATGAGTCTTGTGATGCCGGAAGCAGACGCTCAGAATGAGAGTTTTTAAGTTTTTCTCTTTCCTCGGTAAGTTTCAAGGGAGTTTTTTTCCTGAAATTTCTTTTAAAATTTGTAAAAAAAAAATTATTATTTTTCTATTTTAAGCCCTCGCGGCGGCGGATAAAAATGGAGGAGGTCTTTGCGCCGCCTGCAGTATCCTCACTTCCTGGATCGAGCAGTACGCCGATTTCCATGGAAAAGATGGATTCGAAGCGACCCGAGACATTGTCGGTTTCCTGCCTGTAGATATTACTGTGATCGGCGGCCTTGCTGAGGAGCTTTTCGGGCGAATGGTGAATGAGATTCAGCGACGTCCAAATGTGCATACGGTTGATACGATGTGCTACTGTATTGGCGCTTGTTACGTTAGTACTGGGCACAGGACTTGCTCGGCTTTTGACCTGCCAAGGTATGCGGAATCGGACCCGATGGAGCACTGCCCGCTTTGGACTGGACGACCTGAGATTCGAGAAGGAAAGGGGTTGAAAAAAATTATATCTAGATTCTAGATTAAAAAAATATCGGAATGAAACCCTCTTAGGATCAAAGTTCCTCCGTCAAGGTCGATTTGAAGAATTCTCCGAGTTGATCAATGCAGAATTCCTGAAGGAATCGAAAATTACTCTTGAAGAAATCATGGACCACATTTTGATTGATTTCGGAGAGCAACACAAGCCTCTCATTGACCCAGATCGCGATGGATTCTCTGGGGATACTGAAGGCCTTCGGGGAAAATGGTGGCGTGGAGAGGATACAAGGAACGGATTTTGACATCTTGAAATCAAGGAAGAGAATTTTTGAGAATTCGATTTTTGACAAATCCGAATCTAGCCCGCTTGACGGCGACATCTACCCCGGTCAAAAGCCAGTTAACGAAGATCGCGTCATCGATCACAATTCCAACGGAATCTACGGTGTCGACGAGCACGGTATCGCCTACGAACGACTCTACTGCGACAACTACCCACCCGTCGGAGTCGCTATTCTCGGTGACTCAGCCAGCGCGCATTTCTCCCTCCCTCCATCCTGGTTCCGCCCGACTGAGTTCAATGAAAACACTTTCAAGAACCTTTTCATGCTTTTGACGAATGAGTTGGATTGGCCTCAACTTTCCTGGGCAACTGGACATTCGGATAATTGCTGGATGGATGATATCAAGTCTTATTCTGATATTCAGATGGATTCGATTTACAAAAGACTTGTTGAGAGAAACCGATGTGGATTGAATGACTACCAAAATCAGGAAAGAGCTGAGATTGTCTTACAGTGGTATGAGCGGTTGCCGCACCCCTACGATTTTTTAAAATTACACAATTAATTTCAAAAAACTCTATTTATTGTATTTTTCCCTAGTAGAAAATGGCGTGAAAATTTCATTACTGGAAACAGAAATCGAATATCATATCTGAATCGAAAGATATGAATTTTTAAAGGCGAAAAATAGGGGTGCGGAAACCGCTCATACCACTGTATGAAATGAATAATAACATTGCTTAAAAAACTCTCAAAAAGGCCAATAACGGCGCTAGAATCACCTCCATGGCCGACAAAATCGTCAAGGGTTTGAGCCGAAAGCCAACAGACAACAGGATGGTCGTCTTCCTCTCTCTTATCGGAAACGATGTTTGCAATGGTCGAATTCCAACAGAAAACAGCTTCACCTCTGCTGAAAAATTCGAGGAGAAAACCATCGAAACACTCGATTATCTCAACACTATCCTGCCAGAAGGATCTACTGTCGTCATGACTGGTCTTGCAAATGGCTCCGTTTTGTGGGATCTGATGCATGAAAAAACTCATCCTTTGGGAGAATATCGACAGGACATGACTTATCCCGACATTTATGAGTACCTCGAATGCCTTCAAATTTCTCCTTGCATGGGCTGGATGACGAAGAATGAAACTCTCCGAGAAATTACTACTGATCACGCAATGATGCTTTCTGATGTTGCCGAGTCGGTGATTCAGCAATCGGACTACAGCAATTTCAAGGCTCTTTACTATCCGTTTGACATTGAGGAGAGCATTGAGAAGTGGATATCCGAAGGCGGAGAAGGATGGCATCTGATTGAATTGGTTGATGGTTTCCATCCAAGGTGAGAAGCTTTTTGTCATTTTTTGATTGTCTTTTCCAAGTCAAACTTCAATGGTTCTGACCGCTGAGATGTTCTGGAATCAAATTTTGGAGGACTACCCTGAAGCCTTTGGCGAAGTCAACCCATGGAACGAGAAAATCAAGGAGATTCAGCAGAAAAACCTCGGTTACAATATCTGCGAGCCTGCTCCGGAAAAGTAAAATAAACATGTTTTTACCCAACATTTATTCTCAATAAAATCAATGAAAAAAAAAATTAAAGATAATTTGAAGTACGTTTTCTATGTCTGCTTGAATTATGTCGATGTTGACATGGTTGAAGACGCGGTGGTTGATGATGCTAGGTTTTGTAATCAGACAGAAGAATCTTGCTAAGATTTACCTGTAGAACCAACGGTCGATGATGTCTGCGCGGCAGAAGATGTTGTTAACTCGGTTGTTTCTTCAGTTGTTTGAACAGTTGTTGAGGTTTGCTCGGTAGTTGATGCTGCTGTTGACGTTGTGATTGTTGTTTCCGCAGCTGATGTCGACATTGATGTCTGTTGCGCTGTTGTCGAAGTTTGTTCCTCCGTTGTCGATGTTGTTGACTCTGCTGTTGAAGTAGTTGTTTGTTCCGCGGTAGTTGTCGCTGCAGAAGTTGATGCTGTTGAAACTGTTGTTGATGTAGGAGGAGCTGTTGTCGTTGATGTTTCTGCAATGGATGTTGTTGCTTGAATCTCGGTCGTTGTTGTTGTTGTAGAGGTTGTAGTTGAAGTTGTCGTTGTTGTTGTAGTTGTTGTTGTAGTTGTTGTTGTTGTTGTAGCTGTTGATGTTGATGTTGAAGATGCTGCTGAACTTGTAGTTGAACTTTGAGCTGCGTTTGATGTGGCCGCGGAGGTTGTTAGAGCCTCAGTTGTACCCGCTGTTTCTTCAAAAGATGTTGTCGTAGGAAACTCTGAATTTGCAGACATTGTGGGTGTCTCTGTTGTCGTTGTTGTCGTTTCTCGAAGTGTTTTCGGTGTTGGATCCCGATTTTGCTTGGCTTCGAGTCGCAATGACGTTTCAGTTGTTGAAGCTGATGTAGAAAAACTTGCTGAAGTCGTAGAAGCTGGCTGTGAAGTCGAAGAAGCTGGCTGTGAAAACGATTGTGATGACAATGCCGCTGTTGAAGATTGTTGAGTTGGGGTCGTCTCTGCAGATGTCGTGGACTCAATAATTGATTCTGTTGAGGATGGTGTTTCCGACATTGTTGATGCGGAAGTCGATGAAGTGCTTGTTGGTAAGATTGTAGAAGTTGTAGTTGATGTTGTTGTTGTTGTAGTGGTTGTTGTTGATGTTGTCGTAGTGCTTGTCGTAGTGGACGTTGTAGTTGTGGTTGTACTTGTTGTAGTGGTTGAGGTCGTAGTCCTTGTAGTGCTCGTTGTAGAAGATGTTGTTGTTGTAGTTGTGGTAGTGGTTGTGGAAGTCGTTCTTGGAATGGATGTTGTGGTTATTGATTTTTCTGTGGTTGTCGCTGATGTCGTCGATTTTGATGCTTGTGTTGTTGAAGAGACGATTGTTGTTCCTAAAGTGATGAATAACTTGAAACTTTGACGAGACAAACTTGATTCAACAGCGTCGGTCGAAGTATTAATTGTGCTTTGTATCGGCTCATCTTAAAATTTTTTAACAAAAAATGACCAAATTGTAAAAACCTCTTGGATTGTCAGGAATCGTTGTTGTAGCTTCTGAAGTCTGAGTTGAGTCAACAGGAATAATTGATGTATAAATCGCACTTGTAGATGGACGAGTTCTTCGAGTAATATTTATTGAGTAAGAAGTTGTTGTTGTAGATAATTTTGTTGTTGTTGTCTTCTTTGTCGGCTCCTTAGATTATGAATTATTTTTACAAAATATTTTCCATTCTTACAAAGCAGTCTCCATATTTCTGACAACGGGAGTGCTGAAGTCGATCGAGGCATTGTCGGTGACATACATAATCGTGAATCATCGGGCATCCAGTTTTACAGCCGAATCGGTCGCAGATTCTTTTCGGATCACATCCATCTCCAATGGAAAGAGTGGTAGTGGTCCTGTAAATTGGCGTTGGTCTTGGCCTTTCATTCACTGGTGGTCTTGAGAAAAAGCCCGGGAAACAAGCCCATATTTCAACGAGCAAAAAGCTCGAAAAAACTACCCTCATCTTCTCTAGCCAAAAATCCTCTTCAGAAAAACTCTGTTTTAACGATTTATGTTCACAAAAGTACTAACAACCTAGCGCCGCGTTTACGGTTCTTGGCGATACAAGTCGCTCAGCTGTGAAATTACTCTGCCGAACATATATGTTGAATGATAAACGAAAACGTAATCAATTTTTGAGAGAAGAATATAATTTTATTTGAAAGAAAGATTGTTAAGAAACTGCTTGTAGAAATCGTTTTCGTCGTCCATCGCGTTTAAATATTTTCCAAAGAAGTTTCTTTTTACTTCATTTTCGATTGGAAGGAAATTCTCGTTGTAGATATTATGTTGCGCAGAGCCTTAAATTTTGGTTTTCGCAAGCGAAATGGCCTTGGACTTACTAAATGGGATGCTGAAGCCAAAAGTCTCTGCGACAAAAATCGCTAGAACAAGAATTTTCATTCTAAAAAAATATTTTTTTTTTGAGATTTTTTCAAGAAATGAACAAAGGAAAGCTCTTAAATATGTGCGAAAATAGATTATTCAAATTAGCTGACTTATCGGATCTTCCTGCATATTCATATTGTAATCTCAATATGTTTTGCAAGGGATTTAATTCTAGGATGCACTCAAAAAGATAAGCAATCGATTATGAGGCGTGCTAAAACGGTTTTTTGGAAAAGAAATCTTCTTTCCTCCAAAGCTTTTTCTCTGGTTGGGGGCAGATGAACTTCTCCTGTTCCTCCTATTCTTAAGAAAACCTCTTCTTTGCATTATTATTCGCACAGAAAAATCACGACACCCATTTTCGAGTCAAAACCGTTTCATGCATCACGCGTCCAATATGTTTTTTTCGAGCTAATGACTGCTGATAAATTACTTTTTTCTTTATTATTTATTAGCCGGCATTGGATTTGAACTTTTTGAACGAACACTTCCTTTTTTGAAAATCGTGTATGGGCGGATCAGAAAATGGTCTGACTTCGTCGAGGGGATCAGAACAGCGACGCTAGAAAAAATGTCCATAAAACATATTTATGATCGAAAAATCGTACCTTTCTTGATGTTCGAGCGTGATCGAATGCGGTCCGACGCCGTTTTTGAACATTTTTATGAAATCACTCAGGGGTATCCAAGCCAGCGCGAATCCAAGGGGAGAGATCTCAAGGTCAAGTAGAAGGATGTTTCTTGAATCTTGGTTCCTTATCTTTATGTACATTATTTATTCGCCGATTACGATATTTCGCCTGACAGTATCGCGTTCCTATATTTGAGGAATCTCGATAATGGGCGCTTTGTACATTTGACTGAAGGACCAATTCCTAAGAGCATCTTCAATCAACTGCGGCTGGAGATATTTCTTCTGCGCGCCGATGCAGATGATGCACTTAGTTGAATCAATCTCGATTTCCGGATCGACAAGAACACTCCCGTTTGGTGAAATTGTAATGGAAAAATTTTGCGCCAAAATCATTTTTACCCTTTTCTCTTTAAAAAATTGAAAGTCGGTTTGTATATCCGTAACTGAGCCGCCTTCTGTTTTTGCTGTTTCTCATGAGCGCATGAATTGACAAAGGACTTATTCGGAGTGAGCATTTGTGGGAAGTTGTAGCATCAGAATTCTCGATTAGCGCGTGTTTAATCCGTTTGAATAACTCAGAATACGGATCCGATCTCGCGCTGAATAAATAGTACCCCGACAGGGAAGCACTCGTAAAACTCAATCAAAAGCACACGCTGCAGATTTTTTCAAACTTCCAATTCGTCAGTTAGTTTTTTATTGAAGTACAGTCAGAATAAAGAGAGTTTTCCTCAAACCAAACATCCTTCGCATTCATCCGGAGTTGTGCACATTTCGGAGGCCCATTTATCTGATGGGGTTACTCCTGGAAGACTAGATGCAACAAACTAAACCGCCGTTAATTTCAATTTTTCCAAAACATATAGATTTACTTTTCGGCCATCGAGCAAAAATTCGAAATCAATAAAGCCACTGTGCCAAATATTTTCTTCGGTCGATGAAAGGGTCAGTACTTGCTCTCGGTCGGGAATTCCTTCAACTCGATCGAAAGTTGTCTTCATCGAAAAATTAGAAAAAATATGATGAAAATTTTCACCTCATCGATCTGAATTTGCAAGTCGCCGATTTGCGAAAGATCGCAGATTTCAGATCCATTGTAAAATCTCATCCTCCAATCTCGTTTATTATTAAAAGTATTTCTTCAATGATTAGGGGGTGCACAGTGGGAAAATCGATTTTTTTATCATCCTCTTATAGGGATGAATGATACATCGATGGAAAGCCTAAGATCCACTGATCATTTTAACATGCGACTTGGGGTCATCAAAGGTCACCTGAGGTCACCTGAGGCCAAAATGCGATTTTTCTAAAACCCGATATATATTAGGGTTTTTATGCATAAGCGCTTGATTTGCTCTTTTATATGCTGGAAAATTACGAGGTAACCTTTTGGCACTTTTTTTCTACAGGCAAAAGTATGTTGAATCAACCCTTGTCACGTGATTTTAGGGGTGATCATGTGCTTTTTTGGGTTTCTCGTAATGAAATAAAATGATCCTTAGATGAATGCGGATCTTCTTGAGGGGTTATAATATAGATTAAAAAACTTTTAAATTTACCGATTTTCCCACTGTGCACCCCCTATCAATGATTCATTTTATGGGGGAAAATCATAATTTTCAAAGAGCCCTAGAAATCATTCCTGGAGTAAGTCCGAACTGCTTCAGGCGCGAGAGAAGATTTCGCGGTCAGTTTCATTTCTCCGGCGAATTCGTTGAAATTTGTATCGATTGATGGGATGCTCTCGGGAGCGGATAGAACAGCCGGGAAGAGGGCTTCTAGAGATGTCCACAAGCGATCTTGCTGGATCTCTGCCATGTCGCCAACATCGCTTATTTTCGTTCTCGTGATTTCTGAACGAAAAGAAAAATGAACGACTTTGGAAATCAAGGAAGACAGTCTTACTTCTACCGATATTTTCCTCCTCCCTATCCCATCCTCCCCAAACTCCACCATGCGGCTGATCAGGCAATATTCGCAAAAGTTTCTTTCCGCCCAACTTCTCCCAGTAGTTCAACGGCCCAGTCAGGGAAAAGAACTCATCATTAGCAGCATTGACGACGTAAGTAACAATGTTTTCTGCATAACGATCTTTGTATTCCAGCGGATCAAGGACTTTCAAACTGGCACGGAGTCCATCAGAGCCAAAATTTCGCGTAACTTTGAAAATAAAAATACGAAAATTATTTGTACGTAAAGAGTACCTTTGTGATACCAGTAATCGAAAAATGCATATGTCCAGCCCCCAAGACTTTTGTAAAGATGTTCCATGCTTGCTTCCGAACTCAGAAGATCAAAGACCACGGGCGCCTGAAACAAATTTTGAGGCGAGAAAATTGAGAGATTGTAGACTCCTTCATTTCCGGTCTATTCATCATTGATCTCACCCTGCATAAGAGAGTGCGTCTTTTTTAACAGAGTTTTTGAAAATGGGATGTACAGATTATTTCAAAGAGATTGTCGCGAATTTCTTCAACAGTGAAGCGGAAAAATGGGTAGAGGAAAACTTCAAGATTGTTTCGATTGATAAAATCATGAAAGTTCAATTTTCCATTCAACTATCCAACTTTGCTTATTACGGTCAAGTAAGGAAAAAATTAATTTACGTTTTCAAATGCTTTAGTGGTTGGACCAAATGGTCGAGTCGCTCGAAAAAGACGGCAAAATCGATTGGGACATTATGCCAGCAGAAAGTGCTGGCTCTGAAGTTGAGAAGGAATTGGATAAGAAAAAATAATCATCTTATGATTCGAACAAGAAAATAATTCAAGTATAAAGTCATCAGCAGTATCACTGCTAAAACGATTCGAAACATTTGACTACGAAGTCATCCGGCACGAGGAAACAGCTTCCGATGCCATCCTCATATACGGAAAGGAAAAGGCAATCGATGATGTCGAGGGCAAAACATACGCAATAGTGGCTGTGGCTGGGACTGTTGAACGCCAAGATTTGGTGCAAGATTTGAAGATATCTCAAGTTCCCTTCGAGGACACCGAAGCTTTCGTTCATAGCGGTTTTTACGAGTGCTTTGAAGCGCTGAAGCCGAAAATAGAAAGATTTCTCGATGAAACGCTAGAAAAAAAGCCTGTTGATGAAATTTTGATTGTGGGCCATTCACTTGGCGGCGCTGTTGCTTCCCTTATTGGAGCATCTTTAGGACGGTCTCCGATATTTCTAATGACTTTATCTCGAGAATATACGGAGCCTGACATCTAGCGCCAAAATTTGAAGAGGAAGATTTTCGAGTTGTAAGCGTCGCTTCTCCGAAAATAGGAAATAAGGCTTTTCAAGAATTTTTCAAGCAAAGGTATCGTTTTAAGTCGTTGAAAGGGGTCAAGCATATTTTTAAGAGTAAAGAAGCATTTACGCATTCGACTGACCAGTGATCTTATCGTTGATTTTCCAGCTCTCCTTTATTGGTTCAGGAAGAGTTCAATATGATCACAACAAGATCTTCATCTTTTTTCAAATATGATTATCAAAAGAAAATATGAAATTGAGCTCGACAAAGAAATTCAGGAGAAGATCTGGAGACAACTGATTTTCCGATTTTCGACGCGTCCGAGTTTGCTTTTGGAAGTCACAAGTCTCATGATTATTTAAGAGGACTGGAGAAAAACAAAGAAGTCATTTTGAAGATAAAATTCGGAAATGCTGTTGAAAAGGCGAGAAAATTTGTTGAAGCCAACTGAAAGAAAAATCGCTCTTCAAAATTTGAAGTTCAAATATATCATGATCACTTACATTCATTTTGATTCTTTCGAAATCTCCTGCTGCAGCTAGCCAACAAGTCCATCCCCTTTTCGATGCTCCTACTACTCCTGCCTTGAAGGGATATTTCCCTGTATGAGCATATGTCTCTTCCGCAATCAAATCAAGCGCCCTCACAGCTGATTTTCCCATCGAAGGATGAACGAGCAAGTTATAATCAGATTCGCCCGTTGCATCGAAGTTTTTGATGAACATGTCCCAAGTTTTTGCGAGAATACCGTCTTCGTATCGACCATCGTATGATCCATCGTCGTTTCCGTAGATAAGCTTGTCTGTTTCCGAGTCGTCACGGAATCGGATTGGCTGATTAGGGACGTGCTTGATGACTCCAGAGACGATTCCAGTGTTGATCGTAAATTGCTGGGTTCTGAATTATGAAGTTTTCAATTGATCGTGAAATCTCATTTTTAAGTACCTCGATAGATCATCGCTATGAGAAGCTTTCGTTTGCGGCTGAATCCAGTTATCTCCCCACGTGACTTGCAAAAACATCGCTTTATCATCCTTGACTTCTTTCGGAACAATCAAGTACACGGAATGCGTCCAGAGAGATCTATCAGTGACAGTATCGTCGAGCCATTGAAGCGAAGTCATGTTGTACTCATAAGTGGTGATTTGGTCAGAAGAAGAGTCGGTTGAAACCAGCTCGTATTTGAAAATATTGTCTTCTTGCCAGAAAAAATCGTCGAGAAAGACCTTTTCGAAGCTGTTTTTCTTCAAAATCTGCTCGGAGAAATTATCAACGAGCAATCTCAAATCCCGATCGTTTCCTTTTTCTTCTTCGGTAATTTGAACAGTAGCAATTCGCCCGAATTTTGAAATGAAAGAGTCTTCAAGAAATCCAGTTCTTGAATCGTCCGGTCGCTTTGTTTCGAAGCCTTCTGCTCCAAGGAACACTCGAGGGAGGAGTTTTCGGAAAGCATGGGTATTTTCTTTCGCAGGCGTGATGACTTGGAGATTGGAAAGCGAGGAGCTTTCGACGACTAAAAGTGCCTCCCAATTGTATTGAAAGATATAGGACTTTAAAGAGCATAGAAAGATATTTGAAAATAAAGGCGCCCATTTAATTCATCAAAAAAATTTTCTTCCTTGATTTCAAAAAATTTTATGCTTTTTCATGAATTGCTTCAGCTTCCCAAGCAGAAAGTGCTTCGACTCCGACAAAATCTTCCGAACAAGGATCGTCATTAACGACTGCAAAGTTTTTCTCGAAATTCTGCCGAATTTTCGTCCCAAAACAGCCGTTTTCATGCTCATCTCGATTTTTCGTCCAATTCTGATCCTTTTGAAGTGCGTAGTCGTATCCATGAGGGTTCGAAATCGGGGCGATGATGAAGTTCATTCCCGGCCATTTCGTCGGCAAATCGCTTTCAGCCAGTCCCATGCAAGCTCGAACAGATTCAAAGTCATTCGCACGGAGGCCGCAGAGGATGATAATGAACGGATTCGAACCACCGATGACATAGTTGGGAACGATTTCGATCGCTTCAAGTTTTCGATTTTCAGATTTTTCGGATGATCTTGTTTGGATATTTTCCGCTAGGTCAATGACTTTGTATGTGCTTGAGTCAAGCTCGGCTAGCTTTGAAAGGCGCTGGATGTTCGACTCGTATGTTCCGTATTTTTCCAGCGGCGTTTCTGAAAAAAATTATGATATTTTTCCTCCTTTTCAGAACTTTACCTGGAGTCTCGGCCTTATCTTCATTTTTATCTTGAAGCGCTGAAAACATAAAATAATTAATTAAATAAAAAATCGGTTTTACATATAACAAGGGCAGAAATTCCAAGAGCTATTGCTAGAAGAACCCCAAAAACCCCTATCCCCACCAAAATCTTCTTCATTCTTGAGCTGGTAGAAATTTTTACGCAGTTTTCTTGTTTCTCGTTTTCCTTTGAATCGACGCTTATGAAAATTGTCAAAAAAGTTTTATGAGAGCTTTGGCGTTAGAAAATAGTCATTTGGATAAAAACTCATAAAAACGTTTAGACTAGTTTTTATAATCCTTATTCACGGTCAATCATCAAAGATAAGCATAGGAAGAGCGATAATGATGAGATCAACAATGATCTCAACTAAGACAAAAGCTTCTCGAAATACAGTAATTCTCCCGTTCCCAAGCCATCAAGAAATATTTCTTTTCATGAAAAAAAAAAATATTTTTGACAATTTTCCTTTGAAATTGAATCTCTTCTTCTTTGGTACCGGTTTTATCAGGAGGGAGTGGTGAAACTGGCTTAACCATTTTTGCGCTCTTTAAATATTTGGAATGCAGTTAACTTTTCTTCAGTGCGCAATAAACGACGCATTCTGTGCTTTTTATGATGATGTTGTGGTTCTCCGGTGCCAAAAAATTCCCTGAATAGAAGATTCGATTTCTAAAGATTTAAGATTTTTATGTTTGTTTTTAAAACAAACTCAATGCAGTTATAATTCACTAATAAAAATCGAATTTAAAATAATGTTAAAGAAGAGAGCTTATTTATTCATTTCGTCAGTAATCGTCAATAGTCTTGATTCTTGGAAGAAAATTTTTGATTTTCGACAAGTCAAATAAATTTAACATTACGCTATTCAAACATCATGTTTGGTTTCTCTTTTTCGAAATTTGCAGGAAATCTAGACATTTCAGAATTATTTTTGAAATCATGAAAGACCAAGAGAAACTTGTTTACCCAATATCTGGTCTTGTTACTGAAACTTTTTATGACCCAAAATCGAAGGAAGTTGTTTCTGTTGCTGTTTATCGAGGGATACCGTATGCTGATGCGGAGAGGTTTCGGGAATCAACGGTCAGAGAAAACGTTCCCGAGAAGCTTCCCATTTTACCAGGTTAGGGTTTTTGATATCCCTTTTGTCGATCATTCAATTAAGCGACGCCTCATTTTCCACAACCCAATGAGTTTAACTTGTCCAACTGGCTGACTCTCCCACGAACTCTCAAAAAAGAACACGTGACTTACGCATCCGAAACCGACCCCCTCTACCTCAACATTTTCACCAAGCAAAACCACCTGAAAAACAAGCCGGTCATCCTCTACGTCCATGGCGGCAGTCTTCTCATCGGCGGCGCTTCTAGTTACGATGGTCATGCTTTGGCAGCAATAGGCGATGTGATCTTCGTGAGCATAAATTATCGACTCGGCTCTTTTGGGACGATGTTCGGCGGAAATTGGGCGCTCAGTGATGTTTTGTCAGCGCTGGAATGGGTTCAACTGCACATTGAAAAATTCGGAGGAGACAAGGAAAACGTAACACTGATGGGATACTCGGCGGGAGGAATGATTGTCGATCATTTGATGAGTTCGCCAAGGTCGAAAGGCTTGTTTCACCGGGCAATCGCGATGTCAGGAAATGCCTCGAGCGCTTGGACCTGGACAAGAGATGAGAAAAAGGAAAATAACATGAGAAGGTTGAAAAAAATTCTGGGAGAAGATGATGATGAGAAAGTTCGAGAAAAAGTAACAAGTAAGTTAAGGTGAATTAAATGAACGAGCTCATCATCGTTATAAATTCAAGAGATGCCATTTGAAGAATTTTTGCGAAAAATCGAATACCCTGCTTGGACAGAGCCCGACTATTTCTACTGGACTTTTTGCACTGGAGAATCTGATTCTATCCTACCTTCATTTCCCTATGCAGATCTCGAGGAGTCATTCAAAATGGACATTCCATATATGATGGGGAGAACAAATGATGAGGGTTGCTACTCGATGAGTTTTTATCATCACCCGAAGTTTTTGGAAGGTCTTTCAAAAGAAGATTTTCAGGTTCATAAAAAGGCAAAACTACGGTATTAAAATTGTGGCTTAGGAAGTCGTCATTCGGACTGCAAAAGGAAGACGAATGATTCCCGAGATTCTTCCAGAAGAAAAATATCCTGAAATCATAGAAGAGTACTTTGGCTCTGGGTTTGACAAATCGGACCAGTTTTACTACACAAAGGTATGATCAAACAGGCTTTTTTAATTGTCCTCTTGCCCTAGATATTTGGAAAATGGTTCGGCGAGATGGAGATTGGAATCGGAATCGAAGCTCGAGCTCGATCGATGAAAAATGCCTTTGTCTACCGGTAAGGTCTTCGTAAGGAATCATCGTTTCAAGGCATCGTCTCTAGAAATTCGTACAAGCCACTTTTCGCGAAAAACGATTCTTACCGCGGAGAACTTACTTCAAACCGCCCAGATTGGTCAAAAACTGATCATGGTGACTGCTACATCTTCATTTTCGGAATTTCTTTCTACGAAGAAAATGCGCAGAATGTTCAGTTTCCCAACAAAGAAAAGGATCTTTCTCTGCAGTGGATTGAAAATTTAACTCATTTTGCGACATTTGGCAAGCCAAAAGACCCAAATTGGAAGCCATTTTTTGAATCGGGGGAAAGAATGAAAATTGGCGAAGATGGAGTCTCAAGCTTCGAAAAAATGAGCGAAGAAGACAAAAAATACGAAGAGTATTTTGAAAAATTCATGAAACCTCTCTTCAAATAAATTTCTAAAAAAAAATTTATTATGAAAAATGTGCAAGAATATATTTCATGGTCGAATTAAAGAGGTCGTTTGGAAGTGACGCGATCGAGTTTCAAGAAAATTCTTCGTTGTTTTTGGAGGTATCGGTCGCGAAACTCTCCACAAAGAAATGGGTCGTCGCTTGAGACGCGTTCTTCGATGAATTTGATGAGAGCCCGTTGGATTTGATTTTGACTCTTGATAAGCCGGATGGACTGGTCATGATATGCTCTTGATAAAAATAAACATAAAATATTTATTTTCACCGTTTTTCTCTTACCGAATTTCTTCCAACGAGCAAATATCTCCACTGCAACGTGGACCACATCTTCTCCTCCACCCCCTGTCAATATCTCCCATCAGCCCCTTGAGCAACTTGTCCTGCCTCTCGAGAATCTTATCAATCGCATCCGGCCTCCTCGTCGGTCGCTTTATCGCTTCTTTTCCGACCTCCAATTTGAAAAATTCATAAAGAACGCCGTACGGACACGGCTTCTCCAAACCACCAAAATTTTCAGCTGTCGATTTCAAGTTGATTCTCAAAGTCTTTCGCGGTTTTCTTGTCGATGATTGAACCGGAAGACAAAGCGGATCTGTCGAATTCCCGGAAAAGTTCTCCATCGTGATGGTTTTTGTCTTCTCGACTTTTCCTTCCAAGCCGTAGAAGACGACATCAAGGCATTTGCAAATATAACCAGCTGAAGAGTCGTCAGGAATGCACTTTGTTTGCTCAGGGCAGATATTCTAAAAGGGTTGAAGATCAAGAATTATTTCTGAAAAGACCTTTTTCATGCATTTTCGGCTGTTTAATCTGACACAATTGCTTGAGTTTCGAAGCCGCGTGAATCCTTCTTTACAATCACATCTTTTTCAAGATCAAAATTTTGAACAAAAAAAGGAAAAAAGCTCCTTTTTGATATTTTTCCTGAATTTTTTTTCTTCATTTATGCATTTTTCGTTTTTTGAGCAAGCATTTTCGCTCATTTCGCAGTAGTTTTTCGTCCAAATATCCCAAGTAAGCTTTTTCGGTTTCATTTTTCCCGTTTTTTATGATTTCGATTTTAATGATTTAAAAAATTGTCAATTTTGAAACCGATTCTTAAATCCTTCTCCAAGTTCTCCATCCCCCGTTTTGAGCATCAGCGTGAGCTCATTACTGTCAAAAGTTTTGCCGCGAAACCAATCCTCGTGTCTGAGATTGTAAAAGGGTTGAAAAGCGCGCTGACGGGTGAGTGCAGAGGTACTTCTTGTGTAGTCCCCACAGAGGCGAGGTGATATTGGGGAGGAATTGTCGCCAAAAGAGTCGTAGATTTGAAGATAATTTGTGTCGCAGGGATCATTATGTCTTAATTTTTATAACGGATTCTTAATGGTTTCAAAGAATTCAGGAAATAAAAGTTTTTATCGCTGACTTATTTTATAAAATTATTAATCTTCACAATTTTTGTTCATTTTTATGGTTTTTAGAATAATAAATATTCCACTGATGCACTCATTGATTCAAGAGGCAAGTTAAAAGAAGAGTTTATCATAAAAGTCTTCTTCAAAACTTTTATTTTTTTCCGTCATTATTTCAATTTGGTTTATGATTAATTACCTTGTTAGAGCAATATTCATAAACTCGAATTTGATCCTTATCTTCTCTCCTTTCTCTGCTCTTTCAATCTGCCAAATTTCAACAGTATTCTCTTTCAAATATTCCGTCTCTATCTCTCCGAAGCTTCCGATCTCTGGCTCGTGAATCGCCCACATTGTTTCAAATCCAAGACTTTTGGCTAGCAAAAATTGAAAAATCTTCATTTTGAAAATGTCAAATTTCTCTGTAATTTAAAAAAAGGACTGCGCTTATGCAGGGGCTATTTCCTCCACTCAGAAATCTAAGAGAGTGACTCTCTAAGTTAAGGGTATCTCGTGATAATTGAATAGCGACAGCGCGGAAAATCGAGCCTCCCTGATTTTCTCCTCGTTGAATATTCAAAGAGGCGAAATTCAGCGAAAGCTAAAAAGGATGGCGGCGTGCTCCACCAAAATAAGAGGAAACCGCAAAATCCGAAAACCACAGAGGTCCTAACCCCAATGGCTTGTCAAACGTGCCCGCCGCCCTTAATTGAGTCAGCGTTACAACTGTTTCTTGTTGTTGGACTTTCTCATTCAAAATCGTTTCAGACTTGGTATTCTTATTTTCGATTTCATGGGTAACAGATCAGAATGTTAACCCCGGAGCGCATGGCCATTTTTGCCAATTTCTGACCATTTTTTAACCGAATATTGTCGCGATTTGGGCATAAAGAGAATAAAGTTCCGGGTTTATTTATTATAACCGGACTCTAAGCTACAAAAATATAATTTGAGCGTGATCATATTATATGCGTATATCAAATATAATATGGTTTTTTGATGAGCAAAATCGTATTACCCAAAAATGGGTCGTATATGCGTTCCGGCGTTAAGTACCACAGTTCATTTGTCAAATAATTCAATGAAATATATTTGCAAGCAAATTATTTTACAAAACTGATGGTTCAGTTTTACAAGTTGGATCTTCAGCGCAAATTTCATCGACAGATTCACCAGAAATCGATTCTTCTGAGCATGTCTTCCACTCATTTTCTTTTGCGCAAAATGACCAATCAGCTTCTAAGGGTGTGTAGCAATTCTCACCAAATTGGTAGCAATCTTAGTTTTGAAGTTTGAATTTAAATTCGATTTGTACAATTAACCTGGGTCATTGCGGGTACATTTCTTCATCGGGGAATCACAATGAACCAAGCAGATATTGATGTCCAAAGCTTCACCAATAATCTCGCAAATATAATCATCAGTAACCAACGGTAATGTTGTTGTTTTTACAGTTGTAGTTTCAAACGCTAAAGTTGTCGAAGCATCTTCTGTTGGTACAGAAGAGAATGTTGAAGTACTGATTTCAGGAAATGTCGCTATTTGAGTTTTCGTTGTTGTTGTTGTCGTTGTTGTTGTAGTTGATGTTGATGTTGTTGTCGTCGATGATGTTTTCTGCTCTTTTGGAAGAAGAAGAACACATGGAACAATAATTGCTGTCAGCAGAATTATTCCAAGAGCAATGCCACCACCAATTTTAAGCTAAATATATTGATAAATACATCTACAAATTCACTATACTCTTCGATTTTTTCCAGAGTCTTTAACTTCCTGCAAATTGCTTTCTTCGAGTTCAGTTGTTTTCTCTTGCATCGTAGACTCAGTATTAGTTGACAAGCTGATGTTATCATTAACTTAATTATTTTTGCTAAATTAGTTAAATCTATGTCATACCTTCGCTCATTTTGCACTTTCTTTTTTTTATTTGAGTGCCGCGAATTGGTTTTATTGAAGAATTTATGTTGACTCTATCCGATGGCGCTGTAGTTGCACAGTTGGAATCGTCTGTTTGAACCAGGCTTTACTGACGATAACTTCAGCAGATAATCTGCGGAAAGATTTTGGCTATCGGCGGAATCTGACATGTCTGAATTTGTCGAAAATCAAGTGATTTGCTCTGTTCTAAAAAGAACTTCGACCCTACATCAGCAATAAACGGAACTACCTCATTCAGAAAATTGCGGTGAAACCAAACCGCCACACTCAAACATGCCCCCGGAAGCGCAAAAAATTGGCACCGCAAAATCAGCGCAAACAAAATCTGACATTTGAGAGTACTTTCAGGTGGAGAATGCTCTCTGATACCGTTTATTCATCAAAAAGCTCTGAAAAAGCTTTCCTTATAAATTCCGAAAATCAGATGATCCAAGCCTGACTTAAAATTTGTTCCTGTTTGCAACTCACAAATTGACTCCACTATCTCCGGCGGAAGACACCTCAGACATCTCATTACGTCTTTGATAAAAAATCATCAAAAGTCGAGCATGATTCTTACTAGAAAACTCAAAGACCAAAGTCACTTTTTTCTTACAAAAAATATAAATAAAGAAGAAAAATAATCGAATGGGCAGAATATTTGTTCATTTATTTTACAGAAAGAATTTTTGTCTAACAGACTTCAGTAGCACCTTGTGGGTTGTCCCAATTGATTGGTTGCCAATAATTCGACAACTTATCGGCAAGTTCAGAAAGGTTTTCGGCTTGTTTGCGCCATTTGATCAGCGTTCTTCTGGGAAATTCATGGCCATCCATGCACACGAAATTGTCGAGGAACTGCTTCGCGTTGCTGGCAAAATTTCGTAAATTCTTACATTTTGAAAAGGTCGGATCAAATTCTTTGAAATCAAATGCTTCGTATGTCGGCGTGTGATACTTCCAGTCGCACTCGCCTTCATTCTGGAAATGCTCCTCGGCGATCTGGATGTTTTTCCAGAATCTTTCAAGTGCTTTTGACATCCAGGGGCGACGCAATTGCATCTGGTAGAGAAGATTGTTGAAAAATAGCTAAAAATATTGTCGAGAAGATTTTTTTCAACAATTGTCTTCACCTCCATATGATAGTTAAATCCCTCAGCGCTCTCTAACGGCGCACAAGGAGCAATTCCACTTGGATTCTCGACGGATTCCCAGGAGAAACTGAAGCTTGAGTCATCAAAGCCCCAGGTCTCCCAGAGAATCTCCGTCGATTCCGCGTAGATGAAGAGTGTCTTTGGGGGCATGCTTTTATTGCCGAAGCCAACCTTTTCTCTTCCACAATGTTTTCGACCGACAATAGAAAGTGAGTCCTTTAGACACCATTGTGTGTTTCGATCAGACTTGACATTGAAATGATCGAAGTCGATTTTGATGATTTGTCCAGGGAGAGCGTTAAGGGTGTACCTCGAGAGAAAGTCAGAAATGATATTTTCTTTAAAAATTTACCTGCAATGGACATTTTCTCCGACAGAGTCAGTTGAGCTAGAAATTGATCCCGATCCAGTTTGGGTTAAATCGCATCCAGCAGCTTCGTTTTCTTAGTCTATCTCGAGTCTGAGCTTGAATCCTTTGAAAACAGTAAAGGAATCGCTCTTGAATCGGATCGTTGCTTTGTTTCCAATGACCTAACAAACATCTCAATCGAATCATCAAATCAATGTTACCTTGAGAGGGTGGTTAAAGTCTCCTTGGTAGGGGCTGTAACCACTGTAGCTGCTTCCGTAGCTACTGTAATCACTACTCGAGTATGAAGCTGTGTACGGCTCGAAGTTCTCCATGTCGAAGTCTACCGAGCAAAATGTGAAGCTCGAATCACCAAAGCTGATTTTCAAAAAGTCCCTCCGGCAATTTTCGTCGCCTTCTACCTCGAAGAACTCGGGGTAAATCGTGAAGCTTTTGACAGAAGCGTCCATTTCAACTTCCCATGTACAATCGCGACGGTTGATGTAATGTCCTTGATGTTCGAAGCCGGGAGAAGTGATGACAGTGTTGCCAGTGACTCTGTACGGTTGACTGCTTCTTGGACAAAATACTGAAGGGTGAGGAGGAGTGCGTCGTCGGATAGTCGTTGTGGTATAACCTTCAGTGGTGTACTGAGCTTGGGAAGAGGCAAAAAGAAGAGTTGAGATCTGAAATATGATAAATTATTTTTAATGAAAATTCTTATCAAAATCGAAAATGATTAATTTTATCTTTTTTATAATAATAAAATACGAAAACCGTAAATCATGTAAATAACAGTCATTCGTCGGGATCGATCCCGACACATTGAAGATCAAAAATACACCAATTCGTCGGGGTCAAACAATTGAAATACGACAAATATGAGTATTTCTAAGCAGTGATTCGCCGGGTTTTATTTTAAAAATCATTGAAAAAGGTCGAAGAGTCCTAGCGCCCTACTATTTGGCAGGAAATTATAGAATCTAAGTATCCCTTACCTGGGGGCTCCGCCCCCTAGGTCCTAAAATGCCGGGGTCTAGTCTAGGGTTACTTAGGGTTACCTTCAGTAACCCTAACTAACCCTAGCCTATCCCCCTCGGGCGAGTTTGTTCTGTCATTTTGCCCAGTGCCCCCTAACCCTAACCTAAAATTATAGAAAGTACTTTTAGCTAAAATCAGTTTTACTTTGGCAGCAGTAAAGAATATATAGTGTAACCCTTTTTGACATTCCGAGAAGAGGAATTTTCTCTTTCGTATTAACCCCTGCCCGCATATCGACCTACGCATAGGTAAATTGACTTTTAAACGCGATTATCTCGCGATTGGTAAATATTTTCTATAAAGCTGACCCCCACATATCGGGCTACTTTTTAATGGAGAATCAGGATCTGAGGTCAAGATAAAATTTATTCAAAGATTTAAGATTTTAGCAATTGAGCGAAATTTTGATCTCGGGTCAACATGACAAAACCCAACTTTGATTCAACTCTTCTCGGCAAGATCTATTTGATCAAATTAATGCTCAGTTGATAATAAAAGTTCGGAATTCTAATTCTATTCTATTTTACTGTATTTATGACTGCATGAAAATATTTGAATTTATTTTGGACGAGATTTGGAGCGCTGACGACTTATTCTTTTATCAAAAATGAGTACTTTTGAAAAGATGACATTTGTTGACATTTGACATCTGACATTTGACATTTGATCATGTCCAGGAGAAAGCTCAGCCTTTAATCATTCCATCCATGTCCTTTGGAAAATTTTATCCCGACTAAAAGACCCCAAAGGCCCGACCTACGCGTAGGTCGATATGCGGGCAGGGGTGACAAATTTTTCATGCGGGCAGGGGTTAAGGCTGACGATAGGGATTGCGTCATAGCAAGGAATGACCCCGACGAATTGGTGTTTGAGTGAAGACTGATTCGTCGTATTCAATTGTTCGACCCCGACGAATTGGTGTATTTTTGGTCTTCAATCTGTCGGGGTCGACCCCGACGAATGACTGTTATTTCATATTTCATTTGTCGGGGCGACCCCGACGAATTACCACAGACTACGGTAAAAGTGTACCTTCATATCGAAAATTCTCTTTCTCTCTGGAAGTAACTAATTCGAATTTCGCTCGCGATTAAATACGCACTATCTAGGTGGAGCCTCGCTCCAACACCAAAAGCACGTCGACTTGGCGTCATCAACAACGTCAGGACCAAAACACAATTAAATTGACTTTGCTGCCCAAATTAACTAGCTTTTCTCCATGAATCCTTTGCTTGAAAACCAAAGTTTCTAAACTCTTCTCGCTTCCAGCTTATTTCTAAAGCGCTACATTAATTCGACTCTTTTTACTTTCTAAGGTCGTTTTCCTGCCATAAGGGCAAAAAGATAGTTTTAGCTTAAAATCGTGATAAAATATCTTCATAATATAATATTTAGGCTTGTAAGAAACCAGTAACTGATACCAACAACAATTTCAAGTCAGCAAAGTTCAATTTATTTGCAGCTACTACGTGGTCCAGGAAAGCTGTCGTTGTATCTTGCGGGCTAGTTTGATGTCAAAATAATTGACTGATCCAAGCAAGCGATATGGAATCAAGCATACCGTAAATTTGTCGTACCATGACGATTGATAAAAATAAACCCTGATGAGCTTGATAATTGAAGTTAGATTGAAGCTTTTACGTTTGCTTGTAGCTTTGTTGGTAGGTTAAAAGCTAAAATAAGCAATTGATTTCTAGAATTGACAATATTGTTTCAAAAATCCTTCACCACAGCCTCAAGTTATCATGCCACAACAAAGAAAGCCGGACAATTCCGCTCGGGTATGGCATCATTATAAAGAAGGCTTCATTATAAAGAGGCTTCATTATAAAAAAAGCATCATTATAAACGGCTTTATAATGAAGCCTTCTTTATAATGAAGCCTTTTTTATAATGATGCTAGTTTATTTATAATGATGATATTAAAATATTGTGAGGGTAAAAACATCAAAACGAGAGGGTAAATAAGAAAAAAAAAATTCTTAGATCGCGGACAAAATTTTTTTTTGGGAAAATTTTTGCTGAAAAAAGCCCTTTTATTTTAATTAAAAATTGTCGATTCGACATAATAAACAGGAGAAATGAAGTCATTACTTTTTGATGCGAGATTCAACTCTAGCATCGGAAAATAGTCTTACAATCAGAGTTGCAAATTTTGCTAAATTTCTGCTGAGCTGAGCGGGCCTTTTTCAGAAGTCATTGTCAATGACTCATTGAGCAGAGCTGAGCTGAGCTGATCTTTTTCAATTTTCCTTTAAGGTAAATTAGTTGAGATCAGCTGGGCTATCCATTTTCTTTAGGTAATTGAGCTGAGCTAAGCTGAGCAGACGGTCCGCTGCAGACCGCTTTTTGCGGGGACGCTCGATTCGTATAACAAAAATTTTCTGGTATTCGAATAGCAATTTTTGATTTTCCAAATCAAAGGTTTTTGACCAGAATTTTTTTCCGTGAAATTATTACTGAATCACTCCCAAAGTTTCCTTCAAGGCAGGCACGAAGCGCATAGGCACTCTTTGGGTTCACCAAAATTTGACTTTTTGAGGAGATTTGGTACTTTTTTTTAATTTTGGCAAAGATTCGCCAGAACCGAAAATTTGGCGAAAGCGAGGCCTAAGCGACGGGGAATTTTCGCGAAAATCGGGGACAAAAAGCGAAAGCAAAGCGAACATCAGAAGTGTGATTTTCGGGGGGGCGAAGGCGAAATTTTCGATTCGCTTTCGCTTTTGGCGAAAATCGCCAAGCGAATTTATATGCCTGCTCTTGGGGAAATGAAGCCTACCCCATGTAGAATGAAATGAAGAGCCGCAAAGATAATTCTTTTATTTTTACGATATTCATTTTATCTACACCGCTGGACTTTATCCGGGATAATCATAATTTCATAATTTCATAATAATCATATCATAATTTATCCCTGAGACATATTTTGAAAAAATCAAGTTTTTAAAAAAGAAAAATTTTTTTTGAGTATTTTGGTAACGCATTACCAAAAATTTTTGGTGATGAGTCTGACCGTTCCTGGTCATCACGTATACTTTGGGCATACAGGTGCCCTCGAAGTCCGAAAATCTAAGGGATTCAAGAAAAAGAAAGCGTTATATTACATTAATACACAGCTACAGTCATTATCTTTAAAAACCTCTGAGTTTTAGTCAAAAAATTTCAGTCAATAAATCAAAGGTCGAAGAAGAGTTTACTAAATAGACTCTATAATTTTTACCTTTTATGCTCACAATATTTTTTGCATCATTATAAATAAACTAGCATCATTATAAAAAAGGCTTCATTATAAAGAAGGCTTCATTATAAAGCCGTTTATAATGATGCTTTTTTTATAATGACGCCTTCTTTATAATGAAGCCTTCTTTATAATGATGCCATACCTCCGCTCGCAACCCGAGTCGGGGTTATTAGCTGCCCCGTGATCTCTTTTGGAATTCTGGTCCGTCGCTATTTTTTAAATTAGAATAGAGAAGGAAAGAATGGATTTGTGAATGCGAATAAAATTGGGTTTACGTAAGACGAATTTTAACAGAAATAATAAAAAGTTGATTGCAGAAGTCGTTTTTTTAAGTTCTTGTCCTAAAGATAATTGTTTATAAAGTTGAATCAGTCAGCACCAGTCTCGTGATTGATTTTCTTTGTTTTTAGATCATGGCAGCTTTGAGATTCTCGGCAAGCTTGTCCAAGAATTCGAAAGTGTTGAGATAGTCGGCCCTGTTGACTTTGGACGCGTCGCCGTTCTTGGTGCAAATGGCGAGATCCTTGGTCATGAAGCCGCTCTCGATGGTCGTGACGCAGACCTTTTCAAGAGTAGCGCAATACTTGGCAAGGGCTTCGTTCTTGTCGAGTTTTGCGCGGTGTTCGAGCCCTCGAGTCCAGGCAAAAATCGAAGCTAGAATCATAGAAATATAAAAGAAAAGACCAATCTTACCGATTGGGTTGGTGGAGGTTTCTTTTCCAGCCTGGTGAGCTCTGTAATGTCGAGTAACAGTTCCATGAGCAGCTTCGGATTCGACAGTCTTTCCGTCGGGACAGACGAGCATGGAAGTCATCAAACCCAAGGAGCCATAACCTGAAAAGTTGACGGGAAACTGCTTGCAAGAGTGTTGTACCTTGTGCGACAGAGTCGGATTGCACATCACCGTCGTAGTTTTTGCAAGCCCAGACGAATTTACCGCTGGATTCGAGAGCATAAGCGACCATATCGTCGATAAGTCGGTGCTCGTACCAAATTCCTTTTTCCTCGAAAGTCGACTTGAACTCGGCGTCGTAGACTTCGGCGAAAATGTCCTGGGGGATGTTTATTAAACGAACAATAGAAAAACGACAAAACCTTGAATCTGCCATCATATGTCTTGAGGATCGTGTTCTTGGTTGAAAGATACAGGGGCCAGCCCCGACCAGACGCGAAAATCATGCAACTTCGCGCGAAATCCCGAATGGATTTGTCAGTGTTGTACATGCCCATGGCAACTCCACCATCTTCGTACTTGTAAATGGTCTAAAAAGAGGGTATCGTTTTAGTTGGTCCCTGAAATGGTGAATTTACCTGTTGAATAGGGGCAGATCCATCGTCTGGCTGGAAGGTCATTGTAAGAGTTCCGGCCTTGGGAATAACGAGATCGGTGGCTTTGTACTGGTCGGCATGAGCGTGGCGACCGACGACGATGGAGTGATTCCAGTTAGTAACGAGTCGGGGGACGTTCGAGCAGAGAATAGGCTCACGGAAGACGGTGCCGCCGAGGATGTTTCGGATAGTGCCATTAGGAGATCCCCACATTTTCTGAATAGTTTTTTTGTTTGAATATCAATAATGAAATATTACCTTGAGACCGAACTCCTCGACTCTCGTTTCATCAGGAGTAATTGTGGCGCATTTGATTCCCACTCCGTATTTTTTGATGGCTTCAGCACAGTCGACAGTGATCTGGTCATCAGTTTCATCTCTTTTCTGGATGGAAAGATCGTAAAAGTGAAGATTCTCTCCGAAATCGATGTAGGGCATTATGAGCTTCTCCTTGATCAGGTCCCAAATGATTCTGGTCATTTCATCTCCCTGAATCTCGACAACGGGTCCGCACGTGATCTTGGACATTATCACAAGTTTTTCGATTTTCTGAAAATGGAAAAGTACGTTCTCAAACGCTTTCAACCATAAAAATTGTCGTTTTTATGAACTTAAATCGATTTTTTTACAAAAATTGTCGTCATCATCCTTCATATTAATCATTATTTTATTCACATTCATTTCATTGACGTTCAAAAAAGCGAAATTAATCAATATCAGTGCTTATTTTCCGACCAAAAAGGGCATTTTCAAATATATTCTAGTGAATAAATTAACAATGAAAAGGTCTGTAGAAAGGTATAAGACGAAAAAATTTGAGAGGGGATATTGTCTGATTGAGAATTTCCGTGATTCATGTATTGACCAACGATTTTTGAATTAACAATGCAAACTGTACGATTGCAGCTTGCAAGTTGAAGGCTATAATTTGCAATAGAATTCTAGAATTGAAAATATTGTTGAAAAATTCCTTGATGCAGATTCAGTTCTTTATGTATCCTAATACCGTACCACAACAGGGTCAGCAGCAGCAGCCTTATCCGACTGCAACCTATACTGGTGCGCCCGGCTATGGAGCTCCACAACCAGCTCCAACTTATGCTCAGCAACCAGCACCTGCTTCTGCTTTCGCTCCGCCACCCACGCCGTCTCCAGCGCCAAGTCCTCAACCGGTCATCTTGAACATTCAACAAAATGCTCCTCAAACTCTGGCCGCTCCCCAACCAATTCGACCGGCTCTTTCTCAGCAATCATTACGTAAGTTGAAAAGCTTCGGTTAAAAAATATCAATATATCAGGAAATCCTTCACCACAGCCTCCAGTAATCATGCCACAACAAAGAAAGCCGGACAATTCCGCTCGCAATTTCATCCTTGGGGTAATTTGCTGCCCTGTGATCTCTTTTGGAATTCTGATCATCGTCGCAATCATTTCAGTCGCTATTAATGGCCCGTAAGCTACTGAATTATTATTCCAATTCAAATATTTTTCCAGTTCCTCTGGGTCATGCGGCGGCCCAAACGGTCCCCCATGTGACTACGGCGGACCAGACTATTATGGCTCAGGCTACGGCGGACCTGACTATTATGGCTCTGGCTACGGTGGACCTGACTATTATGGTTCTGGCTACGGTGGATACACCACAACACATTTTTCCAACCAAGGGTCGATCGATTACAATACTGTTGGAATTTGCGATGGAAATAACGAGTATTCAGTTACGAGTTCTGGAAGTTTTCAGTAAGTACTTTGACCACAAATAATTTTTCATCATTTCAAAGATCGTCAATCATTTACAGTCGGAGTCCAAAATAAGGGACACCAAGATAAGGGATTTTTTGGCTCAAAATGCCGAAAATCAGCGGCAGAAAAAAATCCAATTTAAGGAACTTTCTGAGATTAGTAAGCTTTTTCGGTTAGCTGAGAGCGAATAAATGATATCAATAACCTTGATTTGTATCATGAAATTCAGATCACCAAACTACCCAAATATGTACCCAAATGATGCGAGTTGCACCAACAAATTTACCACTTCTTTCGACGGAATCACCTTCGAAGTAAATGGGTTCTATCTCGAAAGTTGCTGTGACTCCCTGACATTCAGCGACAATTCTGGAGATTATCCTTTTACCGGACAAATATTCAATGTAACGAGAGCTAGAAATTAGTCGAAATCATTAATTTATTTTTAGGGAACTCGATTTTCCTTTTCTTCGTCAAATGTGATTGTTTCATTTACAACCGACTACAGTGTTCAACGTTATGGCTTTCATATCGATGTCATCGACGGCTACGATCCATCAAACGACATAAGCTATGTTCACGGCAATTTAAAATTCGACGGCGAATCCCCACAAAAAGAAATAATCAAAAAAAATTAACTAGAACACTAATCTTGTCTATTTGTTGCTGTTAACCAATAAATTTTTTTATAAAATTGTCGAAAAAAAAACATTTGCAAAATGAAGAAAATTCTATGCAAATGTCATTGAGAGACAAGTTTTTCTATTTGTTCCAAGTTCTGCCGCCCATTTGACTCTGGCTCAAGTTTTTTTCGGGAGATCATGTGTCTTCTAATTTTCTTGCCGATCGCGTCAAGTGCCGTTTTTCTAGAGAAATCATATGAAGACACCATTCCCGAAAGAATAAAGTCCGATCCAAAGCTCTTCGTGAATCTGACCACAAATGAGAAAATCGAATCAATGGAAGAACGTTGCCCGTAAGAATCTTTTCATGAATAAAACGCGAAAGTCTTTCAAGGGATGAGGATTTGTACAATGAATGTTCCGCCATCTGCCGGTTCGAGTACTTGCAGTGTTTGGGAGAATGCGATTCTGCTCTTTGCGAGAGCGAGTGTATCAATGACTATTCAAGTAAACTCATGCCTTTCGTCACCTGATTTCTAGCGTGTACTTCTTTTTGCCCATGCGGGTCAAATTGCCCGTCTGGTTGCGAAAATTGCGAGAATCCCATTTGCGTTGACGAATGTGATGATGTTCAAAGTAACGAAGAGTACACCGTATGCCTTGAAGCTGCGCTGGAAGCCCAGGTTTTTCTATCTTTTCTTCTTTCAAAGATGAATTTCGAAGGCGATTTGCACTCGAGAATGCACACCGGATGTGCCTTGCTTCGAAAAATGCAGCGAAATATACATTGAAAACTTGAGGGACTGCCCATGTGTCGTGGACTTCACAACAACAACTGAAGAACCAACTACTACCCATCCTCCGGTTCGTTCGTCAAAGGACAAGCCGTTATCTTTTTCTAGAGCAATGGAAACCTTCTTGTTCTGCTAAACAACTTGCGCGAGTCTTACATCGTTTCTGGAGATGGGCTTGAGTCATCGATTCCAACGATAAATGCTCCTGATGATGACTTCACTGACCGCGCCCTTTTCGCGGTTGTTCAGAATGAACTCTATCTTTTGGTGGAGCATATGATAATCAGATGGTCAGCAACATTTTGTTGATTAATTGATTCACAGTTTTAGATCGGTAAACTTGATGGCTGTAATTTTGTCGAGCTCTCGATTCGGCTGAATTTTCGATACTACCACGATTCCGCCGCGGTTGCATTTGATGATGGAGCTATAGGTTCGAAATAAGTTTGGAAAAGAAAATATATTTTTCAAGCTCTGATTTGTTTTCCGGGTTACAGTCCGATCGAGAGTTGTGAGATATTTGACTTGACAAGCGCGACTCCGACCCACTCAACTCAGTATACACATACTTATGGAAAACTCGGAATTTATCAAGGAAATCCAATCACTGTAGGCAGTTACTATTCTTCTGGAACGAAAAAGGTTGAAGTTTACAATCCAACAGGCTGGTTTTCGATGCCAGATCATACTAGGTAATTTTGCCATTTTTATCTATATTACCGATCTATAGAAATATCTATGCCCATACATTGACAGGTTTGGACGATGGTTCTTTGATTCTTGCTGGAGGATATGATATGACTCAGGACTCATTTTCTAAGAATATTTGGATGCTCAAAAATGGCTCGTGGGATATTATCGGGCTAATGAAAATGGTAAGCATTAAACAGATTATAATCTATAAAAAAATATAAAGAACTATTATCTTGCTTCTGCGATTCGAATTGAGTCTGAAATTTTTATTGCGTCTGGAAGGAAGGGTACGAACTTTCAGCGAAATTCTTGATAATAAATTTTCATCGCTAAAAACCTGACATTATCAGCGTTCCCCTCTGAAGACCTGCTGAAAATGTCGGCAATTATCCAGTGGAAAGAATTATTTTTGAAGATAATCAATTTATTGAGACGAATATCATTGCTTCTCATGATTCCTCGAACTATATCCCTGTTCTTTTTGCTGTTGAAATTGACTTTTGCATCGATGAGAGTTCATGATTCAAGATGCACAAATAAAAATAATAAATCAAGAAATATTTTTATCATTTTATGTTTTTATTATTTTACTCGATAATACAGAAAAAAATAAAAAGGACATTTTTTTCTGCCACAGGGTAATGTCGACGATAGCCTACAGATTGCTATTGAATCATTTTTGAAGTCAAAGTACTTCTTCGAATTTGCTCAAAATCTCAAAAACAGAGCACCATAAAAATAAAACATTTTTCCATTTCTGCGCCGCGTAAGTTTGCACATGCCCGTTGCAGAGCAAACACTTTGCTTGCTGAAAATGCGCGTTCCGCGAGTAATATTTTCGGAAGCACGGGCAGCAAGAAAGAGAGACAGAGAGAGAGTTTAAACTTTAACCAGTATTTTTTCGTGTTAAATCTTTAACCCCTGAGAAACAAAAAAAACAATGAACTGGAATGGGACGAGCGATCCTCTGAGAAGGAGGCAGCCAGTTCCGATTGAAGATGTTAATCATAATTTGGTGGATGTTCTTGAAAGAATTCGGAAATTTGGACTTGAGGAAAAGGTCTTTGATATCGTTCAATAGCAAGAATAAGGGTAAGGGCCTAACCGTTAGGGTTAAGGTTCATTAGGGTTATGGTTAAATTTTTGCCGCGGAACCAATCCTCGTGTCTGAGATTGTAAAAGGGTTGAAAAGCTCGCTGACGGGTAAGTGCAGAGGTACTTTTCGTGTAGTCCCCACAGAGGCGAGGGGATACGGGGGAGGAACTGTCGCCAAAAGAGTCGTATATTTGAAGATTATTTGTGTCGCAAGGATCATTATGTCTAAATTAAATTAATTTTTTACCTGAAGTGGAAACTATACTGAATATGAATATTGCTGAACTTTGAACGCACCAACACTATTTTAAAACTCTGAATTTTCATTGTTTTTAACATTTTTATGGCTCTTAAGGGGGTAGAACTAGGTTTTTCCAAAAAAGCCGATTCTAGACCGGCGCTCAAAGCCAGGAGAGCTTAGATTTTCGAATTCTCTCTTCGGCTGAAGATAGATCTTAGATCTAGCAACATTTTTCATAAAATTTTTTTTCATCAACACATTTTGGCGCTAGAGAGCGAAACGTCAGCCCACCTCTTCGAAAATCGCAATTTTAGCGTATTCGCGTCCTCAAATTTCTCGACTCACGCGAATAGCCAAACTTTTTAAATCTCATTCTAAGTTAGTTTAACCCATTATTTAGCAACATTTTTGAGGAAATTGCGTCATCATAAGTAAAAATGGTTTTTCTTATTTAAAGTACCTTACGAAAATCACGGTTTTTCGCAAAATCTAGTTCTACCCCCTTAAAAACAGTGACCTGTCAATCATGTTTCACTATAAATTGAAGAGAGTAGTTTACTAAGTTTATGAATAAATGCTTTTAGTGAATAGAATTTAAACGAGAAAGACATATATTTTTCGATTTCTTTGCAGAGAATTTCTGAAAAATGTAAAATTACCTTGTAAGAGCAATATTCATAAACTCGAATTTGATCCTGATCTTCTCTCCTTTCTCTGCTCTTATTTGCCAAATTTCAACAGTATTCTCTTTCAAATACTCGGTCTCTATCTCTCCAACGCTTCCTATCACTGGCTCGTGAATTGCCCACATTGTTTCGAATCCAAGACTTTTCGCGAGCAGAAATTGAAAAATCTTCATTTTGAAAATTTCAAATTTTAAATTTCTCTGTAAATTTAAAAAAAAGGGACTGCGCTTATGCAGGGGGCTATTTCCTGCACTCAAGAATCTAAGAGAGTGACTCTCTAAGTTAAGGGTATCTCGAGATAATTGAATAGCGACAGCGCGGAAAATCGAGCCTTCTTGATTTTCTCCTCGTTGAATATTCAAAGAGGCGAAATTCAGCGAAAGCTAAAAAGGATGGCGGCGTGCTCCACCAAAATAAGAGGAAACCGCAAAATCCGAAAACCACAGAGGTCCTAACCCCAATGGCTTGTCAAACGTGCCCGCCGCCCTTAATTGAGTCAGCGTTACAACTGTTTCTTGTTGTTGGACTCTCGAATTCAAATCATTTAATACAAGATTAAGAAGATAAATTGTGAAATCACTGATTTGAGCAATAACTTTATTGATAAAGAAATAAACAAGCATCTTCATTAACGCAAATATCTTCAACTGAGTTTCCAGAAATTTCATCTTCTGTACACTTTCCCCAGCCGTTTTCTGATGCGCAGAATGACCAGTCTACTTCAACGGGTCTGTAGCAGTTATCGCCAAATTGATAACAACCTTGTTTTCTGGTTTTATTTTCAAAATGTTTCTTGCTAACCTGTGTCATATAAAGTGCATTTTTCGATCGGAGAATCACAGTGAACGAGGCAAGTAAATCTATCAGTATCGAGGTTTAGGTAATCTTCGACAGTCTCACAAGTTCCTTGATCAGTGATCATCGGCAATGTTGTGTACTCAATGCTTGTTGTTTCTACCATTGTTGTTGTTTTTGTTGTTGTAGGCGCGATTGTTGTTGTTGTTGTTGTAACCGTTTCTTCTGTAAAAATTCCAGGAGTAAATGTGGAATTATGAATTTCAGATAACGTGGTCGTTGTCATTGATGTCGTTGAGTTCGTTGGTGGAAGTGGTGGTATTGTTGTCGTTGTCGTCGTTGTCGATGTCGTCGTTGTCGACTTTGTTGTTGTTTTTGGCTCTTTCGGAAGGAGAAGAACGCATGGAACGATAATGGCAACGAGAAGAATTATTCCGAGAGCAATACCTCCGCCGATTTTAATCTAAAGAAAAAAAAACAGGAAAGAAAAAAGAAACTAACTCTTCGATTTCTCCCAGCATCCTTCACTTCCTGAAATTCGCCCGTTTCTCTTTCTGACGATACTTCTTGAATTGATGAGTGTTCGCTTGGAGACAAGCTGCTTCCATCACCTAGAAATTTTGGGGAGAAAAATCTCTCATTCATTACCTTCGCTCATTTTTTGAAGTTTTGATCTTAGTATTGAAAAAATGATTTTACTGAGGAATTTTTGTTGACTCTATCCGATGGCGCTGTAGTTGCACAGTTGGAATCGTCTGTTTGAACCAGGCTTTACTGACGATAACTTCAGCAGATAATCGGCGGAAAGATTTTCGCTATCGGCGGAATCTGACATGTCTGAATTTGTCGAAAATCAAGCGATTGACTCTGTTCCAAAGAGAACTTCGACCCTGCATCAGCAATAAACGGAACTACCTCATTCAGAAAATTGCGGTGGAACCAAACCGCCACACTCAAACATGCCCCCGGAAGCGCTAAAAATTGGCACCGCAAAATCAGCGCAAACAAAATCTGACATTTGAGAGTACTTTCAGGTGGAGAATGCTCTCCGATACCGTTTATTCATCCAAAAGCGCTAGAAAAAGCTTTCGAAATAAATTCCGAAAATCAGATGACTTGAAATTTGTTCCTGTTTGGAACTCACAGATTGACTCCACTATCTCCGGCGGATGACACCTCAGACATCCCATTACGTCTTTGATAAAAATGCATCAAAAGGCAAGCATGATTTTTACTAGAAAACTTAAAGACCAAAGTCCCTCTTTTTCCCGAAAAATATAAAATAGAAGAAAAATTATCGAATGGGCAGAATATTTGTTCATTTATTTTACAGAAAGAATATTTGTCTAGCAGACATCAGTAGCACCTTGTGAATTGTCCCAATTAATCGGCTGCCAATAACTCGACAACTTATCGGCAAGTTCAGATAGGTTTTTGCCTTGTTTGCGCCATTTGATCAGCGTTCTTCTGGGAAATTCATGGCCATCCATGCACACGAAATTGTCGAGGAACTGCTTCGCGTTGCTGGCAAAATTTCGTAAATTCTTACATTTTGAAAAGGTCGGATCAAATTCTTTGAAATCAAATGCTTCGTATGTCGGCGTGTGATACTTCCAGTCGCACTCGCCTTCATTCTGGAAATGCTCCTCGGCGATCTGGATGTTTTTCCAGAATCTTTCAAGTGCTTTTGACATCCAGGGGCGACGCAATTGCATCTGGTAGAGAAGATTGTTGAAAAATAGCTAAAAATATTGTCGAGAAGATTTTTTTCAACAATTGTCTTCACCTCCATATGATAGTTAAATCCCTCAGCGCTCTCTAACGGCGCACAAGGAGCAATTCCACTTGGATTCTCGACGGATTCCCAGGAGAAACTGAAGCTTGAGTCATCAAAGCCCCAGGTCTCCCAGAGAATCTCCGTCGATTCCGCGTAGATGAAGAGTGTCTTTGGGGGCATGCTTTTATTGCCGAAGCCAACCTTTTCTCTTCCACAATGTTTTCGACCGACAATAGAAAGTGAGTCCTTTAGACACCATTGTGTGTTTCGATCAGACTTGACATTGAAATGATCGAAGTCGATTTTGATGATTTGTCCAGGGAGAGCGTTAAGGGTGTACCTCGAGAGAAAGTCAGAAATGATATTTTCTTTAAAAATTTACCTGCAATGGACATTTTCTCCGACAGAGTCAGTTGAGCTAGAAATTGATCCCGATCCAGTTTGGGTTAAATCGCATCCAGCAGCTTCGTTTTCTTAGTCTATCTCGAGTCTGAGCTTGAATCCTTTGAAAACAGTAAAGGAATCGCTCTTGAATCGGATCGTTGCTTTGTTTCCAATGACCTAACAAACATCTCAATCGAATCATCAAATCAATGTTACCTTGAGAGGGTGGTTAAAGTCTCCTTGGTAGGGGCTGTAACCACTGTAGCTGCTTCCGTAGCTACTGTAATCACTACTCGAGTATGAAGCTGTGTACGGCTCGAAGTTCTCCATGTCGAAGTCTACCGAGCAAAATGTGAAGCTCGAATCACCAAAGCTGATTTTCAAAAAGTCCCTCCGGCAATTTTCGTCGCCTTCTACCTCGAAGAACTCGGGGTAAATCGTGAAGCTTTTGACAGAAGCGTCCATTTCAACTTCCCATGTACAATCGCGACGGTTGATGTAATGTCCTTGATGTTCGAAGCCGGGAGAAGTGATGACAGTGTTGCCAGTGACTCTGTACGGTTGACTGCTTCTTGGACAAAATACTGAAGGGTGAGGAGGAGTGCGTCGTCGGATAGTCGTTGTGGTATAACCTTCAGTGGTGTACTGAGCTTGGGAAGAGGCAAAAAGAAGAGTTGAGATCTGAAATATGATAAATTATTTTTAATGAAAATTCTTATCAAAATCGAAAATGATTAATTTTATCTTTTTTATAATAATAAAATACGAAAACCGTAAATCATGTAAATAACAGTCATTCGTCGGGATCGATCCCGACACATTGAAGATCAAAAATACACCAATTCGTCGGGGTCAAACAATTGAAATACGACAAATATGAGTATTTCTAAGCAGTGATTCGCCGGGTTTTATTTTAAAAATCATTGAAAAAGGTCGAAGAGTCCTAGCGCCCTACTATTTGGCAGGAAATTATAGAATCTAAGTATCCCTTACCTGGGGGCTCCGCCCCCTAGGTCCTAAAATGCCGGGGTCTAGTCTAGGGTTACTTAGGGTTACCTTCAGTAACCCTAACTAACCCTAGCCTATCCCCCTCGGGCGAGTTTGTTCTGTCATTTTGCCCAGTGCCCCCTAACCCTAACCTAAAATTATAGAAAGTACTTTTAGCTAAAATCAGTTTTACTTTGGCAGCAGTAAAGAATATATAGTGTAACCCTTTTTGACATTCCGAGAAGAGGAATTTTCTCTTTCGTATTAACCCCTGCCCGCATATCGACCTACGCATAGGTAAATTGACTTTTAAACGCGATTATCTCGCGATTGGTAAATATTTTCTATAAAGCTGACCCCCACATATCGGGCTACTTTTTAATGGAGAATCAGGATCTGAGGTCAAGATAAAATTTATTCAAAGATTTAAGATTTTAGCAATTGAGCGAAATTTTGATCTCGGGTCAACATGACAAAACCCAACTTTGATTCAACTCTTCTCGGCAAGATCTATTTGATCAAATTAATGCTCAGTTGATAATAAAAGTTCGGAATTCTAATTCTATTCTATTTTACTGTATTTATGACTGCATGAAAATATTTGAATTTATTTTGGACGAGATTTGGAGCGCTGACGACTTATTCTTTTATCAAAAATGAGTACTTTTGAAAAGATGACATTTGTTGACATTTGACATCTGACATTTGACATTTGATCATGTCCAGGAGAAAGCTCAGCCTTTAATCATTCCATCCATGTCCTTTGGAAAATTTTATCCCGACTAAAAGACCCCAAAAAGGCCCGACCTACGCGTAGGTCGATATGCGGGCAGGGGTGACAAATTTTTCATGCGGGCAGGGGTTAAGGCTGACGATAGGGATTGCGTCATAGCAAGGAATGACCCCGACGAATTGGTGTTTGAGTGAAGACTGATTCGTCGTATTCAATTGTTCGACCCCGACGAATTGGTGTATTTTTGGTCTTCAATCTGTCGGGGTCGACCCCGACGAATGACTGTTATTTCATATTTCATTTGTCGGGGCGACCCCGACGAATTACCACAGACTACGGTAAAAGTGTACCTTCATATCGAAAATTCTCTTTCTCTCTGGAAGTAACTAATTCGAATTTCGCTCGCGATTAAATACGCACTATCTAGGTGGAGCCTCGCTCCAACACCAAAAGCACGTCGACTTGGCGTCATCAACAACGTCAGGACCAAAACACAATTAAATTGACTTTGCTGCCCAAATTAACTAGCTTTTCTCCATGAATCCTTTGCTTGAAAACCAAAGTTTCTAAACTCTTCTCGCTTCCAGCTTATTTCTAAAGCGCTACATTAATTCGACTCTTTTTACTTTCTAAGGTCGTTTTCCTGCCATAAGGGCAAAAAGATAGTTTTAGCTTAAAATCGTGATAAAATATCTTCATAATATAATATTTAGGCTTGTAAGAAACCAGTAACTGATACCAACAACAATTTCAAGTCAGCAAAGTTCAATTTATTTGCAGCTACTACGTGGTCCAGGAAAGCTGTCGTTGTATCTTGCGGGCTAGTTTGATGTCAAAATAATTGACTGATCCAAGCAAGCGATATGGAATCAAGCATACCGTAAATTTGTCGTACCATGACGATTGATAAAAATAAACCCTGATGAGCTTGATAATTGAAGTTAGATTGAAGCTTTTACGTTTGCTTGTAGCTTTGTTGGTAGGTTAAAAGCTAAAATAAGCAATTGATTTCTAGAATTGACAATATTGTTTCAAAAATCCTTCACCACAGCCTCAAGTTATCATGCCACAACAAAGAAAGCCGGACAATTCCGCTCGGGTATGGCATCATTATAAAGAAGGCTTCATTATAAAGAGGCTTCATTATAAAAAAAGCATCATTATAAACGGCTTTATAATGAAGCCTTCTTTATAATGAAGCCTTTTTTATAATGATGCTAGTTTATTTATAATGATGATATTAAAATATTGTGAGGGTAAAAACATCAAAACGAGAGGGTAAATAAGAAAAAAAAAATTCTTAGATCGCGGACAAAATTTTTTTTTGGGAAAATTTTTGCTGAAAAAAGCCCTTTTATTTTAATTAAAAATTGTCGATTCGACATAATAAACAGGAGAAATGAAGTCATTACTTTTTGATGCGAGATTCAACTCTAGCATCGGAAAATAGTCTTACAATCAGAGTTGCAAATTTTGCTAAATTTCTGCTGAGCTGAGCGGGCCTTTTTCAGAAGTCATTGTCAATGACTCATTGAGCAGAGCTGAGCTGAGCTGATCTTTTTCAATTTTCCTTTAAGGTAAATTAGTTGAGATCAGCTGGGCTATCCATTTTCTTTAGGTAATTGAGCTGAGCTAAGCTGAGCAGACGGTCCGCTGCAGACCGCTTTTTGCGGGGACGCTCGATTCGTATAACAAAAATTTTCTGGTATTCGAATAGCAATTTTTGATTTTCCAAATCAAAGGTTTTTGACCAGAATTTTTTTCCGTGAAATTATTACTGAATCACTCCCAAAGTTTCCTTCAAGGCAGGCACGAAGCGCATAGGCACTCTTTGGGTTCACCAAAATTTGACTTTTTGAGGAGATTTGGTACTTTTTTTTAATTTTGGCAAAGATTCGCCAGAACCGAAAATTTGGCGAAAGCGAGGCCTAAGCGACGGGGAATTTTCGCGAAAATCGGGGACAAAAAGCGAAAGCAAAGCGAACATCAGAAGTGTGATTTTCGGGGGGCGAAGGCGAAATTTTCGATTCGCTTTCGCTTTTGGCGAAAATCGCCAAGCGAATTTATATGCCTGCTCTTGGGGAAATGAAGCCTACCCCATGTAGAATGAAATGAAGAGCCGCAAAGATAATTCTTTTATTTTTACGATATTCATTTTATCTACACCGCTGGACTTTATCCGGGATAATCATAATTTCATAATTTCATAATAATCATATCATAATTTATCCCTGAGACATATTTTGAAAAAATCAAGTTTTTAAAAAAGAAAAATTTTTTTTGAGTATTTTGGTAACGCATTACCAAAAATTTTTGGTGATGAGTCTGACCGTTCCTGGTCATCACGTATACTTTGGGCATACAGGTGCCCTCGAAGTCCGAAAATCTAAGGGATTCAAGAAAAAGAAAGCGTTATATTACATTAATACACAGCTACAGTCATTATCTTTAAAAACCTCTGAGTTTTAGTCAAAAAATTTCAGTCAATAAATCAAAGGTCGAAGAAGAGTTTACTAAATAGACTCTATAATTTTTACCTTTTATGCTCACAATATTTTTTGCATCATTATAAATAAACTAGCATCATTATAAAAAAGGCTTCATTATAAAGAAGGCTTCATTATAAAGCCGTTTATAATGATGCTTTTTTTTATAATGACGCCTTCTTTATAATGAAGCCTTCTTTATAATGATGCCATACCTCCGCTCGCAACCCGAGTCGGGGTTATTAGCTGCCCCGTGATCTCTTTTGGAATTCTGGTCCGTCGCTATTTTTTAAATTAGAATAGAGAAGGAAAGAATGGATTTGTGAATGCGAATAAAATTGGGTTTACGTAAGACGAATTTTAACAGAAATAATAAAAAGTTGATTGCAGAAGTCGTTTTTTTAAGTTCTTGTCCTAAAGATAATTGTTTATAAAGTTGAATCAGTCAGCACCAGTCTCGTGATTGATTTTCTTTGTTTTTAGATCATGGCAGCTTTGAGATTCTCGGCAAGCTTGTCCAAGAATTCGAAAGTGTTGAGATAGTCGGCCCTGTTGACTTTGGACGCGTCGCCGTTCTTGGTGCAAATGGCGAGATCCTTGGTCATGAAGCCGCTCTCGATGGTCGTGACGCAGACCTTTTCAAGAGTAGCGCAATACTTGGCAAGGGCTTCGTTCTTGTCGAGTTTTGCGCGGTGTTCGAGCCCTCGAGTCCAGGCAAAAATCGAAGCTAGAATCATAGAAATATAAAAGAAAAGACCAATCTTACCGATTGGGTTGGTGGAGGTTTCTTTTCCAGCCTGGTGAGCTCTGTAATGTCGAGTAACAGTTCCATGAGCAGCTTCGGATTCGACAGTCTTTCCGTCGGGACAGACGAGCATGGAAGTCATCAAACCCAAGGAGCCATAACCTGAAAAGTTGACGGGAAACTGCTTGCAAGAGTGTTGTACCTTGTGCGACAGAGTCGGATTGCACATCACCGTCGTAGTTTTTGCAAGCCCAGACGAATTTACCGCTGGATTCGAGAGCATAAGCGACCATATCGTCGATAAGTCGGTGCTCGTACCAAATTCCTTTTTCCTCGAAAGTCGACTTGAACTCGGCGTCGTAGACTTCGGCGAAAATGTCCTGGGGGATGTTTATTAAACGAACAATAGAAAAACGACAAAACCTTGAATCTGCCATCATATGTCTTGAGGATCGTGTTCTTGGTTGAAAGATACAGGGGCCAGCCCCGACCAGACGCGAAAATCATGCAACTTCGCGCGAAATCCCGAATGGATTTGTCAGTGTTGTACATGCCCATGGCAACTCCACCATCTTCGTACTTGTAAATGGTCTAAAAGAGGGTATCGTTTTAGTTGGTCCCTGAAATGGTGAATTTACCTGTTGAATAGGGGCAGATCCATCGTCTGGCTGGAAGGTCATTGTAAGAGTTCCGGCCTTGGGAATAACGAGATCGGTGGCTTTGTACTGGTCGGCATGAGCGTGGCGACCGACGACGATGGAGTGATTCCAGTTAGTAACGAGTCGGGGGACGTTCGAGCAGAGAATAGGCTCACGGAAGACGGTGCCGCCGAGGATGTTTCGGATAGTGCCATTAGGAGATCCCCACATTTTCTGAATAGTTTTTTTGTTTGAATATCAATAATGAAATATTACCTTGAGACCGAACTCCTCGACTCTCGTTTCATCAGGAGTAATTGTGGCGCATTTGATTCCCACTCCGTATTTTTTGATGGCTTCAGCACAGTCGACAGTGATCTGGTCATCAGTTTCATCTCTTTTCTGGATGGAAAGATCGTAAAAGTGAAGATTCTCTCCGAAATCGATGTAGGGCATTATGAGCTTCTCCTTGATCAGGTCCCAAATGATTCTGGTCATTTCATCTCCCTGAATCTCGACAACGGGTCCGCACGTGATCTTGGACATTATCACAAGTTTTTCGATTTTCTGAAAATGGAAAAGTACGTTCTCAAACGCTTTCAACCATAAAAATTGTCGTTTTTATGAACTTAAATCGATTTTTTTACAAAAATTGTCGTCATCATCCTTCATATTAATCATTATTTTATTCACATTCATTTCATTGACGTTCAAAAAAGCGAAATTAATCAATATCAGTGCTTATTTTCCGACCAAAAAGGGCATTTTCAAATATATTCTAGTGAATAAATTAACAATGAAAAGGTCTGTAGAAAGGTATAAGACGAAAAAATTTGAGAGGGGATATTGTCTGATTGAGAATTTCCGTGATTCATGTATTGACCAACGATTTTTGAATTAACAATGCAAACTGTACGATTGCAGCTTGCAAGTTGAAGGCTATAATTTGCAATAGAATTCTAGAATTGAAAATATTGTTGAAAAATTCCTTGATGCAGATTCAGTTCTTTATGTATCCTAATACCGTACCACAACAGGGTCAGCAGCAGCAGCCTTATCCGACTGCAACCTATACTGGTGCGCCCGGCTATGGAGCTCCACAACCAGCTCCAACTTATGCTCAGCAACCAGCACCTGCTTCTGCTTTCGCTCCGCCACCCACGCCGTCTCCAGCGCCAAGTCCTCAACCGGTCATCTTGAACATTCAACAAAATGCTCCTCAAACTCTGGCCGCTCCCCAACCAATTCGACCGGCTCTTTCTCAGCAATCATTACGTAAGTTGAAAAGCTTCGGTTAAAAAATATCAATATATCAGGAAATCCTTCACCACAGCCTCCAGTAATCATGCCACAACAAAGAAAGCCGGACAATTCCGCTCGCAATTTCATCCTTGGGGTAATTTGCTGCCCTGTGATCTCTTTTGGAATTCTGATCATCGTCGCAATCATTTCAGTCGCTATTAATGGCCCGTAAGCTACTGAATTATTATTCCAATTCAAATATTTTTTCCAGTTCCTCTGGGTCATGCGGCGGCCCAAACGGTCCCCCATGTGACTACGGCGGACCAGACTATTATGGCTCAGGCTACGGCGGACCTGACTATTATGGCTCTGGCTACGGTGGACCTGACTATTATGGTTCTGGCTACGGTGGATACACCACAACACATTTTTCCAACCAAGGGTCGATCGATTACAATACTGTTGGAATTTGCGATGGAAATAACGAGTATTCAGTTACGAGTTCTGGAAGTTTTCAGTAAGTACTTTGACCACAAATAATTTTTCATCATTTCAAAGATCGTCAATCATTTACAGTCGGAGTCCAAAATAAGGGACACCAAGATAAGGGATTTTTTGGCTCAAAATGCCGAAAATCAGCGGCAGAAAAAAATCCAATTTAAGGAACTTTCTGAGATTAGTAAGCTTTTTCGGTTAGCTGAGAGCGAATAAATGATATCAATAACCTTGATTTGTATCATGAAATTCAGATCACCAAACTACCCAAATATGTACCCAAATGATGCGAGTTGCACCAACAAATTTACCACTTCTTTCGACGGAATCACCTTCGAAGTAAATGGGTTCTATCTCGAAAGTTGCTGTGACTCCCTGACATTCAGCGACAATTCTGGAGATTATCCTTTTACCGGACAAATATTCAATGTAACGAGAGCTAGAAATTAGTCGAAATCATTAATTTATTTTTAGGGAACTCGATTTTCCTTTTCTTCGTCAAATGTGATTGTTTCATTTACAACCGACTACAGTGTTCAACGTTATGGCTTTCATATCGATGTCATCGACGGCTACGATCCATCAAACGACATAAGCTATGTTCACGGCAATTTAAAATTCGACGGCGAATCCCCACAAAAAGAAATAATCAAAAAAAATTAACTAGAACACTAATCTTGTCTATTTGTTGCTGTTAACCAATAAATTTTTTTATAAAATTGTCGAAAAAAAAACATTTGCAAAATGAAGAAAATTCTATGCAAATGTCATTGAGAGACAAGTTTTTCTATTTGTTCCAAGTTCTGCCGCCCATTTGACTCTGGCTCAAGTTTTTTTCGGGAGATCATGTGTCTTCTAATTTTCTTGCCGATCGCGTCAAGTGCCGTTTTTCTAGAGAAATCATATGAAGACACCATTCCCGAAAGAATAAAGTCCGATCCAAAGCTCTTCGTGAATCTGACCACAAATGAGAAAATCGAATCAATGGAAGAACGTTGCCCGTAAGAATCTTTTCATGAATAAAACGCGAAAGTCTTTCAAGGGATGAGGATTTGTACAATGAATGTTCCGCCATCTGCCGGTTCGAGTACTTGCAGTGTTTGGGAGAATGCGATTCTGCTCTTTGCGAGAGCGAGTGTATCAATGACTATTCAAGTAAACTCATGCCTTTCGTCACCTGATTTCTAGCGTGTACTTCTTTTTGCCCATGCGGGTCAAATTGCCCGTCTGGTTGCGAAAATTGCGAGAATCCCATTTGCGTTGACGAATGTGATGATGTTCAAAGTAACGAAGAGTACACCGTATGCCTTGAAGCTGCGCTGGAAGCCCAGGTTTTTCTATCTTTTCTTCTTTCAAAGATGAATTTCGAAGGCGATTTGCACTCGAGAATGCACACCGGATGTGCCTTGCTTCGAAAAATGCAGCGAAATATACATTGAAAACTTGAGGGACTGCCCATGTGTCGTGGACTTCACAACAACAACTGAAGAACCAACTACTACCCATCCTCCGGTTCGTTCGTCAAAGGACAAGCCGTTATCTTTTTCTAGAGCAATGGAAACCTTCTTGTTCTGCTAAACAACTTGCGCGAGTCTTACATCGTTTCTGGAGATGGGCTTGAGTCATCGATTCCAACGATAAATGCTCCTGATGATGACTTCACTGACCGCGCCCTTTTCGCGGTTGTTCAGAATGAACTCTATCTTTTTGGTGGAGCATATGATAATCAGATGGTCAGCAACATTTTGTTGATTAATTGATTCACAGTTTTAGATCGGTAAACTTGATGGCTGTAATTTTGTCGAGCTCTCGATTCGGCTGAATTTTCGATACTACCACGATTCCGCCGCGGTTGCATTTGATGATGGAGCTATAGGTTCGAAATAAGTTTGGAAAAGAAAATATATTTTTCAAGCTCTGATTTGTTTTCCGGGTTACAGTCCGATCGAGAGTTGTGAGATATTTGACTTGACAAGCGCGACTCCGACCCACTCAACTCAGTATACACATACTTATGGAAAACTCGGAATTTATCAAGGAAATCCAATCACTGTAGGCAGTTACTATTCTTCTGGAACGAAAAAGGTTGAAGTTTACAATCCAACAGGCTGGTTTTCGATGCCAGATCATACTAGGTAATTTTGCCATTTTTATCTATATTACCGATCTATAGAAATATCTATGCCCATACATTGACAGGTTTGGACGATGGTTCTTTGATTCTTGCTGGAGGATATGATATGACTCAGGACTCATTTTCTAAGAATATTTGGATGCTCAAAAATGGCTCGTGGGATATTATCGGGCTAATGAAAATGGTAAGCATTAAACAGATTATAATCTATAAAAAAATATAAAGAACTATTATCTTGCTTCTGCGATTCGAATTGAGTCTGAAATTTTTATTGCGTCTGGAAGGAAGGGTACGAACTTTCAGCGAAATTCTTGATAATAAATTTTCATCGCTAAAAACCTGACATTATCAGCGTTCCCCTCTGAAGACCTGCTGAAAATGTCGGCAATTATCCAGTGGAAAGAATTATTTTTGAAGATAATCAATTTATTGAGACGAATATCATTGCTTCTCATGATTCCTCGAACTATATCCCTGTTCTTTTTGCTGTTGAAATTGACTTTTGCATCGATGAGAGTTCATGATTCAAGATGCACAAATAAAAATAATAAATCAAGAAATATTTTTATCATTTTATGTTTTTATTATTTTACTCGATAATACAGAAAAAAATAAAAAGGACATTTTTTTCTGCCACAGGGTAATGTCGACGATAGCCTACAGATTGCTATTGAATCATTTTTGAAGTCAAAGTACTTCTTCGAATTTGCTCAAAATCTCAAAAACAGAGCACCATAAAAATAAAACATTTTTCCATTTCTGCGCCGCGTAAGTTTGCACATGCCCGTTGCAGAGCAAACACTTTGCTTGCTGAAAATGCGCGTTCCGCGAGTAATATTTTCGGAAGCACGGGCAGCAAGAAAGAGAGACAGAGAGAGAGTTTAAACTTTAACCAGTATTTTTTCGTGTTAAATCTTTAACCCCTGAGAAACAAAAAAAACAATGAACTGGAATGGGACGAGCGATCCTCTGAGAAGGAGGCAGCCAGTTCCGATTGAAGATGTTAATCATAATTTGGTGGATGTTCTTGAAAGAATTCGGAAATTTGGACTTGAGGAAAAGGTCTTTGATATCGTTCAATAGCAAGAATAAGGGTAAGGGCCTAACCGTTAGGGTTAAGGTTCATTAGGGTTATGGTTAAGGTTCGGGTTAGGGTTAGGGTTCATAAATTGGAATGCAAAAGAAAATTAACCCCCTTTTGAGAGATTGGCGAAAAAAGGCGAGGATCGCTTTTTCCACCTGTATACCCTTAAGAAATTTGTTGATATTTAAGTGACTGAAAATTTGAGTTTTTATTGTTAATTTATGAATTACAAATTTGAATGAGATTTTAACAAATTACTTATTGCCAATAAGGTATTGGTAATGTTAAGGGCGGATAATAAGGAGATCCCCCTCAGTTTTTGGTAAGAATTGGACAAAATTTTTTTTCTTTTTTTTTTCTCTCATGATCAAAAACCTCTCAAAAGATCCAGGTCTTTAAAGCCTTGCAAGAGCAATTGCAAAATGGAGCAAAATGCGAGCGCGGGACGCAGACCGAGGTGAGTTGAAAATTTCCCAGGAGTTAATCATTATGTCAGGCTTTGATATTAATTTTCTCTCAAGGGCCAGAAGAGCAGAGAGAATTCTTCCACAATTCAATATGAAATGGTCGAGAATGAAAAGCTCCCTGCCGAGTATCGAGCTGATGAGATGAATTATGTCAACTCGGAAATTCTTTCCGAAGTTAGGATTATGGGTGCGGCGGAGTATGAAGATTCGCCAGATTCGTTTATTCAGATTTCGCAGTCTTCAGGAATCGGATTTTTAATATGATAAAAGTGAATTTCAGTCACTTTCCCACCAATCATCAATTGTATGATCCTCATCAAAGACATGCCCGCAGGCGAGTTCATGGACTCCGAAACAGTTGTTGCCCACCCTAGCCATCACGTGGAAGAATCTTGGATAACTCTGCAGCACACAAACGTCGCATCTTCGGGCTTCAATTACCGACAATTCCAAGGCGTCTCAGAGGTTGACTCAGAGGCAGAGGCAATCAAGGAAGACTTGACGATCAGGGATTTGCAAGAGGAAAATGTGGATAGTTTCGAAGTCAACAATATGCTAAAGTAGGGACTATTCGAGCTCGATTTTTTAATTGAAATTCTAGAGAAGACTCCTGGATCTCCGCAAAAATGATCAAAGAATACATGGTTACGCACAATATTCCGCAACGAGAAGTCGTGGACGCAACCGGACTCAATCAAAGTCACCTATCGCAGCATTTGAACAAGGGGACCCCGATGAAGCTTCAGAAAAGAAGCTTGCTTTATCACTGGTATGTGAAAAAGAAGAGGGCGGTTGAGATCAATTTTCAAAACTCTGCCATGGGGAAAAGAAGCGTGAGCTACGAAGGGGAAATTGTCCAAGGTTGAAAATCAAGGAAGAAAATTTTCGGTACGAATTATATTCTAGAGCCTGATTTTGTCCGAACAACGCCTCGAGCGGGGGAGAAAGCAAGGCGAAATCGATTCAGATGGGGTCCGGCGAGTCAACGAGTTCTCCAAGATGCTTTCAAGCGGCAGAAAAATCCGTCGAAAGAGGAAAGAGAGCTTTTGGTCTCAGAGTGTAATCGCGTAGAATGCTTGAAAAGAGGCGTGAGTCCGGAAAATGCAGCCGGTCTTGGGACGAATTTAGTGACGGAAGTAAGGGTCTATAACTGGTTTGCAAATAGGCGGAAAGAAGAAGCTTTCAAATCGAAAATCGTGAGTTTGAAGACATTTTTTTTCTTTTAAAAATCTCTTCAGAGCAAGGCTAAACCAAGAAATTTTATCCAACAAGAAGAAAAACCGAGAATTTTTGATTCATTCGACTATCAAGAAACAACAGAAATTCTCGAACCGAAGAGAAAACGTCCTCAAATGGTAACAATAGCTTTCTTTTCATTTTCTTAGGAGCAAATTCTAGTTCAAAAAGCAAGAAAGCGTCCTGCCAAGTCTCAAACTAAGACAAGCTGAAACATCTGTCCGACAAATTGAGCCTTCCTCAGCGACTGAATCATTTTTCATGCAACAAAATAATGATTATGGATACATAAGCATTGATAACGCGAATATTCTACAGGTAGAATCTCAATGACTTTTCTATTGCTTACCTGAATTTGAAGCAATCGGCGATAGAATGCGGAATATCACCGAAAGCAGAGCCACAAGAAAAACTTAATTAAATTAAAACTGCCAAATAAAAAAATTCCAAAAGTAAACGCTAAGCTCAAAATTGGGTCAAGCTGTCTACACAATAATGGGAACATCATTCATGACAAAATCCCATCATTTTCCGCTCGTTAGCTCGCAAGTCATAAATCGACCTTGACCAGGCCGCTTTGTCCGCCGTCAATTCGGTCTCATCGTCGTAAAACCTTATCCCTATAAATACGCGTCTGTTGCGATCGCAGAGTTCATAACTCAAAGAGTGAGAGAAAAGATGAAGCTTCTCGCGGGTTTCCTTGGCCTTTCGGCAGGAAGCATTGTGATGCCGTCGGAATTCGAATTCCCGGAAGGAAGGGTTCATACTCAGTAATAAATTTATTGAAGACCTTATAGATATTTTTAATAAAAATTTTTTTTACGATAATTCAAATTCGATCTCCTTATTCTTGTCCGTGAATGCCTTGTTATTTTCCTCAAAATAATCAAATATTCTAAATCTCTTGATAAACAAAATTTTTCGCTCATGATTTTAAGACCTCATTCGATCATTAAATTGATTTCGAAAATATTGCCAACCTAAATAACCTCTCACGCTCATAAAAGACGTTTATTTCTTCTCATCAAGATCAAAAGGATCAGGGTCATATTTAACCACACAACTTTTAAAAAGCTATAATTCAAAGCTTCAATTAAATAAGCTTACTCAACTTTTGAACTTTCTAGATTTGAGTTGCTTGAACCTTCAAAGACGGAAAATACGACAAGAAAAACACCTTCTGTTTCAAGCATTCCGGCGAGTTTTCTGGTATCAATCATGTCAAAAGCTTCCCTGAAGTTTCAAATGACATCAAACTTGCTGAGAAATGGCTTTCTGCAAGAGGAGCAGGAAACCCAAGATCGTCCATGAGCGTCATGTTCAACAAGGATTTCCGACCTGAGTAAGTTTCAATCAAGAATTTCAGCCCAAAACATATTTCAGGGAGTCTCTCCTTCTTCATGCCTGCGAAGAAGGCCCAGATGTTCGTGGTCTCTTCTACGATGACGAGCTCGTCGGCGCAAGATTCGGCCTCAATGACTGCAACGAATTCTACGTCTTGACTCCCTTCAAAGGCGTCCTCCCGTACAAGATAACCGACGAGCTCAATTTCAATGGCAAAGACGCGAAGAAATTCAAAAAGCAGCGGAAAAACTTTGAGCGAATCGTCGGCCGAGACGTTGAAATCAACAAGCAAGACGGCCACTCTGACGAATGCCATAAAGTGCAAAAATGGGTCAAGGGAAAAGTTGTTGATCTCGAAGAAAGGGACTACCCTTTCCCGCAGAATGAAGTCTCTCTTTGGGATTCGGACATCCAATCGACTTTGGACAACATCGCGATGATGAACCAGCTCGATGTTCCGATGAGAGTCGGTAAAGAAATGTACGAGCAGGTCTTCGCCCTCCAGGCCATGCACAAAGGACTGTGGGATTTCAGCATGCAGATGGCTGCCTATGAAATGGGAGTCAAAGTGCCTTGCTTTGACCTTCAAAACTGCCTTTCCGATCCGGAGCGAGACTGTCTCGATTTGATCGGACAGTGCGGCGAGCAGAAGAAATTCGAGGGATTGATCAAGAAATTCATGGAGGAAGAAATGGGCTACTTCGGATTCGGAAATGTCAACCATGGAGACATTGCAATTCTCTTCGATCAGATTGACGAAAAAGACGACATGGAATACTTTCGAGTTTTTGTGAAGAAATTCGTCAAGCTTTTTGAGAAAAAGAATCCAGAATGGGACTTGAGCTGGGACGATAAGAAGGAGCTTGAACGACTTGCGGGAATGTTGTTGATGCAAGTTGATGAATTCATGAAAGGCGATAAAAAGCCAGACATTGGTGGAGAAATGAGCATTGAGGCGGTTGTTACAGAATTGTTCACAGGACCGGTTTTCAGATTCTTGATTTTAACAAGGTTAAGGGGGTCGACGAGAATCGGGATTTCCGTGACCAAAAATGCGGAAAAACCTGAGTAGATAGGCAAAATCTGATTTTACTGGTCGATAGAAAAGGGTTGAAAAAATCAGGCGGCGAAATCTAGAAAAAATTTTGACCAGAAAAAATCGGTCAAAAATCCCGTCAAAGTAGGGCCATTTCCGCGAAAATGCACTAAAAATGGTCAATTTTTTTACAATTTTGTTCATTTCACCCCCTAAATCCAATTTTTATCAAATGATTTTAGGCTCAACAGATTCAGGGGGATCTGTAGATTCCAAAAATATAAGATTCGTATCCAGACTATGAGTATAAGCGAAATTACGATCTCGCCGGAAAAAATTCTCGTCGACCCCCCTTAAGCCTTCTAGAATAAAATTGAAAATGCCGTAAAAGACCCCACTGGATTCTTGGAAGACCTGGCTGAGATGGATATGGAGCAGATGATGGCAATGGTTCGCAGCCTCTTGGGTCCGATGATGGATGAAGAGATGATTATGGTTGTCGAAGAGGTTATGCAATCGATGGACTGGGAAATGGTCTCTGGTGCTTTGAATGGATTATCTGCTCTTCTTGAGTAATTACTTTCCAATTAGCCTTTCAATAACCTTTTTTAGGGGAAAAATCAGCATTGAGGATGTTCTCGATGATCTGTGGATGATGAACGATCTCTCAGGCTTCGTTCCCATGACAGAGGAGATTCTCAACATGGTCGGCCTCCCTGAACAAATGCGACCTCTTATTGATGGTTTCTTGGAAGTATCCAAGATGATTCTCAGCGATATTGAGGGCTTCCTTGAGGCTGTCAATGAGGAGCCAGATATGGTTGCAATGAAGATGAAGGAAGCATTTGGAATCTGGTTCAGTATGCTAGAAATCAGCGACGAGGACGCTACAGCTCTTATCTTGGAATCCCCACTGTTCAGGTAAAATCGAAGAAAGACGATTCTTTTTATGAGAATTTTAGCTTCGACACTGATCTGTTCAACGCAATCATGGTCTCAAACAACACTGACGATTACTACGGAGCGATCGCCATGGTCACTGGTTTGATCGTTTTTTTTCTTAAGATTTTTTTTTCATCTTCTGTGTAGAAAATCTCTTCGAAACCATTGGCTACATTTCGGAAAAACTCGCCGATGTCGATGCTGGCATGCCAATCGATGCTGAAATGCTTGGCGCCATCAAAGGTCACGTTGACAATGTTTCTTTTGGAATTCTCTATATGTTCCTGAACTTTGAAGATGAGATGACGATTACCTTTGGCATTGTTGAGGTATTTTCGAGCGGAGAAATTTATGAGCGGAGAAATTTATGAGCGAGAAATTTATGAAATTACGAGCGGATATTTAGGTCATCGTTCAAGAAGTCAACAATATTCTCGAAACGTATTTCATGTTCAAACCAACTGATGTTGCCTCAATGCTCCTTTACTTCCGAGACGAGATCCAACAGGGATACGACATGGTGCGAGGATTCATCCTCCCACGAGTTGCTGATGCTATTGATGTTGCTATGTCAGGACGCGACACAATTGCCGGACTCCTTCAGTAAGTTCTTCCTCACAAATCATATCTAACAGATCCTAGTGTCGGCGTTGATCAAGTCAACCACCTTGGCAACATGACTGGATTTTTCATCGACTTTGATGAAATTGACATGATGTTCACAGACGCCCCTGCGATTGCCTCATGGATGGATGCGGTCCGCTACGGCCTAATGGGCGATCCGCAAACTGATGAGTACTTTTCTTATCTTCTCGAGGACGGCTCCTCTTCTTCTTCTTCATCTTCCAGTTCTGTTGTCTGAACGACTTATATTATTTCCCAAGAATCGCATCTGACAAAATAAAATCAGCTCCTCCTTCGCAAATCTAGAATCTTCTACATAAAAGTTACAAGTTAGTAAGCCTCAGCATTTTAATAAAAGAAAAGAAATGATGTGACCTTGAAAAAAATCAAGATCTAAGGATGTCCTACCGTAAATTTGCTCGAGTAACCATGATCGATTGACATTACTCTCCTCATGACTTTAACTTACAGTTTGTCAGTAAAACAATTCACAAAGGACAAGCGAACCTCACTTCCGTTTTCCATCTTTGTTTCCTTGTTCCGATTCCGGATTCTGAAAAACGGCTTTGTCCCGCCAAAGTATTTAATGATCGCTAAGATCGAATTAATCTCAAATAGAGTAAGAAAACTTTATTGAAAAATGAAACTTTTGGGATCTCTTCTCGTCGCCGGTGCCCTTGGTGCAAGCGTCAAGAGATCTGCTAGCCCCAAGTCTGGACGACGATCTGGATCTCCCCGATCTGCTTCCCCACGATCTGCTGATTCGCCGAAGATGGACTCCCCTCTTGCCTCACCTGATATGTCCCCTGAAATGTCCCCAGAATGGGAGTTGGGTATTCCCGAGGAATTCATGGGCGATAAGGAGAAGATGAAGAAAATGGTGAAGAAATTCATGAGTAAGTGTTTATCAAGAAAAACCGAAGTAGATCGATTCTTCAGTGATCAAGAACCTCATGAAAGAAGCCAAGCTTGGCCAGAACGGTGTCTTCGCTCCAGTCAAGAATGACATTGAAACTGATGTTGATCTCGAACAGGTTACTACCATCGATTCACTCATTTCGACATCTTTTCTTAGAACTTCATCACCAACATCAACATCGACTTTGACGACGACAAGCCCCGCCGACGACCTGAATCTCCCCACCACAAAGGTCCCAAGTCCCCCGAAGACCAACATGAGTCCCGATCCCCAGTCAAAGATGACGAACACGAATCCCGATCTCCTGATCATGAAGTCAGCAAGATGGATCTTGAGCATTTCTTCGAGCTTCTTGAAGAATACGACGGTGATTTTCCAGCATTGTTGGTGAACATCCAAAACTTTGTCAACCAGAACAACGTGATCGATACCGACGTCAACATGGAAATTCTCAATGGTGATCATGATTTTGAGCGACCAGGTTTTAAAAAATCGCAAATGAGAACTATTCTTTCTTTCTAGAAAAGCCCGAAGAACAGCCAGAAGCTGGATGGGAAGTTTGGGATGGCACCACTGGTGATGAAGCCCGAGCTGCCTTTGATGGCGAACGAGCTTTCATCAAGTTCGTCAATTTCATGGAAGAACATGGCGAAAAGCTCCCGCAAATTCTCGTCAATGTCCAGGTTTGCCGAAAAGATAAGTTTCCTTTTTCATCTTTTATCTAGAACTTCATCAATCAAAACAACGTCATGGACACCGATGTGAACATGGAAATTCTCAACAGCGACCGAGACGGAGAAAAACAGGAGCCCGAACCTGAAGCCGAATTCGGTTGGCCAGTCTGGGACGGTGACAAAACCGACTTCGAAGGCCACTCCTGGCGCGATATGGAATTCGAGCTCGAGGACGTCCTTATGTTCCTCAAGGAGAAACTCGACCTTGAAGAAGGCGACTTCAAACGACTCATGAAGAACGAGAAGGCCAAGAAGATGTTCAAGGAGATCTGCGAGGAGGTCAAGAAAATGATGAAGAAGTAAAAGGCTTCTCCTAAAATCGTCTTTATTTCCTATTTGACAGTTTTAAAAATCATGAATAAACACGGTTCATTTCGTTGATATTTGCCTTGCGATTGCAAACAGGGCATCGATTTGTGTTTTCCAGAGTGGTGCGAATGCAGTTTTCCCCAAAAGTGTGTCCACATTTCAGTGCAGTTTGAAAATGTTCGTTCGTATCGTACATCTCCTGGCAGATTTTGCAGGTTTGAGACAAACCTGAGTTAAGGCTATAACCTCTCTTTTGGCCGCTCTGGAAAACGGACTTCCCTTGATCCATTTCAAAAATTTAAAAAGCGAACATATTTGTTTTCCCCTAAAGAATTCAAAAATGCCATCAAAAAATACTTTTCTTTGGTAATTTTTTGCTCTAGAATCATTTAAAAATCGCCATTCGGTTTTCCGAGAAAACTGGAAGTTCTGAGGTAGAATTAACCCGATAATAATATTGAATAGAGCATATTCTATGATTCCTACCGAAAAAATTTCAAAGAATTGTCCAAATTATGATTATAGTTCTCTCTTCTTTTAAAACTCTTTTGTTTATAGACTGACGCTTGAGATCCGCGCAGCCAATCACAGCGCGATGAATCGCTTGACTCACACGCTCGCCAACAGCGCTCTCTTTCTGGCCTGGAGGATAGCACTCCGCTCAGCGCGTCCACGCGCATTTTTAACCTCAAGTGCCAGCACTAACATGGCCCTAGAATGAAAATTTGAGGAGATATCGAAGATTTTCTCCGTGAGGATTGTAGAGAAGGCTTTAATGTATTAATTGATCGAAAAAAATCTACCTCTGTAATGGTAAAATTCTTCGGAAAACCGAATGGCGTTTTTTGAATGATCGTAAACTCAAAATTTCGAAAGAAAAAATAATTTTTGATCGCATTTCTGAAATCTGCGATAGATTTTGAGTATATGAGCCTTTTTAATTTTTGAAATCGACCAAGGGAAGTCGGTTTTCCGAAGAGGCCAAAAGAGAGGTTATAGCCTTAAATTTCTTATACGAACGGTTGTGAATGATAAAATACCTCGTCGTTCCATCCACTCAACAGTGAATTTTTCAAACATTTCATTCATATCACAATTTTCATTTTGCTTTTCCTTCAAAGCTCGATTTTCTTCTTCCAGCTCAGATGTTCTTGTTTTTAGCTTGGAATTTTCATCAGCGAGTCTTTTGATTTCATTTTTCATTTGGTTATTCTCATTTTCGAGAGATTGTTTTTCATTGCTTAGTCGTTCTAATGATTGTCTTTGACTTCGTGAATCTGATTCAGTTTTTCTGATTTCTTCCGCAAATTTTACCATACGGTCAGCTAAAGATTGGTCAGATCGGCAATTATCCAAATCGCTTTCAGGTGACATCCAAGTTTTAGTTATTCGATCGCCCTGTTTTCTATTATTGACTGTTGTTTTTTTAGTTGTTTTTCCATCTGATGATGATAATGATGATGATGATGATTCATCTAACAATTTCTTCGTGGTTGATTTGTCTTTTGACTCATGTTTATGCGTAGCAACATCGTCATACGGTAGGAATTGTCTGCACTTTGGGTTCAATGGGCAAGAGAAAACGAGCCTTTTCCAATCAATCTCGATTCTTGTCAGTGCGTTAGATCTTCTTTGTATGACGGCGAGACAGTTTTCCATAGGACATCGAGATTTATTATCTTCTTGAAAACAATTATCGCATAATCGTCGTTTACATTCCTCTTGCGGTCGGATAGATTGAGTCCATTTCGGAATGTAATGCAAAAACAAAAACTTCGAGATCAGCCTACAAAAAGCGTTAACGAATTTCCAACGAATTAATTTTGATAAACATCAGTCTTACCCGCAAACAGAACACGTATTTTTCCAAGTACTATCTCTTGGATCAACCAAAAGCTCTTTTTGGATTCCTCTTTCATATCTTAAACCATCCATTTCAAAATTGAATTCATACACGTGAGGTGTCTCTTTGCACGATACTGTGCAAATATTTATATTTGACCAGAAAGTAACAGGAATTTTTTTCATTTTCAAATTTGCTAATAAAGCATGAACTATAATTTAGTCATATTTTCAATTATTGATATTTTGAAAATAAATCAATATTTTATCTTATTAAGATTGAGCGCATTTTTCAGATTTTATGTCCTTATTTTTACGATGAAACCATACTCTCCAAAAACATATAATAATTTCCCGTAATTAAGGCAAAAGCTTTGTCGAAAAAACGGAAAACTTCAAGGATCGGAATTTACGAGAGAAATCCATCATCATAAAAACCCTGAAGAAAGCACGATGGTCGCGACAGAAGGAAAATATTGGTCACTAACGCAGCTAGAAAAACGAGAATCGGCGCCTATTTTTGAAGAAGAAAAGATGCCTCGAATGATGATGGGAAACGGAAAGGGTTCATTCTGACAATCGGAAAATTTTCTTTTGACGAATTTTGTCGTTGAACCCATTTTTAGCCCTGGTCATAAAAACCGCAAGGGCAAATCGTCAAGCGGTAAAACCCATGTCTGCTTTCAGAAGAACTCCTGCTGAGGAAGACACTGACCCAGGTCCATTCTGTCTTTCTTCAGTCCTTCAAGCCTTTTTAGATCCTTGGGTTGATGAGCTGATCAATGAGATCGGGAACCAACAGAAAGAAGAGGAAGAAATGCGAGAAAAGGAAAGAAAAAGAGTCAAACAAGATGAACGACGAAGCCGAAGACAAGTGTCCTACGAACCAGATGTCCCCATATCTGGTGAACAACCGGAAATTTCAGTCTTCCACCCAGTTAGTCGAAAAGATAATCCATCGATGAATTCCTCTTCTGGTAAACGCATCCTTTTTTATTTGATCTATTATTATTCCCAGGCTTTCAAAATAAGAGAGTTGTGAAGACAACAACGATTTTTGGAATCGACTGCATGAAGGACCGGGTCAAAGATTTTGTTGATCAGGATTTGTTGATCGATTCTTTTCTTCGAATTCATTTGAACCCCCAAAAAGACTACGCACATCGAAGAATATGCATATTGAGAAGATTCAAATTTATGAAAAATAAAATTTTATTCAGATCGTATAAAACAATAAACAATACAGTACAAATACTCAATAATATTGCAGCAGCATCAGGTTTCTCAGCAGATCGGGCCTTGCAAATCGTCAGATTGTATTTTTTACGAGTTACTCACTTGGCTTCGGCGTTTTATTCTGGACTAGTGTGATGATATTCGAGTATTGAATGTAGCCAGTTACGTTTCTGTCTAGCACCGTTGCTAGTTTATAAATATCATCAGAGTCTAAAATAATCATAAAGATAGCGCTTGGTAAAGTGACTATTACCAAAAGAAATTCCAAAGCGTCTGACGATTGTTTTCATATCGCTGATCGGAACTTTGCCGCTATTTTTCAAGTCACACTTGCGGAATTCTCTTCTTACTGTCGCGTGAGCGATTTTCTAAAGTGATTTTTTTAGGTTATCATCTGGCGATCTGATATCTAACGGCGATTTGAACGGTTGATTTCGGTCAAGAATCTGGCCTTATCGATAAAAATTAACCAAATTTATAATTTTCGGCATAAAAGCGAGCTCTTGACCCGAATCTGTCCTATTCCCAAAATGAAATAGCAAAAAACAGAAGATCGATATAACACGACTCGACCAAGAAAGAACAGCTGATTATTTCTTATCGAGTGTACCTTGTCAACAATGAGTTCAATAAATTTCTTCAGAATGTCACTTTCTTCTCCGAAAGCAGTTACTCTCTAAAAACCATTTTTTCTCTAGCCATAAAAAATCCTCACTCACACTTTTCAAAACATGAATATCATCTCCTCTAATGATCCTTCTTCTATCCGCAAACGGCTTCAAAAACTCGATATAATTAACTCTATCGTCATGATTTGTGTCGTACGCTTTGCAAATTTCTTCGGCATCGACATCTTCCAGTTCATCGCATGTTTCTTTCAGAATATCGCTGAATTCTTCTGCAGTTATGAAACCCGTATGATAAGGATCCATTGACAAGAACTTTTCTTGAAACTCGTCAAATTTCATTTCCACGGCTAAAAATTTCAAGTATTTTTTGCATCGAAAGCTAGTTCTACACTACCTGTTCGAATTTCTGTTTTGAGATAATAAACAACTCCGTTCAATTTATTCGATCTTCTGTTCAAATCATCATCTCCCTTTCTCGGCGGTGCTCTTTTTGCATTTGGGAAAGCAGCGGTCCTAAATTTATTTTCCCATTTTTTCGATGAAATCACCTTACTCTTGAGAATACATGTAATGCCTCAAAAACTCATCCCAATCAAGCGTGTTCTTCGCATTCAGCCGAAACTGCGGCCAGAGCTTTCTACATTCGTCTCTCGAAATAGGCGGGGAGAGGTCGAGTTTTTGGAGCAGTTGGTAAAGCGTTTCGACAGTTAGCCATCCATGGTTGAGCTGGTCGACTTCGCGAAAATATTCTTCGACTTTGGAGACGCTTTCTTGCAGGGCGACTTCGATTAAGTTGTTCAAATCTGATAAATAAGAATATTTTTGAAGAAAAACACAAACCTTCAGTCTTTCTTTTCTTGACAGGGCGAGCTCTAGAAGCAGACGTATATTCTGTCGGTGCAAAAAGAGACCTTAGAAAGTTTTTTTAAATGATTCATGATAAACAAAACCTGTTATCTCTTCCAGCATCAAATTGAGAAAGAAATTCTGGGTATCTTATGTTCCCCTTTTTATCCAACGGGACATTTTTCAAAAGCCTGTTGAACTCATCTGAGTCCATTTCAAGGCCGAATCGGGATTCAAGGAGGGCTTGGAACTCAGATTTGGCGATGATATTCTTGTTCTCGCGATCCAATTTGCTTGATTTAAAATTAATAATTTTAAATTATCTTTGATATCAAGAAGATGGTTTTACTGGAAAGCAGCGACGAGAGAGAGGTAGTCGGATTGAAGCATCGACAGTATTTTCGACTCGATTCGGGTGACAGTCGATCCTGGAGTTCCTGGCCGCTCAAGAATCTTCTTCTCCTTTCTCTTGAGGACTTCGTAGGTCATTCCCTGATCCGACCGATCCTGAAATCGCGTCAAAAACATCTTGTAATTTACATCTCCCGGCTCCAAAATCCCGACTCTCGAGAGCAGCGTATTCAGAGCATGATCATCTTTCAAATGAAGCCCATATTTTCCCAGAACTCGTCTGAAATTTTTCCTTCCGATTCTCCCCGTGTCCGAGCGATCATGAAGCTTGAAGGCATCCCGGAGGTCTTTGAAGCCTTCGCGGAACTTGTATTTTAGCCATTGCTCGATATTGCCCTTGATCATTTTTCTTTCAGAAACTGCTGTTTTTGGCGCAGCGAGGGAATCTTCCGCTTCTGCTGATTTTCGTTCAATAACGGTGATATCGTTGAACTTATTTGGCTTCCTCTTCGCTCTCGATTCTTCTGAAGAAAATGGTCGTACTGGCCCCGCGATTCGCTTTGTGATGTCTTCTACTTTGACCGCGTTGAATCCGTTCAAATCGATTCGTTTCCATAATTTGGAGTATTCTTTCTTTGAGTCGAAATGGAGATCGAATCGGCGGATCAAGAATTCTCTAGAATAAATAATATGATAGATGATCTGATGAGTCATCATCAATGATGAGTTATCATCAATGATGAGTCATCATCAGTGATGAGTCATTAGTGATGACTTCGGTTTCCACCTTGGGTGAGAGTAAGCTTGCCCCGGGGGCTTTTCAATCCATTTCCTATTATCTCACCTGAACTCATCTTTCACCACCCATCCAGCGACAAAATCAACGGGCAGAAGATCCTTCAATGTTCCCCAATTTGACTTCAATTTCGACCAAGCATGAGAAGCTTACAATAGTCTTCATAAGTCATATTCAAAATTTAATGCCAAAATGAAGCAAAAACATTTAAAGACTGGATTTCCTGTAACAACGTCGCCAGGGACATTCTTGGTCGGCGCCTTGTCAAGCCAAAGTGGAAGCCCAGTGGATTTGCTTTCCGATTTGAAGTGGGAATAAACATCCGAGAATCGCAGTTGCGTCAGGTGCGCGCAGTGAAGTCTCTTTTTCGAATTCAGAAAAATCAGCAGAAAATTGCTGAGAATAAAAATCTCTTCTGTAAATATTTGAAATTCGGTTCCTGAAGCAGTAGTTCGATATGACGGGAAGATATGTCGCGATTTAGAAATTTTGATAAGACAATGCGGAAGACATCGCGGTTTATCAGTCCTTTTCCGTCAAGATCGTTGTTTGCCCATGCAGTTTTTAACTGAAAGTAACCTGTTAACCCGTATTTCCCCATTTTCAACCTGATGATGGCCCGCGCCGGCCAATTTCTGCTTCAAAATCGCTTCAATTTCATCAACAGCTAGTCTCGCCACTGTTTCAGGCTTTGAAACTCGACTGCCAGTTGCATTGGTGAATCGAGAAGAAGCAGCTGTTCTCGAAGTTGCTTTGGAAAAGTTCGAAGCGGGAGCTCGGAGGACGGAATCGGCTTGATCGAGAGCGATGGATTGGGAGAGCGCGGAAGACCGGCCAGCGATGGAGATTGTTTCAGGCGCAGCGAGACGGGCAGAAGGATGTTGGATGACGGGGAGTCGGACGGATCCGGCGGCGCTAGAAATTCCGGATCTTTGGGATCCGATCCGATGTGGGGCGGAAACCAGGCTCATCCTTCTTTTTTTTAGTTTCTTCTTCCCTTCTTTTTTGAGTTTTTTCCTCTTTCTCTTAAAAAATCTCCTGTAAAAATCAGGAATAAGACATCGAAGCGAGAATGGGAAAACTGAAAGCAATAAGTTTTTCTCGATTCTGTCTTTCTTCTGACAGGTAATTATTTAGTCAGTAGTTTCTTGCTTTGACAGAGTCAATAATGCGTAAAAGAAGCATCTGATAACGGATGCTCAAGTGTTTGGAAATGGATTAAAATGAAAAACTATGGCAAATCAAGATGATCCTTCAAAAAACACATTACCAAAAGCGGATTTTTTCGAGATGAACTTTGATAAAAAAATAATAAAAAAAAATTTATTAAAATGAAAAAAAATTAATTACTTTTGTTGTCTGCTTTTTTTTATTTATATCTTCTGAATCTGAAAATCGGTCTCTTTGTTGTAATCAGAAATTAGTCTCAAAAAGTCGAAAAGACTTTTCAAGGTTGCTATGGAGAGCAAATTGCGGGCGCTGCCCAGAAGGTGATCCAAATCCGCTCTGAACAACAAAGAAAAACACAATGGACATCCCTGTCAATATAAAATAAAACTTCCTGTCATTAGCGATAAGGTGTTTGCTTGAGGAGTTCATCGTAACTGGCGACGTTTCGTTTTTGCGCTAATTGTTGAAGTCCCACTTAGGTAGTTGTTTTGCCTAAAAACTTGTACACCTTCGCACTCAGAGTTAATTAAATAAAAAACGAACGTACTCCTTTAATTAACCGATGCTTGTTAAAAACGTGATGAACCATATTCATCTATTGTTCAATAAGAGAGGGAATTGACAATTATAAAAAATGCCGAATCAATTAAAATCGCGTCTAAAATTAAATTGAACAAAGCTTAGAAAACACGAAAGAGTTTATACCACTGGTATAATCGGAAAATGGGGGATAAATTCTTTTGAAAGGTTGTCACGGAAATCTGTAATTCTTCGCTGCAAGTTATTTGTAAGCGGAACATCCGAAATCAAAATTCCAAATGTTGGTTCGCTTCTTTCGCTCTTTTTCAAGGTTAGGGTTAAGACCCATATTCGGGCACTGGGCACAATGACAGAACAAACTTACCTAATGGAGAGAGGCTTGAGTTACTGATCGTAAATTCTTCCTGGAAAGAGAGCAAAGTGTAAGGGAATAACGAAAAATTGGTAGAAGTATTAGGGTGCGCGTCGTATGCTACGGTTTGGGGGGTTTGCGTATATTTCTACGATGCGTATATTTCTACGGTGCGTATATTTCTTCGGTCAAAAATGAGTCACTGGGACCGTAGCAATCGACGCACAGTTTAGGATGGGCAAAAAGCCGGGTCGGCTTTGTCGGTTATTAATAAAATTACAAGAATTTAAAGCGATCTAAGTCGGTCGAAACGAGTGTCTGGTCGGTTTCCGCTTACAAAAATGAAAACAATATGAAGGAAAATAATTTTAAGCCTTGGTGCAATAAGCATTGTCAAAGTATGATTTTTATTCATCTTTTTGTAAGGGAAAACCGACCTGACACTCGTTCCGACCGACTTAGATAGCTTTAAATTCTTTTACTTTTATTAATAACCGACAAAACCGACTCGGCTTTTTGCCCACCCTAAACTGTGCGTCGATTGCTACGGTCCCTATGACTCATTTTTGACCGTAGAAATATACGCACCCTAGAAATATACGCATCGTAGAAATATACGCAAACCCCCCAAACCGTAGCAAACGACGCGTACCCGAAGTATTATGAATTTCAAAAATTTTTATCAAATTGATTTTTTTTCACGTCTGGTCACTGGTAAACCCGTTAGCTGGGCATCCGATCTAATGCGTTAACGGGCGCGTGGCAGTCTAAAGTCCACGCACCTTTTGATGAATTCTGAGAAAAGGGGACGAAAAAGCTACTTCCAAAGGGAAAAACAGATTGAGAATCGTCTTCATTTTCTTCTACATGTTGTTCTTTTATTTTTCCGATTCGTTAAGGGGTTGAAAAATGAGGTCAAAGTTACGTCATTCTCGGCGCTGAGATTTGAGAAAATGGAAAAAAGGGAAAAGGCGAGCGAATTGTATTATTCTTTCCCTTTTCTTCGCCGACTGAACTTTTTCTTACGCTTTTCCGACCAGAATTTCATGCGAATTTTTCTTTAAATTATACTTACAGATAGAGAATCGATTGAATTTTCAAAAAATACAAAAATTTCCGATATAAAATAGAGTTTAACTCATCTTATCGCTCTGCGTGGCCGTGAGACTGCCACGCGCCTGTAAACGTAAGAATTGTTGGAAAGGCCGCAAACGGCCTCCAACCATCTTCGACTCACTAAAACTTGCCTGAAAGCTAACCTAGATCATTTACAGGGTATTTCACTTAAAGAGTCGTGTAACATATTTCCGACAATGTTAGCGCAATAGAGCGATAAGCTCGCTAGCTTTTTCACTTACGTGGATTTGGTAGACGTACAACTTGTGAGCGGTCCCCTTGAACAATTAATAGGTAACACTCGATGGGTGCTCCGGCTTGAGAGTAATTACTTCCGGTACCCTCTTCGTGAAATCTTCCTGCATCAAAATCCATTTGCGATGAGGGCGCGAAGGGCCTAGAGTCTTCTCCAGCTGGTTGAGGACTGGGTTCGGGAGTATTGACCACGTCTATTATGTCGTCGTCTGATTCCATTCGTTCTGTAGTATGTCCCGGAGCCGGAGCAGGAGATTGGGACTCAGCGGGTCCTGGGATAACACGGTTCATCTCCTGATCCCTTTCCCGCTGGGCCTGTTCTATTCTTTCACGCTCGGCCTGTTCTGCTTGTGCTCGTGCCCTTTCTTCCTCCTGCAAGCGCAACCTCTCCCTCTCGAGAGCCTCGGCGCGAGTTTGCTTGACGGTTTGACGGAGTTGATCATAAACTTCCAGGGAATGCAGCGTGGCAACTTTACACTCGGTGGCTCGGGATAAAATACAAGAGGGCGCTAAAAATAGGATCTATGAAACCTGAATACATGTATATGGAAAAAAGAATAAAATTAAGATTGAAATTAAAATACTTTTCATATTACAAAAGCCCGGAAATTAAAAATGTAGCTTAAGAAATGTAGTATACTCCCAACATGGGAAGATTAAGTTAAGTTATAATAAGATTGTTCACACACCTTCAGAGTCGCCCTCCTCTTGTAACTTCCAAGTATGATACTGTCGTCGGTACTCCAGATGGTAAGGGAGTGTGGTCCAATCTATTGTGGTTGGCACTGGCTTCTTTCGACAATCCAATAATTGATTGACAAGTGCAAAAGTCTGGAGCAGCGGTGGCATTTTATCAGTCATCTGGGTTATAATGGAGGAGGAAACAACGCTGTAGAGTTGCTAAGAGTCAAGTATTACAGAGGTTCTAACTTATGTACTTTCGCAGTTCTAACTAAGGTTACCTGTAGGAGATAGCAGAGTAAATTTCTAAGGGATTCGCTCAAGTGAGTCTCAAGCGGGGCTTTAGTGAAGATTTTCTCGAAGTTGGACATCAACAACTCCTGCTCTGACTCATTGCACAGTGGACTCAAGCTTAATGAGTGTCATTTAAATGTTAAATGTAAATATTATTAAAACTTAAAATACTATGAGGTTGCCTCCGGCAGCGGAGGCAGATGCCTCCAAACCTAGGCAAAGACCTACCTATTGTATAGGCGATTGTAACTATCGACCGTTGCCTCAACCTCTTGCTGATAAAACACTCGCTCTTGAAATCGGGTGAGAAACGCGGCGATGAAATCAAGGACTTCTGAAGTCAAGTGTCTCCATTCCGCAGGGGTGCCTTCATCGAGATTGACCAAGTGTGTCTTGACGTTTCGTAATAATATACGGGCAGTCACTTCATCGGTAGGATCGTACATTGAAAGCACACTAGGGATGAGACTAGCGCAGAAGTGATAAAGACTGCGCTGCTTCTGAGGGTCGTGTTGCAGTGCGCGGTTGGTAGCGCCCAGGAGATACTAAAGAATGTATGAGAAATCATGATAACTACCGAATTATGAGTATATAATTTCTAGTAACGGTGTATTGTTCTTACTAGGAGACCTGAAGTAAAGGTATGTTGCACTGGGTTTCAGCCTCTACTTTACCGTTCTAGATATATATTATAAAGCGACAGGACCGGTAAGACTTACATAATATAGGAGTTCTGAGGCATGATAAAGTGATTCAGCCCATGATGGAATCTCCTCCCAATTCTCACTTTGCTCGGATTGATCAGCCAGTAATGATACGTCGGCTGAGATAAGCGACGGATGGCCCTCCGTAGTAGATAAGGGGATTCCAGGGTGTTTTAAAGCGCGTACAGGCTCAGTACCACAGTCGATCCCCTCTTCCGCCTCGTCCTTCGAGAAAGGGGAGACATTGATTGTCTCCTCAGCCATTGATATCTCCTGCTCGGTGGGGGGTTCCAAAGGCAAATCGGCTACGAGGAAAAGAGTGGTTAAAAATGGTTAGGCTTGACTAACGATTTCCAACAACCATGTATAGTCGGTAAAGAAAGGACTCACCTTGCTTTTGGTCGACCTCCATCTCAACCTCAGAGTTAGCAGCAGGCAGGTCCGTGTCTGCCTCAGAGTTGGGTTTTCCGGTCAAATCCTCATGGCTTTTCTGGTGGAGCTTGGACTCGGCAGTCGATTTGGATTGTTGTAAGAGGCGCTGGGATTTCCTCTGTCGTCTGATGGTTGCAAGACCCTTCTGGGATGAGGAGTGTCCGGGTATCTTGATACTTTCCACTCCCTTTAGTACATCAGCGACAGTGGGGCGTCCTTTAGGGTTCTTCTTCTTTCCACGACTGTACTCCACAGGCTCCATGGGGGTTGTGCCAATACTTGGCAACTCAGGAAAACTCTCTTGCAAATGGATTTCCAACTCGAGTGGAGTTGGAAACCATCCATAAAAATCGAAGAAGGTGAGCTCTTCCTCCGTAAAATCTCCCAAGACCTAAACGATAAAATTACCCTGTTGCAGCTCAACAACAAATTTAATAATTGTAAATTGCATACAAATTGGGTTGTTTGAACATTTAGTAGTAATCTCTAGAACTACTGTTTCCCGATATTTTGAACTTAACAAAAATACCAAGGAAACGCAAGGAAATCAGCCGTAGCTAGCAATGATTCAAATAAGTAGTGTTTCGCAAGGGAAAGGGATGAAATTCCAAGAAACTATGGCACAAAAACTATTAAAACTATAAAAACTACTTGAAATTAAAAATGATCTTGATTTCTCTCTTTTTATCCTCCTAGTTTATTGTAGTTACGTGATTCTCTCCTCAGAGACGGGAGCCAGGCACTTATCAGTGAGCTGGGGTGAGTCATCACAATTCTCTTATATTTTTGCGGTTTATCAACGCATCCCACTTACCTGGAAATAGTTATCGGCGATGAAAGACATCGCTATTTGGGAAAGTGTCCAAAATTGAACTGACGATGAAATGAATTCTCAGCGATGAAAACAGGTGGATTCTAGAAAATTTTGGTCACTTTCTCGTTTCTCGGCGCTAAGTCGATCTCAGTTGTCTTCCTGAGCCGAATTTTCCGTATATAAATGACTTAACTTTTTTAACTTTTTAACAATATACGCATCTTCTTTTAGTAGCTATGCCTCAGCCGCACGAATCCGGGATTAATGAAGACGTCTGACGTTCCAAACAGCATCTTCTTTTCTTATTCTCTTCTTTTCCTGCGTTCCCTCCCAACATAACTCCTTCTCTAGATTCAGTTAACTCCGCTGGCTCATGTCTTACTGCTTTAACTATAGTACTTATGTAGGAGACTCTTCCTTTGATTTCTACTTTAACTCTCAATCGTCTATTCTCCTCTCGTTCTTTCAATTCTTTTACTTTTTACTTTTTTTACTTTACTTTAATTTACTTTTTTGCTTAGTTATTTTTTATCATTAATTTGCCCGGTATATAATTTAGACCATTTATTTTATTTATTATTTTTATTTTTATTGCGTTTTTTTTTATTGTGTTGTCCACTTAGGGCTTATACTGTTACTGCTGATTTGCCTGGTAAGTCCTTGTAACTTACAGGCCATCAGTAGCTCTTGTTGAGCGCACTGGATTCGTTAGAATCCTTGCAGGGAGGCAGCTGCCTGCCTATGGGGAGGCACTCTCTACCTGTTGCCTGCTTTCGCTGAGCCTTTCTTGTTTGCTCTCTACAACTAGAACTGCTCTGTGTTGCAGGCCCTACACTTTTTCACAAGGACCCACTCTCTCCCGTCCCCTTCATACTTTCCTACACTCCCCACACAAGCCCACACTCCTCTTTTGTTTTATATATCTTGTACATTATTCTGTTCATTATTATTTCCTGTACAAAGCTTCTAACCACGTGATTAGTAGCTTCAATAAATTCAATATTAAAAAAAAAAAAAAGCGCGCCCTGAAAAAAGCACATAAATAGAGCGAAATACTCAATTTTGTCATCTCATTTGTACGATCAGATACAAAATGAAAGTTTTTAGCTTTTTAACCATCTCTGCTATTTCTGCAAGACGAGATAAAAAGGAAAAGACCGAGGGTCGGTCGTTTTTTGACTCGGGTGAAAGTCGTTCCACTGAATTTTTTGACTGTGGGGGTGTCACTGAGTTCACCAAGGAAATGACGAGTCTTGAGATTACGTCGCCTGCCGATCCAAACGATGCGACGGTGTATCCAGACAATACGTATTGCGAATGGCTTCTACAGGATGACTGTGCTGACAGCTTCACGATCAAGACAATCAAATTCGATATTGAAGGTAAGTTTTTGAAAAAAATCGAGTTTATAGCATAAATAAATTTTTAAGGTCACACAAGATGCACTTGGGACTACCTTGCATTTGCAACTCAAGATGAAACTTTCAACGCTACTTACTGCAATGATGACAACGATTATTACTCCTACTCCTCTAGCGACTCATCGGAAGTCATCGGATTTCACGCACTCGAAGAAGGCAGCGAAGTCATCATTCCTGGAAACAGAATCAGCATCACTTTCCTTACTGACGAATCGGTACAACACGAGGGATTCCAGATTTTGGTCATTCCAAGTAAATAACGCAGCTGATGCAATGAAAGAAAAAGAAACCATTATTTAAGATCGCCCAGAAGACTCTGAATGCAGCGCCAACCAGTGGGAGCCGGATTGCATCTTTCCATACAACAGTGATGGGTCTGTCATGATGAAAACCTGGCCGCTCTGGCAGAATCTTGACGGCCAAACCGTGTCCGTAGATAAACTTGTCCCAATTTCGAACTACGCGCACTCCTTTGAAAAACATCCAGATGAAGATAGAGACGACTTCATTAACAGATGTGCAGCTAGATGCGTTGACACTCCAGGATGTTTCAAATTCAAATTTATTCCTCTAGGCCAGGAATCTTGTGATCTTCGAGGAAACAAGATGGAAGAGCCAACAATTTTCGCTCATGGTAAGAAAAAATTTTTTATCATAGCTGATCTCTTATTCTAGCGCTAACCGGAGAAGACTGCCCTTCCGACCCGGCGAATCGCCTTTGGAGAGATCGTAAAGCAACAACTCAAGTTTTCTGCCACTTTTCTGGAGTTGATGACGCGCTTTGGTATTTGGACTATCTCAGAGCGACGAATCCACAAATGACGAAATGGGTAAGAATAAATTTCGCATCTCAATCGTATTAAACACATTTATAAAGGAGGTTACTCCTGTCGCCGCACATAATGGCGCTGTTCAAACGCGAAAAATGACGAGAAGATGGACGTTTTCTGAAGCAACAGAGCGACCGACAAACTGGGGACACTGGTACACCTTCGTCACTACCATCTTCTTCCGAGACTATCTCGTCCCGGTCAACGCTACAGCGACAGATGCGAGAAAAAGAAGGCAGACAGACGATGATGAGGAACTCCTCGCCCTTGCGAATCAAGAAGTTCAAGACTTCATCGCAAATCTGAACATAGGAGATGACGTAGAAGTGCTCGAAACTGAAGTTTCGGAGATCAAACTTGAAAGCTTAGAACCAATCGAGGATACCGACACGAATCAGATGGTCTATGCATACAGCACGATGAGCGAACTTCTCGACTCGACTATGACAGCCGAAGGAACAAGAAGGCAGTCTTTCAAAATGAAGCAATTCAGCCGAGTCATTCGCAGATTCTCCTGGATGTACGAGCATTCTTACGACTCTGTCTCCTGCGACTATCCAACAGAGTCAGTTCCCCACCGAAAAATTGACGGCCCCTACGATCGATGAAAGCAACATTTGCGGCAGCATCATTTCTTTGATGGAATCAACAATGTCATTCTACGATCACAATGTTTGCTTGGATCTGATTGAGCTCAAGGAAAATAGGGAAGCAAAACGACGATACGACAGCATTGAGTCCGATTTCAGACGATCGAAATTAGTCTTCAATCGTCTCCTCAGAGGACTCAAATGCGAAGAACGATTGGCAATCAATTAAACTATTTTATTCTCACATTCAACTGATTTTTTCTCTATCTGAAAAAAAAATTGAAAATAATTTCAATAAATTCTTTCTTTAAAAATTCAATTATTTTTGCTTGCTGATGTTGTGAAAATCTAGCGCTAGTTGTAGTTGTCCTAATTTTTTGTTTCTATTAAAAACGAATCCTCTCTCGTGGATGTTTAGCAACGTGCATCGTTAATAGGAATTGAACTATGCTCATTGGATTAATTGATGCTAGTTCAAAATCGAAACAAACCATTTTCTTTTAATTATTCGATAATTGCTGAACCAATTAACGTGGTGTCTAAAATTTATCCTCCGAGAATAACTCAACGTAGGGAATTTAGCTACTATCATTTTTAAGAATATGCAATAATAAGAAAATGTTTTTGGCAGGTAATTATCTTTTTAGATGTTAAATTTCTAAGACGTTTCTAAGAGATACCTTTAATTGTATGTTCGCTCGGTTAACAAGAAGATATGGCCAAAATACAAAGAAACAAGGGGACCATTTCTGACTATCTTTGATAAAAATTAATCAAAAGAAACAGAAATCCTTATTTATGATTCAGAAAACCTACTGGGGGCCCTTGGGTAAGGCTTAAGGGGGACTGGGGCGTAGCCCCTTGGTCAGGCTTTAAAGTTAGGGGTATCATACCAATTCTGCCAAATTATAAAATAATTGGTCCTGATTCAGGACTCCTGAACCAAATTTCATTGCATACTATCTAAAAAACTATACTACCTTATTGGCAATAAGTTATTGCTCCCTTCAAAGTGAATATTTTTAACCAGTTGCTTGCTTATTACATGTTTTGGTACGACGAGCGCAAGTGCTCGCTAGCGCGCTCTGAGAAAAATGACATAAATAGAAGCGTGGCCGGAGTTTTGTTCATTTAATTTTGTACGATAAGATACAAAATGAAAATCTTTGAGTTTTTTTACCATCGTTGCTGTCTCTGCAAGACGAGAAAGAGATGGAAGAACTGAGGGTCGACTTTTCAATGAGTCGCCTCAAGGTCGACAGTTCACTGATTGTGGAGGTCTTACTGAGTTCACAAAGCAGATGACCAGTGTAGAGATTTCGTCTCCAGTCGATCCCGTGTTCCCAACCAAGTATCCAGCAAACACTTTCTGCGAGTGGCTGGTCCATGATGAATGCGCTGAGGGCTTCACAATCAAAACAACCAGATTCGAGATTGAACGTAACTACCTCACATTATGGTCCATTATATAGCAAAATTTTTAGGCCATCCAAGATGCGTTTATGACTACCTAGCGATAGCAAATGAAGATCAAAGTTACAACTCCACATTTTGCAATCAGCGACCAGTATACGATGACGAGTCGAGCAGCTACGAGTCTTCTAATAGCTCATTCAGCTCTTACAGCTCTTACTACTCTTACAGCGGTTCTTGGACCGATGATTTTGAGGAGCTCGGAGCAGGCAGCGAGTTCTTTGTTCCAGGAGACTCGATCAGAATCAATTTCGCGAGTGATAACGTCTATCAATTTGAGGGATTCCAATTAACTGTTACTCCAAGTAAGCATCAATTTCATTGTTAAAGATAATAACCAAAATCAAGAGCGAACCGATCCCCAATGCATCGTCCAGGTTAACGAGCCTCTCTGCATCTTCCCCTACAACAGTGACCAATCCATCATGATGAAAACTTGGAAAATCGAAACTCAAGATAAACTCGTCCCATTCTCAAATTACGCTGGCTCCTTCGAAAGAGGTCAAAATGAAGATGGAGAATCATTCGCAAATCGATGCGCTGCAAAATGCGTTGACACTCCCGGATGTTTCAAATTCAAATACGACGGCCAAACTTGCGATCTTCGCGGAAACGAAGTGGAAAATGCGAATGCTTTTAGTTTTGGTAAGCTTTTTTTAATACAGTTTGAGATTATTCATAATTTCAGCGATCAATGGAGAGGATTGTCCGAACGATCCATCGAATCTTCTCTGGAGAGATAGCAAAGCAACGACTCAGATTTTCTGCCTTTTTTATGGTATCGAAGCTGCCGAAAATTACTTGGACTATCTCAGAGCGGAGAATGGTCAAATGACCCAATGGGTAATTCAGCCTACCTTTTACATATGAAACTTATATTTTTTCTTCCCGTTTTAGCAAATTTCTGAAAGCGGAAATGAGCGAAGAATGACTCGAAGATGGTCATTTTCCGAAGCAACTGAGCGACCATCTAGCTTCGGGCATTGGTACACCTTCGTCTCCACTATCTACTTCCGCAAATATCTCGTTCCAGTAAATGGAGCACAAGTAGAGCCAGCTAGAAAACGAAGAGATACAGACGAGAACGAAGAAATCCTTAATCTTGTGAATGAAGAAGTTCAAGACTTCATCAACAATCTCAATGTCGGAGATGCAGAAGTTCTCGAAACTGAAGTCTTAGAAACTGAGCTTGAAAACATGGAGCCAATTGATGATACCGACACAAATCGAATGATTTACGCCTACACCACCATGAAAGATCTCCTCGACTCAAGGATGATAGCAGAAGGGACAAGAAGACGGACGTTGAAAATAAAGCAATTCGGCCGAGTCATTCGAAGATTTTCCTGGATGTACGAGCATTCTTCTGACTCAATCTCTTGCGACTCTCCAGCTGATTCACTTTTCGACACATACGGCTGGACGACTCCAGAGATTAACGAAAGCGACATTTGCGGAAGCATCGTTTCCTTGATGGAATCAACGATGTCTTTCTATGATCACAATGTTTGCTTAGATCAAATTGATCTTAACGAAAATCGAGAGGCAAAGCGAAGATATGACAGTATTGACTCCGATTTCAGACGATCAAAACTGGTCTTCAATCGTCTTCTTCGAGGACTCAAATGCTCAGAACGATTGGCCATCAATTGAAAAGCTTGATTTGCCATGATACTTGCTCTTTGACAACTATCTTTATTCGCTTTAAATTAAATTGTAAATTTTGAAAATAAATTATTTCGTATTTAATATTGTCTTATTTCGGTATGCAACCGTTACGAATTCTCTAACGAATACTTCCTCTTGCGGAAAAAACGCCCTTACATATGCAGCAGGTTTTTATTCCTTTAAAATTCTTTTATACAGTTCGGAAGCACAAGTTATGCAAGGTTCTTTGGGTCTTCAGTCCACTTTCCGAGCTTCGGGTTTTGAGAAACAGTACCGATTGTACATGTCCCCATGAAATCATGAATTCCCTAAAATATGTGCTCCAGATATCTCTCTTAATAAAGTGTACCTGTCCAGCTGGATGATAGCCTTTTCCAGGTCGATTCTTTGGCTGCGGAAGAGGGCTTATTTCTCCAGCATTGACAGCTTGCAAATTGTCGAACCCTTCGCGGCCCATTCCATAAGTTCGGTCTGGATCAAATGACGCGTTTGTGTGGCCCATCGTTTGGTTCTTCGCGGTATTTTCTTATGACGACTTGTAAGAGAGGCATTTTATATATTCTAACCTTCTATTTTCTGCTTTCGGAATCGTTGATAGAGGAAAGTCGCAACACAAAGAAGAATGAGGCCGACGCAAATGAGGGCGACCTGTGTTCCGGGACTTAGACCTCCGGAGGTAGCATCGCATCTTGCAATATCTGAGAGAAAGGAATTAAGGGTGTCACCTGAAGATCGACTTACCCGCATCCCAACCACTTGGCAAGCAAGCAATCTCCCTCGGATCGGCAATCGCAGCATTGCAGGTGATCGAACACTTCGTTCCTACTGGCACATCTTGCTGGACAACTCCTCTGCAAATAATCTCTCCATCCGTTGGAGCGTGAAAAATGTCTCTCTGGCAGTATGCTTGCTTCATGATTTTGGGGCCGAGCGAGGATGATAAGAAAATTTTGTATTTTTTCTTATCAAGTGGTTGATAACTACATTTTTATCAAAGTTGAAAACTGATGTCGCAAACAATTTTCTTGAGACCGGTAAAAAATTCCAGTCTTTTTTTCTTTTTCTCATTTTAGGGCCAATCTACTACGATAGTATCTTTCTCGCCCCCGGAACATTCCCCACTGCTCCCACAATAAATCGAAAACAGTAACGTTTGCATAAAACCATCACGTACCTGCCGCGCGTTCTCTTCAAAATGCGCCGCTCAGCAGAATTCTAGCGTTGCCCAGCGCCGTACATTTGCCTCGGGCAGTACTCCTCAGAAGTAACGGGCCGTACATCATTTGTCCAGGGAATTTCAAAGGCTGTGGACCAATCAAGGGAGAACGTGATATTCTAGCGTAGTATAAATGGTACTTAGAAAAATTTGGATCAGAATTATCTTCTTTGTTTACAAAAATTAATTTAAACATAAAATTTTAAAATAAATCTTATATGTAAAAATGAAAAATAAAAGCTTCATATAATGAGTCATTAAAAAATAAGTGACAATTTAAACAAAAATTTTGAACCAATCAGATAACAGTATTCACCCGGAAGTCCAATCAGATTTGAGAAAAATCTTGGCCAAGAAAAGTATCATTTTTGCTTATGAAACCATCCTAAAAGTATCTGTCAAGCTGTTGATTTAGCTTGTTTCGGTTAGAATTTATAAATCAGAAGCCCTCTTTCACCCGGCTGGAGCATTTAACGCTCGAAGAATTATTATCCCATTCACCAGTTTGACGACGGGATAAAATAAAAAAATGAGTCTCTAGAAGTCTTCAAGATAGACTTTGCAAGCTTATTTTGCCAATGAGTTTGGAAGAAAGAGATTATGACGAAGGTTCTCTTCTATGATATCGAGGTAAGAGAAAGATTTTTTCCAAGCAAAAAAACTCTCAAAGACTGGAAACGTTGACGAGGCAGAATCGTTATTCGCGTCTGGAGCTCGTGCTAACTATAGCCCTGCTGAAGAACAAAGACTAAGAAGAAGCTTGATTAATCAAGGGTCAAAAAAATTCAAACAAAAACTTATCATGAGCTTTGATGATTTTAAACCCTGAAAAAAGCCATCTGAAGATTTCCTTCCTCATCGTTCTTACCATTTTCGTCTATCTGTATATTGCTTCAAAATGATAAGTTAACAAATAATAACAAACATGTATTGACTTAAGTTGAGATTCTCAACAGTCTTTTCCTTCTTTATTTTGTAAGATTATAATTATAATAGTCCGGGCTCTCCTCATCGTTGAAGGAATATTCAGCAAGAATTCCGACTGGAAATCGCTTTAAAATCGCCTCCTGGTTCTTTCCAATTCGCGATGAGTCCGGCAATGTCTGAAAGATTTTCGGTCATCTTTGAAGAATATCCTTCTGAAGACTTACCAAAGAAGAGGCAGAGCATAAAATAACAGAGACATAAATTGTTGTCCACATTTTACGTCTTTTTGTTATCTCAATGACAGAACAAAGAATCCGTTTGAATGAATTTAAGTGGCTATTAGTATTGGCGTTCTGACAAAACCTGTAATCTGCCCGGTGAGACGTGAGAAGGATGTGTTGATAAATTGTTCGTATAATTATTTAATGGCTCTATGTGCTAATACGAAAGAATAATCTTAGCCTCTGCGATACCGAATCCGAATGCGGCGTCAAAAAACAAACTCTGATATTTGGAAAGAAAGCGGCCAGGAGTTTTTCTTCGTGAACTTGAAAAACTCTGGCGGGAAAGAAAGAAGCGTTTATGTGAAAGTGTCAATGGATAGTTGCAACAAAGCTGCAGAAACAGACGCCGACTTGTCCCTCTGAGCGAATCTCAAAGTCGTCCAGGCCAGTTTGATCATGAAAAACCTGAAAAAAGAAGAACATGAAAGTGCAGTTCAAATTTCCTCCGAACAAATTTACGCAGTCCTAAACGGAATCAACGCTCTCAAAAGTGTCGAATTCGAAACCTTTCGATTCGCGGATCGATCTTCTTGCGCTCCCCTGAGCTTTCCCCTCGACGGAGTGAGCCTCAAATCCGATGGCTGCAGCGTCAGAAGAGACAATCATCTTCAAGCAAAAACGGAAAGTGACCATCATTTTCGAGATAAACTCGATGAGCCATACGCGCCAACAGTTTTCGTCCGCGAGCTTGGGAACATCTGGTTCGAATGCTTCACCGACGAATGTACGATTCTCGACTTTATCCTCACCATGTATGATACGACCATGACTTTCGATGGCCCGAGCTTCGATGACAGTCTTTTCAAAGGGTTAAATTTGGCTAGTGAACGTACTGCACTGCTTCTGAACAAGGAGAATCAAGTGAGAGCAGCAAGGACGACAAGACCGATTGATTTCGCTCAAGCACAGAATATTGGGAATGTGCTCATTTCACTGAGTCTGCTTTATTACTTCTATTGTGTTTACAAATTGGTTTTTCAGGAATCAAGGTTGAATCTGTCAACACTTGTAAAATGAAAATGAAGGTATAATTAAAAATATTTTTCGACGTTTGATGACTTCTAGTGTCTTTAAGATGATTTTTTTCGATTTTTTGAACTCGATATTGAGCATTTTAGGGTTGAAATTCAAAATTTTTAAATTATTTAAAAACGCAAACTTTTTTATAAGAGAAAAATAAGCTTATCAGAGTGAAATGACTGTAAATTTGAATAACCATAATTTTTGTTCAAAATTTTTAAAACCATATTTTATCTCTGAGTAATTCAACTGAGAACTAATTCATACTTGCATTCATCGAGGATGTAGATTTTAATGTGAAATCGACATGCTCGATTAATTTAAGGGATCACTCCTCGGAGCCGCACCAACCGCCGCACCAAGGAGGTAATAATAAAAATTTTTCGCATCATTTTTTGGGGGCCCATCTCCACTCTAACAATCTTAAAAATTATCTTCAAATTTTGAGAATTGCAAAGGATTGAGACATGTCAAATAGTTGACCTTTGGACTTCCTTGAGCATCTCAGCCCAAAAGGAAATAAAAATACAAATAAAATGAGGGGAGGGCTTCACGGTGAAGCCTTCAAAAATAACAAAGGAGGGGTTGTAGAAACGATTAGGGTCACCAAGTCGCGTCATCAATACAAAAAAAGCCTGAAATTCGTGGTTAACCAGTAGAGCTAAGCAAAGCATAAGGTTCGCCCTAATCAGCTCAACTTACCCTACGTTCCATTTTTGTGCTATTGGAACGTCATCCTCTGCGGAACGCAAAGGCGCTTAAGTTTAACTCTCTTGCGCTCTGAAGGCACATAAATACTGCGAAAATTCTCGATTTTGTCGTCAAATTTGTTCGGTAAGATACAAATATGAAAGTTGTCAGTTTTTTTACCATCTCTGCTGTCTCTGCAAAACGAGATAAAGGAAAGCAATCTAAAGGTCAACTTTCTCTTGAGTCGACTCAGGGTCGCCAGTTCAGTGACTGTGGCGGTATCACTGAGTTCACCAAACAAATGACCAGTTTGGATATTTCGTCGCCTGTTGATCCGAATAATGGATCAAAGTACCCGCCTAACGCTTTTTGCGAGTGGCTTCTCCAGGATGATTGCGCTGACAGCTTTACAATCAAAACAATCAAATTCGATATTGAAGGTAAATATACCAGATATATTCAGTTTTAACTTTAAACTTTGTAGGCAACGATAGATGCACTTGGGACTACCTTGCGCTTGCAAATCAGGATCAAACTTTCAACGCAACTTACTGCAATGATGATAATGACTACTACGACTACGGGTCTGGCGACTCGGTCATGGGATTTCACGCACTCGAGGAAGGCAGTGAAATCATCATTCCGGGAAATTCAATCAGCATCACTTTTCTTACTGATGGATCCGAAGAACACGATGGATTTCAGATCTCAGTCATTCCAAGTAATTTTTATCTTCATAAATAAAGCTATCATTAATTATAGACCGACCTGAAGGCTCAGAATGTAGCGCAAACGTAAGAGAGCCACAATGCGATTTTCAATACAATAATGATGTAAAGATGAAAACCTGGATCCTCTCAACGTACGATAAACTCGTTCCATTCTCGAATTACGCGGATTCATTTGAACTGGATCCTCTCGTATTTGGTGAGTGGCCTGCGGTAGAATGCTTGAATAGATGTGTTGCAACTCCTGGATGTTTCAAAATCAACGTTTTGGGCCAAAAATGCTCTCTACGTGGAAACAAAATAGAACGAACAGGTCTTGGCTTCGGAAATCTTAGCTTCGGTAAGCATAAAAATAGAGAAAGCATAATAATTTTGATTTCTAAGCCATCAACGGAGAGGATTGCCCTTCCGACCCCTCAAATCGTCTTTGGAGAGATAGAAAAGCAACAACTCAAGTTTTCTGCCACTTTTCTGGCGTTGAAGACGCCGAACGGTTTTTAGAATATCTCCGGTCGAATAATCAACAAATGACGAAATGGGTAAAGATATACATTTTCCCGACTTTTTAAAATAATTTTTAACTAGAACGTAACTGACGTAGACGGACATAATGGGGCGCTAACAACGCGAAAGATGACTCGGAGATGGACATTCTCCGAGGCAACAGAACGACCAACGACCTGGGGACATTGGTACACCTTCGTGACGACTATCTTCTTCCGCGACTATCTAGTCCCTGTCAACGCAACAATAACATCAACAACAAATTCGACTGTAGAAGTTCCGAATTCACGACCACCAAATAGAAGAAGACGACAAGCCGACGAAGATAAAGAGCTCCTCGCCATTGCGAATCAAGAAGTCCAAGACTTCATCGCCAACCTCGAGATTGGAGATGACGTAGAAGTTCTCGAAACAGAAGTGTCTGAGATCGAGCTTGAAAACTTAGATCCCATCGACGATACTGACGCAAATCAGATGACATATGCGTATTCAAACATCAGAAATCTTCTTGACTCAGCAATGGAAGCGAAAGAAACTCGAAGACAACCCCAGAAAATAAAACAGTTCGACCACGTGAATCGTCGATTCTCCTGGATGTACGATCACGCAAGCGAGGACTGTGGAACTCCAACTGACTCACTTTTCGGCACTGATAAATGGACCATTCCAGAAATTGAAGAAGAGAGCATCTGTAGCAGTTTCGTGTCTTTGATGGAATCGACAATGTCTTTCTACGACCATAAAGTCTGCTTGGATCACATCAATCTCAAAGAAAACAGAAGAGCTCGACGAAGATACGAAAGAATAGAGTCTGATTTCTTTCGATCGAAAAAGGTCTTCAATCGACTTCTCAGAGGACTCAAGTGCGAAGAACAGCTAGAAACTGATTAATAATGCCTTTTCTATTTGCTTCTGCTTGACAAATACTGTAAAATCAACAATAAAATCCGCTTAAACTCTTAAAAATGCGTGGTTTTGAAAAGAAAAAAGTAAGCATGAATACAGCGGAAGTAGACCTTTTAAGGAATAAGGATTCTATTAAGGAAAGAATGAAATTTTAATCAAACTGAACAATAATCTTCTGGTAGTTTTGAGCGGAAAATGAAATATAAAGTCTCTCACAAATGATATAAATTTTACACAAAATAGTTGAGTCGTATACATAATTGTTTTCATAAGAATATCATTAATATCATCGTTATTTTGCTAAATTGTTACAGTTGTCGTCGACGATGTGGTTGTAATTTTGTCATCGAAGATCGTTACAGTGGGTTGCGCAGGTAGTGTTTTGTGATTGCGGCGTTGCTGCACCCTTCGCCCGCACTTTTTCTATTGTTTCTTTCAAGACTTGCTCAAAGTGATTGTGTGACAGATGCACCCTCTACCCGCTCTTTAGGGGTGCATTACCTGCGCAACCCACTGTACAACAATTTTATTTGGCCTTTGGCGTTGTTTAGATCCTACTACTACGCTTTAGATTTCTGCTGCGTTAATGCTTTTTTTCTCAGCGACAGGAGTTTTGTAAAAGTTTAAGTGCGTCTTATTATTGATTTTAAAGTTTTCGTCAAGCAGAAGCAAAGGAAAAAGACATGATTAATTAGTTTCTAGCTGTTCTTCGCACTTGAGTCCTCTGAGAAGTCGATTAAAGACCTTTTTCGATCGGAAAAAATCAGACTCGATTCTCTCATATCTTCGTCGAGCTCTTCTGTTTTCTTTGAGATTGATGTGATCCAAGCAGACTTTGTGGTCGTAGAACAACATTGTTGATTCCATCAAAGAAACAAAACTGCTACAGATATTCTCTTCCATGATTTCTGGAATGGTCCATTTCTCAGTGCCAAAAATTGAATCAGTCGGAATTTCACAGTCGTCGCTGATGTGATCGTACATCCAGGAAAATCGACGATTCACGTGGTCGAACTGTTTCATTTTCTGCGGCTGTCGTCGAGTCCCTTTTGATTTCATTGACGAGTCAAGAAGAGCTCTTATGCTTGAGTAAGCATAAATCATTTGGTTTGTATCAGTATCGTCGATTGGATCTAAGTTTTCAAGCTCAATCTCGGACACTTCTGTTTCGAGAACTTCTACGTCATCTCCGATCTCGAGGTTGGCAATGAAGGCTTGGACTTCTTGATTCGCTATGGCGATGAGTTCTTCATTTTCTTCGGCTTGTCTTCTTTTCCTCTGTTGTTGTGTAGTTGCTGTTGCCGTTGCGTTGACTGGAACAAGATAGTCGCGGAAGAAAATAGTCGTGACGAAGGTATACCATTGACCCCAGGTTGCTGGTCGTTCTGTTGCCTGAGAAAATGTCCACCTTCGAGTCATTTTTCGCGTCGTAAGCGCCCCATTATGTCCGTCTACATCAGTAACATTCTAGTTTAAAATGATAGAAAAAGTCGGGAAAATATCTATTTTACCCATTTTGTCATTTGTTGATTTTTGGAACGGAGATATTCCAAATACTCTTCGGCGCTTTCAACTCCAGAAAAATTGCAGAAAACTTGAGTCGTTGCTTTTCTATCGATCCAGAGACGATTCGAGGGGTCAGAAGGGCAATCTTCTCCATTGATAGCTGAATTGTCAAAATTACGATTTTTTCTTAATATTTGTGCTCACCATAACTTTGAAATCTTGGTTCTTCCATTTTGTTTCCACGTAAAATGCAATTTTGTCCAACCTTGAATTTGAAACATCCCGGAGTTGCGACACATCTATTTGCGCATTCTTGCATATGCCACTCAACATCTTCAAGAGGTTCCTGTTCAAATGTGTCGGCGTAATTCGAGAACGGAACGAGTTTATCATGCGTTGAGATGTCCCAGGTTTTCATCATCACAGAGCCATCACTGTTGTATGGAAATTTGCAGACTGGCTCGTTTATATTTGGGGTGCATTCTGAGCCTTCAGGTCGGTCTAAAATTTATGAAAGCTTTATTCATCAAGATGAAATTTACTTGGAATAACTGAAATCTTGAATCCCTCTTGCTGTACTACTCCGTCAGAAATGAAAGTGATGCTGATTGAATTTCCTGGAATGACGATTTCACCGCCTTCTTTGAGCGCGTGAAATTCGGAGTCGTCATCGCTGTAGTCGTAGTAGTCATTGTAATCATTGCAGAAAGTAGCGTTATAAGTTCGATCCTGATTTGCAAACGCAAGGTAGTCCCAAACGCATCTTTCGTGTCCTTGAAAAATGTATTTTTATTTCAAATCGATTTTGTAAAAATATGCGCCCGGAAAGGTTGCTCTATTTTGATTCACGACTGTACTCATTATTTACCCATTTACCTTCAATATCGAGTTTGATTGCATTGATTGTAAAACTATCAGCACACTCATCCTGAAGAAGCCACTCGCAAGAGGCGTTTGGTGGGTAGACTGTTGCATCCTCCGGATCAACTGGAGAGAAAATCTCAACACTCGTCATTTCCTTGGTAAACTCAAAGAGGCCGCCACAGTCAGTGAACTGACGACCTTGTGTCGACTCAAGAGAAAGTCGACTTTGAGATAGTTTTATTTTATCTCGTTTCGCAGCGATAGCAGAGATGCTGAAAAAGGTAGAAACTTTCATATTTGTATCTTATCGAACAAATTTGATGAAAAGATTGAGAATTGCGCTGTATTTATGTGCCTGTAGAGCGCAAGAGAGTTAAAAATTAAGCCTGTGTTCCGTTTACGATGACGTTCCAATAGGACAAAAAATGGAACTTACGGTTAGTTAAGCTGATTTTGTCAAACCTTATACTTTTCTGAGTTTTTTCGTTTACCACGAATTTCAGGCTCTTATGTATTTATGACGCGACTTCATGACCACAATCGTATTATAAGTTTCAGAAACTGGGATCGCATTTTTTTTTCGATTCAGAACAGAATTGGAAAAAATAAACATTTTAAAAGCCCGTGTTTTTCCGGCCCATCCCAAAAAGTGTTTAGCGTTCATATCTTCCTCGGAGTAATAATTGACCAAGTTGCTTATAAATATGTCGTTGGAGAAATAAATATTTTCCTCTTACCAGTGCTCTCCTGCAATCCATAGTCTGAGAGCTGATACTCAGATTTCAAGCTTCCCGCCGACCATGAAGCTCCTCCCAACTCTTTTAGCATCTTCCTATGGTACGTTTCCTTTTTCATTTTTTCTAGAGATCTTTGAACCCAAGAAAAATGACAAGAAGAACCTGTAATTATCTTAAATTTTAAGGCATGGAACGGGGCCTCAGCCCGCTCCAGGCCATCATGCACGCTCATCGCCGAGTTCGAAACGGTTTCACCATTCCTGTTATGGACGAAATCTCAGCTGAAAACGAACGAATCTTGAACCAGGTTTTCAACGAACGATCTACAGAGCCACTGGATGTCATGGTCGAGCGAGCTGTCAATGTCACCGAGAGCTTCGAGCGACAAGGAAATTGTGGTTCTTCTTTTCCGTCTTTGGATGGGTCTTGCAATGCTAGTAATGATAAGGGAAGATCTATGAAAGGTAAAATATTATTCAAAACCATTATTAATCTGAAATTTCAAGCATACACTCGACTTGTCTCTGCCAACTACTGTAACGGCCGTGACTCTCCTCGATGCGCCTCAAACGGGGGTCAGCTTCCATCCGAGCGGGCAATTTCCTTGGCCATGCGAGCCAACACTCAGCGAACAATGTCAAATGACGTTTCCTATGCTTTCACCGCGTGGGGTCAGTTCATCACTCACGACATCATTCAAACGCCCGATGTTCTCGGATCCGGTGATGTTCCCTGCGATTGCAGCGGAACTGCCCCGCAATGCAAAGAGATCTCATTGGATAACGACCCAGTTATCACCTTCCCATGCTTGTTTATCATTCGATCGAGCTCACAACTCGGACAGAGTGGTCAAGGAACCCCTGTTCGTGAACAAATCAACCAGCTCTCTGCTTATCTCGATGCCACAACCGTCTATGGCTTCACAACTAAGCACAGAAAGCTCTTGACTGCATCCGATGGCATGCACTTGCGAATGCAGTCCGTCAAAGGCGAACACTTCCTCCCATCTGTTAACATGTTCAACGATAATGGAATCAAGGACAAGTTTTCCACCTCCAGCGCTTTGAACGACAAAGGTCACGACGAATTGGTCGCTGGCGATACTCGAGTTTTGGAAAACCCACTTCTTTCATCCCTCCACACTCTTTTCGCTCGACTCCATAACAACGCTGTCGACCAGCTCCGAGCAATCAACCCTGGGTGGAACAAAGAGCGAGTGTTCGAAGAGGCAAGATTGTTTGTCATTGGTGTCATGAAAGAAATCAACTATTCGGAGCACTTACCACTGATGGTCGGCAATCCAGGAATGGCAGTCATGAACAACATTGGCCGAGGAAAGAAAAACAAGAACAAGAAGCGAACCAATCCCGATGGTCACGTCCCTCCATCTCAGGACGATCCTTCTATTCGAAACGAATTCGCCGCTGCAGCCTATCGATTCGGCCACTCAATGGTCCCCGATAACTTCAAATCGGCGAATACTGACATGAGCCAGAAGCGATCAGCAAAGCTCGAAAACAACTTCTTTGACCCAGATCTTCTCTTCAGAGACGGAGCTGGAGCCTGTCTTCGAGGTATGGCTTCGATGGAAGCGGCCAAAGTTGGTGGTCATTATGCCGAAGCAACGAATCACAAGCTTTTCAAGCCAAATACGCTCAGTCACGGCGTTGATCTTTTGGCCATCAATCTCGCGGTAAGGCATTTTTCTTGAAAAGAATTTGATTTGATTTCTAGAGAGGACGAGAACACGGCCTTGGAACTTACAATGCTCTTCGAGATTGGTGCATGAATCATGAAGACTACGGAATTATGTACAATGGTCTTCCTTCCATGCAGGTATAATTCACTGTAGATTCTGTTAGGATTATCATTTATAGAATGGCTGGAATAACATCAGAAACATGTACAACAACGATGGTGACATCGATCTCTACGTTGGTCTTCTTATGGAACAGCCGATGCAAAATGCTCAAGTTGGACCAACGGCTGGCTGTATTATTGTCGACCAATTTTTGGCCCTTCGAGGTAAAATGAATTGAAAAATCCCGATTATCGTAAAATTAAGATGGTGACAAATTCCACCACGAAAATGGAGACGTCTTCTCATCTGCCCAATTGAGCACCCTCAAAGGATGGACCCTTTCCAAGGCTCTCTGCAATGCTATGGAAGGCATGGGGAACATTCAAGCGAATATGTTCAAGAAATCCGGTACCGGACCAACCATCAATTGCAACTCAAGAAACATGGCCGGCATGAACTTGGAAGCGTGGAGAGATGATTCTGCTCAAAGTGGAGGTAAAAATTGTGGGATTTTCTTTTTATAAATTTTTCCAGCCCCAGCCGGAAATGAAGGAGAAGATGTTTGCCAAGATCGATTCGGAAACACTCTCGATCTCAGTGGCACTGACTGCACTTGCAAGCAGGCTCAGAAAAACAAGTGCCCAGGAATCTGCCGAGATCCAAGAAATAATGGAGCTGAAGTTGCCGTTCCAGAGGGATGTACTTGTAAGCAAGCTCTGAAAAACAGGTGTCCACCACCAGCTGGCTTCTGTTTCCACAAGGTCGGTTATTTTATTTTCAGTTTTTTACTCAATTTTTCAGAAACAAAAGTTCAATTCGAAGCAATTTGCGGCGATGGCAAGTCAAACTGCAAACGAGCAGCTAAGAACGCTTGCCCAGGCGTTTGCCACAATAACGACTTCAAGGAACTCTCCTTACTGCGTATGTTCTGCAGCTTTCAAACAACTAATGAGTCTTTTTCTAGCGCGAAGCCCGAGGGCTGCAAAAAGTGTAAAAAGTGCCTTGGCGACATCGACTTCAGCCAACGAAAGAACAAGAAGAACAAGAAGGGCAAATAAATTCATCTTTTCTTTGAAAAATAAAATGTCTATCATTTCGTTATTTGATTATCTACAAATTCTTTTTTCGCGATTCGTCAAAAAGTCAATATTTAAATTTTTGCGAATCCATGTGAATTTTTTTTGCTCGAAAGTTTTTCAAGAGAAATGGGAATTTTAAAACCAAGAAATTATTTTCAAGTAAGTTTTTTTCGAGACCGATGACTAGGTTCGTGAGGACTAGGTTCGTGTGACTAGGTTCGTGGGTGCCATGTTGGGAAAAATGGTTCGTGTGACTAGGTTCGTGAAATTTGGATTTTTATATGTATTTTTTGCATCTTCTCCATTTTGGGGCAGTAAGGGAAATGGGTTGATGACTAGTTTCGTGTGACTAGGTTCGTGAGTTTTTAAATTGAAAAAATTTTGGGGCAGTAAAGGAAATGGCTTGATGACTAGGTTCGTGTGACTAGGTTCGTGAAGACTAGGTTCGTGGAGACTAGGTTCGTGTGACTAGGTTCGTGAAGACTAGGTTCGTGATGACTAGGTTCGTGTGACTAGGTTCGTGAAATTTGGATTTTTATATGTATTTTTTTGTATTTCCAGCATTTTCGGGCAGTAAGGGAAATGGGTTGATGACTAGGTTCGTGTGACTAGGTTCGTGAAATTTGGATTTTTATATGTATTTTTTGTATTTCCAGCATTTTCGGGCAGTAAGGGAAATGGGTTGATGACTAGGTTCGTGTGACTAGGTTCGTGAAATTTTAAATAGAAAAAATTTTGGGGCAGTAAGGGAAGCGGGTTCATGACTAGGTTCGTGATGACTAGGTTCGTAAGACTAGGTTCGTGAAGACTAGGTTCGTGAAGACTAGGATACTCATTTGGCAAATATGGTCCCACATTTTCTCTATTTTAAATTTCACGAACCTAGTCACACGAACCTAGTCACCAAGCCATTTCGCTTACTGCCCAAAAATTTTTTCTACATAGAATTACACGAACCTAGTCACACGAACCTAGTCAACAACCCATTTCCTTACTGCCCCAAAAATTTTTCTATTTAAAATTACACGAACCTTGTCATCAACCCGTTTCCCTGACTGCCCCAAAAATTTTTGTATTTAAAATTTCACGAACCTAGTCACACGAACCTAGTCATCAACCCGTTTCCCTTACTGCCCTAAAAATTTATTCGTTATAAAATTTCACGAACCTAGTCACACGAACCTAGTCATCAACCCATTTCCCTTATTGCCCCAAAATATAGGCCGATTTCATTACTCTGGCAGAACCCACCACGAACCTAGTCGTCATTCCCTTTTTTTCTTCTTTTGCTATTTCTATTTGCCCTTTTGAAATTCCGGCATAGTCGCAGATTAAGAATAAACGGGCTATTGTTTAAATGAACAGGATATTCACTTGCGTCTGGTCTGAATTCTTACTTGAACTTTTTCCAGAGAAAAAAATAAAGATGATAATACAGCAAAACAAACTTGTAGGGCTTTTCAATTTTCTAATTTATGAACTTTTAGGTCATTATTGTATTCTGTGTAATTGTTGGCGCCTATCTGGTGATATCAAACTCCGGGAATTCGATAACAAGTCAGGTTGCTGCGGGGAGAATTTCTCTAGAAAAGTTTTCACTAGATGCGGGCAAAATCAAGAAGGAAAATAAAAAAGAAAATAAGCAACTAAATATGTTGAATTTACTCAAAACATATCGAGAGTACTGCAGGTTTGCTATCTTTAAAAATCCTCATTTTTTTAGCGAAATTTAGTAAGAGCAAATTGACAAAAACCCTGAAAAATCGAGCGTCAACTCTCGAAGGTGTCTCAAAAGGAGGAGTGAAGTTTTCAACCTGTGTCACGGCTAAATCTGCATCGACGGCGCTTACGCAAATGTTTCTCGAAATAACAGGGTTTATTAAAGACCCAATTGGTGTCAAATTTAATGGAGGGCTCAAACTTATCCGCCATTTTACTTTTATCTGACATAAGTGGCGTCTATTGAGTGAAAGCCCCAAAAAAGCAAATCGTCAACGGCGACCAGCGAAATAACAAGAATTGCGACTCGTTCGAAAAAGGCTGCCTTCTCAAACCCGACAAAATCGACAAGGACTCTCTAAAATTCATTTTTGTTCGAGACCCAATGGATCGAATTTTCTCAGGCTGGAAAGACAAAATGAATAGAACAGAAGATCGTGAAATGTACTACGAGTATCCGGGAAAAGAAATCATAAGAGAGGAATTCAATCTTCCGAAAGACTTTGAATTTCCGAAGCGAAAAATGGACGCGCATCAGATGGGATATTATGTCAGCTTTCAGATGTTTGCTAGGTGGTTGGCGAAGAATGATCATTACAAGACAAATATTCATTGGAATACAGTTCAGGTACAGTCAAATCATCCTCCTTAGTCTCATCTAGGTATTCTAGAGCTCCTGTGACATCTGCGCCTTCGATTTCGATTTTATTGGGCTCATCTCTCAAATGGATCAAGATATGCCTCGCTTGATGGAAAAGCTCAAAGTGCAAAGCCCCACGTATGATGAAATTCAACAAGGATTTCAGTCGGCAAATGCTCATTCGACAAAACACTCGAAATTGAGGATAGATGAAGAGTTTGGGAAGCTGACGGATATTGAGAGGGCGAAACTAGTGGAGATATACATTGAGGATTATGCTGCTTTTGGCTTGCCCATTCCTGACTTTGCTAAATAAACCAAATAACAAATATGATAAAAATATTGAAAAAAAAAGTATTTGTCGACATGAAAACTGATATTTTTAATTGTTTGGATTTTCATTTGTCAGTTAAATATGCTCCCTCCAGAAGCCTATTTCCTGTTCGACCTTTTTTCAAACGAAGATTAGTAATATTTTCGTTAGAGTCGTTTTTTTATGAGCCGCGTGAGTTAGGTTCATCGTAAAAACGCCTTTTTATATCCAGAGAAAAAAATTGAACCGAGTCCTAATAGAGAAAAATGTGACTGTGAACAAGTTATTCATCAATTTGCCCTGCATTCATTTTTTATTTTAAAAATTATTTTAACGATTAAGACTCGTCGGATTTCTCAAAGAATCTCTTAAATAGCTTCTTGCTACCCTTAACTCAAGTCTTATCAACTATGGTTTTGGGAAGAGATCGAAAGGAATGGAAGGCCGAATACTTCCAAAAAGTCGAGAGAATTCTCTCTCAGTACGACAAGGTCCTTGTTTGCGATGCTGATAATGTTACTTCCAAGCAGTTTCAGCAAATCCGAACAGGTAGAAATGATGATTTGAAAGCGAGACTCTTTATTTGAATTTAGGTCTCCGAGGTCAAGGTGAAATTCTCATGGGCAAAAACACCATGATGAAGAAAGCCATGCGCCAATTGTACGAGGACAAGCCCGAGCTCGAAAAGCTGTCCTACTTGGTTAAGCTCAACGTCGGTCTTGTTTGCTTCAACGGAGACATGAAGGAAATCCGTGACTTGGTGATGAGCTTCAAGGTGCCTGCTGCCGCTAGAACTGGTGCTGTTGCTCCTGTTCCTGTTGTTGTTCCTCCACAGGAATGGTTCTAGATATTAACTTTCCTTCATGTCTCTGGATGCCTAGAACCCAATCAGGTCACAACTCTCGGTCCCGAGAAAACATCTTTCTTCCAGGCCCTTTCTGTCCCAACCAAGATTACCCGTGGTAACATCGAAATCACCGCCCCTGTCAACTTGATCAACGAAGGCGACAAAGTCGGTGAATCCGCCGCCACCCTTCTCAACATGCTGAAGATCTCTCCCTTCACCTACGGTCTTGACGTCATCAGCTGCTACGATGCTGGAACTATCTACTCTCCTGACATTCTCGACATCACCGAGGACGACATCAAAGCGAAGTTCCTCAGCGCTGTCAGCAATGTCGCCGCCGTTTCATTGTCGATTGGTTATCCTACCGCTGCTTCTGCTCCTCACAGCATCGCCAATGCCTTCAAGAACATCCAGGCCATTGCTGCGGCGACTGAAATTACCTTCCCACAAGTCGAGAAGCTCAAGGAATACCTTGCCAATCCTGAGGCCTTTGCTTCTGCTGCTCCAGGTTTGAAAAGCCCCAATATCAGTTTTTCCCATTCTTGCTTCAAGAAGCCGCTGAGGCAGCTGAGGAAGCCGCACCAGCCGCTGAAGAATCTGAAGAGTCCTCCGACGAAGACTTCGGCATGGATCTCTTCGGTTAATCCATCCATTCCGAAGAAGGAATGTTTCTTGCGTCTTTTTCTGCTATCATTTCAAATGATTTATTTGTCATTTTCGAGGAATAAATCTGTCAAAAAAGCGCAATTTTTGTTATTTAAAAGTTTATTAAAAGGCTTTTGAAATTTCAACGGTCTTCCGAAATCAGGTCTATAAAGAAGGCACAGCGCAAAAAATACAAAAAAAGTGTTGTCGACACACACAATTTGAAAATAAGATTTACTCTCTTGTCAATTCCTTTCAAGTTTCTAGAGCTTCATATTCCGGCGCAAAAAGAAGCAAGAAAGCACGAAAAGGAAGTGAGTTAGAGAGGGACAGAAGAAGAAGACATGAAAAAAGAACGGCACGTGATAATTTGGAGAGAATGATTGGCTGATGAGACGCCCTTAGGCCTGGGCCTGCTTGATGGCGGCAGATCGTCGCTTGAGTCGTCGCTTTTCGCCTCGTCGCTTTCGGGCGGCTTCCTTGTCGTAGCCCTGGGACATGGCTAAAAGGGGGTTTATTCATTATTTATGGTAGAAAAAAAGGGGAAAATAGGGGAATCACTCTTTGAGTTCGCCTTGTTCGAACTCGAAGAAATCATTTGAACCTCGTTAATTTTCAATTTGCTCTTAGTTTCCTCGACTTCAGCTGTTGACACGTGCCGAAAAAATACGAAGTGCGAAAACGTGGCGAAAGAGGGGAGCATGAAATCATAGCCAAAAATAACCTCATTACTCACCAGAAAGAATCGCGGCCTTCTCCTCAGCTTCGTTAGCTTTTCGCTCTTCTTCAGCCTTTTCCTTGGCTTCTTTGGCGAGTCGCTCGGCCTCGTTCTTGGCTTTTTCTTTTTCCAATCGGGCATTTTTCTGCTCTTCTCGGAGCTGAAAAAATATTTCAGTATTCAACTTTTTTTTCCTTTGAAGAAGAAACTTCAACCCTAAGCACTAGCCCTTACATTCTTTCGCTCGCTCATTCGTCCCTCGAGCTCAGTAATGTTCTCCTCATCGGCTGCTCGCTTCTGGAAGTGATCGTCGCACATTCTCTTGAGCTCGGCCAAATCTCGCTCGAGGCGCTTCTTGACGAAATCGTCATCCATGATTGAAAAGCTTTCGTTGGGAGTGACTTTTGATAAGTGAAGCTGATTTCGATCGTTGAAGCCTTGATAAGGGGATTTGGGAGGAGGTAGGCGATAAGTAAAGCGACTTGAGCGGCATAAACTTTTGACAAAATATGGACTGAAAGTGCGCTTCCTGGAGGAAAAGGCTCAAGTCCTGTTTTATCTCACTTTTATAAGTGAAAATCATTTGACATCTCGACCTCCTCTATTCATAACCATTAAGCTTGAAATCAATATCCGGTTTATTATTACTTTATGTGAGAAAAGGGAAAATCATTTTTCCGTCAAAAGGTCAAAGCTCAAAAAAAAATGAAAAGAGACACATCGTTGAAAGATTTTTCGAAAATCTCCGAGTCCAATCTGACTGAGACGACTCCTGCTAAGTTTGAGGTGGACAATAAATAATTTTAAAAATTACTTATTAAGGACCCCCCCGTCAGCTTTTTCCTTCGAAAAATTGAAATTTTTAAAAACACCATATTTTTGGTTCTTTATGTGTCCTCAAGTTAAACTTGCTTCAAAAACTGTAGAGGACGAAGATTTGACCAATAAAAATCGATATTTTTGGCAAAATTAGGGCAAATTCGTCAATTTTCGGCGAAAAGTCCAATTTTCAAATGCGATTTTAGGGGTGTTAGAGTCGAGATAGACCCCCAAAAAATGACGCCTGAAAATCGTTTTTGACCTGAAGAATCCATTTCCGGGGTCAAAATTTTAAAATTCCGAAAAAGATTTTTCAAAAAAGCTGACGGGGGTCTTTAAGAAATTGTAATAACACATTTTTAGCCGCCAAGTTTCCTTCTTGAAGACTATAAGAACCTGAAAATTGAGAATGCGGCGATCAAAAGGTTAATAAACGTTATATTTTTCATTTTTTTATTATTTTTTAAGCTCTCGGAAATCAGAGCGTAAAAGGGCGAGAAGAATCATAATAACGCTATCTCTGATTATTTGTATCGCCGCTTCATCCATAATTACGATTTTTGTGATCTATGGTAAATCAGTCATAGATGGTATTCATCTTGGAGATGCCACTATCAAGGAGGAATTTGATGAGCAAAAAACCCGTCTTATAACACTTGAAAATTTTCATCAAAACCTGATTGATCGAGATGATCAAGCCAATCAAATTTTGAAAGCAGGAAAAGGGTGTTTTGAGATTATTTTATTGATAAATAGAGTTATCCTTTTCAAGTTCAAGAGGCGACTCTGGAAAATTTAGGGACAATAATTAACTTGCAGACTGAAATCAATGTTGTACATAAAAAATTGGATATTCTTTATTCATGCTTGTCTAATGGGGGATGCCCTCAAACGTTATTACCAATCTGGACGTTTTCTGAAACAACAACGAGTGCTACAACAACACCAACTGAGTCTCCAGAAACAATACCAACATTGGAGACAATCACTTGTTCAGCTGCTAACCGTGTCAATAATTCTGTGGTTATTTTTGTGATGCTTTTGGTTAATAGTTTGGAATAAAGTTGACAAATAAAAACTGAGAGATAATGTATTTTGCATTAAAAAAAACAATCATTGCCGATGATTCATTGGTCTAACACTAAGATAAAAATTATGCTTTCAATGCATGAATTCAAGCGCTGAAAACCGAATATGGTATTCGGAATACCGGAGAAAGCAGTAAAACTGTCAAGTAGATTGGTAAAACTCGAAAAAGCGGTTCTTCCCGTTCTATCAAATTAAGTGCTCTTTTCAAGCCTTTTTGCAGATGAAACACGACCATGGCAAGAGCAGAAACCGGATTTATCAAACTAGAGTCAAGGTAGTTATCCTGGTATAAAATTACTGATTGCAAATTTTCAGTGTATGGATTGTCATTGCATAGGTGTTCTCAAGCATAAAGGGAAGAAAGTTTATTTATTTCCGGAAGAGGTGCTTTCTTCTCGAAGTATCAACACCCAAAAGCGAGATTTGAAAAAGAAAACCTGGGTCAAAAAAATCAGGAACAGAGTGAGTCTGTCTCAGCATGGTTTTTCGACAGATACTCAGTTGAAAGTCTACCTTGGACTTGGTTCCTTATTTTGGATTTTAATCATGCTTTTGAGTAAGAAATTGACAGCAAATTATTTTTTAACGATTTCAAGCGAATCTTCAATCTTTGGAAAAATCACGTGGCGTAGCCACTTTTCTTACATCGACTTGTAATCGAAATTATAAAAAATGCATTCGTGTGGAAAATATGGACTTATGCGGGCATTTGATGAAGCAATGTTACGAAACACAAATGTTTCCTCTCCCTGAGCCAGTCTCTAGAATACAGCAACCAGAAGAAGAAGCCCTAGAATTCTCAGAGGAGGATAATAAACTCAATTTGGTCCGCTGCAAGAAGAAAAAATTTTACGATGCGAAAATATGCCGGCATCTTTGTTCAAATACGCTTGTTCTGAATTTAAAACGTACACAAGCAATTTCCGGTGTTTCCTGGTTTGGTAAAATTCCTGGTTTGGTAAGAGTCATGGTTTGGTAAGAATCCTGGTTTGGTAAAGTTTTTGAAGTCTTACCAAATCAGGAATTTTACCAAACCATGATTTTTACCAAACCAGGAAAATCTATTTTCAAAAATCTCAAAAATCAAAAAGTGAAAACATCGAGTCTTACCGTTTTTGCTCAACCCCCCTCGAAGTGAAAAATATAAAAATAAAAATCATTTTTTCGCAAAAGCAGACCAGAAATGCCAGAAAATTGCCAATTTATCAGTAAGATAAGCCTTATTTTAAGTTCTATTTCTTTCCTACCCCTCTTACTGCATCGAAATTCCCTCAAAAGATAGTTGCAAATTTTGCTTTATTGAATGAACTGAGCTGACCTGAGTAAAAAATTCTCTGAGCTGAGTCAGCTGAGCAGTCGCTCAGCTAAGCTCAGTGATTTTTGAAAATAAAATGATCTGCTCAGCTCAGCTCAGACAATTATCACTTTGCTCAGCTCAGCTCAATGACAGTCATTTAAGTCACTTAAACACAATCTTACTACTTAAAGTTTTAGTCTAAAACATACAGTGGTGTGATTTGTTGTTTAATATTGTTTAATAATATGTTATTTAAATAATTCTTGTTTTTCACTTTATTATGGTTTTCAATTTAAATATGAAAAATTTTTCCTTTAAAATGATATATTTTTTTATCTCGCAGTGGATTTTAGTGAGGTCATTTGGGGTTACGTGACCTCGACTGACCTCGTAAAAAAGAGGATGAAAAAAGACGTCGAAAGTTGTTGATATCGATGTCTTCATCCCTCTTTATTGGAAAATGTCGAGTTTCTATTAATAAAAAGGGGGGTCACAATTATAACGGGCAAATTCTTCCCGAGACTCACAATTATAACGGGTTCAATATTCTTCCCTGGACTCACTAAGTTAACGGGTTTCAGATTCTCAAAATGAATTGACTGAACTCAGCTGAACTCGAAATCGGCGAACCAATCGAATTTTGTTCTGAGCACTTCTAGAAAATCAAAGTTACACTTCTAGAAAAAACGAAGAGCAAGCTCGCCACGGGCGCTCAATTCATTTCGAGAATCTGAAAATCCCGTTAACTTAGTGAGTCCAGGGAAGAATATTGAACCCGTTATAATTGTGAGTCTCGGGAAGAATTTGCCCGTTATAATTGTGACCCCCCTTTTTATAACTGTGTGAGGAGTTTCCGCACCCTAAAGGGTGAGTGCTGCGTTGCCGGACCTCTAGCTCGCACTTTTCCTACTAATTTCTTCTAGAAGTAGCAAAAGTGAGCGCTACGTTTCCGCACCTTTTACCCGCTCTTTAGGGGTAAGCTCAGCTACCGCTACTAAGCTGACTAAGTTTGGGCTCTTTTCTGTGTAAAATAGGGCCCCTTTCTCTGTAAAATAAGGCCCCTCTCTGTGTAAAAAAGGCCCTTTCCAAAAATGAGGGAAAACCTGATTAGATAGGCAAAATCTGAGTATTTACCAGTTTACCAGTTACAGAAAACGGCGTAAATTAGTAAATATCTTGGCCAGAAAAAGTCAGTGAAAATCCCGTTAAAGAAGCTAGGGTCGGCATCGACCACCCTTTTTCAATGTCGGGTCGGGTCGGGCCACTTTGAAATGGCCGAAATCATGGTCGGGTCGGTGGTCGGCCGATGAGAATGATGAAAAAGCTTCAAAATCCAAAGATGGGGGTTATGAAACATTCGATTTTATAAATGTCCAAAATTCTAAATGGTTTGGCGCTAGTGACATTAAAATATGAAAAACTTCTCGAATAACAGAAGTGAATTTATGTCAGAAAACATGCCCGAGAAATTCTCGGCGAGAATATGCGAAAACCGACCACAGACCCGACAAAAACCCGACCATCGACCGACCAACGACAAATATCAATGTCGGGTCGGGTCGGTCCGACCGAAACCCGACCCGACACCCGACAATGTCGATTTGGTCGATGGTCGGCGCCGACCCTAGAAAAGAAGGGCCATTTTCCCCCTAAAACTTATTTTTTATCAAATGATTTAAGGTTCAACAGATTCGGCAGTACCCTTATGCCGCGTGTAAAATAAGCCCTTTCTATGTAAAATAAGGCCCTTTTCTGAGTAAAATAAGTTCTCAATCAGTGTAGATAACGGCCCTGGGCTTTTTCAGCTAGTTCAGCTTAGCTTAGCTATCCTAGCTAATACTCCACCTATCTCCGCTCCGCTCCGCTACGGGAATTTTTTTTTTTTCGTCAGCTCCGCTACAGGTCACAAAAATTGATCAGCTTCGCTACGCTTAGTTACGGAGAAAAAATTTTGAGTCAGCTCCGCTACGCTCAGCCACGGGGAAAAGAAAATTAGTCAGCTCCGCTCCGCTCCGCTACGGGGAAAATTTTTTTGGTCAGCCCCGCTAAATTTTCGGGTCAGCTCCGCTATCTCCGCTACGAGAAAAATTTGCCAAATGTACAACTCTGGCTCAGTTCATTCAATAAAGCAAAATTTGCAACTATCTTTTGAGGGAATTTTGATGCAGTAAGAGGGGTAGGAAAGAAATAGAACTTAAAATAAGGCTTATCTTACTGATAAATTGGCAATTTTCTGGCATTTCTGGTCTGCTTTTGCGAAAAAATGATTTTTATTTTTATATTTTTCACTTCGAGGGGGGGTTGAGCAAAAACGGTAAGACTCGATGTTTTCACTTTTTGATTTTTGAGATTTTTGAAAATAGATTTCCTGGTTTGGTAAAAATCATGGTCTGGTAAAATTCCTGATTTGGTAAGACTTCAAAAACTTTACCAAACCAGGATTCTTACCAAACCATGACTCTTACCAAACCAGGAATTTTACCAAACCAGGAAACACCGCAATTTCCCCCTGCGAGTCCATCTGTTTTCAGCTGACCAGGTCTTTTGATTCAGCTGGTGATGTTTGCCCAACTGAAAAATACTGTAAGAAAGGGTGCCCTTGCCCTTTTTACAAATGCGAAAAATTGGCCGAGTCGAAACAAAAACTTATTCCAGTTTTTGATCTTTCAAAATCCGAAAACTTTGATGCCTCTGAAGATATTTTAATGGTGACAGATCAGAAGCAATCCGACGAGTTAATTGCTGGTCGTTGGGATGGTCGTCAGAGCAAGAGAAAAAAATTTCCAATCTTTCTTTCTGACCTCAATTTAAACGGAACAAAAGTCCTAATCGATATTCCATTATTTCAATATGTAAGTGATTGATGATTTATTTCAATATGATTTCGTCATCAAAAATCTTTAAGTCGACCGGTTCCACTTTTCTCAATGGCGAGCACTTCTTGGTCGATGTAATTGGAAATCTAGTGATTTTCAGTGAGAGGAATATTTCACCGAAAAGTATTCCGAATCAGAAGAGTCAAATGTAAGTAGATTGAGTTTGATTGAGGAGATGAGCTTTTTAGCGGATTCTTCGTTTTTCATTTTATGTCTTCTATTGGAACTCATCATATAGAAATACTCAGGAAAGAAAGAAGTAAAGCGGTGTTTCCAGTTGTTGTTATTTGAAACAGGGTCTTTTAGATTTCGACTTACACAGAAAACAATCAATTTTTGACCAACACTAAGCTCACCAACTTCCAGATCTGATAAATGCTATTATTATGCGCCAGACTACAACTTGAATCGCTTCGAAGAAGCACAAGGCTTTATTGCTAGCAACCATTTTAACGTAAAAACCTCATCTGTAACTTTCAAAGGGGTCTTTCATTTGATGAGCATCAGGCTTGGTGACCGTTGGATCAAAGTTTCAAGGACAATTGCTTTGAATAAGATAAGAAAGAGCGAAGAACTCGAAAAGGGTTGGCGGAAAGATGAAATTTCTCTTCCAGTTGTTTTTCGAGATATTGACCCTGTTCACGTGGTTCCTTTGATTGACTTGGGAAGATTGATCCTTATTCTGGTGACAAGAAGCATCGCTCTCTCAAATACTCAATATTCTTTTCTTTTGGAAGCGGAGGGAAAATTTCTTGCTCTCAGCAGCGAGTGGATAGGTTCTCTCGTTCAATATGAAGAAAAAACCAACTGCGTCTCTAATTTGTTCGCTAAAAATGACCGCTTCTACACGGATCAAAATGGCAATAATAACGACGAATGCGAGTATTTTGGGAATGCAGTTGCTTACGATGAAAAATTTTTTTATTCAAAGCTTTGTTTTTGACGCAACGTTTGAGATAAAATTTGATTTCGGACGGGATTTTCGAGCTTTCTTCCCGACCAAAAGGCTTCCCGAAAGCCAGATTTGACATCTGAAATCCTTCTAAAAGAGCTAATTGAGCTTGACTTCGTGCAAACGAAAGCGCAAAAGAAGATGCACGTAACAAGCAATCCATATTTTGCCTTCCATGATGACGTCTTTCCCGCATTTGCGAAAAACGCTGCCTCACAACCGCAGTTCTACCGTCAAACAAGCTCTATTTCGAGACCCTTTCCACGCACAATCATTCCCGATTATTTTTTCACCACACTTGCGCACTTCGAACATATTTCCTCTCTTATCCTGGCACTTGATGGAAGCGATCATTTCGAGCTTGAATTGAATTTTCCTCTTTTAAAAGGAACAACTTCTATTCTTGAATTCAAATTTTTTGATGAAAGTATTCTTTTCGGCCTTGAATCATCAATGAATGGTTTCCTTCTCCTTTACTCAGATTATTTTCCTGAAAAGATAAATTCAACAATTTTTTCATCAGAGCTGCTCAAACTCGAATTCCGATTCAAAAATGACTCCTTTTCTTTTATTTATCAGAAGCAGTCCGACAAAAAAGAAGAAAAAGCTATAAAACTGTCTGGATTCGAAAAAATAATTGACAAAAGAATACGGATTTACAAATTCAATCGCCATATATCAATCAAAAATTTCATTTATTCAACAAGAGAATCAACACAAATAAGCGTTATTTTACCACATCACTCCGGTCTTGTCGATCCTTATGCTCTACTCGGCGACGGATCAATCAGCAAAGAGATATTTATCAAAGCTCCAAATGATCATCAAGGAGCCCTGTCTCAATATACTCAAGATTCGAGACATGTTCTCGTTAAAAATCAGCTTTTCATTCTTGGAGGGTTTAAAGATCCACACGCGGTAAAATAAGGGGCCACCTTGTTCATCTGTGAAATTCAGCATGTGATTCCCTGGATCATCCTTCACTTTTAACGTTTGGTTCCCTAGTTCATCCCGACTGAACTAGACTGCGTTGGCGGGATGAACTAGGGAACCACACGCTAAAAGTCAAGGATGAGCCAGGGACCCACATGCTAAAAGACAAGGTTGAACTAGGAGACCCCCTTTTTAATTTGAATTGCTGTTATAGTTAATCCAATTTTCCTAGATTTCTCGGTTAGAGAAGTGCACTTTTGTAAAATTACGGACAAGATTGAGCTACAGATATTGGCTTGCGGATGCTATCACCTTAATCGGAGGCAATAAGGGTTTGCTTGAAGATTGTAAAAAAAATTCTGAACTTTTTAAAGCTATCATTTGTTTCGATGATTATTATGGAAGAACATGCGAAAAATTTGATGGGAGAAAAATCAAACACATCTTCGCAACGAATTTCGACCACACTTTTGGTGCTCTTGGCTTGTACAATGGCCGTCCAATTGCTGTTGGAGGTGCGTACGCAAATGGAACAGTGGAAGCCTTGACAAAAGACGGTTGGATACCAATAAAGGATCATCCGAGGTAATGCATTTTTTTCAATTTAATCGGTTTGTGTGATAAAAAATTGAAGATGGATTAAACTAGCGTCGGCGATCGGACTTCCTTCAGGAGCTTTGCTGACAATTGGAGGAGTGGATGATAAGATAGACCAACATTTTGAAGATGTTTGGAGAATGATGAACAATAATTGGTATTTGGACGGAAGCCTCTCCAAGGCTGTTTTATCTTCATCAGTTTTATTCAAGGGATTTCAAGTTGCTAGTTGACTTATTTTAGATAATTTTAAAAAATTCTGACAATTTTTCTTGATAATACGATGAGCTATCCCTTATTAAAGTCGTTGATGGTAGTATTTATGTTTTTCCAGGGCATTTATACAGCGATGAAAGATCAATCCAACGAATCAATCTAGGCAGCGGATTCAAAGAACTGAAAAAAACTCGACTAGTGAAGAGAATTGAAATCCGCTATGAGATTCCGCCGAAAATTTTATTTCAGTTGACACGGTCGCGGACCAAGGGGTTGATGTCTTTGCTCCAATTGTTATTGTTACTTCAGTTAATTTTTGTAGTACATGATTTAAACTGTTAAATAAAGAAATGGTGAAATATTTGCTGTGCATTGTATTTTTTTCTTTTATTTTCAAAAAAAAACAATAGATAGGATTAATGTCGATGTATTCTTCGATGTTGAAGTGAACTTATTTCATCTTGACTAAGCCTAACGAATCTAAGATCCCAATACATCCATTTCCGAATCTGAATCGGATGTTGGAATCAATGGACAGCCTTGCTCGCACACTTCGTCGTTGCAAAGTTCGACCTAGATAAAACTTATTATATTTAAATCGCATTAAGATTTTTATTAAATAGAAATACTCACATCACATTCGACGATCATCGTTGCGTCGGCGCTGCTATCGGGGAAGGCAAAACTGGTGTACATAAAGTTCACATGATTACCGTTAGTGGCACCCCAGTGGAAGTCTAGTCCGAGGTCGTTCGGGCAAAAATCCTCGATAAGGTCGATTTTCAAATCTTGGTTTGCGCTATCAAAAATCACGCAGCTCTTAACCTTCATTCCGAAATCCGTGATATACTCTGAGAATGAAATCTAACCAGTGATATATTAATCAGCAAGAGACAGATACATTTGAATAAATTGATCGAATAAAACAATTTAATTCTGAAAAAAAATATCACTTGTCTTTGCGTAGATTGGAGCTCCAACGGAGAATTCTTCTGCCTCATTAAACAAATTATCCTCCCAGAAAATTTCGGGACCAGAAGCGAACCGAATATTATAATCAATGACGATTGAATCGTCAATCACATCGCCGAGGTTGAAACTGGTGTGAACAGGATTATTGCTTTGAAAAATTTCAAAATATTTTTTCACGATTTTTCCCTCGTTTTTAAATCTACTAAGCAACTTTTTGAATGAAATGAAATTTGTAATCTTAGCTTGAAGAGTAAGCCGATGTCACCGTTGTTGTTGTGTTGAATGAACAGCTATAGAAAGACGATGATGGTCTCCCAAGGACGATTCCATTAACTGTTTTTCCTCCGATATTTAAAAAATTACCATAATGAAGGACACCCTCCGTTTCATGGAGCATAGCTCCACATGATGTTGCAGATGGAGTAGCGATTCTATAGTGTTCATCATCGAAGTCAACTGCATGGCAAGCTGGTTCATTCAGGTTAATTTTATCGGGCTCAACATCGGGAGCAACGCATTTATTGAGAAGAATTTCTGTTCCCGTCGACGAACATGTCACAGTCGCCATTCCTGCTTGGATTTTGCAGTTGAAGGAGTCGAACTCATCTTAATTTCAATTTATTTAAAATATCGCTCCTTCTGAAAACTGACCTAGCTCCCAGCATTCGGGACATTCGCAACCGCCGCTTGTGCAAAGATGGGAACATCCGCCGTTGTTTCCATCGAAACAGTCAAGAGCGCTCACAGTAGCAGCAGATGCAACAAGCCTTAAAATTTTTTATATGCAATCAACATTTTTCGAAAAACCAAATAAGGCGATAGGCTTTCTCAGATAGATATACCAGGGAGATATATAAAAGATATTTATCTCAGCGATTGATGAAAATGACTATAAAAAAAGGATCTCTGCAGCGGGTTAATACCTGAAAATCTTCATTTTCCAAAAAAGCACTCTGTCCTTGTCAACGTAAAACCGCTATCAAATTGAATAAAAATGAATTTGGCTGTCATCGGGACAAGATAAAATGCCAAATTCAAAAGTCAAATTCAATTGAATATTTTGAAATATCAATTCAGAAGAATATCTTATCTCGATGGCGTGATAAGCTTCTAAGAACAAAATGGAATAAATAAAATAATCTGATTTTTTAAATTTTATTGTATATACAGAAAAGCATCAAGATAGGTTTTCCTAATCTTTTAAAACACGCTGAAACAGACCATTCATAAACATCATTTGTTGTAAATGCTGCATAAACTCAAAAGCGTGGACATAAGTTCCATCTAAAAATACAATGAAATGCAGTGAACGAATTTTTTATCGCACCTTTTTGAATTATTCTTCTTGGAATCGTGGTCTCTGCTGTTTTTAATTTTCCAATACGAGAGTTTTTTTCTCTCTTGATTGGATAGGACCTCCTTTCTTCGATTTCTTCTGCTTGTTCTTCGATAAAATTTTTCTTTTGCATTTCTTTCCAGTTTGAATCCTCGCTGTTGACTACATCGAGAAGCATTGGTTGACCTTGATGATTTGATTGAACAGAGTTCTCGTTTCTTTCTTGAGTCGACTGCGATTTTTCAGTCGAAGAAGAAAAAGTTGTTGCAATCGTTGTTGTTATTTGTGGTGTTGACGTTGTTGTTGTTGTTTTCGTAGAACTCGTTGTTGAAACGCTCGTGGTTGATTTTCTTGATTCTTTTTCGGGCTTTTCTTCTGTATTCAGCGATCTGAAAGAACTACCCTTATTCTCAATAACTTATTGATCAGAGTTTCATAAAAATTATTGAGACCACACTGAATAACAAACCTGATCCATTTGCAGCCAGTGAAAACTTTGAAAGGACCAACATCAATATGACATTTGCAAGTTCTTTTTCTGGCTTACCAAATAATTAAAGGTCAGAGAATTTCTGATACATTAATTTTTAATTTTAGAACAAAATTGAAAATTACAGTAAAATTTAAGTAAAAGTCATTTTCAAGCCACTTTCCTTTCAACATTTTCAAAACTTTTTTCTTGATTCTTATCAAAAACGACTGTGCAAGTAGAAAACTCCAAGGCTCCATCTGTGCATACCCACTCGCCGCAAACTTCTTCATTTTCACCGTCAGAGCAAGTGTAAATGAATTCCTCATCGCACATTCTTTGGTCTTCAATTTTCAATTTGTAGGAAGCGCGAGAATTTGGCGATGACATTATTTCTTTTGCTGAAAAAATAATAATGAAATAATTGAGAAAAGAATCGCTACATACCTAAAAGACAAACAGAGAAAAAAATTTTGGAAATCCTCATATCAAGTGTCAATTTCAGAAAATATTATTTTTCAAATTTTTCTCAAGTTGACTGATAAATCAATACACTTGATGATCAAATTTATAATGCTTGCGAAGAGCGCCACACTGATAAATAAATTTGCTAATTCGCGAGAAAATCTTATCAAGACATCATCTTTATCTTTTCCATCATGTTTTTATCCTTGTTCTTTCGGAACGTTACGGTACCAATAATTTCCGCTTTCGCGAGAACATCCGTCGATTTTTCTTTTCACAATACGGTATTACGGGAGAATCGCGAATTTCAGCCGTATTTTGATGCATAAGTGAATTTATTGAAATCAAGGATAATAAAGTTTTACAGAAATCAGCCGTTAGAATTGAACTCAAATTGCAAGAGAAAATTTAGTTCTTCTTGTTCTTGCCCTTCTTGTTCTTGTTCTTCTCTCCATTCCTGTTGTTCTTCTTCTCCTTCTTGTCACCGTCCCTGTTGTTCTTCTTGTTCTTTCGCTCCTCCTGTCGCTTTTCCTTTCGCTCTTCTTGTCGCTCTTCTTGTCGGTTCTCCTTTCGGTTTTCCTGTCGGTTCTCCTTCTTTTCAGCCTTTCGGAGTTCCTTCTTGTTCTTGTTCTTCTTCTTCATTGGCTCCTCCTGCTCCTCAGCTTCGCCCTCTTCGAGGGAAGCGAGGTAGGCATTCTGGGCCTCGACGAAGGTACCAGCGAGGGCTGGATTGCCGGAGAAGGATCGAGCGCAATGTCGGGCAGAGACAGCGGCGATGAGGAAGGCGTTCAAGAGCTTCATGGTCGTGATAGAGGGTGGTCTAAAATTGAGTAAAGTTTTGGTCTTTTTAAAAAGGTTTCGCTTTACCTAGGATATTATAACTTCAGATAATACTGCCTTCCGGACTTTTCGACGCTCTTTTTATAGTCAGAAGCCGCTGATTTCGTCAGATTTAATCCGAAAATCCTTCTTCGAGGATTTCAGAAGATGAGTACGTCTCAAGAAAGGCTAAGCGCCCCATTCCAGCGTTTTCTAGTGCGCGCTTATCTCGGATAATTTTTCTCGTATAAGAGGAAATTTTGTCTGACGAAAGTTTTCGACATCCACAAATGAACTTTTTTTTCAAGTTCGATGAAAGCAAATATATTATTCGGAATAATTGCTCCAGTGAAAGTTGAATATTTTTCGCGTTTATATAAATTTGCTATGGGTAAATTATTAAATTGGAATCCATCAAAAAGTCTTCTACATTCGATCCATCTGGGGTAACATGAAGAACACAAATGCGCAATTAGCATTAATGAGCCGTCAACAAGGAGCTGGCTCGGGGAAGAAGAAAAAAGATTTTCAAGCTTCTCAGAATTGCAAATCACAAACAATGCCGAGAATTGGAGCTGGCGCGCTCGTCGGAGGAATTGAGTTCAAAATAATTCTAGAGCCAACAGAAGGGTAAGAACAATGGTTAAAGACAAGAGAAAATTATTGAAGAAATCACATTCAAATTATTCGAATGTAAGCAGATCTTCAGTCAAGTAAAGACTCAATAAGACTCGCTTAAAAATAATAAAAGATATCTTCAATTTGAACAATTAAATAATCTTTAAACTCAAATGAGCCGCAAAACAAGCTGGGAAGCGAAAAGAAGAGATTCTGACAAAACCTCTGGAATGGGATGAAGAAGCTCTTTTGAACATTCAAAAGCACGCGACTGAGCAGGTTCGTCCACCTCTTGAACTAAAAACGACGTTTATCATCAGGTTGAAGAACCAGAAGCTCTGAATGCCTGGCAAAGATGGGGCCGAAAATTTCAGCAGGATTCCTGGGGCTACACTACCACCAGTAAAAAAATTAAAATTTTGAAAGAAAATCATCCTTTTTAGCTCTTATCATCATCTCGTTGCTGATCATTTATTTGCTTCTCGACCACCTAGCTGCCCTGGACGATACTTTTTGCGGATGTGTATTTTGCAAGCTTCAAAATTCGACCTTTTGCGACCGACCTCAATTTTCTGGTCTGACGCAAAGTCAAATTATATTCTATGGAATTTTTACATGACGAAAAAATCTGCTATAATGCATAAAAAAAACTCTTATCATCATTCTCTCAGCCTTCCCTTGGTTGAAAAAATTGATGAAATCCTTTTTGAATATGAATTTTTTATTCGTCGTCTTCGTTTTGGCAGGAGAACGTGAAAAAGGGTCAAAACGGACCCAGTTTTGGACCGAAAATTGAACGAAATGGTCCAAAAAAGCGGTGTGCAGAAAGTTGTTCTTTGATGATTTGAAAAACCTTGTACTTAAAATATAAGGAAACATTTTTGTACAAAATTTACAGAAAAAAGAGCTATTTTGACCTTCAATTCAGAAGGCGTGGAATAGTAGTGAAATAACGGAATGTGAAATGAAAGCGTGAAATGTTGAGAATTTGGAAAATGCGAATGTAACAGTAATTGGATAGGTGAAGCTGATAAAAGAATAGGGAAGATAAAGAAACTGAAGTGAATATAAAGTTAGGGTTTTACTTTTTGACGCTGGAGGCCTTGAGTTTAGTTGAACATCTTGAGGTAGGCTTCTGCGTCTGCTGTCAGACTTTGCTGGGTTTGACTGGAACCGGTGGCGATGGCGTTCCAACTGTCAGGGCTCTGAAGATGCTGTTAGATTTGGCAAGGGAAGATTTGGTACAGTATCCTCAGAACTTGAGGCATCTGTCCATTTGATTATCAACTTACCGGTTCGTTTTTGATGAAAAAATCATCGGAAGAAGGCGTTTCCGTCGTCGCCGCTTCAATTTTCACCACCTCGGTAACATCGTTATTCTTCGCTTCAAGCTGCTCTCGCTCAAAATCCTTGGCGACGCAACTATTCAAACTGCTCTGCGCATTTTTCCAAAGCGGCGCGGTGGAGGAGTTTATCGAAGCAGATCGGAAGCGATCGGAAGCGGCGCCGCCGGAGAAGGATGAGTATCCATCGTCGTCGAGTTGGAGGGCTTTTCTCACGCGCTTTCGGGGATTTGGCAAGAGCTCAATGTAGCTTCGAGAAGTACCGGCGACGGAGCGTCTTGGGGAGTCGATGAAGGAGAGGACCTTAAAACATAATCGTCAATTTCAATCCATTTTTGACCAGTTTTACCTCGGAGAGATCTTCGACACTGACATCTCCTGTTCTGTTCAACTTCCCATGTCGCTTTTCCTGCGCTGCCATTGCTCTCTAGAATTCAAATTAATTCACAAATTGCTTCTAAAATCATACCTTGAAGGGAGTAGGCGTTCGTGGAACGAAGGGAACACTTCGTTTCGGCGTCAAATTCAGCAAATCGCGCTTGGACATTGGTCGTTCGGAAGGATTGACGCGGGGCGTGCTCGAGCCATCGATGTTTTCTTTCTCCAGCTCTTCTAGGCGCTTTCGAGGAGAGCGCAAATGGCGAGGGGTTGAAGAAGAGAGGGGAGGACCGTTAAGAAAACGTGATGGAGACAAAAGCGTCCTGAAAGGATGAGATTAGACATTAGGCAAAAGGGCCTCAAAAAGGAGGCAGCAAAGATTGGATGATTATGATTCTTTTTAGCGTAGAAACAACTTAATTATAAAAACGCTAGAGTAAAGTTTTAGCTTTATGGCGCTTACTTGAGAGGAGATTGCGTCGGCGTCCTGTTCAGCGTCGACGTATTTCCACCTGGAAGAGTCAAATTCTGCGTTTTTTCCAGCTCCTGGACGAGCAAGCTTTTCACGGAGTGACTCGGCTCTGGGCGGACGGTGTTTTCTGGATGCTCATTTTCTTGATTCGCAGTCTGGTTCAGGTCGATCTCGTGCGAATCAGTAGCTCTGATGGGCGTTTCGCGACCGATCAGAGTCGTGTCGGCCGAAGGAGGAGCAACAAGGTCGCGAAAATTGAGCATTTCTTGTCCTCGACGCTGTCCATTGAGAATAACTCTCGTTCCACCACTGAAGGGAGTTTTAAAAACGGAAAAGAGGGTTTGTTCTTACGAATGAAGGCGGTCAAATTTGACGGGGGACTTGGTCGGTGTCGTGGGCATATAGTTGAAGGGGCGGTAGACGCCAGGCTCGAAACAAGGCCGCTTAGGTGGGAGTCCGCTCATGCTACTGCCAAATCCAGAGATGCTATTCATACTCCAGCAAGAAGTATCCATTTGTCCGTAGCTAGAGTTGTTACCGACATTGATTGGCTCGAGCTTGATGGAAGTGGAGCTGAGGGAGTGAGCTGTTGAGTGTGTTTCGCTCATCGAACGAGAACGGTGGTACGATTCGTGGCTGAAGCTAAAAAGAGAACGTTCACGATCGGTTTTTCCTCAAACGATTGTAATCAAGGAAAGACAATTTCAGTTGAAAGTAACAGTACCTCAAACGACCCATTTTACTGCGACTGTGAGAATGGGAAGAGTTGCTATTGAAGCTCATGTTCGCCCCGTTTTGTTGGCCCAGCTTCTCGATAGTTTCTTTCACGCTGTCCGGACAATCTCCTGCCAGATATTCTAAAATGAGAACTGAGAAATATTGAAAAGAAGCTCATTCTTACCTTGTTTTTCAACGCGTCTTCGCAAGCTCGAGTTCCAGTGATTTTTGATCGCGTTGTCGGTGCGTCCCTTGAAAAGCTTGGCGATCTCAGCCCACTTGTTTCCCACTTTCTTTCTCGCCTCGTGGATAATCCAGTCTTCTTCAATAGTCCAGTCAGACTTGTCTATTTCCGGATTCAGGTGGTTGTGCCATCGCTCGCGGCATTGCTTCCCGATGCGGCCTGAAATTCAATTAAATTTTGGGTTTCATTTTGGTCATTCGATAGTCATTGAAATAAAATTATAAAAGTGTTGCTACCTTTTAGATGTTTGGCGATAAAGGCCCATTTTCGGGGTCCATGTTTCTTGACAAGCTCGACGACGCTAGAAAATAAGTTAATAAAAGCTTCTACTTTTTCAACTTACAGATCGTCTTCCTCCTTGGTCCAGGGCCCTTTGATAAGGTCGGGCTGGAGGTGATTCTTCCACCTGGCGCGGCATTGAACATCGGTGCGCCCTGGCAGCTTCTCGGAAATCTCGTTCCACCCGATCGCCTGAGAAATTACTTTATTGATCACGTGACACATAAAGCAGCTCGAGCTTGTAGCCGCGTTTCAGTAGCACTGCAGGCTACTGTATACTGCTATATTATATTTGCTTGCGGCGCTCGGCGGGGAGCCGCGAATTTGCAAAAAAGAAGGCAAATATAAATCGACTCCTGCTGAGAGGGACATCAGCAGTGATGATCTTTTTGATAGCAAGGGATAAGAATCAAAAGAATTTCAATCATTTCAACTTTGTAAAACTGCTTGAAAAAGGTCTTACCTCGTCATTTCCAGCGCTTTTCACAAGCGCCATTAGTTTCGTATCTTCGTTGCTTGTCCATCGTTGCCTGGGCCTCGCTTTCTCCGGCGAACAATCGGATCTTCCCGAGAAACTCGAGCTCAGGTCTAGCTCCTGCTTTTCGCTCTTAATGATCCTCGTGATCTGCGTCGGGCAAATCACGAAGCCGGCAGTTTGCGCAGTTTGAAGATGCGAACTTGGAAGCGTGGCAGGTAGAATGTGGCGAACTGCGGGTCTGAAATTTACAAAATGAGTCGCATGAAATTCGGTTATTTTGATGATGATCTTTGGGTTGATTTTATGGGTTTATCCCGAACGAGGAGGGTTTTTATGGGGATCGAAAATTGATAAAGATCCTGATTTTATAGAGCTCCCTTTTTGGAAACATGCTTGCTTCTCAAAACGAATATTTTCTCTTATTATTTGAAACGCGCTGTTTTGTTACGAACAGGAAAATTGCGGTAAGGAAAATTGTCCTCGGATAAAACTCAAAATCTTGATTCTAAGATCATCAAAATATTTGTAAGGATGATCGGTGTTACTGTACCTTTCTCGCTGCGGACTTGTCCCACCATACTCGGCCCCATCTTTGCTCGATTTCATCAACACTTTCTTTTATTCAATTCTTAAACTCTCTTAATTAAAAGTTGTTTTTTATTCCCGCTGTAACAATTTTCTTTTAGCAACTGTAACTCCAAACGCTGCAGTACTAAAAACACTGCCGCTCTTTCTATCTCTTCCGAGGCGCTACTGAGTCCAGCGCTCGATAAGGGGATGAACTAAGGGGGCTACAGCTAGGCAATAAGGAAAAAAGACGCAAAAATCGGGGACGCCATGTGGCGCAGAAGTGGTCCGACCCTTACGAAAAAAACCTATCAGGACGATATCGATCTTCAAAAACACCTGGCCGAGCTTGATGCCTTTTGCCGGGAAAATTTTTGCCGCGAAAAAAACTTGTCTGTAAGAATTCTCAGCCAGGGTCAACTCATTTTGAAAAGATTGTTTTTGACCTCTCGGGAAAATATATCAAAATAAGCCGGTATTTACGACAGTGTTAATATCCAAATCATGAATGAAAATAGGAGCTAGCCTCATCAGTCTATGAATAAACGTGAGTCTGAGTCCTAAAGGTTCAAAGAGTACAAGAATAACAGCCCTGACTCAGTTTTCTTTACAGGTTGCCGAGACCAAAATTGAAGTAAGATTCTGAATCTTGTTTTCGCTAAGTTTTTGATAATGACGAAAATTTATTATAAAAATAAATCAAAAATAAAACTCAAAGAAGGCCAATCTTCCGACGAAAAAAGTCGATTTCTGATATAAACTCAATATCGACTATGCGAAAAAAGGTACACATGCGGGATGATCATATCGATCTGAAGTCTGGCAGATGATCGGATTAGGAAGTTTAATTTCATATTTGCTCCTTTTCCGCCAAAAAACGCAAGGGCGAGCAGATGGCTCAAGAATTAATGGTGGACAGGCCAGATTCTGGTCGATTTATAGGATTTGGCAAGGAAAACATTCACACAAGTTATTTTAGTTTATTCGAAAGAGGCAATTTTTGAAATTGTACTTTGATAATTGAAAGAAGTAGTAAACACGAAGGTGTTCTTTTCGAATTTCAGAAAGATAGGTTTTTCTCGGCCCCAAATTTATTATGTAATAAATAAATTGAAGAGAGTAGGATAGCACATGGTTTAAATAAGGGGACGAAAGAGGAGGAAAAAGAGTTGATCAGTACGGTGGAATAAGTTTTTAGCGGATAAGAACTTATGGAATTATTAAGAGAAATGTTGATAATGTAGCAAATTTTTTTCTTCAAAAAAGGAATGGAAAATTTATCGCCAAAAATGCTCTTGAAAATTTCGAAAAATTTCGATCTTTCTAGGTTTTAGAAAGATTTAAAATACAGGAAGATATATTTTTTCTATAAGAAAAATCTCTCATTTCTTATTTTGAAGGAAAAAACAACCTAGCTTTTGAATTTTTTTTTACATTTTTTATCTCATTTCTCGTGTTCGTTATTTGTAATCATAGTTGCAATCATATTTTCTCGAGTTTTTTCAGTGTGATAGTAGTAAAATAAGAGATGAAGAAAGAGAGAGAGGTTACAGTCTTTATTTTGCATCGGCATTTTTTTATCATATTGTTCAAGATTTTCTCTTCAGACGGAGAGTTGTTGCTGAGCCGCGTTGGGATTCACATCTGAAATAAAAAAGTAAGAGGATGAGCCGTCTGGACTAAAAATGAGATCCAAGGCGGTGGGTACTCTGAAGATGCCTGTAATTAGCCAGAGAGCGCACGCTGGGTATCAATAAGTATTCCGAAGGTGGAATGGCGAATCAATTGATTTTTCTTTTCGAAATGGTGATGGATTGAGAGTGTTAAAATACAAGGGGCTCTACTGAAGATTGACGCCCTAGTTTGAAACTTACCAAAGATCTCAGCCTGCGATTTGACCGCTCGTGCTCGTTTCTGACTCATTTGAAGAATTGACAGCGCTGGGAAATGGCCTTGTCCTTGGAGGAAGAGAATGATGGATTCGGCAGTCTTCATCGGCTGCTGCTCAAGGATCATGGAGCCAGCGTCTTGCATCTTGACAAGTGTGGTAATCTGCGGATTGAGCCGTGAATTGAGCTCGGCTGTGTCTTCATTGTGCGGCGAGGCATCACCGACGAGGAGCAAGGTGGGAACTCTCAGATTACTCTTGCCAAGTGGAGTCCGCATCAGATTAATTTCAGTCCGCTAAACATTACCTTTAATTACCACAGTAAATATACCGTATATCATATACGGTTCTTTCTATTCTGATTCCGAGAGAACTCGGTACTTGAATACACTTGATAGGTTAAAATCGTGGCTCAAGAATCAGACACTTAGCTAAACTCATACGCAGTACGTACTCAAATGCTCGGACTTACAATATGAATAAGTACTGTGAATAAGCTTCTAATTGGCTTTTGTGATTAACAACGCCTGACAATTCCGGAAATTTTTTCTCCGCAAAAAATTAAATTTTCTAAAGGAACTTTGCAAGCACTTCAATTTAAAATGGACGATAATGAATGCTGCTGTCGAAACCTTAGGTCTGGAGAACTAACACGTCAAAAGTGACGATATCCTACGATTTTTTCTGTATGTTTTCGTAGTCGGCTTTTCGCTACAAAAGAAGATTACTTATAAGCTAATAAGCGATATTTTCGAAGCAAAATTTTCGATAGAGCTCTAATTGGTACGGAAGTGAAATTACTGCTGGAATTCGAGAAGCCGCGTGCGGCTTTGGGAGAATGGCGCGGCTTCTAGATTCTCACCGGTTACTTTGTGTAGCAAAGAACTGATGACTAACAGTTTGGGATAATTGTCGCCACTGGATAGATATTGAATAAGATTGGACTTACGCGTTCCAAGGAATTAATGAGCTCTTTGATATTGTTCTCGTTTAGCTTTCTGAAGTCGTGAAGATGCGCATTCTTCGAGTCCTTGAGTCGCTGGGAAACATAATCCCCGCTGAAGTGATACCTGAACGAAAATGATCAAGAAACTGTATTTTTAGAGCAATAAACCAAACCCTATGAATTGTTAAAAAAGGTATTAGAATGATTAATCTAGGCGCTTAAAAATTGATTTAATCGTCGCTGTTCTTTTAAAAAGAGTCCAGTTTGGACTGATTTCAACAAAAAAGGAAAGAAATAAAACAAAAAATGAGAAAAGCGATTTTACTTTTTATTCTTGCTTCTTTGTAAGTCGCCAAAATTAAAAATTATTAGTTCAAAAAAATTTAGGCTCGGTGAGCTGAAATGCGCTCAATTCACTGTCAACACCTTTTTCAACAACAACAGGGATTTCAAGACCCGGAAACACATCTACAGTTTCAAGCCGATCTTCACAAAAGAAGAAAAGCCCTCGGCCGAAGCGGAAAACAGTTACAAGTTGCAAAATATTGTCAATAACAAATGGTTTGGTTTCAAATAAAAAAGCTTCAAAAACCCTTCAAACGATAAGAGGGCTCCCAAACCTGTGTAGAAAACTGAGTCAGGTCCTGATAGAGCACAACATAAATGGAGATCTGGTAAAGCCGCTACGCAGCTTTTGCTTCAAGCTTTGCCAGGACCTGACTTAGGCTTCAACACAGGTTTCCGAGGCCTGTTAACGCCTCATCTTTCTTACCAGTCGAGATAGTCGTATCCAGCAGAAGTTCCAAAGATTTTTTGGTGAAAGTAGCTGCTCCATGTTTGTTGCGAGAACATTGGGTTGGCGAATATACATCCGTCGACGCGGGATTGATCGTTGAGCTTAATTTTTTAGCTGAAAGTAGGAAGGGGGAGCCTTATTCGTACCGAAAATCGGAGAAGAACATTGGCACCGACGCCAACGCCGAATAGATAGACTCGTTTGAGACTGAAGTGGTTGACGATCTGAAAATGAAGGGGTTTTTGATAGAAAAAAAAGTTGGAGGGGGCTGGCTTTCAAGAAAAGACTGAGCAAGACTTACGAAAGGGACCATTTCGGCCATTTGATCGAGCGAAGGATAGCATCCTGCCGGAATCTGCGAGTCGTTTTTGTCCAGTCCCGGAATTCCAATATGAACGACGCAGAATTTCGACTTGAGCGGCTCGAGCAGGTCGCAGTTGAATAGAGTTGAGAACTGCGTCTTTGCTAGATGGAAAGATGAGACGTGGGGAAAAGAAAAGGAGCAGGGATTACTCACGAGATAAGCCGATATCATGCATTGTCAGAAAAGTGATGCTGGCGCTGGGATCGCCATGGACGGTTACTTTGACGCGAACTTCGTGTTGATCGCCAGATGTAGCGGAGATGTACTTGTATGGAATGGTTTCCTCCTAAAGCAAATCATGAGAATTTTTAATCAAAAATTGGGGAGCCATTCTGCGGCTTTGGAAAAGCCCATATGGAGCTTTCTATGAAAACTCTTTCTACTCCTTTTTGGACAAAGAAAATGCTCGAAAAAACTTACTGAAGGTTCAAGAACAATATCCGAAAGCTCTAAGTCCTCCATTTTCTTCTCTAAGCCAGGCATTTAGAAGTTATACAATCAGACGGTAAATCTATCTCTTTTCTTTCCACCCCTCTCTTTTTTGCGGCAGAGGATAGGGCACGTGCCGGGAGTAATTTGGCTTGGGAAGGATGCCGAGCAGGGACAGATAAGTGCGATTATATCTGTAATCGATCGGCACGAAAACTGAAGCCCGTCGAGGATGATCTGGCTCAGCAAAAAAATAACAAACTAGTCTGCTTATTTTTTCAGCGCAAAAAAGGGGAAATCGCGACTCCTCTGGCTCCTGCACTTTTTAAAACTCCAAGGTCAAAAACAATTTAGCACATTAGCGGGCCGCGCTTTTGAAAACCTCGAGCTCTAGAAATTACCTGATACGCCGCATCAAAATCCGAGCTTTTGGACTGATTTAAAAGTCGCTCTGTCAGTTCCTCTTCTTGCATCATCTCTTTTACTCTGAATGAAGTCATATACAGTCATCGTCGTTTATTTGATCTACAGTAATTCTCTAATTGTTGAAATTTGTCTCTAAGACAGCGAAAGAAACAGGAGTAACTTGGAACAGATGAAAAATCATTTTTCTTCGAATTGCACTTGTCCAGAAAGAGGAAAGAAGCTGGTCTGTTTTGGAGGAATAAAGGTAGACGAAAATATTTGTCCCTGGGGAATTTTTCCAGTCACGAGTTTTTTTCTGACTAAATAAGCTGCTGAATCAGATTCAATTCTGACCAAGCATTATTTTTACTTTGATGAGCAACTGGTCATAAAATTAAAAGAAAAGAGTGGAAGTTGCAAACTCATCGAAAAATGAAATATTTTCACATTGAAATCAAGGAAGACTCTTCCTTTTGGTAGTACTTTTTCCCCTTTCCTAGACATAGATGCCAACAGTGAGCATGGTGAACATCATTCCAAGACCCATGAAGATGGCAGAAACGAGCGCGAGGGAAAAATCCTTTGATAGAGAGCGGACGTTTTTGGACTTTGTCACTTGCTAGAAATTGTTAGAATCAGGATGTTGCGCTAGTTTGGTACCTCGACAAAAAAGTAAGCCGAAGATCCGAGTCCAGCGATCATCAGAAAAAACGCAAGGGTGGAATACAACGATGGGTCGATTGGAGAGTTGTATGGAGAAAGCGCCATTCTGGTTTTTGCTGAATGTGAGAATTGAGAAATTTTATGTAGAATGATATTGTTTTTGTATTTGTTTGTTTTGAACTGAAAGAAAGCTTGAATTTTAATGAGCGAAGTTTTTAAAAGTATGTTTGAAGAAAAGCTTGGCTGTGTAACTGATTAGAAGTTGAAATTCAAGGAATTGATTTTTGTGAAAGGAAGTTTTTTGAAATAGAAATACAGAAAGAAGTATGATTCAGTGAAGTTTTGCTTGAGTTATTCAAGGCCGAATTCTGCGCATTCGTGGATTGCCAGCTCGATTTTTGATTTCAGCTGAGCCATGGTCGCGTATGGCGGCAAATCTGAAAGGATAGAATAAAATTTGTCACTAAGCAAAAGCCTGAAAATTAAAGAAAATTATAAAGGGGTTATTTTTGAGTCTACTCAAAACTTTATAATGAATTATAAATATTTGGCATTTAGACATTATAATTCCTGGAGAATGGAAACTATATCGCCACACGTTTAACAATTTGGACGAATGAGACGCTTAAAAGTACAGGGTCCGATCCTGCCTAAGGGCAACTAGAAGTGCAGATTTGGCTCATTCTAGCGCCCGAACTCAGCACTTCCAGAGACACGATGAAGGAAGCAAACTGCAACGGGGACATATTCTGGGCACCAGGTAACATTGTAACCGATAGAATCTGGCCAAGGGGAATATAACGTAATTATTTGATAGTTACTACTCTCGTTTCGTAGTAAAAACATTTTGTGGGTGATAAGAGTTGATATCTTAATGTATAAAACATTGATAAAGTTTTAATACGAGGGATGCTGTTATCGGAATTTTAACAGGAAAACTCTTATATGGAATAAAAATTAAAGAAACCACGGTTTACCGCGGTTGACCGCGGTTCGAAATTTTGATTTTCATGTGTTCTTATTTTCTAAAAAAAAATTAACCGGCGGTGAAATTTATCTTTCAGTCGATGGCGACTTGAGTTGCCTCGGTCACGTGACGAAAAAGATCACAACCGGTTCGTCGTGCAACGTCAAATGCGTCGCATCTTATGCCACTCCTGATAAGATCACGTGTTTACAGAGCGGATGGGATACTGACGTAGATAGGGTAAGCTCATGAAAATATATTTTTCTTTATTCAAAATCAAAATTAGTCTACATGTGATGCTACAAAAGGCGGTCTCGGGCCAGTCGGACAAATTATGCTCATCGTCGTCTTTCTCGTCCTCTTGTCCATCGGAACATTCGCCTGGCAAAAATATCGCAAAAGCAAAATCAACCCGGCAGATCAAGGTTTTTGGCAATTCAAAAATAGAATTCTTATTATATCACTTTCAAGCCGGCCAGGGGCCAAAATATGCAGGAGACGTTCCAAACTTTGACCGCGAAAAGTCATATGGAATGGGCCGCGATGGATTTGACAATTTACAGACGGTGAATTTGGGCGAGTTGTCGCCTCTCCCGCAGCCTAAGAATCGACCTGGCGGTGGTTATCATCCGGCTGGAGCGGGAATTCATGACTTTATGGGAACCTGTACTATTGGTAAGAACATTTTCGTTAGTGTTTCTAGTTCAAGCCAATCAGATGCTGCTAATTTGCCAAGCTATGAAAACAGACTGTAACTTTGATTAAGGAACTGTATCCCAAAACCCTAAACTTGGTCAGTGGCACGAAGACCCAAAAAATCTTGCCTAGAACAACCGCTAGCCCTGGGAATTATTGATAATACTGTACTATAGAAAATGCCCAGTATGAACCAAAAATTGCCCATCCCTGATTTACAATACTGTAAAATTGCTGCTTCTGCATTATATATCAACTGCACCAGAAAAGTCCATGTTACAAGAAGAAAAATTGCAGTTTAGTGATTCATTTTGTTCAATAAACAATAAACTCAAAGTGAAAAACATACCTATCCGATTGAAACAAGTGTGCGCTCTTGGAAGATCCTTGATCGTGCCCCATTGTTCGACGCAAAAGGGTTTTGGGCCGTTTGGTCCTCGGAGACCGCAGAAGCCTTCGTAAGGGATGCTAGAAGTGCCGGTGACGAATTGGAGGAATTTGAGTCGGTGTTCGTGGTCGAGTTCTTCGAGGTATTTCCAGAAGAGCTCGACTGTATCGTTGGAGTCAAAGTATCCTCCTCGGTACTCTAGCGATATTATTTTGATTATTTGGATATAATTATATATACAGTCGACGTCTATAAAACTCTATGCGTTTGAGCTACATTTTCACGCCAGATACCGAATGATTATAATCTGGTTAAACAAATTCGATCCTGGCTTTTCAAAATGATTTTTCTGTTACCTGTATGACTCCTCCAGTCCTGCAAGTCAATCTCCTGCGTTCCACACAACGCTAGTTCCAAATCCGAAGCAGTAAACTTTTCCAGCATCTTAACATTAACAACTTCATTGAACCCATGCACAAGGCCAGCGATTTGCGGCCGAACACCGTCATAGAAATGCCAATTGACGAGTTTCTCGATGTATTCGTGTTTGTTCGCATCAGTGACTTCTACTTCGGCACCGTTTGGGATGAGTTCTTTGACTTCCTTTTTGCCGAAACGTTCCTCGATGACCGTGAAGTCCATGAAGAGGTAAGCGTCGTCGATGGAATTGTCCTCCATATACTGAGTTGATGATATGAAAGGGGGGACCTGTGCTCGAGAACCTTTCTGCACCGGAGTCAGGGTTCTCTTCAAGCTTTTATAAAACCTGAGTCAGGTTAACGCAACGCCTTTTTTTGAAATCGGAAATAAAATCATATCCATTCCTTGACAGAATTATACAGCTGCAAGTCCACATACTTCAAATCATCCAGTGTCAATTTTCTTTTCAGCAAAAGCGAATAAATCGGTTTTATAAAGTATGCATCTATCAAGTAGCGATGAATGAGCGCCAATCCGAGAATGCGTCCGATGAAGCGGAACCATTCTTTACATGCGGAGACCATCTCTTTGTCGTGGGAGCAATTATAAAGGGAGTGACGGGAGATCTGAACTGTGTAGTCGTCTGCGTCCGAGTATTCGAACCAGTTGTAATAAGGATTGAAGAGGTTGTGCGAAACGAGGTAGAAGAATTCTCGGGATGGACCAGAGTAGTCTAATAATTAACAGATTAGGGCAATGAATCATGCCAATTATTTATTCGGCAACTTCTACAGGAGCCGGAGTCAGGCTTCTACACTGGGTAGCGAATCAAAAGGTATGAGATATTTTTCTCATCTTAAAGAAGCTCTTACCTAGACCTTCTTCTCCTCGAAAAGTTATCTGCAGTTTTTGCCTCTGTAGCTGTTTCACCGACTTGTATCTCAAATAATTAAACGCATCTCTGACGAATGAGTCTCTTTCGAGTGGCATTTTGATTTTCCCAGGTCCTTTTCCATATCCCTTTTCGTCGAGTTTCGAGTAAAACTCAGACAGCGTCTTTTCAAAAGGACTCGTTATCTTTTCCTTCTTTTCTGTCGTTCTCTTCGTCGAGGCGATGGAAGGAGCTCGTGATGGATCGAGAGTTCCCAGAGAGATTGAACTGATTTCGTCGTGGAAAACCGATAAAATTTGAGCCAGGCCGCCAGCGTTCACGTGATTATGGAAGGCGGCCACTCCTCCAGCGCGTATTTTCTCAAGGACTTTCATCGTCATTGGCGAATTTTTAAGAGCGGGGATTTTCTGAGCGATGTAAGCGTTGGAACGCTTGTTGAGGAAGATAACAACTTGATCTGGGTATGAAAGTGGGTCTTCAAGAAAAAGGTAAGTTATTAATTTACCAGTTGGTCTACCTGATGAGTTTCTAGAGCTGGTGTCTCTGTTCGTCGTCGAATCTTGTGCGTTGTCTCCATTTGATGAGGCGTGATATTCGGATAGATTTTCAGAAGCAGGTGAGGATGAAGGAGTCAGTGCGTGAACTGCGGCTGGGTGAAAAAATGTTGTGAAGTGTAGTTCTATATTTGCGTAGTATTCTCGATTCTTTGAGTCTTTCAAGGCGATCCAACTTGGAGGTAAACTGCCAAAGGATTCAGAATCTTCAGATCATTTGCTACTCTTCAAGGAAGAAATAAAGGATTTCAATATCAAAAAGAATCTAAATCCAATTCCTTGCATTATCTGGAACATAAATATTTATAAACTGTACAAACGCCTGCGTACTCAAATGTTGCTGGAAGAAATTCTCCTTCGTCCGCATCAGATTCACCAATGTCCGGACCGTCGAGTTCTCAAGATAGAAATGACGCGCGTTTTCGTTCTTTTCCAGCTCTTTGAAGAAGTCGGCAGATAGGATGAACTTTTTGACTTGGAGATGATAGTCGCGATCGGACATCATGTTGTGCTCGATTTTCCGGGACATGGCGCGCTTCATTGATGCATAACGTTTTGTGAAGGATTGGGGGACGACGGTGGCGCGGTTTCGCTGGACGGATCTTATGATTCCATCGGTTATTTATTGTTAAAAAACTCATGCCTTTAAATTGATTTCGACAATTTCACCATAATTCTTGGGAAGGCAAACTGTGAAGAACACTGAGACAGGGTCAGTTACAGTTTCGAGACCCTGACTCAGGTATTTTCACAGGCTGTGGACACCAATGTCATATTGGCAATGTGAGTTAGCTTTTATTTTCATTTTTTGAAACAAAAACACCCTTATAAATGTTTTTTTTTTATCTGAAGGAAACATCGTGGGAAGCAGTCAAGCAAGAATTAGTTTATCATTCTGTTATCACCTCTTTACCTCATATCATCATCGGGAACTGATAAAAAATCTCTACAACGGCGAATTATAACGATGTATCAAACATCTACTACTAATAGTCTATTAGTAATAGAGCAACTTACTCCAAATAACTTTTAAATAAAAAACGATTTCGTACCTGCGACGCATAGTGCTGCTCTTGAATGAATGCATTTGGTTTCTAGACGAGTGGGGGTCGCTGGTGGCGTCCTAGATAAATAATTATCACGAGGGAGACGGGGGAGGGGATTGATTTCGGATTATCGGACTGTTGATAAGTTAAATTAGTGTCCGTCTTAGCCACAATAACCAAACATGTTTGATTAGCTGGGAAAGAAAATTTACTTGTTCCCAGAGATTCGAACAAGGTGAGAAAAGAATAAAAATTACCAGGAGTCTATTTTTTGACTTACAACTGAAGGCGTTTTTGCTGTCATTTGCGTTCTCCTGCTGACCGAAAGCCTGTGTTTTGATCTTTTCTTCCCCTCTGCCGCGGCAGATTTCTTTCTACTGGAGAACGCTCTCGTCTTCAGTTCATTTATCGTCACGATTCTTTCAATTTCCAATTCTACCACTCCTTCAAGCGCCAGTTCAGGACTCTGCATCTCATAGACGCTTTTTCCGTTGATTTTGTGAATTCTATCGCCGAATTTTAGCTCCGCATGGGTCACTTCTTGGACGATTAAATACTCCGGCGTCTTGAGAAAGGACAAAGAACCGGCGTTTTCGATTTGAATGGTGAAGTTTTCTGTTAGAGGCGACATTACTGTAGGACTATGCGAGACGGTCTCCAGCTGTGGTCTTCCGATCATCGCCTTGTGATACGAGTCCGATCTGTTTTTCTCGCTTGAGTTATTTGTCTGCTCCTCGAAAACCGAATCATTCTCGCTCTCATCTTCGTCCTCTTGTTCTTCTTTTTCCTGGCAGTCAGTTTGTGACAGACAAATCGACTCAAATTGGCGAAGAAGTGTTTCTGAAAAAGAGTTGCCTCTTTCGCTGGAGCTTCGTATCGCCGTCGCGAGCATTTCTTCCAAAGAATCGAAGGTTTCTGGATCTTCTGAGTTGTCAATATGGTGCAACGAGCGAGCAGAATTCAGAGTTTCTACGGACGAGCGGATGGAAGGAGCGGTAGCGCCAGTTGCTCGGCGAGAAATCGTGTTTGCCGCGTCAGGGCGATCTGGTTCAATGAGATCGAATGTGATCATAATTGACGCCTCTCCTTTTCGAACAACTAGCGATCCTTTTCCAACATCGTCATTTCCACTTCTTCTGGCGCTTTCGATGTCTTCGAAGGGGATGGTGACTTTGAGAAGATTTCGACCAGCGAAAGAATTTTCTTTCACAACGAGGATGACTTTTACCAGCGGATTGATTTTCAACCAAGGGAGCGATAAATCATGCCATTCTGGTTTATTGCTCCCGGATTTGACACTTGTCGACGCGGACTGAATCGATTTGGAGCTCTCATCTTCTACGAAGATATTCACGTGACATTTACAGTTCTTTTTTGGCAGGTTTTGACATCGTATAGACGTCACGATAAGGAGAAGGGACATTTCTCCATCTAAAGAAAAGCGAAAAACTAGTATTTTTTGTTGGTATTTTATTAATTTTAGAAAGCATCAGATTTTGAACTTTAGAAACCTACTATCAGTATTGAAAATAGCCTAAAAGATTCAGTGGGAATTCCAGTGCGCGCAGAAAAAAGAGCGAAATAAAATACATTCTACGTGAATATAAGAAGAAAACAAAACAGCATGGGCAAGAAATAATCGTAATAAAGAGGTTGTACTTTCAGTCAAGAGTGAAATGGGCTGTTACAGTGGGCTGCTGCTGTATAACTTTTGAGCTTCTTTATTTTGATGGCACGCGGGCATTTTATTGGACTAGAGTTTTTTTAGGAAGAACGTTAAAAATATTTGTCATGTGGTTGAAAATAAGGTTCTTTGTGGTGTGCGGTTGTTTCAAAAAAGTAGTGAGAGGGTAACTTGTTTCCTTGTGGTATAAATATGGCAATTTCTTGATGACTTTTGAGGATGAGAATAGTTTTAGGACAATTAATTGGTTAAATAAGTATTTTTCTGACCCTGATGAGTCTGCTGAAAATCATCCTTTCCTGTCTCAAGTCCTTTGTTCAATATCCCACAGAATCCATGTAGTCGGCGATTTTACCAACGGCAGTAGAAATGGAACCAGCCTGAGCGTCCTTTTCTCCGATGGCGATGACGACTGCTTGGTTTGTCTTTTGGATGGTAACGGGCGCAGTGTTTGGTGTTTTTCCACGAGCAAGGATGGTCTTTTCGTCTTGGATTCGAAGCAGGACGAATTGCTGGTTGTTCAGAGTGAAGCCCTGAAGTTTGATTAGAAACAGGCAAATTTGGATGAAGGGTTCTCATTCGACAGAATTTTAGTGGGACACTTACCTTAGAGTAGGCTTCCTTGGGGTTAGTGAAAAGCTGGACGATATCTGTAATTTCATTGTAATAAGTAGTGGTGTGATCCATCCCCTGCTGCGCCCAGGTTGAGCCGTTGTGGCCGAAGATTCCACCGGCTGAGATCTTATCGTAGTGAGCCATAAGTCCGCTCGAGCCAGATACATATTCGGACCACGACATGATGTAAAACTAGGGTCTTTTCTGAAGGAGTTTGTGATAGAGGCAGCTTGTTTATTTTATATACAACTCTTGAACTTGTTGAGACTTTTATAAGCGGCAGTACTTTGAGATAATAGAATAGGCGAGATCCTTATTGCCGGATTGGCGGTAGATAAGAGACAGATTAAAAACGGCTTCTTTTGTCAGGTCAAATTTGTCAGTTTCTTGGTCGTTTTCTGGACACGTGACGGGCGAGTTGATGACTTTTTTGTACTCAATCGCGGCTAGGCCGTACATGCCAAGCTGATGAAGAATTCTAGAGACAATTCATAATTATCCTTTGTCTAAGGAGGTCGACAGATGTCAACGAGATCTTACCTGGCTCTGTTGTAATGAATTTCTTGTGGAAACTTGTCGAGTCCTCTCAATTTACTGTAAGAACTCAGAAATCCGATGACCTGCGTTGCAGCAGTGTGTCTGTTCGTCGTAAATCGTTGTGAAGCAATGTGGGCATAGATGGTAGCGAGGTTGAGATGAAGAAAGGGACAGTCGGGTTTGAGTTTTAACGCTTCGGTGTAGGCATCCGCTGCGTGATAGTAGCTTCGTGTCTCGCTAGAATAAAGAACTGAAGGCGGGGGTGTATTTTTTTCGTTAATTGTACCGAGTCACGTGGCCGAGCATGGTCCAAAGAGTCGGATCAGGAGCTTTGCTGTTGAATCGCTGACGAACAACGAACTTTTGATGACGAACATCGATTGAGTTGTTGATCGTGAAATTGAAAAGGTTCCAATGATGCTGCATCGCAAGATTATCATCTATTCAACAGTTATTTTACAGAAGCTTCGAACCTTCAACAAAGAATCCGGGAAAAGAGGGAAAGATTACCTTTCAGACTCTTCCTGAGCCATTCTGTAAGCTGCTTGTAGCACCTGTCGTACTGTTTACTTGATATCGCGATAGCCAGAACGATACTTTGCATTTCTCGTCGATAAGAATGCTCAGTTTGTCGACTGGCCGTGTCTATTCGCACTTTGAGCGCCTGTTCTGCGAGTAAAATTGCCTCCTTGAATCTGCCGATTTCGAGAAGAACACCAAGAACTTCGCGAAAAAGCCGATACCAGCCAAGCCACGCAAGGCGGACATCTTCCAACTCTGCTTCTATTTTTTCCACTTTTTGACGCGGAAAGATCTGATCGGGGTTGTTTTTCATGTCGACGAGGATGTATCGCCCGGGGTGGTTGAACGGAAGTCCGACGGCGATTTCGCTCGATTTGTAGAGATGCACTCGATCCGGTTCAAAGGAGATGCGGAAGCCGTGAGTCATGATGAAGAGGCCCAAGTCGGCGACGCAGCGCAAATATCGGCGCTTCTCGTACTTGTCAGTTTGTTCATCGACCAAGTCCGTCCATTTTTTCACTAGAAGAAAGAATGGTTAAACCTTGAATTGGTTTTTAGCTAACAATTAGAAATCTCAAGCAGCAAAGCTCCAAAATGCAGGAAAACTTACTTTGTTCAAACACAAAATCGACCTTGACCTTCTTCGCGCTTTCCAAATCATTAAAAAAGTTCAGAATATCAAGTGGCTGATCATTCTCTAAGTGCGCCATCATCGGAACCATCGACATCTGCTCCTCCAGTTTCATGATCCTCGCTCTCGCTGGAATTCGGTGCTCTTCAGAAATGTCCGCAAGTTGTTTCAAAGCTTCGATCGCCTCGTAATGATGTCCGAGGTTTTCAAGAATGTCGGCGTGGCGGACAAGAACAAGCAAATGCGCCCATTCTTCCGTGTGCAAAAGACGGTTGGTCAATCGAAGCGCGTTTTCAAGATACTGCATTCGATTGTTCTCCTCGCCGAATTTGTGAAACGCTGCCAGATACATTTCCGCAACGCGAAACCACAAATCGCCGTACTTTTCGATGTCTTCTTTTTCGTTGATGAACGATCGCAAATAACTCTGGCAGCGGTCGCCTTCGTCGTCCATTGCAATCATGCACAGGCCCATTTTTGAGGTCAAATCGAATCGGCGCTCGTTGGGAGGGCAGAAGTCCTCGAAGCCGCAGAATTTTTCCATCAAATCTTTGCACTCCTTCAATTTTTCTTTGGAAAAGACGAAGTCAAAAATTTTACCTGATATCTTTCCAAATCGAGCAATAAATCGGCCGCGTAGTTTATGTCTTCGTCACTGACTTGTTCTTCGTACGATTGAATAGTGCCCAACAACATTGCCAGTGCATCAGATTTCATTCGCAAGCTCGACTCTTCGTCTGACAAAGATCTGCAGATGGCATAAATTTGTCTAGCGAATCGTCTTGCTTTGTTGAGAGCTTCGGATCCTTGCTCGCCGGGGAAGTAACGCAGTGACATTTTATACGCTTTATTTTGGCTCTAGAATAAAAAAGGAGGGAAGAGATTCAAGCCTTTCTCTTCTCAAATGAGAAATCGATAAATTCTAGAGCCCGGCCTTGAAGAGCTGCACTCCAAAGCTTTAGAGAGCAGTAAAGATCTCCAATCTTCCATTTTATGTAGCCATCATGCGTCTTGTTGTACGCATTTCTATAGCAAGCGATTCTCAGCTTCGTGACTTCCTCACTCTGGCCCAGAATTCGAGTAGAATCATCCGCTAAAGCGATCCATCTTTCAGCAGGCGTTGCGGAATCTAAATGTGCCGCGAAAAGACCCATTTTGAAGCCATGTTCTTGGAAGCCCTTTTCGTGCATAATTTCCGAGAGGAGTTGGTACGGCTCTGCAGCGCCTGGGCAGGTTCGGATGATTTCGAGAGAGAGGGAGACGGCTTCGTCGATTTTGTTTTGCGCGAACATTTGATTCGCTGTTCCCATAAGACCCTGAAATAATGAAATTATGGCAACCTATCCTGTGGTCTCAGGGCCCTGACTCAGGAGTTTTCACCGTTTTCCGAGCCGAAATTGAAGTATAAAAAGAAAATTTCGTTTTTCGAGGAGATTTTTTGGGCATGTTTGGCTGCAGATCAGGAAAAAACGCTGGAAAATTTTGCTCTCACCTTATCATGAGCTGACAGTTTCTTGTTCAATCTGCTTTCTCTAGAAATCTTCGCAAAAGTCGTCTTTCCAGAATCAACTCCCAATTGCGTCGGAAGCTGAAATGCAGAAAGCAAATTGTAGACCACATCGCCTTCTTCGGCTGCTTCTGGTTCTGTCTTCATCATTTTCTTACAATTCACTTATTTTCTCATTATTCCTCAAAATTGAAATTTTTCTTTTGTGAATAGATGACTCCTCACTTTGAGCGCGCTAAATTGAAATTTCCCACAATTGCGGAGGACCTTTTCCCACGAGCGCGCGGCCTGGAAGAATCTGATCGATGATGGAAGACTGACGAAATTTTGGTCAGAGAACTTTCTTAATTATTTTAGTGATAAGGACTTTATTTCAAACGGACTTTATTTCAGTTTACAGTCAGCTTCAGAATTTAATGGTGTCGATGGTTAAGATCAAGATTAAAGAAGCTGTGATCTTTCCATTGATTTTGAACTTTCGTATTGTGTGCTCTCAAATCCTCATACAACTCGTGTCTTCTTTCTTCAGAGAATACAAGAACCTCAAAAAACGCTCATAACTTCAGTATAAAAAGTCAAGATATTACCAGAATGGCAATAGTAATAATAAAAATAATCAACGTTCCTTTTTTCTGCTGAATGATCTCTCTTTTCATGAATTCAATCGTCAAAGTCATTTTTGGAACTGATCTGGTCTCTTTTAGTTTGAAAAAAAATAATGATGGATTGTTCATTCAAAATTAATCTGAGTACTTCATCATAATCTCTGATATCAAAGACTGTTTCTGATGGAAAGTCGATTCTGGATCAAATGAAATGGTCTTGGCTCGGGGAAAATATTTTGCGGATGACCCTGACTCAGGTTAGGGTTAGGATTAGACACAAAAGAGACTGAAGAAGGCGAGTTTTTCTTTTAAATTTATTTTTAATGGATGCAAAACTCTAGATCTAAACAGGAAGGGATGACTTCAGTTCTCATGAAACTTGAGAAACATGAGTATTTTTCGTCGGTACATGCTTTCCGGATCCCGATCGTATTTGTTGAGCTTGACATCGTTGATCCTGGTCGTGTAGTGGTTGAACATGTTGTTCCTCATGCGATTGAAGCCAATGAGATCGGCGAGGGAAATGTTGATCAGGAGCATTTGGATGAGAACCAGCAAATTCATTTTGTTTATGACTGCTTTTGAAGCTTTCCGATTATTTTCCGAAGTTGGAACTGATGGTCAAAGTTGGCCCCGACGGTCGTATTTATAATCCAGCAATTAATGTGTTATCTTCGAATCACATAATAATTAATCCGTTAGAGTGAGCCCGAGTGTCGCAAGATCACAAGTCGCGCGCACTAGTTGAACATATTTTAATTGCTGTATTAGCGCCAATTTTACACGGTAGCATATCGAACTGTTGTTATTTTTGTATTCACAGTTGCCAGATAAACTGAATGCCGGCTTTGATTTCTGATTTTGTAATCGAGCATAAGCATAACTTTCAATAAAAATGATGTTTGTCTTCCAAAACAAAACTGAAAAAAAGATCGGATAAAAATGTTTTTAATCAACTGACCTTTAATTTGCTCGTTTTCTTCTCCAAAAAAAGGCGTTAATCATGTTTTCAAACGAGGAAAAGGTGCTTTTTGGGAGTCAGAATAAGACGGGCGAAATGGAATTTATCATCCAGCTCATGAAAGTTTTCAATTTTTCTTTCAAAGGGCATTTTTGTGAGAAAAAAAAACTTTGAAAAGAATGGCTGTTGGGAAAATTGCAGAGAAAATATGGAATTTCTTGAAGAAACGAAATCCAGACCAGGAATGATGAATATTTTTTTATGTAGAACGGATTGATAATCGAATGCTTCAGTAATTTTCTGACGCAAATCTTCGAAAAAATTATCATGTTTATGATGATTTATTACCATGAGATCTTTGATATCAAAAGAATCAAAGCCAAGACGAGGTTCAGGATAGAATCTTTTACCTTTTTCTTATGTAAACTCATAAACCGATCAATCAGAAGAAAAATTATCATCTTAAAGATTACCAACTATGGTACAACACTTTTAGAAGAGCGGCTCATTTATGTATGTAATCAATAATCCCTGGAATGATTGGGAAATAATCACTTGTTCAAGTCTGATTCAATCAAATCCATCAAGTCCCTTAATCCGCCGCGAACAATAACACCACTCTCGGTCCTCGGCAATGAGTTTTTATCATCATGCGTAAGTTTTTTTGGAAGTTGAAATCCTAGAAGAGTTAATCGAAGGTTGATGATGTGAGCCTTCGTAACGAAATTCGCGATAAAGCTCAAGAAGAAGACCTCGATGATAATAGTGATCTGGACGTTATGGAGGAAATTCTTGGTAAGCACCTTAATCGGATTTAGCAAACTGAGGGTAAGGGCATCACCCTGATGCGCTCGGTTAGTGTTAGGGTTATACGTAACTTATACGTAATCGTCTTCTTGAAGAAGATCAATTGTAAACTTTGAGTTTATCTTTTAGATAATGTCAGTAAATTCGATGAATACGAAAACATGTGCGATCTATGGGATGATGCTTTGGAGGATGATTTGTACGACCCGGCAGAACTTGAATAATTATCTCAAAATGATATAAGAAGATTAAAAATTAGCAAATTTCGATTTTCATACTTCAAAAATTCGAAAATGTTATCACAGGGCAAATAATAAAAAATCGGATCACGCCGGATTTAATTCAAACAGGGTGGGGAATGTCTTAAGAAAATTCAACGGCACCGGCACGGCACGGCACACCAAAAATTCCTGTGCCGCGGGACGGCACGGCACGGCACGGCAAAAAAATTAAGAACGCGTGGCGGGACACGGCACAGCACGGCACGGCACAGTTTTTTCCTTTTTTTCTCGTAAAAAACACTCAAAACTAAATGAATATAATTTTATTTAATAAATTAGTCTGCAACGTAGGTATCGACCGAGAAATTTCGAGAAAAATGAAGGGCCGTCAAGCCCCTTAAATTTAAAAATCAAGGAACGGGGCTGAAACGGCCCGAAGGGCCGTCAAGCCCCTTACATTTAAAAATCAAGGAACGGGGCTGAAACGGCCCGAAGGGCCGTCAAGCCCCTTAAATTTAAAAATCAAGGAACGGGGCTGAAAAGGCCCGAAGGGCCGTCAAGCCCCTTAAATTTAAAAATCAAGGAACGGGGCTGAAACGGCCCGAAGGGCCGTCAAGCCCCTTAAATTTAAAAATCAAGGAACGGGGCTGAAACGGCCCGAAGGGCCGTCAAGCCCCTTAAATTTAAAAATCAAGGAACGGGGCTGAAACGGCCCGAAGGGCCGTCAAGCCCCTTAAATTTAAAAATCAAGGAACGGGGCTGAAACGGCCCGAAGGGCCGTCAAGCCCCCCAAATTTAAAAATCAACGAACGGGGCTGCGCCTCACCTTAACCCCAGTGCCGCGGCACCGTGCCGTGTCCAAACTGAAATTCACTGAATGGAGCGGCACGGCACGGCACGTGCCGTGCCGTGTCCGTGCCGCAGTGCCGTGCCGTGCCGTGCCGTAGACCTTTCCCCACCCTGAATTCAAAGAAAGTTCTTTCTAAAAAATCAATCAAAAATGACAAAATGTCGAAATGAAAAGGTGTCATTCTAGTGTAGACAAAATGCTCCTCTCCACAAAAAGCCATGTTCCCAAAAAAGTCGAACCTTCCAAAAACGGCTTTGGTGGACACGAGGTGTGTCGCAGAAATCACGCAAGAAAGTGCTTGACAAATCGCTCAAATGATTCCGCTTTGAGACTTTTCAAGTCAATTGAGCAATAAATAGCTCAAAATTCGCCTTATTTCCGAATATATACTGTCATTTGTCTTTTTATACCCAGTTGAACAAAAGAAGAAAGAAGTATTTTGAGAACGAATTAGAGGTAATTTACCAGAGGAATTATATTTTAAACATAACATATTATATACCAATATGTAACATATTATATGTTATGTAAATTATTATGAAAACATTATTGATTTAATTAAATTCTTTTGATACAAGCCCAATTTGAAACATATTCAGAGTAATTATGTACACAATTATATTATAAATGACATATTATATAATTCTCGTCTTCGACAAACATAATAAAAAAGTAAGCTTTAGCTTAAGCCTACTAGTACTGTAACAGCAGAAAAGCAGACTGTTTTATAAATTGTTTATTAAATAAACTTAAAAAGTAACAGGCCTTATACTAACCTACTGTAGGAAGTTCCTTTCGGTAAGACTTTTTATACTTGCGATTTTTTCTATATATGTACCGTTGAGATTTTAGCAAAGGAAAAGAGTAGCTTAGGGATAGATATGAGGATATACCCACACTCAAAGGGGGGCCTTCTGGTAGTAGAACCGGTGTTTCGATAAAAACTAATCACCTGATCTAGCTAGAACTGGTCCAAAGACCAAAGTCTGACTCCATTCGACCTCCCCCTGGCTAGGTCACATGTTAAAAGCCATTACGTAATCCTTCAATCTTTTCTTCATTCAGATCTGCCAACTCCCCTTTTACTTCAACCAGAGACCTAAAAGATCAGGATTTTCTTTTCACCTAAATTGCGAAGTTCAAATTCAAGAAATTCAAAATCAAGAAAAAAGGTAAAAACACCCACGCGCGCGCCGCTCCCCTTAGATTCTGATCGATCGGGCGAACCACGAAAAAAAGAGAAAACAGCAAAAATTGAAAAGCAGAAATATCTGATTTTTGAAACACAAATTTTTCTTTTTCGGGAAAGATTAGGTGCCTTTTGGCGGTAAGAAAAACTTTATCTCTAGAATTTTGTTTAATAATAATTTTAACGGGGATAATTTTTCAGTTTCTTTTTTGTACATATTTTTATACTTTTTTTCAATTATCTTCATTTATTTGGCATTTCAAGGTTTCAAACAGTAATCTCATCTTTACAGTAATCAAAAATGGGTCCCCATTTTAACGGGACCTAGAAGATCCGTTGCGATGAGGACCATTACTATCTGGAAATGCTGGTATTAACCTTGCTCTTTAGCTCTCGAACAGTTCTATGCGAATTACACAGTCAAGAAGAAATTTACTAGCGGCCCAAGTCTACTCGAAGAAAGAACGGAGAACTTAAAAAATAAAGAAAATCAAGAACCGTCACAATTCCACTTCACTTTCACGAATTTCACAAAACCATCCTCACGAAAAATAAATAAAAAAGATGTCACTCATTAAAAACGTTGCTCAACAGGTAAGAAAGATGCTTCACGCCTCAATCAAGGCTTCCTCATTTCTTCTTTCCCAATTTTCATCCCTCTTTCATCTTCAGGCTCGACGAACAAATGTAGTAGCGTCGAAGGCCTCCTCCTCCGGCGTCTATCCCCTGGGCGGCTACAACGAGAACAAAGCCCAGCTGCGTCGCGAAACCACCGCTCAATACTACCGCGACCACGACATCCACCACGCGGCGAAGAAGGACTCCGTTCGACTCAAGGCGGCTGCTCTTCTGTTCACTGGACGGATCCCCTCCAACATCGACCTAATCGTAAAATTTTTGAAATTCGTAAAAAGTCCCAAAGGGGCATTTCTCTTCAGCGATCGGCGCAATATCTCCAAAGCGAACTTCCCGTACGCATCGCTCACCGAATCAAAGGCTTCAGATCCCTGCCCTTTATTGTCGTCACCAATCCTCATATTCTCAAAGTTGTAAGTAATTATGTCTTATCATCTCCTACCAAGGTTTTAACCCCGTGAATCTCGAAGCCGCGAGCGGCTTCCTCGATATTAACGATAAGGGAACCTCAAAAATTTTCACGCTTTATTTTTTGTTTCAAACATTTACTCGTTCAGATGGAGCAATACATTCGCTCCTTCAAGGTGATCTCAAACTTCAACGACGGTCGAATGGTGAAAACACAAGATAAAGTCGATGATTTCACGCATTTGCTCGAAATCCTGCTCGATGAGCATGGATCCGTTATCGACGACTTGACCCAGGTAACCCTTCCGTTTCGTTCTCCCACCTTACCTGCGGTTCAAGGGTTTCTCCTCCTGCCACGACCACATTCTCGAAATCTTCGACGGCGACGAGGAGAAAACACACGATCTTGTCCAATCGTTTCTCGACAAAACGCTCACCAGCCGTCTTGGAATCCGTCTTCTCGCCCAGCATCACCTTTTGCTCAAGGATCAGATTGGACAGAACTCGGTAAGTTTGTTTTTCTTTACCTCATTCAAATTTTGGCTCTTTTTTAGAAATATTTCATCCCAAAAGTAAGATCTACTACAAGTCATTTACAGTCATTTATCACGCAATCTTTTTTCCCAAATTCTAAGAGCTACGATTCTTTATCATCTCACTTTTTTCGCCTTGTCACTTTTATTCAAATCAGACCAGAAATAAATTTCTTTCAGCGCGACAGAATCGGAATTGTTGAGAGTAGATGGAAGCCAGCGAAAGATATCGAAGCAATTGCTAGAAAGATCCGAGAGTCGTGGATGTTTCACTGCGACAATCCGCCACGAGTAAAGGTACTCACTCGACTATTCCCCATTTTCAACCCCCTTTTTAGCTGAATGGACATACAGAGGCGGAATTCCCATACATCCCCATCGGAGTCGATTATATTCTGCAAGAAGTCTTCAAAAACGCCTTCAGGTAAACAGAAAAATAACTCAACAGGTCACTAGATTCAAAATTCTAGGGCCGTGATTGAAGCTCATGCAAACTCTGCGCGACAAATGCCACCAATCGACGTAACTATTGCTGTGAATCGAGAAGATTTTACCATTCGAATCGCGGACAGAGGAAAAGGTAAAAGAAAAGGGTGAAAACCAGGGGCGAGCCAACGACCAGCACACGGAAGTCCGGCGCTCGAGAGCGCGCTCGGACTTCCATCGCACATCCAATTTTTGGAGACCCTGGTGAAAACATCGTTGAGCGTTTTTTCAGGAATGAAGAGTGACGTTATCGACAAAATCTGGCGATACCACTTCACGACCGCTCGCGGCAGGCAAGGATACGGCGGTGTGGGAGATCTTTTGAGTATGGCGAACAGTAACGAAAAGGAACTCGCCGGGTATGGCATTGGGCTTCCGATTTCGAAGGCATACGCAGAGTATCTTGGTGGCAAACTAGAAATAAAGGAATTGTTTGAAAACTAATTAAATAGTAGTACTTTATACAAGTAGGGCTTTTTGAAAGAGTCTCCCCTTATACTATCCGATATTCAATAATTTGAAACACGAAAAAGTCAATGAGCGGCATCGGCACAGACGTCTACCTAACTCTCAAGCACATCGATCCCCACAAGGGTCATTCCTTCCGTATTTAAAAATTTTCCTTTCCCGCTTCTTCTAGCCTCCTTTTTGTTAAAAGTTCGTACTATCAGCGAGCAGCTGACGATATAAACTCTTTATCAACCTTTCTTTTTGTCCAACCGAAATAATTTAAAACTTTTGCAAAAGAATTTTTGCATCTAACTCTTCTGCTCATTAGTAACTGTATCATCTACGAGTCAAAGCCAATATTTTACCTGTTGTGCCGCCTTATCAAACAAAAACATATCGTACTACGAAATTACCAATTTCACGCACAATAACAGATGTTCACCAATAAAATTCACCACCAATTTTCAACAATTTTCTTATCACAACATTTATTAGTGGTAATTGAAAGATAAAACATTTGCAAAATTAGGCAATATTCGAGAAACGAGCGTATCATATGCTGCATATACGAAAATCTTATTAGATATTCTGATTCTTTTCCATTTCTTTGGCGATCATTTCTGCGATTTCGTCGGCTGTTGGTGCCTCTTTTTCGGGGTTGATTTTCAGCCAGGGCAAAGTTGTGTTGTCTTAAAATTATAGCATTACAAGTGATCTGTCTTTTGAGACAGAACCTGTGTAGAAAACTGAGTAATGGTCCTGTTTTTTGGAAACCTGACCTGTTTTCCTGTTCCTTAGACTGTCTAAGTTAGACAGAAAACCTGACTAGTTTTCCTACTCCTTAGTCAAGAAGCCTGACCCTAAACACAGATACCCAGCCTACCTAGGTAATAAGCAGAAACATATCTTGTCACAGCCTGGCACGTTTTTGAAACTCGTCTGAAGGGACTGCCAAATTCATAAGGATTATCTAGCGCGAAGATTTCTATAAGAATACTAATCGACTTTTATCTTCAAAAAGTAATTTACTTGCTAGCTGAGTTTTTCTGCATTCTCGGTTGATGCGAGAAAGATCGTAGAACGTAAATTCAGCGTCAATTGTCTGGTAGACAATCAGCAGAATTCTCAAAAGTCTCATTTCTTCTCTCTTTGGCAAAGTTTTGAGAAAGTGTCAAAATTATGAGATAGCTGCAACAATAACTGCACTAATGGAAAAGTATCGAAGATTGCCAATGATCCGATAAAATGAATATTTATTTATTCCGCTGGTGGTCAGATCAAGCTTGAATTGAAATAATTGAATGAGTGAGTCTGCTCGTCAGAGTGACCCTGCTCTTTTATAAAAGGAGTAGAAAGCTCGCAACCTGCAAGGATTTAATTATGAACAACGCACCTTTGACGGAATAGTTTTGGTAGAATAAGTTATTAAAAAGAAATATGGGCATGCTTATGGCATAATATGCGGCGCAGCTAGTCATAGAACGTCTTTTTAGAACTGGATTGATTTCTTAGAAAGGGCCATTTAAAATGGACGACCAATGTTCAAATAAAGGAAACCCTCCCGAAAACCGCCTTTATCTTTCTCAGAATGGTTTGTCGAAAACTCTAGCAGCGAACGAAAATGGACGAAGAAATGGACGACGACCTGGTCGGAGAATACACGACAGATCTAGACCTCGAGGCAGAAATCGAAGCATTCCTCGAAGACGACGACGATTCGCCGGAATCATCGCTTCTCAAGCCGATCTGGCTGGCGGAGCTAGAATCAGCGCTCAACGATGAAGTTTATGATGGGGATATTTTGAGGAGCATCATTGACTCGAATTGCCTCCCAGAAGAGTTGAGACTGAAGATTTGGCCGGCGCTTTTGGGAGTTCATGGGAAAAGGTCGAATTTCAGAAGAAGAAAAGGACAGGATCTTATTTTACTAAAACATTCAAAAACCACTGTTAGTTTTGTAATTGAATTATCCTCGGAAAGAGCTCCTCCTTAAATCGTGCGAATCATCTTCAAATCCCGAACTTGCCTCCTCCATTATCGCTGAATACTCCCAATCTCGTGGCGTTCCACCAAAATCCGAATTCGCCACGATTCTAGCGCCCTTTCTCGCTCTCGGACTTGAAGATAACGTTGTCTACAATTGCTTCTACGCAGCTGTGAGCAAATTTCACCCGAGAGTGGAGAGAGAAACGATCAGATGCTACTTAGATTTGCTTGTACAGTACTTTGATCCAGAATATGCGAGACTGCTGCAGTCGAAGAAATTGGATTACAGTAAAGTTGCGTGCGATTGGATCGATAATATGTTCGTCAATTGTCTTGGAGACGAAACGCTCTTGTCTTTCTTTGATCTAGGTAACTTTGTGATAGCTTAACCTTGGAGCTTTATCCTCTTATCAGTGTTCCAGTCTACCGACAATCTGGTACTCATATTCACCGCACTGGTCTGTCTTATGAACCGGCGAGATAATCCCGAGCTCGACATCAAAGAAATTCAACCAGACGATCTGTCGGACCTTATTCAACTGGCGCAGTTCTATCAAAGCAAGACCCCCGCCAGTTTTTTGCAGCGCATGCGCGAAGAAATTCAAAAAGGAAAGAAGCCAAAAGAAGATATCAACGACTTTTTGGTTCTACCGGTTTCGGCGGAGCAAGTTGTAAAGGTAGTTAACTCAGTTTTCCTACAACGGTTACCGAACCAGAAGGTCAATACGAATCGTAATTTCCTAGGATGTCCTTAACGCTACCGCTGGAGTTGTCCTAGACATTCGCCCCGACGCCAATTTCGAGCACTCCCATCTGATCGGCTCCCTACGTCTTTCCTGCTGTATCCAAGATGAGCTGATGGAGATGACTTCTTTACGAGCATCAGTGGATAAATTCCACTGGAATCTATCATCTGAATTGAAGAAAGACGGCCTAGAGGTTGATCTGCCGGACATTGTGCTCATTGGCAGAGACGACTCGGATTCAACGCTGTTTACGGTGGCAAATGAGCTGCTCAGAGTAGGTTATGTTGGCGTAGCGGTTGTTGTTGGTGGATTCAAAGGTCGGGCTTCGAAAAACTGTATATACAGTGTTTATTTATTTTTGATATCGATGATACTTTTCGATAAAACAGCATAGGCGCATTAGGTCCATTGGTTCTATTCTCTACTACGAACATAATCTTGAAGTTAGCACGTTTTATTTATTAATAAATTATTCTTTCCATAATCAATTCAAAAAAAAATCAAAAGCCTTCGAAAGCTATTGTCAAAGAAATCCAAAGCATCGGCTCAGAAGACTTGCTTCTTTGGAGCAATCCCGACAACCCAATCCTCCCAAATGCGCCGGACTCAAGCTTCGGCGGCTGGTTCAACCTATCCACTGCTTTCAACACGCTAAACTCAACTCTCGAAAAAGTGCTCCAATTCGACGAAGACGCCGTCGATACAAATTTTTAACTCGCTCTTATCTTGCCTTACTTTCGCTTTGTTTCCTTTCAAATTTTTCATTTTTCAAAATACAAAAGTTACAATACCGCTCATACGAGTTTTGCGAGCTTTATTTGAATATTCAGTTTTGTACAGTAAAGCTCGTGAGTACAGTTTTTGACATTGAATAATATAACAAAGTTGGTACTTATTGAATTAAAGTTTTGGTGTGAATTTCTGTTTTTGAAGATGATTGGTGAGGTCCAAAGTGTCCTCTACTGCAGTTCTCATGGATTTTTTACGGAAATGTTTGCTGAAAATTTGTGTCGATATTGGTGATTGACTGGTAGAAGCTGGGGCTTGGTAACCTGTGTTGAAGCCTGAGTCAGGGTCAAGAAAGACTACGCGGCTATATTATTATCTTTCAGAACCCTGACTCAGGTTTCTATACAGGTTGCCAAGCCAAGGATAAAGTGTATTTTCGAGCTTATTTTCTTACCAAAAGAAGATGATATTTTTCTCCAAATTCTTCCAAAAATCTTCCGCACTCTCAAATGACGGGCTTTTCCCAAGGCTGACTTCTTCAATTCTCTTCCGCCGGAGAGTAACTGCGAATTCGCGGGATGTTTTGGAATGTATGATTCTTTGAACTTTTGAAACTTCGCCAAGTGGGATTTCTTCGGCCGTTATTTTTTCGAAGAATTGTTTTTGTACTGCGAGGCCTGAGCGGCGAAGCTGGATGAGGTCTAGGTCGTCTTGATTGTCAAGCCAGGTTTGGGTTTGGTTTTCCAAACTGTCGACCTGAAAGAAAAATGAGATCGGAGAAAAATGATGGTTCGATCGGGAACGAACTCACTTCGGTCTTGACGACCCAATTTCTCGGTTGACTGTATTTAGATAAACCAGATTGTTCATCATTCGTAAAATCGAAAATCTTTCAATCGAAGAATATTCGGAAAAATGAAAAAAGAAACGATAAGTGAGAAAGAGAGTAAACCAACTTGCAAAATTTGTGGAAAACATTTAGCAAATATCTATACTTTGAAGCGACACGAACGTATTCATACTGGCGAGAAGCGTTTCAAGGTACATATTTTCTCCATCTCAGCGGTCGAATCAATAATTATTAATTATAATTATTAACTAGATTTCTAGTGCGATTTCTGCAAATACAGATGTTATGAGAAAGAAAACCTACGCAGACATCAGATGAACCGGCATAAAAAGGCTCTGGTCCTTCTCGATCGAAAAGAACTGAAACTACGTGCGAGGAAAATAATTGATCAAGTGGTACACTATCGAATCGACGAGATAAACAAAAATGGAAGCGCTAAAGAAAATTGGGTGCCGATTTTCGATGTAGACGATTTTCAAGATGTCGTGGAATTTGAAAAACTCATGAGTGGAAAAATTTGATCAAGTTTTCCAGTTCTTTGCCAAACCAGCGAATAAAACTATTTTACCTGTTGAATGTAGCAATCATAGCTCCCATCCTCTGGCAAAAACGAGTTCCTCAAAAGACAGCAGGAGCAATGTTCATCTGCTGCATTTGATATGCATGAAAGTTCAACCGGAGAATAATGAGTCGTGCAGCATTCGCAATGATCATTGTCCGCATCTACGAAATTAACGAAATTGATAATTGATGGTTTTTGTGAACCTGATTCGTTGTGGCAAAGTTTGCAAATCGAACTCGACCCATTCAAATTCTGCTTCTTTTCGGAAATCTTCTGCAGCGTCAGTTGACAGGCAATAATTCTCGCAAGAGCGATCAGTCGCACCATATTTTGTAAATCCTTCTTTTTTAATTTTTCCTGGTGGCGTTTCAGAAACTCGTCGATTTCGGCGTTTTCAAAGATAGAAATCATCGAAAGTGAGTTGATTTTTTCTTCTTCGAGGACTTCGGCGAATTTTGGCGAGATATCGAAAAGATCGCTTTGCCAAGTTTTAGACGACAGAACTAGCTATTCTTTACGTAAGGTTTGCGACAAGCAATTTTCTCGAAAGACGTTATATGAGCAGATTAGATGGCCGGCAGATGTCCGATCAAAGGAATAAAGTTTAGATAATCCTGTTTAAATCCTCAATATCGCTGTAATTATACGCTGTCATGCACAGCTAAACATGATAGTTCTACAATTAACATGATTTTAGTTCAACTTATGTCTAAATATTGATCAAGTCTATTTCTCTATCGACATCAAAGAAACTTTTCCTAAAAGGGCACCGTTCTCGCGTTCTCCCAAACGCTCCACTTTCCTCTTCACTGCTGCTTTCATCCGTGCTATCGGTAGTTTCCTTTGTTTTGTCGGTAGACTTTGCCTCAGCGCTCGAGGGCTCGAGCGCGATTTCCTCCGTTGTTTCAAGGCGATCTTCTGTTGTTGCTTGATTTTTGGGAGTTTGATTTTGCGATTCGGCCGGGGCAACTTGGGATTCTGACAGTTCTCGGCGGCGGAAAGCGTATTTTCCGATGGCATAGACGATCCAGAGGAAACCGACGCAACCTTTGACAGGACTTAAAAGAGTTGGGCGAAAATTTGAAGCTCCCACGCCCATCTGTGTTGGAATTTGCGTGTGAGCACTTTTAAGTAGCTAAGCCCTTTACGCCAAAGTGGCTCTTGGAATTTGCCGTAATAACAGAAAACGTTTCGTCCCGTTGCCTACGATGCTGCCAAAGACGATGCCAAACTGGGTGCCCAAAGATCGATGTTTGCCAAAAATCGGCTGCTCTCTGCTCTCACCCGCTGCCGGCCGCCTCTCATGATCACTCATTATAACATAGTAAAGTGCAAATTTTCTGTCAGCCGCGGCGAGATTCTATTAAGTCCAGGCCTCGGGGCGATTTTCGCTTGTTTTACACCCAGCTTTTCTCAGTCTTTTCTGCATCGATTTCCGAAATTAAGCCACTGGAGCCAAAGTTAATGGGGTGAATTAGCGATCGTTAAAGTCTAGGAAGAAGTAATTATGAAGAGGTAATTTATTTCAGCAGAAATCAGAAGAAGCCTTATTTGAAATCGAAAATTCACGGCTACTTGCTTTTCTGGCAAACGACTTTCGTGATGGATTTTTTGGGTATTATTCATCTGAATAATAATCAAAGATCAATAAGTTTACGTGGATGATAGGATTTAAAGGTGCTGAATTTCATAGGCTATGATGGATTACGGCCATAAAAATCGCGTATAAAAACGCGTGATTTCGAAGCTTTGACGGAAAAAATATTTCCGGAAGATTTGGTATTTCGAGAGCTTAAACGAGCGGAATGAGAAGGTTGAAAGTTATTTCGTTTTTACTCTTTCAGGAAAAGCTTCAATTGAAAATTTTTATCATAAACTTTATGATAAAAATTTTCATGATGGAATGATTCATAAAGGGAATTTTTGAAACTTTTCAAAGGCTTGCTTCGGTCAAACGGAATCGTCATCAACCAGTTCTACAATGAGTACTCTTTCTTCCAGTAGCACTTCGACCCTTGACACTTTGACTACCACCTTCTCGAGTTCCACATTCTCGACTGGCTCAGGGTCGACACTTTCTTCGTCCACAACGTTCACCACTGCAACTATGATTTCACCAAAAACAATCAATCCTACAACCGAAGCATCTGTTTTACCAGATATCATTACGAATAGTACAACGGCAAAAAGCACTACTACTGCTTCCACTGTTATTCCAACAGTTGATCAATCAAATGAAACTACTGATATCATCACTTCCAATTCAACTTCCCATTTGAAGTCCACAATGAGTCCTTACAATGAAGCTCCCTCTGCCACCACTGGAGAATCGAATATAGGATCTGGAAAAACAACATCGCGGCCGATTGAAAAAACTACAACCGAACAAATATTTCAAACTTCGATAGATAACGCTACTGTTTCATCAGCTGCATCAAAAATCTCATGCTTTCCCGCGATTTTTCTTTTCAAAACTTTCTTTTTCTTGATGATTGAAATAAAATTTCTTCAATAAATCAGATAAAATATTCATCTCATTTCTCATTACTCATGAGTTGAAAGTCTGGGAGACCATCATTCAACTCGACGGAATATTCTTGACAAAAACAGTAACTTCGCTTCATGCATCGTAGTAACCATTATTGAAGCAACAACAAAGAAGGGTCAGATTTCGCTTGATCTATTCGCCTCGGCAGACAGAATCGGATCACTTCGTAAAGAGATACTTCCGGCGACATGAGAATTCTTTTACTTTTTGAAATACAGGCAAAGTTCAACGAGTTTTTTTCTCTAAGAACCTTCGTTCTCCAATCTTTGAAACTCGAATAAGGGCATACTTTCTCAATTCTCAGTATCGACAAGCTCCTCGACAATCGGATCGAGTACTCAGCCTTTCAGCTCGACAGGATATAGCAGTACTGTTGTTTATTCCCCCACAACAACTTCGTATGCTGTTAGTTCCACCCCTACGGCTTCAACGGACTCTACTACTGAGATTTCGACGGAATCGTACTCATCTACTTATTCGTCGACATCTTCGATTCCTTACAGTCTGGGCTCGGCAGATTCTAGAGGAGACTTTAGTAAGGGACAAGATTCACAGCCCTATCAAAAGCTCAACATCAGGTCTTTCTTCTGTTTTGACTCAGAGCTCAACCGTTTCCTCAACTTTGAGTTCGTCAACTCAATATTCCTCAACAACAACAGAGTTCGACGAAAATTGCATAACATACACTCATTTCGGTGATGTCCTTTTTGAAGCATACGGTGGATCTTTTCCTGAAACAAAGATTGAGAAAATTCGACCAGATGATTCAATAAGGGACTCTGAAGGGAATTTGATTGTAATTGAGGATTTGCATCACTGTAAAAAAGAATGTGCGAGCATTGCTGGATGCTTTCAGGACAGATATTTATTGATGGAAATTTTCTTCACGAATTTTATTCAGTATCTCAAATAGATTCATTACTCCGATGAAGGGTGTTTTCTTTTCAATGGAGTAGACCAAGTTGATGGTGAAACATTTTCAACAAAATTGGAAAATTGCGGCGAGTTTGAAGATATCAACGACTAGGGATGAAGAAAGATTTTTTACAATCGCTTATTGCCAAAAAAGCGAGTTAATCATCCCTTACAAAGAATTTTTCGTTCCCATCGAGGCTTATTTGCTTTTGCTTCCATATAACAATAATTCTATTGAAGTGAATTTTGAATTGATCATGAGTAAGAACCAAAAAATATTACCAAAAAACTATGTTCAAAGGTGAATACCAGGAGAATTTGTCAGCGTCCAACTCTTCTGAGTGGAATTTCGTCCTCGACTCTTCAAGTTACGATGGTCAATATAACTACGCGCACACATCTAAATACACGATGAGTCTTGCCACCACCGTTCCTGATGATTTCCCAGAGGCCCTTAATAATTCATTTTATCTTCTTCTCGAAGGTGAAATGTACTTGCGATGGACTTATGTGGGCGAAGGAAATGTGACGAAAAAGGATGTCGACGAAAGAGTTTGGGACGCAGTTGATGGAAGCTTTTTTAATTTTCTTGATTACAAATTATGGCCAGTTATCTACGACGAATTCGAACTTGGGTTAATTTACGAGCATCCGGACCATTTTGAACATGGTGAAGTCGAAGTCCTTGTCGGAGAATATCCGGAATTGGAGGGTGATTGCGTCGACGATACTCATTTCGGTGACATTATTTTTTACCCGATGATCCTTGGATTCCAAATTCCAGTTTCCCAAATCGAAGCGACATCGGTCAACGATTCGTCAGTGACTGATCTTGCAACTTGTCAGAAACAATGTGTTAGCCATGCTGGTTGCTACCAGGAAGGGTTTTGACTCGCTTCTTGAAAAAAAATCAAGGAAATATCTTAAAAAAAAACTCAAAAAAGATGCATTTTGCGGAAGAAACGTGCTCTTTGTTTAATGATGTCCCGCAAGAAGAAGATGAAACTTTTACTACCAACATCGATAGTTGTGATGATAATATTTTTGTTTATGATGAGGATTTTAAAACTAACCTTCTTTTTGATCAGAAAAAAGTTTTTAAATCCTCTCTCATATTACCAATTTGACATGAAATTCTACTGCCTCTTTAATCTCTACAACAACGAAACCGCCGAAGAATTTCTTGCGGAGCTCAATAGTAAATACATCAAAAATATATTCGATTTAAAAATAAGGGTATAACACGGAGCATTGGCGATTCATCGTCGACAGAAACTGGCGATCCTTCAATTATGCCTACACTTATCGCTACCGATTCGTCATCCCGAACTCGATTCCAGATTATTATTCACCAGCTGGCAATAACCAAGTTTGGATAAGTTTTGAAGGAAAGTTTTAATATCAACCAAATGAAAAAGTTTTTTCTCGGTATGAAAAAAAAAAACACAAAAAAGGTGATTTTTACCTGCGCTGGGCATACCCAATGTCCTCTGGTCGAAGAAGAAGACAAACTGATAATCTTGTGGACGACTTTGTCACTGAAACTTCAAATACTGCGACTACAGAGTTTCAACAAGATTTGAATATAGTGGACACTGGAGCGACTGTAGAAGAAACAACGCCAAATGAACGTGGAGCAATCTCATCAACCAACGGAAGAACTTTTGAAGCAGGTTCTAGCTCTTCTGGCTCTTCTGGTTCTTCTGGCTCAAGTGGCGGTTCATCTGGAGGATCAAGTGCGAAAGTTCCTCCCTATGTCAGCAACGTCATCAACTCACCGGATAATGAAGGGGAGCCTATTCAAGTCATCGAAGAAGTTGTTCCAGAAGAATCTTCTTCCTCGATTTTTGGCTTGAGCTTTTGTCTTTCAATTATTTTACTGTTCAATTAGCTTTTTTTTTTTTGAAAAATATTTTTAAATACATGTTTAATCAAAGCTGATAATTATCTTATAAAAATATCATGCGTAATGTTTATTCCGTAGTCGTAATTATCAAGTTCCAGTTCCATTGATGACCACTTCTCAGAATATGATTCGGTGGTGCCTCGAAAAACGCTGCGGGGCTCATTACTCCCCGTTCTCTGATAGGCCGATCTGACGAATGCTGCACCACCACCACCAAAAGGTCTCCGCCAAGCACATCTCTCTCCTTCTAACCAAAAGTCCTTCCAATTGTAAATTCCCATTTTGGACATTTTTGTTGTTTCTTTTCTTTTTTTTTGTTGTGAATACTGGTGAAATTAATTCATTTGAAATCGTCGAAGAGAGTTAAAGCGGAAGAAGCAGAATAATTCTCAGAGACTCGAATGAAAAATTAAACGAAGAAAAAAATTGAATTTATAACGAAGTTGAAACAAAAAATGATATTACTAACAGTAAGTCTCGTTTTCGTAAAAGAATTATTGTAAGAGTTTTATATTTGCTTATTTTAAGCAGAGTTGCAAATTTTGTGAGCTAGCTGAGCTGAGCTATCTGAGCTAGCGGAGCTACAGCTCAGCTCAGCTCAGCAATTTTGAGGTGCTCAGCTCACCTAGCTCAATTTTAACCTCAGCTCAGCCAGCTTAGCTCAGCTCAATTTCGACCTCAGCTCAGCTAGCTCAGCTCAGAAAGAATTTTCAAAAATTTGCAACTCTGATTTTAAGAAAATATAGTAGAGTGATACCCTTATTCTCATTTTTAAAAACAAGTTTTATGATTTTATCTTACTTTTATTTAATAGAGAATCGAAAAAAAATGTCTTTTTTTCTGAGAATTCGTGACTAAAATCGATCTTTTCTGCTTGAAAAAAGAGTGCTCTAGAATAAGTTATCCTTCAAAAGGCGCGTTTAATGTCTAAAATGTCACTTTCTAGCTGTTGATACCTCTTTGTCTGGGGATATCGCTCCCCAGCGCGAAGAATTTCCTCGTCTCTGATGGATCCGTCACGGACAAATCCCTCTTTCTCACCTGGGAAGGAGTACCAAAAGCTGATTCGTACAAGCTGGATGTGATGCCTCCTACTGTTGGAGTGGCTGGAGTAGGATCCGGAATTACTGATCGCTTCTCACGAGTTCTTGGGCTCGAGCCAGACACGGAATACACTTTTAGGCTTATGGCTATGAAAGACGGTAAGCTTCCATTCTCAGATTTTTCACGTTTCGGAAGCTAGAACAGTATTATTTCTGGAACGCTTGAAATAAGTTGAAAATGTCAAGCGGCGGCCAGTTCAAATGAATCAATTTCTCGCCTTGTCTGCATAATTCCCCAGTCCCTGACCGCAAATCTCGAAAACCTGCCTCTTTTAATTTAATCTTTTCCGGTCTTATTAGATTTTTTTATAATTATTTGAGCATTAAAAAAAACGATTCATTGTAATTTTATGGCGTCCGACTAAATTTTACCCGAAAAAATTGGTCTTTTGAAAACGTGAAGAAAGTAAACCTTTCATCATATTTTGAAAATAAATTTTAGGAATGGAGGGCATCGCCGCTGTCGTTTGGGCTCGAACTGCCCTCCCCGCCCCGGATGAGATCTTTGCTTTGCCCGAAACACTGACCTCTGAGTCGATGCAAATCGCTTGGTCCGAAGTCGACAAGGCCGAGTCCTACATCGTCGAAGTTCAGCCTTCATCTGGAGTCTCCGGTGCTGGAAATGCGATTTACAAGACATCGACGACTCTTCGCGGGCTCACTCCAAATACTCAATACACAATCGTTGTCAAGCCGAGAAACTGGGTTGCCACTGGCGGAGCGGTTGTTTTAAAGCAATACACGAGATTGCCAAGCCCCGAATCTGCACGAGTCATTGAAAATACCATCTCCCACGACACTGTCACAATCCAGTGGGAGCCAGTCTCTGGCGCATCTGGCTACGAGATAACATTTGAGCCTGAAGCCCCGGATGCGATTGGCGCTGGAAGCGGGATCAAAGACACATTAGCGACCATTCGCGGTTTGAAAGCTGACGTTCAGTATACTATCTTCGTTGCAGCAGTAAACGACGCTGGTGCTTCCCAACCAACAAGTGTTGGAATCAAAACACTGTCGATTTGCTACGCCAAGGCTGAAGACTACCTCAAGCAAGAACGAGTCACAATCACTTGCCCAGCCCGTTGCTCAAAGTATCAAGATCATGTTTACGGCACCATCCAGTACACGACGGACTCGTACATCTGCGCAGCCGCCCTCCACGACGGAAGAATTCATGACTCGACGGGCGGAGAAGTCACCATCAAGAAACGGGCCTCTGGCTTAGAATTCTTCGCCGGATCTTTGAAAAACGGAGTGAACTCGAAAGAATACGCCGCTTGGAGCAAATCTTTCACGTTTGCTCTTTACCCTCCAAAAGAACTCAACATCGTCGCAGGGTCTATTTCCGATACTCAAGTTATGATCGAATGGCAACTTGTTTCTGGAGCTAGTTCATACGATGTCGCGATCAGAACCGGAGATGCAGCCGAGTACGAAGCCAGCTCAAAAATGCCCAGCATCACGGAAAACAAAGTTCAACTATCTGAACTTCTTCCCGATACAACTTACGTCATTACAGTCATTGGTCGAAACGGTCTAGAACATTCTGAGCCAGCTGAAGTGCGATTTACAACAGCTCTTCCTCCACCGAGAAATCTTCGTGTTACAGACGTCACGAAGGATGCCATCACTCTCGCTTGGGAACCAATTCCTGGTGCAGAGATCAATTCCTACACCGTTACTTACTACAAAGACGGCGTCGGTCATACCCACGACCTGGGTGCGGGACAAACTCAAGTCAACATCGCCTACCTTAATTCTGGAACCGAGTACATCTTCGAAGTCCGCGCGATCAACGAAGTCGGCAGAGGAGGAATCGCAAGAATTGAGCAATTCACCAAGCTCGATTCGCCGCACAATCTGGATGCAGAAGAAATTGGCAGCACAACGCTCATGCTTACCTGGGAAGAAGTCGACGGAGCAGACTACTACACAATCGATGTCACTCCCTGCTGCCCACGTGTTGCTGACGACTCAGAAATCACCATTCGCGAAGCCTGGTTGGAAGATCTCACGCCAAATACAAAGTACAACTTTACCGTTTACGCTCACAATGTCGCGGAAAAATCACCCGGGTCAAATATTGGTGTCAAAACTGCTCTTCCCGGTCCGATGAAATTCGGTGCCAAAGAAGGCACGATTCAGCATTCAAGCTTGGTGCTAGAATGGGACACGATCGTCGGGGCCAGCAAGTATCAGATCTCTGTCAGGACGTTGAATGGTGAACAGGTAAATTCTTACGCTGTTGGGGGAGAGAAAACGGCCGTGAACATCACTGAATTGACTCCGAATACTGATTATGTCTTCAAACTGAATGGAATGAACGACGTTGGAGCAGGAGCTGAGCAGAAGTTCTACACCTCGACTCTCTACTCCCCTCCAATGGGCTTGATCGTTCAGGCAGATCCAGACTACCCCGATCGAGTCCTTGTCACTTGGCAAGAAGACGAGGAGATCAATGACTACAGAATCTTCGCGGAGCCGGGCGAAAACGTCGTCGGAACTGGCGACGTCACTGGAGCCTCCCGCGCTGTTCTCGCTGGACTGGAAGTTGGAGAGACGTACGAAATCCACGTTGCCGCGATTTCCGATTCAAAAGCAGGAGCAAACGCGACTGTAAAATTCACGACCGCTCTTCCGCCTCCTGAGAAAGTCTGGATCAATCCGAGCACGATTACGCCTTATGGAATGCAGGTAGAATGGACTGGGGTTGATAAGGCCAGTGCGTATGAAGTGACGTATAATAATTTGGATACGAAGAGCGTCAAGACGATTACTGGCATAACAGAACTCAAGGGTAAAAATATCTAGAAAAAACTTTTCTTAAAAAATTATTCTTTAGCCGAACTCTATGATATGGAGCCAGCGTCTCGTTACCGAATCTACGTCGTCTCCGTTCAAGAAAAAGAGTCATTCACCGATGAAGCCGGCGAAGTCTTTACATCTTACACTGGCGACCCGATTCACGGTCTCACCCAGATCAACGCTCCTGCCGAAGTTCGCGTCATCAAGCACGGAATGAAAAATGGCACCGTCACTGTCATGTGGGAAGGAGTTGAGAAGGCTTCCACTTATCGAGTCGGCATTGTTCCGTCCGAAGGAATCATCGGAACTGGCACTTACGATAGAAATGAAACGGAGACGAAGCTTTTTGGCTTGGACCCGACTAAAGCTTACAAGGTGAGTGTTTTCTTGAGAAATTTTCTTCAAAAATTTTTTTTCTAGATTTTCGTCAGCGCTTCGAATAACGAGTTCGGCTTGACATCTGAAAAGACAACTTCCAGCCAGCTTTCACTGGCTCCACTTTCCAATGTCAATGGACGAGGTGTTATGGGAGGAACGAATATCAATTTGAAGGGCGCTGGAAATGAGAAAATCTCCGTCTTTGGTATGAAATCGCAAAAATACTTCAAATTCTATCAAATTCTAGACATTTCTGACTTCGAAGAAAGCTCCGGGGACGGATACGAACTTCAAGAAAATCCAGCTGGAATCAGCCCGACTTGGATGGTCGTCATCATCGTTGGATCTGTTCTTCTTTTCCTCCTTCTTTGCGTCATCGTTCCATGCATAATTGAATGCAGAAAATGCAGAAATGAAGGTTACTTTTGCTTCAAAAAGCTTTCTCTTATTAGCTTAGGTCATTGCTGCTGCTGCCTGTGCGCGAAACATCACGAAGATTTTGACGAAGTCATCGAACCATCGAGTTTAGAGAGACAGCGACAAAAAGCAGCCATGGCCGGAATAAACGAGTACCCGTAAAATGCAACAAAAATCATCAAAAAGATATTGTACAGGTAGAAATCTTTCCTTTTCCAAATATGAAATATCTTTTAAGCTACTGTAAAAAGCCACCAACCAATACATACCTTCACATTATTTTGCTGATCCGTTTTACCGCTGAAACACAAAAATAAATGCTCTTTTCATGAAAAAACCAAATAATATTCGCTTTTCGTGAAAATTGAAAAAAGTGTTTATACCTTCATCAAAATGAATCAAAATTTTTTTTTTGCGCGTCTCGTCGACAAAAAACTGCGTTATATCTTGCGTGAAAAAATTCCAGCAAAATAGAAGTCTGATGCAAAAACGTTTTTTTGAAAAAATAACGACTGCATTTAGAGAATCGTGAGATGATTTTTTCTCAGTCCATTTCATGCATAAAATGTTTGAGATATTTGCCTATCGCGAATCTTTATTTATAAACCAAATCAGATCAGAGGAGAATGAGAATAATTTGAGCTGTAAAAAAATCAAAGGGACAATTTTTAAAAATAAAACAATTTGGGGGGCTTCTTCAAGCCATCTACTTATTTCGACAAATTATCTGGGATAATCAAATTGTGATTATCTAAAGCGCGTGATAATAGAAATTCTTGACAACATAGGAAGAAGCAGCAGAATAATAAGCGTCACTGAAGTAGGCCCACTGATTGGTTCCGGATGGAGTGTGGCTTGTGGAGTAAGTGCCAGAAAGGAGCTCCACACCGTTGGCAGTGAGAACGTAGCTGACTGTGTCGTCGCCATTCTCATTTTGAACGGCTTCGATCGTTTGCCATTCGCCCTCGCCGCTGCATTCCCAGTACACAGAGTTTTCATAGCTAGATTTGGTCCCATCATTGACTGAGATTTGGAACGAGTCAGCATAGCTTGGTCTTCGCCAGATTGCAATTTGTCGATCGCCCATACCCGAATTGTCGCCGGCACCGATTTTAGCAACGCTTCTCCAACTTGAATCTGTTCCCATTGACGAGTCGAAAAGGAACTCGAGGCCGATTTTGTAACTTTTGGCAGCAGTGAATGCAGGGGAGTAAGTGTTCGTGATTGGTTGAAGTCCACAGCCATCAATGAAGGTGATGCAGTCCTCAGCGCCGTTGCATGGGTCAGTTCTGCAGGCCGGTGTAAGTGCTTGATAGTGGAAATTCTTGACAACGTAAGAGGCAGCTGCACCGACGTGATTGTCAGAATAGTAGGCCCACATGTCTCTGTTGTTAGGAGTCTTCCATTTTTTGTAGGTATTGGTCAAAATCTCTACACCGTCGACAGTCACGCTGTATGTGACTTCGGACTTATCGTTCTCAAGCTGGGTGACGGCATAGTTGTTATATTCGCCTTCAGTGCACTCGTAGTTTACATCATTAGAGTAATAAGCCTCGTTTCCGTCGCCGACTGCGATAAGCAAGTTGTGGACGCCAGTGTTAGAGCGCCACATAGCAAATTGTCGATCACCTGCATTGGAATTTTCCCCACCATCACTGAGACGAAGGATGTTTCTCCAGCTGCCGTCATTTCCCATAGAAGAATCGCAAAGAACATCGGCTGCGACTTTGTAGCTTGGTTGAATGGTGATTGGATCGGAATAGGTGTTTTGGATTGGCTGAAGTCCGCATCCATCGATGAAGGTGGTGCATTCGTCAGATCCATCGCAGGGATCAGTTCTGCAGGCTGGGGTGAGTCGTTGGTAGTAAAAATTCTTGACAACGTATGAAGACGCAGCAGAGTAGATGTTGTCAGAATAGTATCCCCACACGTCTCGATTTTGGGGTGCTTTCCATTTCTTGTAGGTACCGGTCAAAAGCTCGGTTCCGTCGACAGTCAGGCTGTATGTGACTTCGGACTCATCGTTTTCAACCTGGGTGACGGAGTACGTGTTCCATTCGCCCTCGGTGCACTCAAAATACGCGACATCATAGTAATTGGCCTGGTTTCCATCGTGAACTGCGATGTACAAGTTATGGGCGTCATCGTCTTGTCGCCACATAGCAAAAATTCGATCGCCAGCATTGCTTTTGTCTCCACCATCACCGAACCGGAAAATGTTTCTCCAGCTGCCAAGAGCTCCCATAGAAGAGTCGCAAAGAACATCAGCTGAGACTTTGTAGCTTGCTTGAATGGTGACTGCATCGGAATAGGTGTTGACGATTGGCTGAAGTCCACAGCCATCAATGAACGTGGTGCAGTCAGGATCACCATTGCATGGATCAACTTCGCAGGCGGGAGTCAATTCTTGGTGGTAGAAATTCTTGACGAGGAAGGAAGAAGCTGCTTCAGTGTATTTGTCCGAAAAATAGCCCCACATGTTGACACCGTTAGGAGTCTCCCATTTCTTGTAGGTTCCGGCGAGAACTTCGACACCATCAACGCTGAGGTAGTATTCGACCTCAGACTTATCGTTTTCAAGCTGAGTCACGGAGTACGTATTCCATTCGCCTTCTGTGCAAGTATATTGAACATCAACCCAATTTTTGTCTTCGGTTCCATCATTGACCACGAGATGCAATTTGCGCGCCTCGTTCGGGTGCCGCCAGATGCCAAATTGACGATCGCCAGGCTGATCATCTTCGTCACCATCGCTGAAACGAACGATGTTTCTCCAGTCGTCTGTGACGCCCATGGAAGAATCACAGAGAATGTCAACGGAGACTTTGTAGCTGGGTTGAGCGATGATTGGTTCAGACCAAGTGCGCTTCACTGGTGCTATTGCGTCAACGCCGACGAAAGTGGTGCAGCCGGCAACGCCCTCGCATGGATCAACTGGTGCTGGCGGCTCCGTTGGCGGCTCAGTTGGAGGCTCCGTTGGTGGCGCAGTTGGTGGCTCCGTTGGTGGTTCGGTAGCTGGCGGTGTAATCGTCGTTGTTTTTCCAACGCAAGACTGCTTCCAGTCTTGTCTGTTCCACTTCGGGGCGTTGAAAACACCGTTGTTGCAGTGAACTCCGCCCATCTTTGTTCCATCTTCGCAGTAGACCACGTAGTCTGCCCGCTTGCGGTTGATCTTCGTCCTTAAAGTGATGCTGCCATCAGGGATGTCGAGGGTAGCGGCTGACGCCTCGCAAGGATGTGGTGCTCTCGGTGAGCATTTGAAGACGGTATCAAGAGGGAGATTCCTTTGAAATTTGTTATTGCGTGCTTTTTAGATGACTTTTAACTTACTTTCGGGCGATCGTTGCTGGATCTCCGCATCGAGCCATAAAACGTGGGCTATGCTTTTTCGGCTTGGAGTTGGAGTGGCTGGTCCAGTCTGGATTGAAGCCCTTATCGCAGATCGGGTGGCATCGGACCTTCGATCTCAGTTTTCCGTAGCCGGGGCAATCCCATGATCCATTCTCTACAGGGAACTTGGCTTGCGTCTCGTCAATCTTGGCATCGCAGAGAACGCGGCGCTCTTCTCTCTCCTCATCGGTCAGCTTGTTGTAGCCCTGGAAGTACCCGGCTTCCGCCACTGATGCTAGGAGAAAGCTTCCTAGCTTCATTCTCTTTTCCTGCTTTTCTGCAAGTGCTGGAGATTGATGTCTGCTCTGCTGTCAACCGCGAGTTATATGCTACGTTTTGTTTTGGGTGCTTCGGGGAAATCAAGTGCTGTCGCGCTCGCACATGTTAGCTTTCGTTAACTAACCTGCGTTTCGTCAGAAGTTACTTGGGGTTCTCTTGTGCAGAAAAATTGCGTAAAATCTTTCTTTTATTCTGAATTCAGCTGTTATTTTTAATAATCTTTCAACGAGGCAAATTTTTGGGAAAGGAGACAAAATCTATTAATATTCTTGATGAAATTTTTCACTCAAAACGCAGATTTTTCATTCCAAGATGCCATTTTTTCCCGTCAGTTTTTCGTCTCTCAACGATCTGGACGGAAAAAACAATATAAAAATCTCCATCAAATTTTTCTCAAGTATTAGAAATGTATTTTTTTTTTGTTTTTTTCATAAACTGTAAAAAAGACAAATTTTTGTCTCGAGAAGATAAAATTTGTCTGGAGAGTCGAAGGAATTTGCATCAATTTAGTGCGTTTTTGTCTCAAGAACATGAAATTATAACGTTACCAAAAAAGTGATATCAAATTCATATTCGATTCGAAAATTCTTCTAGATGGGTGGCTGGAAAAAGTTACTAGCGAGCCGAACAGGGGCTACTCTCGAGGCAGCGGGTTAAATTGCGGAAAAAGCAGGGTTCAAAATCACCTAAGCGATTTTAGCTCGAACGCCACACATTCTGGCTTAGGTAACTTGTCGAAAATATAAGATTTTAGAAAACCTAGCCTGTTAATTTTTCGATCAAATTTGGAGCCCTGGCCCTGGAGCGGCAAGGTAACATTAGCTGAAAAAGATTTCTCTTTGCAATTATGATTACAAGGAAAATCGAGTACTTTACAAGGAGTGCAATAACAACACTCGGCGCTCGAGCAAAAACAAGTGAGTGCTTGAGACTTGACTTTGCGGTTTCTTTTGGCTGAAATTCTTTTTATAAAAATCGTTTCCACATAAAAATCTTTTCTATTTTTGGTTCTTTATACAGGAAAATTATAATTATATATAATTATTAATATTTATTCTATCCTTTTAAATAGTTTTGTTAATTTAGTATAGAGTCTGTCAATAGATAACCTGGTTCATCATCATTTTTGATAAATTCAATAAGAAATCATGCTGATCGAATAATAACTATCAATTTAGAGTCTCATATAAAACGGACCATATTTCGTCTCCGAAACAGAATTGCAAATTTTGTAAGCTAGCTGAGCTAGAATTCAGCTCAGTTTAGCTCAGCAATTTTGAAGTGAGGGTCAGCTCAGCTCAGCTCAATTTTTCTGAAGAAAGCCAGCTCAGCTCAGCTCAATGGTTCTTCATAGGGAGCCAGCTCAGCTCAGCTAGCTCATTTTCGACCTCAGCTCCGCTAGCTCACCTCAGCTCAGAAGAAACAGTGCTAAGAAAATATCAATATTTTTCAGCTAACGATAACCCCATTCCAATTATTTTCTGTCCTTTACGTTTGATGAAAAAACTAAGCGCCCGACAACATGGCGCCAGCATCACTTACGACTTACACGGATACAGCGTACTTCTTTTGCATCAATAACTAAGGCAACTGAAGTTTTTTCGTTTTTCAAAAGAAATTTCAAAATTAATTTATCCATGAATCTCCAGAATTACTGCTAAGTCCGTCTAAATCAGACGGTAAGAGTTTATTATAGTAATTTAAATAGTAATACTGAACATTTAATGATTTCAAGAGTATTATTCTAGGGAAAGATAGCGAAGTAGAAAAGAGGTGATTGGAATTGTTATTATTAAAGTTCTGAGGCGACTTGATTCTTCTTTCTTGGAGGAGAAGCGGGCTCTTCTAGCGCGTCATTTTGAACTCCAGCTTGCTCGATTTCTGAGAAATAAAAGCCAGTGAGAGGAAAGATGAATTCTAGAGCTTACCATCGAGTGAAACATTTGCTCTGACGACTCCGCAGCCCATTGCATCACCCATGACATTGATGGCAGTTCGGAATCTACAAAAATAATGTAATTTAGTGACCCCACTTCCGTACTCGAGAAACATGTAAAAGAGAAATCGAAGAAGTTAACAATACCTGTCAAGAATAGGATCGACGGCGAGAATGAGCGAAACTCGATCTGGAGGAAGTCCAATCGCGGTGAGAACAATGATCATGGTTACGAGGCCAGCCTGTGGGATTCCAGCAGCGCCGATCGATGCTACTGTAGCCGTGATACTGGAAAATTTCATTTTGATTGCGAAAACCGTAAAAATAGATACCTGATCAAAATATAATCCCCAAAACTGAGCGGCAATCCTTCCGCCTGAGCAATGTAAATAGCAGCAACAGCTTCGTACAGAGCCGTTCCATCCATGTTAATTGTCGCTCCGATTGGCAAAACAAATCGAGTTATTCGCTGGTCCATGTCATTGTTGATTTCCAGCGTCGACATTGTAAGGGGCAAGGTGGCGGAACTAGAATACAAAGTTACTTCCGCCCTTTCTTTTCAGGATTTTATTTCAAGATTTCCTCCGAAACGATTTACTAGTAGTTCAAGCTATTTATTGATCGAAATATTGAAAATTCCTCACCTTGAACCGGTGGCAAAAGCGGTAAGAAGCGCCTGACTGACTCCCTTCACATATTTGATCACGTTCAGTGGAGCTCTAAGGGTAAAGTCCTTCGTGCCTAAATTTTTCGCCATAACAAATAATTTTCTTTTGAGAGGAAAGAAAACGTAAACAACCGCAAACCGGAACGCAACATACCGAGAATGAAGACAATGGGCAAAATAATCAAGCTGTGAAGAGCCAAACCGCCAATTACAGTTCCTGAGTATCTAAGGAGGCTCAGACCGACTTCGTTGAAATCGTCGGACATCACAATCGGCGCTGGAAATAATGTCAAAATCGAAAAAAACCGTTTCCAAGCTCATGTTGTCTCAACTAACCAATGAGGAAAATGATACCAATGGGAGCGTACCAAATGATGACAAAAACGACTCGAAGAATAGCATCATTCATAGCGTTGAAAAACGCAACCAAAACTTCCTAAAACATAGTCAATCAATAAATTTCCCACTTTTGCGCACCCGAATTCGCTTGTCAGGAATTCTAGTGATGGCCAAAGCGAGGGAGATTGAGAAAAAAAGGACACCGAGGACGTTTTCTCGTGGTCCACCTCCAGTGTGACTGTAGTTAGTGCCGATTCCTTTCCACTCGCATTCGTATTGCATCTCGGAATTGATGAATTCTTCCTTTGTCTGTACATCTAGAATTTGGTTCGAAAAAAAAACAAGGAAGAGAACACTCACAGGAGCAAAGAGTTGAGTTGTAGCCATAGTCCGGATCGTTGACATTATCTTTTGTCAGCGAAAAAGCTTTGGTTGTAGTTATGCAATTGATATCATATGAATCCTCATCAAAAATTGTTCCCAAAAGTCCAGGTGATAAACCTCTGCAATCGTGGGTCGTAATGGTTCGCTTTCGATAAGTGCTGGACTGGGAGAAAGTGGCCATGACGATGTTGGTCGGGAGAAGATTTCGGATCAAGTCGAGAAGAGTATCGACAGTAGCCAAATCACCGGATGTCGAAACAACCTCTCCACTTGAAGAGCCAGGGGTGACTCCAGGCTAGAATTTATCATCACTCTCTGCCCGTAAATTTGATTTTTCTACCCTAATCGCTGCGCAAAGGATGATTCCTTCAATAACAGCCAACAGCGTGGTAGTTCCATAATAGGCGACAGCAATGCCTCCCATCTTTCCAGTCGTCTTGGAATCCAGACTTGCGATGCCAGAGATAATCGAGAATACGATCAGGGGCAAGACGCACATTTTAAGTGCTTGTAAAAGCATTGTTCCGGGGAATTTTATGTATTCAATGTCGACTTTGTCGAATGGCGGTTCAACAGCTTTTAACCCGAATCCAAGGCAGATTCCCAGGATTACTCCTGAGATTGTCATGATCTTTTCAGGGGTTCAAACCTGTAAAGTAGGGTTAGGGTTAGGGTTAGGGTTAACCCTCATCCCAAAATAGGGATGGTGTCTGGAACCGACTCGCCTGCTGATTGGCCTTTTTGCCGAATCCAGGCTTCTGATTGGTTGAAAATTTCCACTTAAAATTTGTCGAAATATTTCTGTCGGTTCCAGACACCTCCCCCAAAATCAGGACCTCGAATCTCAATTTTCATCGAAAAAGAGATAAGTGCACTGAAAGCTCTAGAATTAATTTGAACCCTTGGCAGGAGTAAATTCCGCATGACAAATCTCCCGAAGGGATTGTCCATGCATCCGTCGCAGCGTCCCATTTTCGCTTGTTCTCTCGACTCTGAAATGTTCATATTTACACTCGCTCTACATATTTCCCTGAGCGATAGACATGCAAAAAAGAACGCGAAAAAAGTAAAAAGAGAAGGTTTGGCTGGCCCTCGAGGGTCAATCTTCTTGTCAAATTTACGAAAATCTCTTTGATCAATTTTAGTCGTTTGACCGAAAGGTTAAGATCCGGGCGTCAGAAAGCGTTCAACGGTTCAAAGGAGTTAACTTGGTGACACCCTTAATATTTCCTTCTTTTAATCTCTTCAGAACTTACCAAGGGGTTAAAATCTTCCGCCCCTCCTTCTTAATTCTTGCGATCTAGCGTAAAGCTATTTCCAGGAAATATAGAAAAAAATCGTTGGCGAAAAAGTTCGCTCGCGGTTGCCACCATAACCATCGCCATCTTCTTTGGCGAGGTTTTCCGGTCTGAGAGCGTCTTTGTTAAAAAATTGTAAAAAAAAGAGAACGCTGGCCTTGGAACAGCATTCATGCGAGCCGGCAAGGGTACCCTCGCGGAAAACGAGACGATGGAGGAAGGGAGGACTGTGGGAAGATTGGTTGACCCCGGAATGGTGATGCGGAATTGTTGACGATGTTGCTAGAATTTATGTTGGTGAATCACAACTCAGAATGTTGTCGGTTTTGAAGGAGGTTAAGTTCGTTTAGTGGATGTTTGAGACGACTTATCTTTTCAATTGTCACATTGACACCCTTTTTTTTAGTAAGATTGCTGAGTAGATTTTGGGGAGCAGTCTGGAACCGACACAAAATTTCGACAAATTTCGCGTGGAAATTTTCAACCAATAAGAAGCCTGGATTGGGCGAACCGGCCAATCAGCAGCCGAATAGCCGCCCACGCAAAATTTGTCGAAATTTCTTTGTCGGTTCCAGACGCAATCCCTTCATTTTGAGATTTTTTGGTCATAAATCATTTTAATCAATATAAGATTCAATTCATTGATATATTCATCGGAGGAGTGAGGATGAGTTCGATAAAAGAACCGTTGTCTTAGTCAAAATATCTTGTCGTCTTTGTATTCTTGTTACAATGAACCTTGTTAATACTTACTTTAAATGCCATAAAAGAAACTGAATTTAATTACAAAATATTCCCAAGTAGAAAAATTATTCCTTTCTTTGAGGATTAATTCGTGTCACAAATAATTATTCAAGTGAATTGTTTATTCATGGCTTAAGTACGGAGAAAATTGAAGAGGATTACTCGTCAGTGTGTTCTTTTTTGGTCCGTTTATGCAATCTGATCCTGTTTTGCAACATTTGATAAACTTTTAGAAAGCTTCGAATCTTCCATTTTTTTATTGGAATATGTAATACCGGCGTAATTTTACTTCAATTAAAACAATGCGGTATTCTGAATAGTATAATTCATACTGAATCACCCTTTTACAGAGTCTGAAGTTAGTCATACCGTTATCCTTCTGTGACTTTCATTCTATAACTCTTCTGTTCCATTATTCTCTATTCACGGGAGCGAGGGCGCTCGCGAGCAGCCCTGAGAAATCGCGATCGCGCCGCGGTGAATGCTCCGCTGCGGAAGCCAAGAAAATTTTTTGACATTGAAAGATACGAAAATCGCATAGCTTTCGTTTTTTAAATAACTTTTTTTTTATTTCTGAAATAGAAATATATTTGACTTCCTTTTTGTGACATTTTGATTGAGATATAAAACTATACTCGAGAGATATGAAGATGATCGCAGATGGGTTAAATGAAGAATCAATGGTTCGTAATCGAAAAAAAATTTTTGGTCGGGTTGGGGTTTGGTCAAAATTTTTGTTCGAAAAAATGGATTTATTTTTTTCGGAATTTTTTTGAAAAAATTTTTCAAAAATAATTTTTTTTCTTGAATTATTTTTTTGCTCAAAAATTATAAAATCAATCATTTTCAGAAATTTCAACTCATAATTAGAGAGCCACGACAAAAAATATTTTGTTAATTGACAAATAGCCTATTTAGCTAAATTAGCGAGCTGGCCGCGCCGCGAAAGGCTTCTCAGAATTTTAAATTTCGCTTCAAATTACGTCGATCCGGTAACTTCCGCTGAGCAGATTCGGAATCTTCAATGTCGGTCATTTTCTATGATTCATTTTAGAAAATCTAGGATGATTCGACTTTTTAAGGGATCACCCCCCGATTTTTCAAAACTTTGGCGCGGATCATTATTGCCAATTATTAGATTCCTTGTGTTCTAAGGATCATTTTGATGTATTATAGTACCCATTTACATAAATGCATCCCCAAAATTTTGGCTTTCAAAGTTTGGGAAAATGCATGTAAATTGTACTTTGTGCGAAAATCGCAATTTTTTACGATTTTTCATCGTTATCAAGAGGGGACAAATTTGGGGTTGATCGAAAGCTTAGAATGTCTAGATCACGAATATAATAACCGCACTTGAGTTTTCGACCATTTGTTGGCGCTAGAGAGCATTTAACCACCAAAAAAATGCCCAAAATGGCTCCAAAAAGTTTTACAATTAGAAAATTTTTTTTCACTCAGCCAGTCATGCTGATTCTACCAGAATATTAAGTCTAGGGTCTGAGCTCTCTATAAATGCAAAAAGATCTGTGATTGAATAGCCTCAAAAAAAGGAGATACGATTTGAAAATGGTCTAAAATGGCCATTTTCGTCAACTTTAATCACTTTGACGGCCTCTAATGCATAAGCGAATGTTAGGATATTAAGCTGATTCTAAGCAGGCTTTAAAATGCGCTACTAATCATACTCATAAGTAAGACCAGAAAAAGTAGATACGGGTCAAAGTTCGGGAAATCGGGGGATCCCTTAAATTAACTTTGTTTTTCGAAAATGCCTTTTTATCAAAAAAAGGGAAAATTAAAAAACCACAATTCGAATAAAAAGATACGGAAGAAAATGGGTCCGATAAGTGACCGTTCTCGGTCGGAATATATTCCCACGTTAGTTTTAGGTCGGCTTATGGTCGGGTTCAGGTTGAGCGAAAATCTCCGCCGAGGCGCTCTTTTGGCATTCGAGAGGCCAGAGAAATGCGCCTCGCGGTATTTACACCAAAAAATAGTAGAAAAAGGCCAACTCTAAAAGATCTCTTACTGTATCAAAATCCGGCGAATTTGATGTTTCTAAAAGATTAATCTCAAACTTGAATTCCCAAAAAACTAGAATTTTTACAACCAAAAATAAGGGCATCTCCTCTTTTTCCCATGAACGAGAAAGATTGTTGCCAAAATAATTAACATTAACTTTCGAAAAATTTAATTTATTAATATTTTCTGAATTATGGATAACTTTAATCTTGCGTCCAAATTTTTATTTCATAAAAAAGAAATTCGGAAATAGCTTGGAAAAAACCCTTATTTAACCCCCTTTCTTACCCTTATTAGAGCCTTTACTCTTGACCTAACCTTGAAATAGATTGGCGATACCCTTATTAAAACCTTCTTGACCACAGTTTATGGTTATGCCCTTCCCTTTGATTTGACGGTAAGATTTTGAATACGGGTATCTCAAATCTATTTAAGGGTAAGGTATAGGATATAGGCTCCAATAAGGGTAAGAAAGAGGGTTCACTAAGGGTTCCTCCAAGCTATTTTCGAATTTAGGACCATAGTTCTTAATTAATTCGTTGAGACCCTTAAAAATATCTTTACCCTTAAGTGAACCCCAAAAAGAAAAAATATGTCTGAAGAGATAAGGAAAGGAAAGGGAGATGAACGGGTATCAGCAAGTCAAAAGGGCATCAAATTACGGTCAGTCTTCGCGATTAGCTTGTCCAAGTTTTGATAACTTTCTGGTTTTCTTAGCCACGTGTATAGCGGTCTGAGGATTTTCTCTTTTCGTTTGATGTTTTTCATCCCTTATCAAAATATTGAGGACATATCTATCTTCCAGGGCTGGATAAAACGTGGAGAAGGAGGACAATCTCGCTGCTGCCGATGATTGTTCTTCTTTTTACGGGTCGAAGCGGGAGATTCAGATTCAATTCGCTACAATATGGGTTAAGCAAATTGAATCTGTTACAGCTGGCGATCAGCTTGGATTTAACTCGCTGGCGCATATCTGATTTGACAAGGCTCTTTTTTGCTCAACGAAAATTGAGGAAAATTAAGGGTAGCACAATCTTAAATCTAAAGCCTCAAAAAGTCAATTACTGCTTTTTGGATAGAAATTTTGAATTAAGGACCCCCCCGTCATGTTTGACGATTTTTGGGAATTGATTCTCTGAGTTCTGAGGATCAGTTTTCTCTATTGTAGTAAAATTCTATTTCGACTTTTTGACCCTCAAAATCGACTTTGAAAATCATGATTTTCGGGCTTTTTTAGCTTAAGGGGGTCCCACACGATTTTGAGATTTTTCGAATTCTAATTTTTTCTCTTCAGATTTGAATTCCTCATGAAAAAAGCTGCAAAAAAGGTTCCTAGCTTTTTTCGATTGTATAAGAAAAAAGTATCCAAAATTGACCTTGAAGTTGCGAATTTTGATGCATCTGCATGGAAATTAAAAAATCAACCCATATTTACAGTTGTCTAAGGGTCGTATATGGCATATTTTTAGAAAGGCTATGAGCTCAACTTTCTATTTATGCCCGAAAATATGGGTTTGGGTAATGCCCTAAAGGCAATTCACATGGTCGAAATTTAAAAAATCGTTCATTATTTTGATCGTCTTCATTGCATTATCATTTTTTGGAAATTGAAAAAACTGAGATACGCTTCACTAGATTAGCGTTAGACCTTTCAGAAACCACAGGAAAAAAAATTTTGTTTCCTAAATTTTTGGAGTAAATCTCGGTCAAAAAGTACCCGAAAACGCGATTTTGCGCGAGATGGTTACTTTCTCGGCGCTCTAGCGCCGAATGTGGTTGATTAAAAAAAATTTGAGACACGCTTCACTAGATCTAAGAATGATCTAGTTGAACGAAAAAAGATTTTTGAAAAATCTAAGTCCGTGACGCCGTGAGCGCCGTTTGAAAATGGCTTATTTCGGGAAAATCGTTGGGGACCCCCTTAATTTGCCCATTTTTCGGCCGATCACCAACCTTCAAACACTTTTTCTTTAGTGAAACCCTTAAGATATCATCATAAACTTGATGCGGTGCCCTCGACAAGGGTCTCAGCTAAATTTTCAACATAAAAAAATTTTGATCAGTTAAGGTGATCACAATGATATCACTGTTTGAACAATATTTTCACTTTAAGGAGGGGGTCGACGAGAAAAATTTTTTCGTTTTTTAAAATTTTCGTTTTATTTTTGGATTTCTTATTAAAAAAGGAGCATTTTTGGTCTCCAGCTTTTCGCGGATTTATTAACTTTTTTTAACAAAATTTTCGATTTTGTGTCTGGATTCCGAGATTTTACGAAAGTTAAAAGGTGGTCATATCACCCAAAAATAGTCCTTATCAAATTTTTATGTGCTAGATATTGTTTTTTGATGATTTTTTAATCATTATCAGTAAAAAATTCTGAGTCTCCGCGACTTTGGTAAAATTCCCTATGAAAAATGAGCAAAAATGACGATTTTTAGGAAAATCGGATATATTTAATCTACAGTAAAAAATTTTTCACGATAAGCATCCCTTTTTCATTGTCGCCGCCGTATTTTTAAGGGTTAAAACTTATTTTTAAAACTATTTGATGAAGACAGAAAAATCCCGTTTTTGAGATTTTTTGGTCACGAGTCACCCTCACTTTGACCTAAATTTTACAAAATTTTTTGGAAAAAATTTTTTTTCTCGTTTTCGCCGCTGTATTTTTCAGACCCTTTTCTTTCCACGTAAATAGTCAGAATTTGCCTATCTAAGCAGGTTTTTCCGCATTTTTGGTCACAGAAATCCCGATTCTCGTCGACCTCCCCCTTAACTTATCGTTGCGACACCCTTAAGAGGCCTATAAGCTTGTTTTCCTTCTGGTGCCCTAGAGCAACTATCGGGCTACAAAATAATTCAAAAATATTTCAAAAATCTTAAGGGGATCAACCCGAAAACCGTGTTTGCAAAAGTCATTATAAGATGACGGAGGGGTCCTTAAAATAGCGACACCCTTATTTTATCTCACTGAAATAAGTAAAGACCTTTATCTCCTTCCTTATCGTTGTCCACACCCTTAGGAGAACCCTCTTTTTTATGCCCCTGAAAAATTTGGATTTCGAAAGAATATGATTTTAAATAATTAACCTGCGCAAAACTGCACTTCATTTCTAATTCCAGAGCCGTCGCTAGGTCAAGCACGTTATTAACCCGAAAGCGGGCTACGTAAAATTAACCGCGCTGTGGTTGCAAAAGGTGACAGAATCGGCTCAGTTAGGCTTTGATTTGTGTTCGTGAAACCGGCTTACGAACCAGCTCACCGAATCTTCTCGCGAAAAACGGATTTTCTTTTATCGTGAATGCTCATTATGGCTCATTTTCTCCCTTCTTTTTTTGAAATTCTCCACATAGATACCCTTAAAATAAAATTTTTTTCCGAATAATTTCAAAAACAAAATTTTTCACATTAATCCCTCGGAAAATTAAATTTGAACGTCTCCCATTCTAGTGTTTTGACCATCCTCTCGATTTTTCAAAAGAAACTTCCCACGAAAAAATAATATACAAGCCCTTTTTTGTTATGCAATGTTTAAGGCGACTTATAAAACGTTCTCTTTTTTCAACGATCCGAGGACTTAGGAAAATGTTTGGTGACGAATATAAACCGGACAGCTTTTTCTTTCTTTAGAGCCTTTTTCATATAAACCCCCTTAATCAGCGAATTCGAGAACTAGAGGTCGCGGTCCAGCCCCTGGATTCCACCGTTGGGGCCAGGGAGGAAATACAAACCACAGTCCGTTAGCATAGTATCTTTTGTTGTGGGAACAAGTACTTAGCCATTCTTGACATAGCTCGGTACACGTTATCCTCCTCTTAATTCCCCTTCCTTGACATGAAAAAGAAAATAGACAAATATTAAAAAAGCTGATTGAACAAAAATTGTCTGCTTTTTGATCATTCTGTTTTGTAAAAGAATAGGCGAAAACATGAATTTATCAACAAAAAAAGAAAAAGATATTAAATAAAACGGGAGTATCGCTCCACGGAGGATGTCGGGGAAAAAACTGATAAGGGCAAAACCGAGCTAATATATTTTAGATAACGGCATCTTAGACTTTATTTAATAAATACTTCTTTTTTTATGCAAGAACACTTTTGTTTGTGAGAAAAATGGGCTACCCTATGATAAAACTTAATATTACCCTCTACACCCTTAAGATTTCAAGTAATGTGAAGACTAAAATGTGGCCCACGAAAATCTAAAGAGCAAAAATGGGTTAACTTGTATTAATGATGAATTTTTTTTCGTATTTTTTCAATCAGAAGGAAAAAAAGGGAAAAATTATTAAAATCGATTTTTAGATTTTCCTGAAAGAAATCACGAATCCAACAGATAATGTGGAGATTCAATACTTGGCAACAAACGTCGACCGTCAATTTCAGGTACAGTAATCGAGTCATTAACATATTTTTTGAATATTTTTTATCAAAGTAGCAATTTTGATCACGTTCTAGCGAAAATGCCATATCAAAAAAATAATAACCGACCGGATAAGACTCCGATCTTATCGCTGGAAAAAACGTTGAATTTTTTTTATTGGAAAAATAAAAATTGTGGCCGTTTTTCGCCGAAAACCGTATTTACGAAAATTTTTATAAAATCCAAACTCTTACGCAAAAAAACCGTCAAAATCGTCCATTTGCCGTGGCAAATAGAATTTTTGATTTCTCGAAAAAATAAAATAAAATTTCCGAGGTTCTAATTGCGCTACATGCGCGCATGTCAGATAGCAAAATAATGATTTCAATGGATGATTCTGGGCTCGACAGATTCTTGAGATTGCAGAAATAATTAATTTTTGATTTAAGGATTGCTTCCTCGAATTTTTCTGGCATATAAACGTTTTGTACAAATATTTTTTTATTATAAAAAAAATTTTGAACTTTCAATTTAAATAAGGGGGTACCGGTACGAATCAACAGAAAATTTCGACGAAATTTGCGTGAAAACTTTGAACAAATCAGAAGCCTGAATTCGGCCAACCGGCCAATCAGCAGCTGAGTAGCCACCTACGCAAAATTTTGTCATAATTTATTGGTCTTTTCGTGCTGGTATCCCCTTTTTTATAAAAAAATAAAATGTATAAAAAATATTTATTCAAAAAAATTTATTTTGCCGTGATAAAAAAGATGGAGCCACGTTCTTTCAAACATTCGGTATCTTATTTAAAAACCATTCGAAGAAGCCTCGAGAAAACATCTCTTCCGGATTTTCCCATCGTCAAAAATATCCACGACGTCCGGTCAACCAGGATCTAAAAATATGTTTCTTTACAAAGTTTGTTACTGGCGCTCGAGAAATAAATTTGCAATTCATCAACTTGAGAAAAAAAAACTTGCTGATTTGTGCTTTTTGAAACCAATCTGGGTGAAATCGAGGATCGAGTGAAATTCTAGTGCCACTTCTCGAGAACGAGGACTGGAAACATCTGACAGCAAAAACCACTTTTGGCTTTTTCATTTTATGCTTTTTTCACACGTTCGATTTTCGCTTAAACGCAGCAGGTGGCGATATTGCATTTTCGAATCAAAAAAATTTTGAACCAAAATATACTTTTCTGACATCTGACTTTTCAGAACCCAAAATAACGCAGAAGTTTTTTTGATTAGATTTATTTTGGTAATATAAAGAAGAACGTCTTCTTCGAAATTTTACTTCGTACAGGATTCTGGGTTGCAAACCTGAGCTTAAAACCTGACTCAGGATTTGAGAGAGAAAAATTGATCATTGCGAAGCCGCTTCGCGGCTTTATAATCAAAAAAGCCGCGACGCGGCTTTTCATTCAAGGTCTTTTTGACCCTGACTCAGGTTTTTGACACAGGATCTCGAGATCGGCACGATAAATTTAATCAGGAGATTCTTTTCTGTGAAGTTTGATTGATTTGTTTTCGAAATCGAGAACTTTATTGATCGGCTTACTCAAGCTTACATAAAATCATAATCCAATAATTTTATTTTGTATCTTATATATTATTATTATGTATTATGTAATTATTTTATTTTGATCGACATCCTGGGAGACAAATTGAATTCTCTCCTGATAATTGATCATTTAATTCTACATGTTCGAATCAACCAAACTCATCCCCTGGAAAAAGAGGTTCAAAATAAACCTCCCCCAACAAGATGTACACTTGCAAAATCCTGTCGCAACATGGTGCTCCACACTTGTGGATTTAGGAAACCTAACACGCATGTCGATTTTCTAACGCTTGTCGAGGATGTTCGCTACCCGCACCCGTTCCGCTCATCCTTTTTTTTTTCGTTTTTAGATCGACCTTGAAAAATATTTTTTCTGCCAACTCAAGGATTTTTTATCAAAAAAATCAGATTTCAGAAAAAAAAATTCTCGAAAAAAATTTTTTTTTTTTCAAAATTTTCATCCATTCAAGACTCTTTCCCGAAAAAAAGTTGCATAATTTTATGTTGAACATTTTTTTTTTCTAAAACTAACAGTGTCAAATCAAACGTCAGATTTTCACCGACACGTGTTTCGTAAGAAGGCTTATCGATCATACAAATGTCGCTCTAAAATGACGCTGATCCTTAGGCAACATACCGGTGAAAGCAGACTCAAATCCGGGGTTACGCCGCCACTTAGGCCCTCTAAGCTTGTGATTGGTCGCCGGGTAATCCCGGGTAAAGGCTTGCTTTCACCGGTAGTTCTCTTCAAGATTATCTGAAACCTGGAGATTGAATGTTATTTCACAAAGACGTTTTTGAATTGGGCCTTCAGGAATTCGGAATGGTTCTTTTTGGGAACCCACTTTTGAATTTGCATTTCAAAAAAATAAGGAACTCATCTTAATTTCTCGTCCACGTGAGCGTCCGTTGAAATACGACTCGGATGATTAACATATCCGGAAGCTCATTCGAATTTTCACTTTCCGTCTGACCCCTCTTCTTTTATGTTTTTCCTTGCTTCTGTTGAAAGCTCTTCTTTCTATGCCTTTAGCGTTTTGACACCCATATTTTGGGGGGCGGGCGGCCGCGGGACAAAAGTGAAATTTGTACCGCGGGTACAAATTTTGTACCGCCGGTACAAAAAATGATAATTTTTTTGGCGATAAAAACCGATTTTTACCCAAAATAATGCTCGTTTTCGGACAGAACTCCACCTCAGCTATACCAGTAAGGAGTTTCCTTCAATTCTAGCGCGAAGCGCACACTTTTTCTCGGATTTTATTTTTGGCTTGTACCGGCGGTACAAAAATTTTTGTACCGGCGGTACAAATTTGTAACGGCGGTACAAATTTGTACCGTGGCCGCCCTACACCCCATATTTTTCATCAAAAATTTAAATTATTATTAATTTATTTTCCTAACCGTTGGGTAGGTCCTTAAAGGAGAAAATATCTTCCAGAAATTAACCAGAAAAAATAAGTGTATCACTTCATTAACTTCAGAAACCATAAAATGCGGTAATTTTTCAATAATCCTTTGAGATATCTATCGATGAAATTCCTTCATTCTTCAAAGAAAGCGGTTATTTAAGGGGTTATGTAAAGAATCCAAAATTTCTCTCGCTTCAAATTTTTCTCAAATGTCGAATGTCTGCGCTATTTAAGCCCCACTGTCTTACAACATTTTTTTCATCCGCTTTGTTAAAAATTGAACAACTTTTTCTTAATTTTTCCCCTATTTTTTAAATTTCTTGATCCCGAGAATTTCGGAATAACAATTTTTAGAATGTCATATGGAATCACGTGGCTAACAATATTCCAGTTTGATCCGAATAATTAAATAACAAAGTCTGCCCCAGAAAGAGAATCTAAAATGCAAGCGGTGACTTTTGAGCTCTTTTTTTCATGGAATTTCTAAAAAGATTCCAATTTTATTCATCTAAAAAAGCTCAACCCCTTAACCCTACGCCGCCAAATGTGCCATATATGGCACAAGGGCTTTCCAAAACCCATTTTTCTCTCCGTCATCATTTCGGGTTCTTCCATTTTACTCATTTTCGGGCAATAGTCTGGGCTTGGGTTTGGGTTCATTTTTGAGCTCGGGTTCTGGTTCGAGTTCGGATCTTGGTTAAGGTTCGGGTTCGGCCATTATATGGGGCCTAGGACGACGGAAAAGATGATGTGCCATATATGCCACATTTGGCGGCGGGGGGTGAAATTTTAGTTTGGCGGCGTAAGGTTAATTGCCTGTTCATCAAAATTAAAAAAAAACACGCCGTTGTTAAATAATCATAACTCGCGATATATCGATATAAATCTCCGCTGAAGCCGATCACGTTGTCCCAATTCAGCGATCGCGTGAGCAGCGCGATAAGCCGCTAATTTACTCTGGCCTTAATCTTTGTAAATTGTTTGAAATTCATGATCCGCTCTTGCGACTCGGACAAAATGGCTGCGACCCGATCCGGTCATTTTTGGATTCGTTTTCGTAAACAGCGCTTCATTTTTCTCAAAGCACGATCTAAAAATTAAGGGCGGGAACGATCAAATTTGTAACCAAAAAACTTACTTACATCATGTTTTTTTTTCGAAAGATTTGGAGACTTTTCTTCATGATACCCTTGTTTCTCATGAAAGATAAAATGAAATTGTGGCTTTAAGGACCTCCCCCTCGCTTTCGATTTTGCGGAAACCGTTGCGGGGGTCCTGAATAAAAAAAACCTTAAAAAAGGCAAAGCCGCGCTTTGCGCGGCTTTTTCTCTGTGCTCGAAGCCGCAAGCGGCTTCTCGCTTTAATTTTGATGTAAAACTAGAATTTTTGTTGCGTAAAAAATGAGTTCGGAAGAATTTCTTTTACAGAAGAAATCGCCTTTTGAAGTTTTGTTTCGACTCGAAACTTTTCCGCAGCTGGATTTATGATATTACCAGGGGACTGGCGCTGAAGTGTTCTAATAAACCCAGATAGTAAAAGAAGGAAAATAAATACCCCACCTGCTGAGTCGATAAGGGCTTAAGTTAACTCCCGCCCGATAAGCGAGACGGGTGCGATATCAAGACAACTCAGCCCGCTCTGAGCCAACGAGGAATAATAAATTTGAGAATTTTCGGTAATTTCGTGTTTTTACAGTGACACCCTTAAAATTTTTTTTTGCCAGGATCGCCGGGCTCCGCGGTAATTGTTTTCTTTGAAAAAAAAAATTAGAAATGCCACAGACGCTAGCTTTTTTCAAGTTTGTGTAATTATGGTAACATGCGAAATTTGCATAACGTCATCCTGCGCCTAAATGCCGTGTTGTGACATGATTTCAAAACATGGCGAAAACTCACACATACAACGTGCTTTCAGAAGCAAGCGTTAGTTCTGAGCTAACAGTACTTGGAGGGGCTTACTGCGTTGAACAAGTCGAATCGTTTTTCGAGTCGAAAAGTCGCTTGCGGCTTCGAGCAAAATGATAAAGAAGCCGCGCGCGGTGCGGCTATTATTTTGTATCTTAAAGCCGCAAGCGGCTTCTCGATTTTTTGACGGATAAAAACGGCGCTAGAATCTTTCCTGAATCAAGAAACTCGATCTATAAGCCGTCGAGTGGGGGTTTATTCTGATATGGTTTCACGTAAGAAAACTTGCGGTGGCAATATTATGCAAGAAATCGCCTTTTCCCTATCCACGGGCGCAGATGATCCCTATCGCCATCCGGTATAAATTTGGACGATTCTAGAGACGCTTGATCCGATTTTTGCGGCGCGAATGAGGAATCTGGCTTTTCATCATAGAATCCTCTTATACTGTAAAAACGATGCAGTATCATGGTAGAGCAAACTGATTTAAGGGTGTCAACATCGATAGAGTTAGGGTGAAAATCGATGTTGACACCCTTAACAGTAAATTTTTAAAAATCAAGAGTTTTTTTCTTGAGTATTTTTTCACGCTACTTTAAGGGTCTCCCTCTCGAAAGAGGGCCTCTTGAATGGTAGAAAATATTTAAGCGGAACTGGTAAACAAGGAGGAAAAGTGTGAATTTCACGAAAGCACTTTTCTAATCTTGAAATTCGCGAAGTGTCCCGCTGCGAATATCTGACATGCCACAGGGTGGTGGAGATAGACTTGAGAAAACGTCTCGTATTCTGGTTTTATGAGAGCGTGATTAGAGCTTTATCGAATTTTCGAGAGCGTGGTCATTTTTCGAATTTGAAAAAATGGAGAAAATTCCTTGTTGACACCCTTAATTTTATGTTGTTTTTTTGGCATTTTCTGTGAACAGAATTTATTTTAATAAGAAAATTGAATTTAAAAATTGGTTGAATAATAACGCTTTTTAGGATAAAGAAGGCATGGGCTGGATTTCTCACGTGATTGCGAATTCGACTCGGCCACTGCACGTTCTGCGTCACCTGATCCCGTTCGGATTTCCGGTCAACTTAGCCGATAATAATGGAGCGATGCCGCTACATTACACAGGTAACAATTTATTTCATAATTTTCTGTGAAAACGAGAAGTACTTTAAGGGGGTTACATCCACAATATTCTTAAGCGGGTAGCCTCCGAAGTTTTTCTCGAAAACCGAAGATTTTCTTCTATTTTAAGGGCTTTAGGGCCCTATTTCCGGCCCCTTGGCCATTTTTGTCCCTTTTGATCGAAATAGGTTAAATTCTCGAGAATAAATATGGGCCGGTTTAATTGTTCTCGAAAAAGGAGCTCAGCATGGGTATTTTCGCGAAAACTTTATGCAAGAATCCAATTTTCGCTAATCCACTAGTCCCATTCCTCTTTAGCTCTGCGCCGTTTTGAGTGGCCCCAAATGACCAAAACAAACTTTTGAGCGTTTCAAGGGGAGCTTAGAACTTGAAGGGCGCTTGCCAGAACGTGATCTCGAAATTATGAAATTATCAGAAGACAAAATCTGAAAGATTCCGACGTCACTAGAATAACAAGGAGTTCGAGGGACAAAAATAAACTTTTTCGCGGTTTACAGCCTTAAAAGCTCGGCTCAAAAATTTGAATTGAAAACCAAAGTCTGGTCTTTTCAATGAAAAGCCGCATTGCGGCTTTTTTTACAAATGAAGCCGCGCGGCGGCTTTTTTGTTTACGAGGCCAGCGGAAAATACAGGACTCGGCTTATTAAAATTAGGTCTGAATTAGATTTTCGCGAAGCCGCTACGCGGCTTATTTATTAAAAAAGCCGCTGCGCGGCTTTTGATTTTAGTTTTTCAGGATTCTGATTCGATGGAGCATTTACTAGTTTTCTCCTTTACTTGAGAAAAACTTTCGTGTTTGTTGAGAAGTTCTAGCGAAAGAGAGAGAGAGAATGCGGAGGAGGCTATCTCAGGAGTGTTTTTTTGTTTATACCGTATTTTGACAAGTAAGAGATTAGATAAGCGATTAGCGCACGTTGTAAAACAGCGCGTATTGAGCATTTTCGCCGGCTTAGGTCGGCTTTCTTTCGCGAGTGCTATCAAAACGACAATTTGAGATAGAGCCCCTCTGCAATTCACAAACAACATCACAAAATAGAAGTAATTCGCCTACTTGAACCCGACAACAGTCTCCCAGCCAAAGAATATTATCATATTGTATTTTCTGACACGAAAATTGACAGAACATGAGCAACTCTAAGGGTATCTTGGTCGAGTTGGCAACTTCTATTTTCTGTAGATTTTTTTCTGGACCTATTTTTCGAACTGATTTTTAGGTTTTTGGAAAAAGAAAGTTCGGGCCCAGGGCCCGCTTTTTGCCAGGGTTCGAGGGGCCAGGATGTTCCTGACACCCTTCAAAATCGATTTCAAAAATAGGCGCAGAAAAAAATCCCCAGAAAAAAGGAGCATAGAGCAGAAAACTTCAGTTTCAGAGGAACAAAAAACTTCATAATGGCCGCTTTGTTTACCCATATTTTAGCTAGTTGCCAACTTTGACGGGCTTGATTTTCTTGAAAAACTTGACCAACCGTCAAAAACCTCTGACAAAAATGAGATCTTACTCAGATCTTACAAGAGAGCCATTTTTAGCATTTCTAGCATTTGTCATTTCTCAGGAAAAAACCGTTAAAGTCGGCCATTTTGACCTAGATTCCCTTAAAAAAAGATCAAAAGTCAATTTGATTGTCATCATTTTTTTAGTGAAAAACTGTAAAATCGAAGAAGACAAGCTTGGAATCATCCTCATCCTCCTCGCAAATGGTGCAAAGGTACTTAAGGATATAGCCTATGAAATCGAACTTTCATAGCGCCTAAATGCGACGTCGGATCATCTTATTTCAAAAACAATACTGTCTAAAAATGTATGCAGAACTCGATTCTGGTACTTGCTTAAAAATTTTCATTCGAATTTTTCTCTGTAGAGCGTTTTAAAAGCTTACGATCGCGATTTCTCGAAATAGTTGCATTTAATCGGTCGAGTTTTTTTGATAGAAAAGTAATCTAGACCCTTATCTACAATATTGTGGGTTCGGTTTTCTCTTATCCCGACAAAAACCGATTTTAGAGCCATTTCGGTGAGGCTTCCTCGGCGCGTGAATAGTGTAAAAAGCGCTGCGCTGGGTGCTCAATCTCTCGACTCCTCTTTCCCGAGAGAGTCTGCGCGTTTGAAATAGCGCTCTGATTGGTTGAACCCAAAAAAGCGCGCATGGAAGAAAAACAGGAGTAAGAAAGAGGAAAACACTAGAATGAAAATTTGGCCGAGTTTGAGGATTTTTCAGCCACAATATTTTAGTTAAGCACTTTGCTAATGCAGTCATTGGTTTAGTTTTAGCGATATAATGTAAATATTTCGAGAAATCGCGATCGTAAGATTTCAAAACGCTCTACAGAGAAAAATTAACATGGAATTTTTTAATAAAATACCAGAATCGAGTTCTGCATACATTTTTAGATAGGATTGTTTTTGAAATAAAATGATCCGACGTCGCATTTAGGCGCTATGAAAGTTCAATTTCATAGGCTATATCCTTAAAAAACGACATAGAACGTGGGTTGTCATTATAAGCAGAAAATTATATGCACCGTTTACAGCAAAAGCGGTGGACCTTTGTCGGGCACTTCAAAGATCACTTTGCGGACTATGGTTAACCACGTTGAGCGCGTTAGACTCACTAATGCTGAGAGACATGGACTGTTTGTTTTTTTGGATGGAGAATTAGGTGCTTCTTGAGACTCTCAAGTTGAGAGGGAGGATCTGAAATATGGATAATTAAGGGGATGCATCGTAAAAGCGATTTCTCAATCTTATGATGTCTACGGCATTAACAAAGTGATGCTCTTATTTATTCAAAAAATTATGGTCGTTCAAGAGCTGCTTACAGTGAAAACCCAAAATTTGCCCACCCAAAATTTGGCCGCTTTTTGTCTAAAACTGCCTTTTTTGGAACCTGAAATCAACCCAAAATTTGGCCGCTTTTTCAAAAATAGAAAATTTTTCACCAGAATTGGGACCAAATGAGGCTATTTCTGATAATTTTTAGGTTTTTTAAAGCGTTTTAATGACTAAATTCTCATGAGAATGTCTTTAAGGGGGAGGTCGTCAATATCGGGGTTGCTCTTGACCAAAAAAGCGGGAAAACCTGATTGGATAGAAAAAAATCAAATTGTTAGGGGATAAGAAAAGGGTTGTTTAATTCGACCGGCGCAAACGAGAAAAAATATTGGCCAGAAAAAATCGGTCAAAAATGCCGCCAAAGTAAGGCCATATCGCGAAAATTCACCAAAAATGGTCATTTTTTTCACAAATTCCTCGATTTTACCCCCTAAAACTTATTTTTATATAATAATTTTAGGCTCAACAGACTCGTCAGGACCTGTAGATTCCAAAAATATATGATTCATATGGGCACTATATGTACAAGTGGGATTTTGATCAGCCCTGAAAATCCATATTGACGACCCCCCTCTTAAACAAGCAAAAATTTGAATAAAATTCATAAAAATTAACAAAATCATGCCGATTTTAGAAAATTTTGAGTCTTTGCTTTTTGAAGGGGAAGCTTGGCTACCCGCCAAAAAACCCAAAATTTGGCCGCTTTTTTCGGGAATTTACATCTGAAAACCGGCCAATTTTTGGGTTTTTACTGTATATGATAAAAGTTATATCTTATGTTAAAGGATTACATCCTCAAAATGAGTGTACGACCGTGTTTATTTGAAGTTTTCGACAGGAAAATCATAATTTCAGGATAGAATTTATACACTCTTCTTCTGATTCTAGTCATTTAAGGAAAAAATTAATCATGAAAAGATATTAAGTTTATTGAGTACAAAAAGGGACAAGTACTCTTTGGTCTTTCCAGTGCGATGGAGCATTGCTTGAGCAAATTGGAACTAATAAAGTTTCATTTCAAAAGTAATCGTTAAAATTCGTTATGCGGCTGGCCTCTGGAGTGCTGCTGACTTAAATCTTGCTTCATTTTGAAAATGATGCCTTAAAAAAATTGTTCTTTTTATGCACAAATTGCATTAGCGCCATCTTTAAACATCTGCACTGGAAATCAAATCCAGCTGCGGATAGCTACCTCTATCCCAGCTTGTCTCAAGAAAATGGAAAACAGCTGGAATTCTTTCAAAAAATTTCGAACAAAAATTAAGGGTATCCCTTCGTAATTTCTTTAAATTTACAATCCCCTTATCTTGAGCCACTGGAATTAGTGATGATATAAGCGAGTTGTTATGAAAAAAGCGTTGCATGAGTTTCTAGTCGGTGCATATTTATCCTATCAGTTCAAGAGCAAAGCCACGCAAATGACGCTATTTGGCTCAATTCTAGAGCTCCTGGGTAAGTCGACACATTCGCGATACTTGTCATGCTTTATGAGACGACGCTACGATTTGAATGGCTAATGAGCTCCAAAATTGCATAACCAACCTCATAATAGCGAACCCGCTGAGGGTTCCTTTTTTGATTGAGCTATTTTCAATTATGCTAAATTTGGGTTTCGACTAATTGAACGGTCGGGATTTTATGCGATTGATAATTGAAGATTTTTCCGAAAAAAAAATCGAAAAAGACAAAAAAATGATTAAAAGTTCGATTATTTTAAAGATTTTTTCTGTTCTTAATTTTGATTGGTCTACCGACTAACAGCGAGAGTCTGATTGGTGGAGGATTTTTCACTGATAAAATCGCTGCTTTTGAGCTTTCTAGACCATTTTTTTAACCATCAGCCTTTACAAGCACCCCTCTTTCAAGAAATAATTTTATGCAACAGATCGATTTTTTCAATACAGTATTTATTTTAACAAGAAAAGTTTATTATTAATAAGCAATGCTAGATTTTAGGCTCGCATCATATTATACATGTAAAGTTTTCTCCGCAAATTTTTCTTCAGCATTTTTGGTTTCGCGATCTTTTTTGATTCGACAAAAGATTTCACGTTTTCTGATTGGCTATCGTCTACGGATGCGGCGTACTTTCGAAGCTGTCTGTAATAACTATTCAAGTTGAAGCCTCTTTTCTCCATTTTTGCTTGATAATGGCCATTGACATTGTTTCCTAGTCGATTGTAGCCGATCAAATCGGCACTAGAAAGCGCTATTAAAACAATGAATTTGAATATATTCATATTTTCTGATTAATTTGATTGTTTGTGATTCTGATTGTGATTCCGACAAGTACCGGGTCGAAATTAAATAGTTAATCTTACACAAAGTTTTGTAACATGCAGTAACCTTCTTTTTTCCACGACTAAGAGGATAATTATTGTATTCGGAACGCAATGGGAATTCTTCACTGGAGGGCGCAGTTTGACCATTTTGCCGGCATGGGAATGAATTCTATTCTGAAAAAAATATATATAAAAATATTAAAGTGAACGTTTTATTATAGAAAATTAAGCAGTTTTATTATAGTCTATAATTTATAGAAAAAATTATAATGAAGAAAAATTGATAATTGATGCATTTTTGAGTAGAATAAATCAATGAAGTGGAACGTGTATTCGTTTCAATTATAGAAGAAGCATCATTTTTTCTTGGAAAATTATTTATGGATCAACGAGGAATGAAGAGGAGCTTATTTTTGGTGATCAAGGTTAAATCAATACCTAAATAAAGATCTTCACGAGAACTTTCGAGTTGTTTTTCCATCATTTTCATCATGATTTGGCATTAATTTCAATTTTTTCATCAAAAAGAAAATAAAAATTTCAAGTCGAAATTTTTCACATTTTCGGAATTTTTGATTTTCAAAAATTTTTTGGGCTCTTCTTTTTATCGAAAATTCTAGCGTATCTAAGATCAGTCGATATCAAAAGAACCCAAAGATCTTGAAGCAACTAAAAACTATCATCAGAAAACGAAACGTTGTTTTCTTGAATAACTGTGCTCTCTTCCGTCAAAACTGCTGTTTACCCGGGCTCGTGGCTGATCCTTTCTTACGTCCTCGCTTAGCAATTTGAAAATATAGGCTTGACACGCGTCGTTTTCTTCGTCTTTTTTTGCGCGAAATTTTTTTGTTGATGAAAATTTTGCTCGGAAATTTTGAACAAAAATTCAATTGTGAACGAAAGCGTGTCGAAACGCGTTATTTCTCGAGTGGATGCACCTGGGTCAGTGGACGGGCATGAACATTTCTAATTTATGCGGTAGAAACCCCTTCTTACTTCTTTGTTGCAGAAAAGAATTATTTTTAGGGGATTCAAGACGTGGAAGAAAATTGCTTTTACGTGGAAAATGGAGAAAGAAATTCATTTATATAATTACAAAATCGTTCTTTTTACTTAAATTTCATGTCACGAAAAATTTTGTCGCTCGAAAGTTGTCGCTTGCAAATTGTCGCTCGAAAGTTTTCGCTCGAAAACTGTCGCTCTTAAATTGTCGCTCGAAAATCATCGCTCGAAATAATCGCTCGAAAAATGTCGTTCGAAAATTGTCGTTCGAAAATTGTCGCTCGAAATTTGTCGCTCAAAAATTGTCGCTTGAATATTGTCGCTCAAAAATTGTCGCTTAACGACAGAAATTCAGATGTTATTTTTGAAGAAAAAATCTCTTATGCATTTGTTATATACTCATTATGATAAGGGACAACACAAGCTCCCTTACATCACGATTAATATAGTTATTTTTCTACTAAAACAAGATGATATCTGCTATCTTTCTATTTAAAGTATGATGCTCATTGTTTCTTCTTTTTTTAGACAAAGTCGGTGTTCAAAAAATACTTATATTATCGATCCGATAGTCTGATGTTTATCAGTTACTTTTTTAGAAGTTTTTATGACGATGTTCGTTTATTACTTTTAGAAAATTATGGCTTTCCCGCCATTTTTGGATCTGTATATGTTTTGAACATTCGCTGCCCTGATTTTTTCATCTGATTTCAAAAATAATCACCCTAACATGATAAGGAGTGCTAGCTGGCGCCTTCCAAAGTGTTTGCTTTGATATCACATTCGGCTCCATTTCGTTTCGCCCAAAACACCTAAGCTTTGGATAACTCAAGCTACGAGGAAGTGGAAAGTGTCAATCCAATTTCGGTCATTTTTTCGCAGCTCACACTCTTTTCATCTTTACGCGAAGGATTAGCCTGGATTCAACGTTTCGAGACAAAATGAGCAATTTTTTTCGAAAAATTTTTACCAAAAATCTTCTTTTTTTTCGACAAATTTTTTTTTTGCCGAAAAAATAAGGATTTAAAACAGAAAGGTCTTTGAAAAACCTGATTGGCTCAAAAATGTCATCAAGATTTCTGATTGGCTAAAAATTTGTCATCAAAAAACTGTCAAAAATGAGCCCTCTATGCATCAAAAACGGTCTAAAAACAGTTCATAAGCAATAATCAATCCCCTTGGAAATCGTATAAGTCAACCTTTTCCACTCAAAATTGCTCAAAATGTCAGCGCTTTGCTAAAAAACGCTTGCGACAGGAAATTAACCCATGTTCTTATGCAATTTTTCAGGTCGATGCGAAAACTTCTGATGAAAGTATGACAGCCCTGATGATGGCCTGCTGCTTAGGTAAGAATCAAAAATGAAAATTAAATCATCCTCTAGCGGGCATTAAATTTCTTAAATTGAATAATGCAAAGAATTTTATAGTAAAAAAATCATCGTCATAAATTCACGGCTTATTCTATAAATAAGTTTATTTTCCGAATAATGCCTGAAAAAAAAGGTTAAAGGATGAGTTATCAAATGAATGATAATCATAAAATAATAAGCCAGAGTTTCATACTTTCGTAAATCAACGGAGGATAATGGGTGATGGTTTTATTGTATTTTGACGAAATTGGATTATTCAGGTGATGTCCAATCTGCGGAATTGCTACTTGCTCGGGGAGCGTCAATCCACGCCACAGCTTTGGAGTCACAAATCATTTGCATTTTCAGATTTTTTTGCAGGAATATTGTTCTAGGGAAAGCTAAATTTTTGCATGCAAGAATGAATACATTGAATATTTTGGGCAATTACATCCGGTAACGCCCTTTTCATCAACACAAGGAAATTATCCCTTTTCGGAGTGCCTTTAATTCTTAACCCGGCTTTTAATTTAACCCTTGCGCTTTGGGTGGAATATCAAAGTTTAATTCGCGCCACGCAAGTCTCTAATCCCTTTTTGATGAAGCTTCTAGTCTGACGTAGAAAATCTAATTTTGGAAAATTAAATGAAAAAAAATATTTCTTGACTCAAAAATAAAAAATCGCTTCGGTATCAAAAACACACAAGAGTGAGCAATGGCAGGGCCCTTAATCTCAAAATTGATAACAGCGACTTTTCGTTTCTGGCAACAAAGAAACCCGCGTGGAACGGAAATAACTTCTCGTTATCCAAAAAAACTAAAGTTGCCGCTCGGCAGAGAATTTTCGGGGAACCAGCGAACTCGTGCATAACCCGTTATGAGATGAGCTCATACGGAAGCTGGAGTAAATACAGTGGCTCAAGGCTAATTTCTCATAACTTTCTTTTTCGGTAGAAAAATGGCCAAAAATACTTCTAAAAGCGACATTATATAATACCCACTTTCTGAAAATGCAGAAACCTTATTTTCTCACACAACAATAGGCAGGTTTGCCTCAATGGACAAGTATGTGAATACCTAAAACGTACAAATTATCAGTCTCTTCGGGCTTAAGTAAAAGGGCACCAGGCAATCTGGCACCGACTGTCTTTTTCTTCCGCAAGTTTTTTTCACTGAAAATTGCCAGAAATGAGAGAACCTTGATCTTTTTGATGTTTTTATGATACGACAAACTCACTTCGCCCATGAATTTTTTTATATAAAAATATTGAGTTTATAGATTTATAGATAATAAATGACATCAATCATTTCTTTGTTCAGCGTTTTTTTACGTTATTTATTACTGTTATAAAAGTTTTTTACATAAAGTTGGCGTAAAATAGAGTCTGGTTCGTTTATTCTATTTTTGTCTTAATAAAAATCAATTTATAATCGACCATTATGACATATTCTAGCAGCTTAGAGGAAATTACAGGATGAATAATCTCAAAAACGGGATGTCCCAAAGACAGATATTTCTTTGATGGCATAATTTGGTATTCGCTTCGTTATTTAAAATCAACAAATGACATCAGATCTAATTAATGACCATAATCAAAATGATCACATTAATTCACTTCAAACGAATCTTAATAAAAAGTACATACTCGCATAAATGTGGCAAATGCGTACATCAATTCAGTAATAACCCGATAAACTAATCCATCAAAACATTCCCCCGAAACTCGCTCCAGATTTAACCGCAGATCAAAATTTCCGTGACTGGGAAAATCCGTGTTCTCGAAACAAACGAAGCGGTGAGAAAAAATTTCAGAAAATCTAAACGCAACTGAACAAGGGCAGGTTTTTCTAAACTAACTTTCTTGCTTTTTCCCCCTGATAATTTATTACGCTCTTTGTAAATATTTTGACTTTGTTGAATTATGACAATTACTCCTTGGATTATTCGAACCCCGATTTTGACGGGTGAAAATAATAAACTTGATTTTTTTTCTTGGTAAGATATAACAGCAAGCCGCTCGCGGCTCAAAAAAAAAAGCCGCGATTTTCATTATAAGATCGATTTTGAGGAGCATTTTTAATACGGTGACACCCTTATTTTTTTTTTCAACAATATAAGCCGCGCTTAGCGCGGCTTTTTTGATGTCGGTCTCGAAGCCGCAAGCGGCTTTTCGACACCAACTTTTTTTTTAAAGATTGAAAATAAGGGTGTCATCGCCTTAAAATCGACCCTAAAATCTGATATTTTTGTGAGAAAAAAGGGTCGAAAAAGTTTGTTTCTGAGAAAGTTTCCGTCATTTCTTTTGAAGCGTCAAGTCCAAGAACTCTGTTCTAATTTTGCGGGCACTTTTAAGAATCGACCCGCTCGGGGAATATTTCAAGACATGAATTCTTCCTTGTCGAGTTTTAATTGAAAACGAAGACGTGAATTTAAAATTTCAAAGATCTCAATTTTGCAAACTTAGTCAATAATTTTAAGAAGCACAAACACTAGAATTTTTAGAAGTCACCTGTTTCGTTACAGATAAAACGCTCAACGAAATCCTCTTTTCCAACCATAGCACTTTGAGCAATCCACTTATACGCAAGCATCCAAAAACAATAACCCGCTCTCTCGACACTCAAAATGTTACGCAGGTTGTTTAGAAAGAAATTTTCGATATTTTTTTTGGTTAAAGAAAGATGCATATGTTGACTCCGTCAAAGCTTGGTTTCAAATTTTAAAAAAGGTAAGAACAAAAAATATTAGTTTTTCAGCCAATAAGAACCTGAATTGCTTGCAACGGAAATTTTATAAAGTTTCGAGCTGGATTCGAGCTTGATTCCGAGCTAGATTCGAGCTAGATTTCGAGCTGGATTCGAGCTAGATTTGAGCTAGATTCGGGCTAGATTTGATCAAAGTTTCGAGCTAGATTCGAGCGAGATTTAAGCTGGATTCGAGCTAGATTCGAGCTAGATTCGAGCTAGATTTCGAGCAGAAATTTTTGCCCTGGCTTTTATCGGCCGCTTATTGGCTAGTTGGATAGATACAGGCTTCTTATTGGCTGTGAAAATTAATCAAAATCTTCGCACTGTACTATTATTTTTTTTTATTTTTCAACACAACTAACCATATTTTCAGACATAAAAAGTAGTCCCTCCTCAGCGGACTCGAGCTTCTGTAAATTTTGAAAAGGCGTGAAAAGCCACCACGAAAAATGAACTCAATTATTCGCGTAGCGGTAGTTTTTAGAGCACGCACAGAAATTTTCTTAATTCGGTAAGTTGTTCAATTTTTTTTGAAACCGGCGAAAGATCGATACGGAAATTCCTGCCTTCATCTTGCTTCCCGTCATCTCAGATGCCAAATGGTCCAGTTTCTGCTCTACAGAGGTAAGAAATCCCAAAAATAAACGAAAATATACAGTTTTAAAAAATGAAAGCCGCAAAACGCAAAAACGAACAAGGTGTGGTTTACAAGTTTACGTGAAAAAGAATGCCCGCTCAAATTTCTTGCATCTTTTACGCTCCTTCTAAGAGTAATTTAAAACCCCCGTTTCGTTGCTTGACGAAAAATCCCCACCCTTATTGCACAAGCAGAAATTATACCTTTCTCATTCAATCTTGTTAATTTTGGAAAATACGAAAATAGAACTTTTTCAAGTTTTTTTTTCTTTTTGGATATTTTAAAAACATCGAGATCCCAAAATAAATGAGTTGCTAAAGTATCAAGAATTTAAGGGGGAGGTGTCTGGAACCGACAAAAAAATTTCGACAAATTTTGCGTGGAATCAGAAGCCTGCATTTTGCAAACCGGCCAATCAGCAGCCGAGTAGCCGCCCACGCAAAATTTGTCGAAATTTTTTGTCGGCTCCAGACATCATCCCAATTTAAATGTACTACCTTCGATTTTTTAAATATAAAAAAAACTGACATTTTTTGGTAATTTTCTGCCGTATTTGATCCGTTATCGGAAACTTTTCCAATTTATGATTGATTAAAATTTTTTCAATCAGGAAAAAAGATAAGAGGAAAAACGAAAATCATAATTTTTATCTTATCGATCAAAAATTCAGAGAGGAATTTCTTCTTTGAGCTTCAATACATGCCCCGGAAAAAGCCCTAGAATTTTGAATTGAGCTGTATTTCTATTGAATTTTCAATTCAGGTGAATTCAGTTTTCCCCTTTCTACAAAATTCTAGTGAAAAATTTCGGCTCATGAGTTTCAATTTTTCTTCTAAAAATCGTCTTAAATCGACACCTCATCGTTTATTTTTTGGAGCATTTTAGTTGGTTGTTGACGGAATCGTGTTGCAGCGACCTGTCTAATTAATTTTGATAAATTGAATGTAGCTCTAGAATTCTGAGCTGGAAACGAACCCCGTGAAAGCGGCGAATCATGTTTGAAAATCGAAAATTGGATGATTTTCTTTCTGCGGTTTGTCGAAAATTCCGCCACTTTCTAAAACCATTTTTCCGGACAAAGCAAAATTGATGATTTCGAAAGAATTTCACAAAGATTGCCAGGAAAGTGTTCTTTTTTATTGAGAAGCTGTGGCAGGTGAACTTTCCGCAGGTCGGATAATCCGGCTTGGCGATCTTCTGCGGACGCATTAGATTTCGCTTTCATAGGATCAGCGCGATGCTAATTGACTCGCGACAATTTTCAACGAGCAACTGGGCTTTGAGGTTTTTTAGAATTTTTCTTCGCTGAAAATAGAGCTGATTTTCTAACACATTTTTAAAAGCATTCTTCTTTGCAGAAAAGTGGCTTTATTTCTTCATAAATTTACATTCATGTTAAGATTTAAAGAATAAATCTTCATGAAAAGATTCATTTTTTGACGAAAAACTACGTTAAGGACCCCCCCCCCGATAAGAATTGTGAAAATCGGCCTTCTAGGAGCAAGGTTCTTTCCGAAAGTATCGAAGATACACCCTTAATTTTAATAGAAACTTTTAGATCAAACCCTTGACTAAAACCAGTCCACAAATGATGATCATTTGATTTCAAACTTAAGGATATACAGGCCGTTAAAGGTCAGGTTGCTAGGAGCAAGCTTTTCTTGGGTTATTTATTGTGACATACGGTACCGTATATCCTTAATTTTTTAATTTTCAAAATTTTATAACGCAAAATTATCGAACTGACTAATCAGATTAGTTGATAACTCGTTTTTTGATAACCAAAATCTGCAATTTTTAATCCGCAACAGACCAAAAACAGACTCTGAAAAGAACAAGAACGGCTTCATAATCCAGTAGATAATCCGTATCACGTTTTCTTATATCAATATCGGGTTCGATTTCTGCCCCCCCTTTTTACAGCAAGCTCAAAAAATAGAAAAAAAAAGGAAAAAAAAACGTGAAAAGCAAAAATAAATGAAAGAAAAAATTCTCGAGGCGGCGGGCCGTCAAAATAAATGATAAATTGTTCACGGAATATTGTTTTAGGTTTGACAGCGAATTGTCGAAATGTCAAAAGCCAGTCGCCATCGGAAGTAGTAGGCGAAGCAGCCGCGGCAAAAGACGTCAAGAAGGTCAAACGAATTCGACGAGTCTTGAAGGAAAACGCAATTCTGCAGAAACAGCTCGCGCAAAATTACAAAGGTGTCTCTTTAGATCTCATTTTTGTATGTAAAAATTTCAGAAAAAATTTTCGGCCAATAAAAATTCATTTTCAGCTCTGAAAAAATCAAAAGCCTTCGAAATGACTTTCGACCAATCAGAATTTCTCTTTATCGTCGCCAACCAATAAAAAATCGAATTTTTATTTCAATAAAATAAAAAATAAAATTTATACAAAAACTTATTTCTGACTCTTTGTTTTCAGAAAAACTTCGCGCCGAGCGAAAAGAACGCGAAAGCTTGGAATCTCTTTCCACAAAATCAAAATGGGAATTTACCTGCGAAGAATTTCTCCATTCTCTTGAGGTTTGTCATAGTCACTCTTTATCGTTCCGCATGTTGTATTTTTTGAAAATGAAAACACCATAAAGATGAAATCCATTGTCTCAAGTGGCTTTTAGTTATTGTTATCATAATTGAGAATTCAAATAAAATTTTGAAATTTTCGCGTTTGACTTGCGAACTCGTTTTACAGATTAAATAAGCTCCGAAAATGACCACATAAAATATCAAAAATTTGCACGAAAAAGTAGCTCCTTGGGTAATTTAGGAAGATGGCTCAGCTGATTTCACGGCGCTTTGTCGAAAAACGGTCTAATTGCGTGACCGCGGTGCACCGGGCAGTGGACCGCACAAATTTCATAACCAACTCACTAAAGGGTTCAGCAAATTAATCGAACGACGCGCAAGACCCTCGTTAAGGCGCTCAACGAGATATACTTAAAAACACATTTTTTTTCTCTTTCCTAAAAATATTTTAATCCGGTCAATTTTTTAGAAAGACGCTGTTTTCAATCATTTTTTTCAGGGAATTTTATGCGGCGTGAGCCACAGCGTCAAAGAGGGCGATTTCTCGGACCGCAGCAGCTCCTCGCAATCCTCAAATTCGCACACTGGCCTACGAACCACAACTACAACCAGCTCGATCGTCACTACAGATCCCGCTAAGGAACGGATTACACCTTTCTTTTCGCCAAAAAATGAGAGTTTCGAAGATCAAGTTTTATCAAGAACCCGCTCAAAACTCTTCGAGTGTCTGAAAAGTGGTACTTCTTTGATTGAAAGAAATAATTCTTGATTGATGAACAGAATTGATCCTTGATCTTAATTTTTGGGCGACATCTAGAAGCTTTTTTCAAATATTTTTAGCCGAAAAAATCATTTTTTTTGAGCCAAAATTTGTATCGATTTTTTGAGTCGAATTCAACGAAAATTCGGACGAAAATTTTTTCGGAAAATTTTATAATGAGATAAGCAAAAAGAAAAATTAAGTTCGAGGTGAAAATCCGTAAAACAGGGATTCGCGCATTTTACTCGACCACTCCCTCTTTCATAAATTGAAGAGCCTTTCCGCCTGAAATCAACGAAGAGACCCTGCTCTGGAAATACTCCTTATTGCTTGGGAAAATATTCATATTTGCTTCTAGTTCGTTGAAAACTCCTCAAACTGTACATTTCCGAGTCCATTTCCTTTTTTTGCTGTAAATACATTTCCTCAAGAGAAATATCATGATGATTTTTTATTAAGAAATATTAGCGAAAAAGACAGACAAATTAAAAATGCAGAGAAAGGATGACAATATCTGGCGAAAAATGGAGACAGAGTCGAAATTTACAAGATAATAATCCAACTTGACAACTTGCTTACGCTTAATTATACATAAACGAGATACTGAGAGTGCCTTTGATGTTAGATGTTAAAGAGAATTCGGACGGTACAGTCGGTTTGAACGCGATATTTCATGTCTACGGGGGCGAGGACTATTTGCAGTCATCATAACTGTAAACAGGTAGAGTCTTTTACCGTTAAAACAAGCAAAAATGAACTTGGATTTAGTGCCACAGTATCACCTATGATCTCGGCAATGAAAACAACAAGGACCTCTCGAAAAAGTGCAAACTTCTTCTCGACGCTCGATTCTGCTGTTCTGGCTACTTTCTCAACGATGGTACCATCATGGCGTCCACAAACTGCTGGGTAAGCCAACATGAGTCGATTCTTACTCATTTCTCAAGAACATGGAAGGGTGTCTTTGCTCCAGCTATCTGAAGAAGGAAAATGTCTACGAAAGAAACATCACTTCTGACTTTGAAAACTCAATGCAAAAGATCAACTTTGAGCAGCTAGAATTCTGCGGCGCCGGATATCAATTGATCCAGTACGATTTGCTGATTTATCTTTGCTCGGTGATCGGCTTCGTTTGTTTCGTCACCTTTCTGTAAGTTTTTCTGTCGACATTATTGCATTCGCTTTTTGAGGCTGAAAAACTGGATTCGGATGCGCCAATCAATTCCAAGAATGCGAGGATACACCTGCAGAAGGGGGCAATCTTCTAGCGCCTTTGAATCTGTCGCGATCAGGTTGATTTTGCGAAGGAAAGGGTTTAATCAAATTTCAGCTCTATCCGGACAACAGTTGGGATATCCGATATTGACAATACGCGCGACCAGAAGCTCAAATCGACGACGGAAAACATTGTCGAGGAGTAATCTTTCCTGTTATCAAAATAAATCAAGATTTTTTTCGCGAAATAATTCTTTCTTTTGAGTTCTGATTTCAATTGTTCTTTTGGGCTCCAAAACCAACTGCTTAGCGGTCTTTAGCGGGTTAATGCCTTTTGATTCAAGAGCACTTTCTATTTGGCTTCTGGTCTAAGTGTGCTAGACTTCCCCTCATTCAGACTATCGTCATCATTTTAGAGAGAAAACATGGTCATAAAAGGTAAGAAAAAACGGAAGTTTCTCTATGCTAAATTTTCTTGCACTTCATAACGTCAAGAAAGTAACATTATCATTTCCTGGCGTCGGGCCAGATTTTCACCATGCTCAGAATATTCCTTTTCATTTTATTGAATGAAAAATCTTCTGATGGAGTTTTTCGCTTATTTACAAACTTTGGAAAATGACGGTTATGAATCAGGTGTTGAGACACTTGGATTGGATTTTTGACTTTTTCAGATGAGTATTCAGATTTTGAAGAACTTCCTGTTCTGGAAAATCGACCGAGAGAAATGATCACGGAAAAGAAGGACGAAAAAGGCAGCTCTAGAGTTCTCGAATCGATTCTTAGGTTTCACTTTTTGTATTTGATTTGGAAAAGATTTTTTCTAGTACAAAAACACTGGCTCCATCCGCAGCTTTTCAACAAGCACTGCTTGCAATCATGGAGGAAAATCAAACAGATGAAAAGGTAGTGCTCCTTGAAGAAACGGCAGCTCTCATCGTTTTTGCTTTAGAAATCGCTTGATGATATGAACTGGGAATCAAGTGATTCTTTCCAAAGCTCAAGACCGCCTACTCAAGTTTTGATGGATTGTAGGAGAATGAGCGCTGATGACAACATTATTGGACTTCGACTTGGTAAGAATTTTCGGTTTCCAGCGACTTATTATCTTAGGTCCGAATCGACGACGAGGTGGAATCATTGGAGAGATCGATTTGACTAAAACAGCTTTTGTGAAAACTGAAAATATCGACAAATAAAAATATTTTATTAAATTTACAGGAGAATGAGAGGAAGGGCAAGGACGGTTGAAACAAAAACTGTCGACGCTCCACCGCCTCCATTATTTTCTCCGCATCTGCTTTTGACCCGCTTCTCTAGAATAACGTTAGACCTCCTTTAAAAATACTGAAAGGTACTTTGACAAACGAATCCAATCGCACTATTTTCATTGTAATCGCATCTTGAAGCAAAATAAGCTTTGTTTTTGTCGTACTCATGTCCAGCACGCATGTAGACGCATCTTCTTTCTTTGTCTCCAGCAGAGCTTCCTTAATTTGATGGTTTCACAGTAAAAAGAATGATGTCTCAAACCAGGAGGGTTATTTTCACCCCAATAAGGCCGCCCGTCTCCGAATTTTTCAACGGGGCAGTGCTTCGAGTCGCCTGATTCCAAATGATATCGCCATTTGAAAGGTGCTGTTTCGTGGTCTCGTGCCAGACCAATGTACCAAAATGCTTAAAAACACGTTGAATACCCGGAATATTGACTAACATCTGACTCGTTCCAGTCGGAATTCCTTTCCTCATGCATCTTTCATATTGCATCACGTACTCCCGAAGAGAATCGTACTCCGTTGAATCTGCAACGGTTGCTAAGTCCCAGCCAAGACTGTTACAGTAATCAGTAGCGGTATACCAAGTAGGCATTTCATTTTCTTGCGTTCCCGGTTCCCTCGTATAAGCTTGGTACTTCAAAAGATAAATAAGTTTTCGATCAAGGCCAATACAAGAAAAAAACTCTCTTACCTGATCAGCAAGATCTTTGTCAATTTGACATTCTTTTCCGAATCCTAAGCAATCTGTAGCGGGATTTCCCCAAAGAGTCGGATCTGGAACCTTGCAATTTCCACCACCATCGCCTGCGGTGGTACTCGTCAGTGTTACTTGAGTTGTGGTTTCTGTTATTTCGCATTGACTCTCAGTTCTTCTCTCTTAAATGGCCCGTTTGAAAAATCATTCTTGGAACAACTCACGTTGGCAGACAAATCCGATATCAGAATTTTCATTGTAGTCACATCTCGAAGCGAAAAAGGCTTCTTCCTTATCAAAATCAGTTCCAGCGATCATAAAGACACAGTTCATCTGGCTTTCCCCAGGAGCGTTTCCAGGAGGATGGTTGGGGCCCCAATAAGTTTTTCCATCCCCGAAATTTTCATAGTGGCATTGTGCGGGTTCCCCCGACTTAAGATTGTATCTCCACTTGAATTCCGAATTGACATCATCCCTAGCCAGCCCAATATACCACCGTGCTAAAAATAATTTTTTTCAATTAAAAAACATTAACATTATGTTAACAAAAAAACTTCTTCCGGGCATTTTCTGATCAAACTTACTGCTTGTATGGACATTTCCCTTTTTCATGCATCTGTGATATTGCTTGACATATTCCCTCAGATTGGTGTACTCATCTTCGGCTGCCACAGTCGCCAAGTCCATCCCGATGCTATTACAGTATGCAAGTGCGGTCGGCCAAGTTGCTTTTTGATTCTCAGCTTTTCCCGGCTCCCACAAATACGCTTGGTACTTTATAAAAGATAAATTAAAGGTATGCTCCTTGGTTTTCTAAGGACAAAAAGACAACTCAACAAACTTCAAGGAAATTATTGTTTATTCAACTCGCTTAATGAATTTACCATGACGAAAACGTCACGAAGAAGAAATGATAAATTCTTAAAAAAAAGCAAATAGGTCAAAATAGAATGCTTTTTTGAATCTTCTTATATGATCTTAATCTTTTTCCTGCTCAGCAAGGTTCTGATCTAACATGGGCGACCCTTTGTTACTCAATAAAACTGTGGCGGGCGGCCCTCTGTTAATCCGTTAAACGATGGCGCGGCGAAAAAAAATTTACTCGATAAAACGATGGCACCCTTGTTAATCGAGGCGCGGGGCTCTCTGGAATGACGTCATCCGAGGACTCTCTTGCTGGAGATCTCTTCTGACCAATGCGATGGCGGAACTAAAAATAATTTTGGTGGTGTTTTGAACATTTGGTGGTGGAATTACGTAGCAATTTTTACAATAAAAACTACCATGGGGACCGCACGCAAGGGGAAAAAAAAGAGCGGGGTGGGATCGAACTCGCGCCCAGCGATCACTGAGCGGATGCGTTCTCCACTAAGCCAGGCCGTATCAACAGAGTCCCACATTAACAAGGCTATATTGTTACATTTTTGACCTCTCGATGACGTCATGCAAGAGAGCGCCGCGCCTCGATTAACAAGGGTGCCATCGTTTTACCGATTAAATTTTTTTTTGCTGCGCCATCGTTTTATTGAGTAACTAACTCAAAAGTGCCAGCGTTTTATCGAGTAACAAAGGGTCGCCCATGTTATCTGACATTCTTCTCCAAATCCGAGACAGTCAGTAGAAGGCTCTCCCCATAGGTTTTCTGCTGGCTTTTGGCAGACCTCTCCTTCTCTTTTAAAATTCTTCCCAGAGACGCAAAGCGTCAAAGCTGCCAAAATTTTCATGACTGGCAAAAAAAAAGAAATTACGCTTTCGATTTATGAAGAATCAACTTCGCAGCGGGGCGTTTATAAAAGCCACGAGCATTTGATTTGATTTAGTTACTCAGGCTTTGAAATTTACTTAGTGCGCGTTTTGATAAACATAGGAAACTACTAGGAGCAATCATGATTTTACAATCTTTCACTTGGCAATTTTTCACCTAGTTGTCCTTATCCGGTTCTTGTCGTAAAGCCGTGTCGAATCCCGTTTTCCAAAAGGCTCCGGCATTTTCATTTTCGCGAAGTCGTCAAAAAATTAATCGCGCGGTGAAAACTTCAGCGAAAAGTGTTGCATAAAAGGAGCGCGTCGAAAAGTGAAAAATTAGAACTCGAAAATATCTTCGAAAAATCAAGCTCGAAAAAATGAAGCTTTTGAATATTTTTATCGGCACCAGTTTGGCCCTGTACACGACTCCTCAACTTTCGAACCAGACTGAACAAGTTTCGAACCAGGTTCCTCAGGAGTCGAACCAGACGCCTCAAGTTTCGAATCAAAAGCCACAGGTTTCGGATCAGATCCCTCAAGTTTCGAACCAAGAGCCGCAGATTTCGAACCAAACTGAGCAAGTCTCAAACCAAGCTCCGCAAGAATCGAACCAGCTCCCCCAGGTCTCGAACCAGACGCCACAAGTTTCGAACCAAGAGCCACAAATCTCGAACCAAACTGAGCAGATCTCCAACCAGGTTCCTCAGGAGTCGAACCAGGTTCCGCAAACTTCGAACCAAGTCGCCCAAGTTTCGAACCAGAAGCCCCAAGAATCGAACCAAACTCCACAAGATCCGAACCAGCTTCCAGAGCTTTCTGATAATTCTACTGTTATTTACTGAGCCCGAAAATAAAAGAGAAACGAAGAATCATCTTTGTCGGAAAAGTGATGTTGAGAGCGTCAATTGAGGCTTTTAGCTCTATTAAAAATTCTCAATGAAGTAATAAAACGGCCGCTTGTTTGTGTACAAACTACTGAGCCCATCACTTCACGCAAAATTATCTGATATGAAAGGCCACAGAGCAGGATGCATGATTAATGACGAAAATGGAAAATCGAAGAAATAATTTATATCGCAAGGATTTATAAAGACCCGCTTCGTTTCCTATTTGTCGAAAATTAAAAACGACAGCGAAAATTGAATCGAGAATGCGACTTTTTATTTGCTTCGCGCTTTTTGCATCAGTTTTTTCGTTCGATAGAGAGGCGCTGGACAGCTGTGATGACTTGGGTTTGAAAACCGTAAAAAAAGACGCTAAAATGAGATTCTAGAGTGCTTGAGTGAGCTAATGACCAGCGCTTTTGGGTTCAAAACGGCTCCAACTGGTAAGTTTTGAGACTTTTTTCTTGAAAAAAATGCGATTCTAGAGGACGATGGCTTTCTAGCGACTTGGTTATGGTACGATGAAATTTCAAAAGCCCTGGCGGAGAAAATGAGTGAAGCGAAGATGGCAAAACGGGGTGTTGGGAACTTATATGAACGTTTTCTTATGAAAATCAGCAAGAAAAGTATCACAAAATTAGCTAGAGGAAAGAGCACGTACTTTATTGAAGAAAGCGTGTCGCTTATATTAGCCACTTTAGGAAAGAGTAAATACCAACAAGACAAGGTCAAATGAATGAGACGTCTCACCTTGAATCTTATAAACAGAATAGAAGAGGCCTTATATTATTTAAGTTAAATAAGTTATATAGACTATATAATATAAACTATATAATATAGTGGCTAGGAAAATTTTTCCAAGAATTTTCGGGGAGGTGTCTGGAACCGACAAAAATATTCGACAAATTTTGCGTGGAAATTTTCAACCAATCAGAAGCCTAGATTCAGCAAACCGGCCAATCAGCAGCCAAGTAGTCGAAATTTTTTTGTCGGTTCCAGACACCATCCCGAATTTTCGGTCCCTATATTTGAAAATTATTTTAAAATGGTATTATACTATTTTTACTCTTTTTTCAAAAATATTTCTTGAAAACCGAAAAAGCAAATGATGAAATCATCAAATTACGCCTGAACATCGTATCAAACTTTTACTGTTTTATGCCCAACTTTTTTACGAATAAAAATCCGCAGAGAAAAAACAAATTTTCTTTTTTTTTTTAAATATGTACTGAAGTCATCTGATCTAAAAGATAAGCAATTTGAAGCGAAAGATAACACCGGTTTAGATAATCCCGCAAGCAAAATAGCATGTTTTCGGTTGACTTTGTTGTTTTTGAAAAGCAGGTAAGATCGAGCGCCAATCTTAGATTGTATGAAGCAATTATTTTGTTTTGCGGTTTCTTTGACCGCATTTTTGCTTGTTCGAATGTCAAACAGAATTTCCGTTTAGTTCAACTTGAAAAAAAGAGAGAAAGATGGAAAGAGGAAGCTTTGAAGATGACGACTGGAAATCTGTCGGTATGTTCAAAAATTAGATTTTTCTTAAATTATTTTGATGAACATTCTTTCATTTCATTTTTCCTGAAATTCAGTTAAATTTCCTCAACACGGTCCGGCAAAGTACTTCGACCGCACTTCTCTTGCCCAAAACTACAAGCGAGTAACCATGGAAGAAGCGAAAAACGGCGCTCCCTGCCGAGTATACTCCGATGGCGCTTACGATGTCTTCCATTCTGGCCACGCGCGACAGCTGATGCAAGCGAAAAACTACTTCCCAAACGTCACTCTTATCGCAGGAGTTCATAGCAACAAGGAAATTCATCGAGTTAAGGGACAAACTGTCAATACTGATGATGAAAGAGTAGAAGCGGTCAGGCACAACCGATATGTCGACGAAGTGCTTTTTGATGTTCCATTTGAATATTCCATCGGTAAGAAATTATGATTTTTAAAACACCTAATCCAATCTAGAGTTTTTCGACAAGTACCAAATCGACTTTATCGCCCACGACGACCTCCCCTACACCCTGATCTCCGGCCCAGATCCTTACGATCTCCCAAAGCGCCTGAATATGTTTCTACCAACCCAACGAACCGAGGGAATCAGCACCAGCGACCTCGTGACCAGAGTCGTGCGAAACTACGACAGCTACGTTCGGCGAAATCTCAAACGAGGATATGACTTGAACGAGCTGAATGTTGGAACACTGACTCAAGCGAGAATTCATACGGAAAATTTGATCAGCAGCATTTTCGGAAATTCCTTTCAGGTTGAAAAACAGACATTTTTTCGTGTCAAAATTTTTTTCAGATGATTTCAAAGATGTTTGGTGCTGCCGAAGAATCTTCATAATTTAGCTTTTTTACCGATTATTATTAATAAATATCGCGAAATACTAATTTTTGAGAAAATTTCTTATGCAAAATTTTCTAGAAAAGAGTCTGTTATTTCATCTTTAAGAGCAGAAAAAGTCAGTTTTCTTTAAAAAAAATGTCGCTCACGAACGTCGCAGAATTACGCCTAAAAACCGCAGAAAGTATCTCCTCGTTTCGCAATTAAAAATTTATTTTTTTTTTGAAAGATCGAGCGAAAATTGGCGAGAAAAAAGTCAAAACACCTGTTGATCTTTTCGATGCAAAATCTTATTGTGAGAAGCAAAAGCAGAAGTACATCGCATCGGTAATTGTTTGATTTCTTCCTTGATTTCGAAGGTTTTTGAGGTGTTGGGCAAGCCGGAGCACCCATCCTTATCGAATGTCAAGATGCCGGGACAACTGGGCATTGAACGAATTAGACAACAAATGAGAGATTCGAGGGATCCGGACTTGCAGAAAATTCTTGTAAGTACCTATCTCAGGCTATCTGATCTTTCATCTTTACTTACGCTTTCAGTCCGAACTCAGATCATTTTTATTCTATGCGAAGTTTAATGAGTCAAAGAATCTATTATTCAGTTCATCGAGCGCAAAGAAATGGAATCAAGGAAGATAAAAACGGAAAAGAAAGAGCCTGGCCTTGACGTTCAAGTCACTACTGTCACTCCTGTCTATCATTTCTGACTGTCTCCATTTCAACTTGTATTTAGCCCACAAATATATTGAATTATTTTTTATCATTTTTATTTTTGACTCGGGCAGGAAGAAAAAGACGACATAGATCCGAAAACATTTTGGCGAGATTGAGTTTGAGCGGCAGAGACTTCGAGGAAATTGGGCTTTTGAGACAGTCGTCGAGACTCGTTTCTAGAAAAACAGGTATTTATGGTTGAAAAAGGGAGATACGGGTCATTTCCAAAGACTGAAGAGAGCTTCCGGAAGGAACTTCGGCGCTGACGATCGAGAAAGTTTTGACGCTGAGTTCTTGTTAGCTCTAGAATCCATCTTTGTTAAGATTTCTGGAGGTCATTATCAAACCTGAGGGATTAATGACAACTTGTTCAAAAACCGTATCCGTCCAATAAACCAAATAGAGCCAGGCAAAAACCAACATGAGCAAAACAGTCCCTGAAAAACCGAAAAAACTTTTCTTGAAAAGAAGAAATCGAACAAAGCCTTACTAAATCTTCAAAAACGTCCAGTGATCCATTTTTCTCTTTTTGAGTAATATACTGTCTGAAAGATGGACAGTGGTTATTAATGGATTAGCACGCTCCTAGTGTTCTCTAACTTGATTATTTGAGAGGGGATGATGACTCATTCTCTCTGAAATTTATACAGTACTACTGATTCAGGTTGGGGTTAGGGTTAGGGTTGGGTTGTTATAATAAAAATGAAATTTCGGCGAGTTTATTAAAAGTGAAAAAAATGCAGGTGAAATTTACAGTCTAGCAAATGAATCTTAGCCAAAAACAGGTCCTCTTCTTCTCGATACAGATATCACAAGCGGGAATCTTTGTGGCGATCGCTTCCAGTTATTGAATATTTCTAGGGAAAGAATCAAGTTACCAAAAAGATCGCTTGTTAGTACCTTCAACAGCAGATAAACTTGAATTCATTTCTTTTACTTTCAATGTTCTTATCTTCACGATTTCATCTCCTGGTCGAATTTCTAAAAACAGGAAGAAAAAATTTTCTTTTTAGAAAAAATACCATCGACTGTAGTTTCCTTCACCGCAATTTGCGAGAACTTATTCCTGCAAAAGACGATCATCGCATTTTCATCAAAATCTATCTTCAAATGCAGCACCATATCCGCTCTTGGCCGCATACTCGATGGTGTTGAAATTCGGATCGTCGATGCCATGTTTGAGTTTTCTTTCAACATTTTGAGAAATTTCATCTCCAGGGCACTTATTTTCGGGATCAGTTCTTTCTCGACTTCTTCGGGTGCTTGAACTGGTTCTTCATCGCTTTCTGGTTCAGGGTCTGGGAGGGCGAGGTCTTCTGGTCCGGAGTCGATTGATGGTTCGGGCTCTGGTTCGGAAGATACATCAGATGGAGCCTAGTTTCAAGAGTTATGGGTTTGGGTTTGGGTTTACGTTTGTTTTTTTTTTGGGTTTGGATTTTGGTTTTGGTTTGGGTTTTGGTTTGGGTTTTGGTTTTTTTTTGGGTTTTGGGTTTTGGTTTGGGTTTTGGTTTGGGTTTATGTTTGGGTTTTGGTTTGGGTTTTTGTTTGGGTTCTGGTTTGGGTTTTGGTTTTGGTTTGGGTTTGGGTTTGTGAAGAGATGTAAAAAAAACAAGAAAACTTACTTGAGGCTCGTCAACACCGGAAGAGCTCGTGTCAGGTTCCTCAACAGAATTTCTAGGCGCCAAAGCCTTCGCTGTCACAAACGCACTTCCGCTGCCATGATAATTTACCGAGCGCACAGACTGTCGCGAAAGTTCTTCTTCTACAAATCAATAATTCTCCGACAAAAAGCACTTTCCTCACCAGCTAAATTTTCTAGCTCTTCAACAACTTCATCAATTTCCGCCTCCGACTTGTCCATGTTCACATCTGGCATTCCCAGGAAGCTGTTTCTTGGGTCCGTTTCTTCCTTCATATCCCTGAAAAAGACTCGTGTGAAAGTGGAATAAGTTAACAGTAAATATTTACTTACAAGGAATCCATGCAGGAAGTGTCGGGATAATATTTGCTTGGTTTGACAAAAGAGTTCATCTCGGTAAAGCGCGATGTTGACCGTTGCAAATGCTTGTTTTTATCCTAAAGAAGGGAAAACAAGGTGACACCCTTATTCAATTTTACCTCAGTAGCTTCCCGCTGAAACAGAATTTGATGCCTTTCATTCAATTTATCCAGCTCCGTTTGATTCCAGTTCATTCCTGCGTGGCTCAATCTAGCAATCAATTTAGCCAAATCTTCTGAAGTCGATTCTCTGTAGAAGACTTCTGCAATTCCTTGAGATTGGAGGACTTCGAACTCGTCGCGGCTCATTTCTAGAGTCCGGACGCCGTTGATTTCTGTGACTTCGTCGCCGATTCTGGCGGTGGTGAAGTTTTGATCGCGCTTTGAACTTGCTTTTTCGGGTCGAAAAAATGGACTTGTCGGGAAGAAATTTTTAAAAGCTTTTTTGGACCCGCTTCCTTGCATGATAAAAACGCCTGGCGAGCAAAACGACAAATTAAAGCTGCTCAAATTCATCCGAATCGGGATTTCTTCTTGGTTAAATTTATAATCGGGCACTCTGTTCCAGACGATTTTCTTATGCTGAGCGCTGCCCATTGTTGAAGGGATGAAACCGACTTTTTCGACTGTAATTGTGAATTCTTTCAAATTCGTTTTTGCTGACTAAAAAAAAATTTTTTTTTTGTAGCCCTCGATTTAGCTGTTACCATAATGGCAATTTTAAAATCTTGTAGATTTTTAATGATTGCTTTGTTGACTGCGTGGATTCTATCGCCAGGCTTTAGGCCAGCGTTATCGGAAAGCTGTCCTGAGCTGACTGTAGCGACGTAAAGTTCTGGTGAGCCATTTGGGTTCACGTAGTTTCGCAGGGTTAGGCCGAGGGAGTCAGTTTCCGTTTTGAACTAGAACAGAATATTCAGCTGTTGACAAAAAAATCAAAAATGTCAAAAAGGTCAAAAATGTCGGAAAAGTCAAAAAAATCAAAAATGTCGGAAATTATCAAATAAAAACTGCAAAGTTTTTTTGAAGAAAAAATTTCTTCTGACATTTGTGACTTTTCTGAGATTGTTGACATTTTCGAGAAATTTTCTGTAGAATATATTTTCTTGAAATTTTGATCGACTTACGACACTGGTCAAAATTGCAAAATTATTGTTCGGATGCGGAACCCTTGGATCGATAGCGATTGCCCTCAAGTGGTTGACATTGCAAATTTCAAGAATGAGTTTGAAGATCCTGTAATGACGTGGCTCGTAAATTTCATTGTCTGAACAAACGCGTGATATTTGTCCAGCGATTAGAATCAGTTACTGGCAGTTTTATTATTCTACATCTGCCAGTGAAAATTCCCAGCGCTTTTGAGGAAGAAATTCCATGTTATTTTATTACCGATTTCATCTAGCAAAAGCCTCCAATTTTGATATTCCGGGGTACCAGCATTTTCCGAATAATCATAAAGCAACTCAAAAATATGCGTCCTCAACTGGCGATCGTCAAAAATCTCTTCAATCAAGCACACTTGCTCGAGGCTCAAGAATTTTCTCGCATTCTGCCTCGCCAGAGACATTTCTAGCCTTTTCTTCTTGTGGTTCTCTAGCCGTCAATCAAGAGGGGTCAGAAGCCAGCTTGTAATAAGCCAGGCCCTTGAATATTTTTGCAAGAGAAGGAAAGTTTGTAATTTGCTATCGACTACCGCGCTTGTGTCAATAATTTTCAAGCAAATACTACTACAAGGCCAGATTGGCATTGATATTTTGCCAAATCGGCTGAAAGTTGAAAAAGAAAAATTATTTTCGATCATTTAATAAACAAATAAAAATTTTTTGAGAAAATTTTATTCAAAAAATCAGTCGTTTTCTTTCAATTTTCGGTCGTTTTCGTCGAATTCTAGCGTTTTTAAACAGCATTCTGTCGGAGTTGTTCAGCGAGTTTGATTTGGTCGAGCTTGCTCAGCTGTCTTGCCTTGTGAGAATGACGAGCTTTCAGGAATTTGAGCATCGGGAAGTTTTTAAATTGCGCTAGAAAATACTCTTCGGAATCAATCAAAAAGACCTACATTCATCGAGATTTCCGTATTTCTCTGAGAATTCGTATCCAAAAGCGATTCCAACGAGAAACAAAATCTTGAAAAACTTCATAATCTATCTCGCTTTTTTGAAATTCTGATTGTTTGAAAAAGCGGATAGCTTGATTTTATAGGTGAAAGCTGGTAAATCAAAAATTAAATATTTCGCCTACCGCAAGAACAAGGAGCTTCAACTTTGTTGAATTAGATTTAGATCACTTGTCGGTATCGCGTGCTCTCAAATTATAACAGCGTATGGCACGTGAAATCTTTCTCTGCCAAAAAGAGCGCCAAAAACTTAAATAATAGAAATACAAAAATAAAATTTATTTTTTTTTCGAAAAAACAAAGATAAATCAGTCGAGATGCGGTTCGATCGCAGCTTGGCTCTGAAAGAAAGTTTTTAAGGAATTTCGAAGCGAAATAAAAAAATACCCAAACAAAGAAAGTCGCAGCTCCATTTGAAACATCCCGAACTTCGTCGACGTTCATGCTTTTTATCAGTTTCTGTTGAATATTATTAAATGATACTTCCGAAAAAATCCTTACATGAGCTTTTTGCGCGCGTTCTTTCGGCAAACTATCAAAATCGAACTTTGTCGCGCGATTTTTCAAAGATTTCGCGCCCAATTTACCGATCAGGGCCTGCAACGCTCTCCAGTCACTAGAATTTGATTGAGAAATACAAATTTTCAATGGTCCTTACGAAATATCAGCCGGTTTTTCTCCGAGAAGAATGTAAGTTGCTCGCATGACACTTTCGACTTGCTTCGGTGGGTATTGGTATGAGCGGATTTCGGAAATGGTCGGCTGTTTATGGCTCAAAATTTGGTAGACATATATTTTTCCTTGATTTTAGCCAAAATTCCTGAGTAAGCGCCATGATTTCATGTCTCATTTTTTCATAAGTCCTCAGTCGCGCGAGAAGCTTTTGACCCTCATTGTAATCTTCTTGAAGTCTTCTTACCCATCCCTTCTTCTCAATTCGCTCGAGTACTTCCTCAAGCTCCTCTAGAATTCTCAGTCAGCGCCGACTCTGGGCTGTCCCTTACTGATTTCCTTTTTGCTGATCGCAGCTCTCAAATTCTTCTTTTCATTCAAAACTTCAATCATTTTCTTCGCCTGATCAACTAGCTCCTTGTCGACTTCATCATCATTTTCTGCTTCTTCAGTCACTTCTTCAAGGACTGGTAGTCGATTGAGATCATCTTGGGCTCCTCGCATTTCTCGCTTGAGTCGTTTTGTCTTTTCGTTGTCGTTTTCATTTTCGGAAATGTAAAAGAGCTCATCCTTTGATCGAGATCTGCTTCTAGAGGGCGCCCTGAAAATAATGAGCAATCATGAAAAAAAATTCTTAATTTTAAATGAAGAATTTTTTGCTGTCAATTTTTAGCCCGAAAAAATTTCGTCGAAAATCAATTTTCGAGACAATTTTTTTCGGCCAAAAATTTCGACTCGAAAAATAGGAAGGTACAATCACGTACCAGGAACCCCGTCGACTTCCGAGAAATCGTCCCATAGCCAGCGAAGTATCCCTATAATAGAATCATGTCAATCAGAAATTTAATAAAATCAGAATCATGAAAATAAAAGAGAAAATTTTCGAAACCTCCAAATACTCGATCGGCGTCCATTTCTCGATCGTTCGCGTTTGGGCAGTAATCTCTTTTTAGAAAGGTCTAAAAAGGGTCTCAACCTGATCCGGTGAGTTCTACCTTGAAAAGAGAGTTCTCCCCCTGCTGAGAAGCGAATTGCTTCTCTTTAATTTTTTAGATGAAGAGAGACCCAACTCGATAGGATTGCCCCTGTCGAGAATGATCGGAAAGAGCCGACTGCAGAGCTCGATTTCGACTTCTTCAAAAGTAAAATCTCCAAGGGGCGCTCTTCTTTTTAGGAGATATCCTTCCCACCAGGTTTCGGAAAAGAGGGCTCCTCGGAAAGTCTTTTTGAAAATTTCAAAAATATTTTTTTTATTTTTTTGAATTTTTTTTTTTTTGAAATTTTGTTCCTGAAATAAAGATTTGCATTCAGAAACACTCAGAGATTTCGTTCCAGTCGCCAGGCGGGAACGGTCGGACTCATTACCAAATTTTTGGTAACCCATTACCAATTTTCGGTTGTCGATTATTAATTTATTTTAATTTTTTCGCCAAGTTAATGAATAAAACACCCCACAAATTTTCTATTATACAGGCGCGGAGCGCACACTCGCTCTTCGAATGAAAAAATCGACACTTTTTTGACGAATTTGGTAATGCATTACCAAAATTGGTAATGGGTTACCACAATTGGTAATGGGTTACCAATTGGTAATGAGTCCGACCGTTTCCCTCGCCAGGGTCGTCTGATTTGCCAAGGTTGACAGAACATTTTCTCGTCTTTTGAGCTCTAGAAGTGCTTCTTTTTTGAAAGAGCCGAGGATTTTTGGGAAACCAAAGAGTTGGCGAAATGAGTTTTCGACATTTTTCGCACTAAAAAAAGGATCAAAAACAGGGGAGGTGTCAGGAATCGACAAATTTTGCGTGAAAATTTTCAACCAATCAGAAGCCTGAACTCGGCGTGATGGCCAATATGCAGCCTAGTAGCCGCCCACGCTAAATTTTTCGAGATTTCTTTGTCGATTCGTGACACCATCCCACAAAATTAACCCTAACCTCCTTACTCTAACCCTAACCCTAACCTACCTCAATCTTGTTTCATATTGTCCAACTCTGTACTCGTCCAAAAGCTCTCCAGGTCTAATCCAAGTGTTTTCTCCCCCGTAAGCTACCATCTCATTTCTTTCTTTCTATGATCTCTGCAAATTGAATTGAATGAAAGATTTGAATAGGAGAATCGAGAACTGGATCAGATATTTGGACCCGCTGCGAACAAAAAAAGAAAAGAGAAGTTGTTCTGATTCCAATTGTCTCCGAGTACAAAAGCACACAGTGAGAAGCGATTAGTTTGTTATTCTTGCGAAGTTCTGTTGACACAAAATGCCATTATTGGTTTTCCGAGTAAATACGTTTCTATGACAGTTGTTGATTGTTCTGCCGTGGTAACAGGATACTTAAAGTCTATCAGAAGAATTTTTAGGGTTAGGTTTGGGTTGGGTTAGGGTAAGGGTTTCATTTTTTAACATCAGTGAGGAAACTCTTATTGTTGTTGAAAAAGTCTTAAATAATTAAAAAAAAATTTTCTAAAATCTGATTGGATTACCGAGTCGGTAATACCGACCGAGCGCGGAAATCTAATCGGTCTTAAATTCAACAAGAATTTTGGTCCAAAATTTGGTCAAAATTGTTGTATTTTTTCGTTTTTTCCCAGCTCATTGTTTGGAAAAAATCAATTTTTATCATCTTTGACAATGTATTGAGACTCCCCTTTTTTGCCCTGTAAACTGAATTGACATTTGAATAATTCGACAATTAGACGTTCATGAATCTGCTGAGTTGAGCTGCTGCAGAAATATTGATTATGCACAGTGTTTGCTCTATTTAAAGAGCTCGGTTTGACACTCGACTATATATATATTTTTCTTCAAGAAAATTCAGAACAGAAAGGATGAGATTTTTTCCAGTGCTTTTTTTCTTAACCTTTTCTAGCGCTTGGACGTCCGAGCCAGGAGGAATTTATATGAAGAAATATGGGTATAAACAACCAGAAGCTTCGCGTCAACAGCAAAATGTAAGATACAACCGGTTGTAGGCTTTTCAGATGATTTTTAAAGAAGGGCGATGAAAACCAAAAATGGAATCGCTTTCTTGAATTTTTTCGCCACCGACTTGTTACAGCAAATCGAAAAAAGTATGCATATGTCAAGTGAGTTTTTATCTGACTGTAGCTTTTGAATAATAAAGACAGATTATTGATTATTTGCCGGAAAAAATTTTTGTTAATCGAAAACTGCCTTGTTGACGAATTAAAACGGACAACTCGGATTTGATGTTGAACAGATGCTTGGATGCAGCAGCGTGAGAGATAAAACTTATGTTTACTCGATGGTTGTGAGCTAGATGTTGGCTCCCGTTCCAAAAAGAAAACGTTGACGTCAAGCTTTTGATAACCGTGGTTGATTTCGACGTCTTTTCCAAATAACAACCATTTTTGGTTCAAGACAATTTTTCTCTTAAGTTTGCTTGAGTTGTACCATCATTTTTTCTATTTGTTCTTACCCCTTTTTGATAAATTTAACCATTTTTAGAAAAGAGTCGCCTGTATTTTCATTGATTAATTGAAAATATTAAAGATAAGAAATTATATAACAAATGATGGATTTTTTCAAGAAACCATATTTATTCTTCAATTTCTGCGGAAAGAGCTTTTTACTTTTAGTAAAAATAGCAAGTTTGTATGACAATACCAATCTTAGAAATATCTTTCGTAAATTTGTGTGAAAATGCATAACCAATTTCAAAACACTTTATTTTGCCTAACACAAGTCTTGGTAAATTGAAAAATCCAGCACATTGGCAGGAACACGCGATTCTCGTGAGCGTGATGCGCATGTTCCTTATCAGCAATTCATGTTTCATTGAGCATATGTTCTTGCTTCGCTATAAAACCGAGCTCCGTGGAATCCAGATCATTCACATTTTGAATTCATCAAAACAACAAAAAACACAGAGAAAAAATGAAACTGTTAAATATTTTGCTCGTCGGAGATGCCTTCGCAAGAAAAACCCATCACTTCATCGCGGAAATCCAAGGCCTTGTTCCAAAGTTCGAGTCGTACACCGGCGAGAACGAAAAAATCAAAGATGACATTTTTAAGTACAAACAAGAAGCTGGCAAGGCCATTCTTCACGGAGAACTGATGACTGATGGACAACTCAGGGCGATTCTCAGCGAGGGATCGACCATCAACCAGAAGATTCTTCGAGAATTGATCGAGTTCCGAATGGAAAAGAAGAAAGGAGTTGACTTCAGAAAACCGAGACAAAGCGCTAGCGATGGGGAGGATATGCTTTTGAACTATGGCTGCTTCTGCTTACCTTCTCAGGAAATTGGTAAAAAGAGCATTCCTTCATCGAAAATTGAAGATTCGAAAAGAATGATTTACATGATGATACCCGTAATTTTAACGCTCAAATCTTATTTTCTTGAATTCTTCACGGAACAAGTTTTCTATCAATTTTAACAGATGCATTCGCCAGATGGAAACTGGCTCGGAAAAGGCTCCCCTGTCGATGAAGTTGACTCGCTCTGCCACGATATTTTCCGATCATACAACTGTCTCAAAAAGGACTTTCCAGAGTCCAAATGCGACTCGACCATTCCGTACAACTACAAACTCGACAAGCGAGGGGTCCCTTTTTGCAGTAAGTACTCTTTTTATCAGAATCCTCAATACGAATCGGCTTGTAATCGAAATTCTAGCTGACCCAGAAGATACCTGCGAGGGAACGGTTTGCCGATTGGAGATCGAGTTCATGACTCAATTCGTCAAAGTCGCTGATAAATGGTCTCAAGGTCATCCTCCTTTTTCCTTTTCCTTTCTTGATGATTATTTCTAGCCAACCATATTTCCGGAGGTTTCGATCGACAAAGCCAATGTCTCGGAAACATGTCTGAACGACAAATTGAAGAGGCAAAGAGTGAAGGTCAATCTGGACGACGGGAGAAATCGAAGGTCTTCTCAGAAACTCAGTGCTGCGGAAACGGAATCAAGGTAAGTTATTTTCATGAATAAAGTAAACAAACGAGTATTTTTAGCGACATCCTTACCAAATCCACAAGTTCGAATGCTGCCCGAATGGCCAAACGAAGCTTCCAGGAACCTGCCTTCCTGACAAATTCTAGATTGAACCTTTTTCCAAGTCTTTTTTAAGAAAATTTGACTGAGAAACGTCAAATTACTGTTCATGTGCCAAAATACTTGAGTACACAAATACCTCCTGCTCCTTTTTAGCTTTTTTTTAATAAATCAAAATCAAAATAATTCCGTTTTCGTTCTTTATTTTTTCGAAGGAAATGAATGACTCTAGTCCCGCTTGGGCTCGTCAGCAGGTGCTGCCATCACATAGTGATAAGCAATGATAAGGAAGAACAAGCCACTGCCAAGGTAGTTGATAAAGTCGTAAACGATAAATTCGTCCAGCTGCATTCTCTGCTTCTTTTTTATGTTGGAAACGCGGTACTGGCAATTTGGCGCTACACTTAAATTGGCGGTGCAAAATTGCCCTGAAGGCAGAAAAGAATTCTCCAACGATCTCTTCGAAAAGTCTTCATCAAAATTATTTTCTGATAAAAATGTCGAAATGTTTTTATTTGAAATTTTATAATTTGATTTCCATATGTTTCAAAGCCTCTTAGTAGCTCTTAGTGATCGCTTTTTGCCGCTTATGGCCGCTTATTGCCGCTTATACCCGCTTATGGCCGCTGATGGCCGCTTACTGCCGCTTATGGCCGCTCATAGCCGCTTATGGCCGCTCAAGGCCGCTTATGGCCGCGTTTGACCGCTTATGGCCTCTCTGAGTTTCTTCCTAACAACTGTCCTTTCAATAAAAAATGAAATTAAAATTCAAAATAAATCTTTATCAACAGCATTTCTTTTACTTTATGATGGTGCGAAGTAACTGGGATGAACTTTTAGTCGGATGTTCTAATCTCGCGGCGCTCTAGAAACCTTTGAAGCCAAAATAGTATCTCGTGGATGGGGATATTTCGGAAGTAGAAAGTGAATCGATTCTGAGGCGGCATTTCGCTGAGCCGCTTTGAGCGACTTTGTGTGAGTACACGAACTAAAGGTCGAGATAGCTCTAGAAAAATAGTGTCGTCAAGGTCAATTGGTTTAGAGTCTCGCCAAGCGCTGTCCTTTTTTCGTGGATACTTATCAACGTGACTCGATCCTTCTGGAGCTCCGATCATTCTAGTTGCTGTGATCAAGACTCTTGTTTCAAGAGAATCATAATTTTGGGGAGCCCACAAAAAATCCTGACAAATTTGCATGTAAATTTCCATCCAATCAGAAGCCTGAACAAGGCTTCCCGGCTAATCAGAAGCCGAGGAGCCGCCCACGCAAAATTTGCCGAATTTTTTTGTCGGATCTTGACGCCATCCCTGATTTTTCAATTAAACAAAACCTTAGAAACTATCGTTTATTTTGGAAAAGGCCTCTTTATTTGTCAATTTTGCCAGAAAAATATACTTGTCATTGACTGAATAGAAAGATATGATAAGAAATGGAAACGCGAATATAAACAAGCTGTTTGAAACAACGATAAAACCACACTTATCTCACCTTTCTTCCTCGTCAAATCATGAAATCGGCGCCGTATCGCTCATTAGCGCCCTCTATGTCCGGCGCGCCGTATCTCCCGGTTTCTCGGCGGGTGCTCTAATCATCAAGAATTTCTTTCAACTTGCAATTCTTGCATTCAAGAAGTAATTTTTAATTTCGACTACTGAAGGAATCAAAAAATCCAATCAACGAGAAAGGATAAAAAGAGAGAGAAAGAAATGAAGCTTTTGCTGCCTTTTTTGACTTTGTCGCATGCTGGTATGATCAATTTTTTTTTATTATTTCGAAATTGAAAATTATAAATGAAATTTTTATCCAATAAAATCCGATTCTTTTTGATATTGGCCAATCAAAAATGAAGTCGAGAATTATGAAAATGATTCCAAATAATTTGCTCTAGAATTCGAGTCGAATTTACAGAATCGAAAATAATATGAATAAATTCTAGCGTCAAACTACTTGGAAAAAAGCCTCGGCTACGTCAAAATAACTCCTCCGTCAAATTTCACTGGCCTCCAAGCCCGTCGACCAAGCAGTCAATATCAAGGAGGACGAGACACTTTTGGCGCTGAAACTGTCGATCGAAACTTTGCCGAGCCTGGCCTCAGTGTTGATGACTTGGACCTGGGAAATCGAATGCCACAGCCACTAAGGTGCAACAATCCGTTGGTGAGAGGAGTCGTCGACTCGAGAATCGTTGGAGGATACGATGCTCAGCGAGAAGCATGGCCGTTTATCGTGAAAATTAGAATTGGTTGCGGAGGATCAATCGTTAGTCCGAGCTGGATTATGACTGCCGCCCACTGGTGAGTTTTCTCCAAAAAGATGATTTCTAAGGGTTTTTTTATTCAGCTGCCGAGTGTCCAACTTGAGATTTCTGGACGTCACCGTTTCTGAGTATGACCGGGCTGGCATCGACAAAAATGCAGAAACAATTCAAGTGGATAAAGTGGTCATCCACCCTAAGTTCGTCCCGGCGACTCTACTCAACGACATCTGCTTGCTCAAGTTGAAGAAGCCGATTGAATTTAACAGTAAGGATTTTTTAATTCATAATTTTCAGAAAGTTTTTTCCAAAAATTTTCCTTTCCAAAATTGTCAATATCACTTTCAAATATTTGACCCCAAAATCTCTTTTTGAAATGCGCGGGAAGCATCCTGATTGGCGGAAAACCCAATTATTAGAAAAATGACAATCTTGAGCTTCAAACAAAGACATCGATTTGTTAATCTTGGAAAATAAACTAATGTGAAATTCTAGTGCACGCCCAGCCAGTCTGCCTGCCCGAAAAGAACTCTCGAATCGATCAGGTGAAATTGGGCGAAGGACCACTTTGCTATGTCGCCGGTTGGGGACGGGTTGGAGAGACGGAAGGAACGGCTCGAATCCTCCAAGAGACACAGGTTCACTTTGAAATTTCACAATTTTCACCTTTGTTAAAATAAGGGTTAGAAATAGGCCGACCGCAGACGGACATCGCTCACATTACGCAAACATCATCTTATCTGATTTTCCGAATTTGTCGATTTCGGTTTTGACTCTTCAAGAACAATTTCCCTTTTGACAAAAAAAAATTTAATTCTTGTAATCTCATTTTGAACTTGACCAATTTTTCGGAATTTAATTTTTTATGAAAATTATTAAAAAAAAAATAAAAATAGGCTCAAATCGACAGAATGCGAAAATTTTCTTTTCTAAAATTTGATTTGTCCAAAATTTGACCAAAAATTTGGTCGAAAATTGTCAATTTTTCATTGCTTTTAATTTTTGTTAACCCTTTCTCTAGGTACCAATTATCCCAAATAAAGTCTGCGATGCCGCCTATGCCCGAAACAAAGTCCATGAAGACGAAATGATGTGTGCCGGCTATGCTGAAGGAGGAATCGACGCCTGCCAGGGCGATTCCGGCGGACCAATGATCTGCGTCGAAAACGACCAGCCAGTTCTTCGAGGAGTCGTTTCTTGGGGAATCGGTTGTGCGCGTGTTGGACTCTATGGCGTTTACACTAGAACTTCCTCATACATCGACTGGGTAAGTTCTCTCTTCCGGAAAATTTTTAACAGTCTCAGATCCGAAAAACCGTCAATCCAAACGACCAAACTTTCGCAGAACTCCAAAACAATCCCCCAGCAACAGAAGCTCCACCAAAATCTCCCAAGCCAACAATTCCATCTGGAACCAGCACCATTCACCCCCGATGCGGTAAGACCACCATTTCTATCTCTCCCCTTACCATTTTTGCTCTCAGGCGATCCGACTAAGAAAGGCTTCAAAATCGCGAAAAACGTCCTCGTCTCTTGCCACAGCAGCCAATGTGATTTCAAGTGCCCGGATGGAATGAGACCTTCTTTCGCCAAAGCTATTTGCAATTTGAAGAAAAGAAAATTCGCGCCAAAGAAAGTCAAGGTACTCCACCACTCCTCATCTCCTTTCTCACATCTTTTCCAAGAAAACGATCCACTGTATCGGAGATGAACCAAGCGAGCCACCAGTTCAAAGCTCTTCCGGGGGCTTCAACTCGAATCCTTCTCCTGATGTTGCTGCAGAACTAAATTCTGGTAAGAAGAGCAAATAAAAAAGAGGATTTTTTAAATGAGATTTCTTTAGGAAATGCGATGACGCAATGTGGAAACATCGTCAAAAAATTCCGACTTGATACATCAGCTCTGTCTGTCGACTGCAAAAATGATGTCTGCCAGCTTTCGGTAAATTTTCATCTCGTTCTTATTTCCTCACTTTTCTCATAGTGCATTGATGAAAACATGAGGCCCACTCTCGACAAGATCTCCTGCAGGGTCCAAGGAAAGAAAAAGAAGACAATGCCAAAGAAGGCAAAAGTCAAATGCGTCGTGAAGCAAAATTCCCAAGGTAAAATCAAGGAGAATTTCAAATGACGCAATAGAAAGAGAGTTAGAAGAGTCGTGTTCATTTTGCGGTTTTTGGAAGCATGTTCAATTTTTGAGTTTTGAACCAGCTGGGGCGGGTTATCTATGTTTTTGATTTGATATTTTAGCGATGCGACACGTTGGATCAGAAGCTGAGGAGACATGTGGATATATGCCTATTAGAACGTCCGATCCAGTGGATTATTTTTGCGAGGGAATGGAATGCTACTTTTTCTGCCCAAACGACGATCTCAAGGTACTCTTTCTCAAAAAAAAAATTTTCGATGGAATTTTCGAGCTTTTTTTTCATTGAATTTTTATCAAAAAATTTTTTTTCTAATAATTATTTTAATTTTTATTCATTAAAATTTTAAGCCAACTCATGATAAAATCACCTGCAACCCGAAAAAGGGAAAATGGTGGCCCAAGCGATTCCACGTCTTCTGCCAATAAGAAATCGCCCTCAAGTCCAGCAACCAATCAAAAAGCTTTATTAGGCTTTATATTTAAATTTTATTTAATTTTATTGTAAAAAACTTGTTCAAAATTGTGATAAAATGTCTTCAAGACTTTTAAATTTCCCTCATCCCTTTTCTTAATTTTTGTCTCACGTGATGCTCAAAATGGGATTGAAGAGAAATTTTGGTCTTTTCTCCTTTTGTGATTCTTTTTTCTACCTTTCTGTTGAAAATAACCTGTGTCTAAAAAAAGTGCCTGAAAGTGGTTATTTCAGCGGAAAGCGACTTTGCTCGATGCTAGATTTGAAAGGACAGTAATCTGAAATTCAAAACGAATATTATGAAATACTGTCGTTCTGTCTTTTTACTGTAAATATATCTTTTCTTTATAAATAAAACAATTATTAAAAAAAATTTTGTTTCGAATTTTATTGAAGAAAAGTTTGAATTTTATTAAATATTCAGGTAAGAATCATATTTACTGATAAGAGCATTATAATCGCCTGAATAATGTTGGCAGAGTTTTCGATTTTCAGCTGGCTCGGGAATGTTGGCGAATGACCTGTAGACTCCTGTAAAGAGAACATCCTCCATCTAGAGGAAGAATAGAAGGGAAGGGAAAGAAGGGCTTACATTGAAGTCAGCAAGTTCAATCTCACTGGCGACGTGGTAGAGTTTTTCCGCCGTAGCTGCGGAAACGATTGTACAAGGACCGCCACAGTAAGTGGGATAGCGATAGTCGTCGGGCCAGACTTCGTTGGAGAGGTGGTATTTACCGAATGGCTTTTTCCAGGTCGTTTCGGATTTGAATCTAGAAGTGAGGGGAATGAGGGGTTTTGATTGGCTGACAAGAGCCACGGCTCATAGCGGTCTCTGATTGGCTGGCGAGAGCCAGAGCCAAAAGTGGACTCTGATTGGCTTATAAAACCAATAGCGGCATTTGATTGGTTTATTTGATGAAGAGTTTACCTTTGATGACCACAAGTTATCGGCGCATAGGCAATCTTCTCAAAAGGATCGAAAAATGTATCATCATCCAAAAAGATGATATTGGCGTTTTGAAGATAGCAGAAGAACACGAACTGATATGCGGAAAAGGTTTTGAAGTGAAGATTTTCGTACCGATCTTCAAATTCGCCGATGATGTAGTTTTCTCTGAAGCGATGGGGATAGGTGGTTTCTGGAGAATCGGAGGAACCGATTAGGAAGCGGACTTGAAAGCCTCTTTTTCTTGGTTCAAAGAGGAAAATGAGCTGAAAAGAGAAAATATTTTGAACCATTCCTTTTAGTATAAAACTGATAAATCTTTTCATGAAGATCAGTTTTCTCCCTCGTTGTTGTCACGAGAATAGTATCCATTCCATGTGGCGGACAAGTATATGATTTGAGGATATTCTTCTTTTCTCCCTTCCACAGCTCCATAAATTTCTCTGGAACACCATATTGCGGGCAGCCAAACGAATCTGTTCCTGTGTAGCAATGGACCTGAGTTAATATGATTTCCGGAAATGGTAGAGGAGACTTACCTTGAAGACATTAACAGAAAAATGAACGAGGAAGAATGATGTGAAAAGTGCAATCAGAAGACTTCGATTTTTCTTCGTATTGTATTTTCTCATTTCTTAAATTTTCAATTTTCTTCTTGAAAAAGAGAAAAAAGCGATTACATCTTGATTTTTTTTCTCGACGGAAATAAAAAAATAATAATGATTTCGCCGATTATTGACTTAAAATCGAAATTCGACTCAATTTGAGTTGAATTTTTAATTTCTTCTTTGCAAAATTGAATAAGTTAGAAAATAAGAAAATTTTCTCAAAAAAAAAATTCGAAAACAAATATTTGACTCTCGCGGTCAAATGCACGATGAGAGGTGGAGAGGCAAAAATTATTCTTTCCGTAAAACAAACCTTTTAAATTGAACATTTTTCTCTCTCGTAAAATGCGCTTTTCCTCATCTTCTTGCGCCAGCCGAAAAGGTCGCTTCTTTGTTTCAAGGATTATACCAACACTTGTCTTAGCTCTCTATTTCTGCGGCAAATTTTGAATTTTTTTTTCTCTCTTTTTATTCAATTTTAACAGCCTCTTAAATTTTCTCGACTTGTTCAAAAATTTATTGGAGCAGGGAAATTTTAAAAATAACTCTTGAAAAATCTCTTTTATTTTACAATAATCTTGCGTTTTCTTAAAAAAATCTTCAAGATGGTGGGAAAAACGCAGCTGAGAATGAAAAAAAACGAGATGTTGGTGATAAAAAATTAGTCAGCCCAATAAGGCCCGCCGCGGGGCTTTTTGCTTTGTCGAGTGAAGGAAAACGGGATTATCCATTTCAACTTTAACTTCGTTTTACTTCTACATTTGCATTATTGAGTGGGGTCAACCCAAGAAAAAGGGAACCCTCTTCTCGAATTAGTTGATTTTTCAAAATGAAAACTGTTTTCTTCATGTCTGAAATGGAACTTAAGGTTGTGATACCCTTATTGTTCATAATTTTTAAAAAAAATTTCATTAAAAAAAATCGGAAATTGCTTTTCTTTCTTTTGCATTTTTCGATATTTCAGTATAAATGAGTGAGATCATTTCCTGAGTAAAAAAAAACTAAGCAACGAGACTCCTCAATTTATGCACTCGAGATATACTTTTAAAATAAATAGACTTTTCATGATGGTAAAAAGACTCTTTTTCATCCTTTTTGAATATTATTTTTAGTCGAAACTTGAAGATGCAACAGATTTGATGGGAGAGCTTATTGATCTTGTTTCTGATAAAACTTATGGAGACTCCTTCGCGAGTTTTGTCTTCAAGACTGGGCAAGTTTCACAATTGATTGAAGCCCTGGCGCTAGAAATCAAAGATCAGGCTGGGGCGAAAGATTGGATGGGAAAGGTGAAGGAACATTGGGGAATCGTTCAGAAATCAGTTTCACAGGTGACTATTTTCTTATTTGTTTTAGGTGCAAAAGAAGTTTTTAGATCGATTCTTCGGATTCTGCAAATGAAAATCCGTGCACTATTCAGGAGCTTTTTCAACAAAGATCACCGGCTGCTGTTGAAGCTATGAAAGAGGCGAAGAAAGAAATGGATCGGGTGAGACAGGAAATCGAAGATTTTTTTGCCAACAAGGTTTGACAGAAAAATAAATCTGCAACATTTTCTGTGAAAAATAAATATGGTTTTGTTTGAGTCTGAGCTTGCTTGAGCAAACTATTTCTGCGTTTTAATAAGTTTAAATTTTCGCGCTCTGGACCTCTTTTTTTCACAGTGCGATCTTCAAATTCGCCGATGATGTAGTTTTCTCTGAAGCGATGGGGATAGGTGGTTTCTGGAGAATCGGAGGAACCGATTAGGAAGCGGACTTGAAAGCCTCTTTTTCTTGGTTCAAAGAGGAAAATGAGCTGAAAAGAGAAAATATTTTGAACCATTCCTTTTAGTATAAAACTGATAAATCTTTTCATGAAGATCAGTTTTCTCCCTCGTATTCTTCGGATTCTGCAAATGAAAATCCGTGCACTATTCAGGAGCTTTTTCAACAAAGATCACCGGCTGCTGTTGAAGCTATGAAAGAGGCGAAGAAAGAAATGGATCGGGTGAGACAGGAAATCGAAGATTTTTTTGCCAACAAGGTTTGACGGAAAAATAAATCTGCAACATTTTCTGTGAAAAATAAATATGGTTTTGTTTGAGTCTGAGCTTGCTTGAGCAAACTATTTCTGCGTTTTAATAAGTTTAAATTTTCGCGCTCTGGACCTCTTTTTTTCACAGTGCAAAGAGAATGCCAGGACCGGCAGGCGATTTTGATTTTGAAAGACGACGAATTCCATCAAGTTTTCTGTTGGAAGGAGAGTTAATGAGGGCTTGTACAATTTGCGCGTAAGAAACTTCGTTTTTTAAGAAAATAATCAAGTATTCTAGCGTTTTTTCTGAAGATGTTTATTATTTTGGCTGCATGAAAGACTTTAAATACTATTGCAGTGTTTGTGGTCCATCACATACACCGCTCTTGAAACATTACGCATCATGTCGATGCAGAAATAAAAAAGCTACTCTGGCCCTGGTGTCATTCAAGTGTTTCTATAAGAGTTGCAATGCGCGACTTTCATTTAACCAGTTTTTCCATCATTACCAAAATTGCAGCGAAAAAAGTAGATCTCAACAGATTGACCGAAAATCAGATCCTTCAGCTACTAATCTTCATGATGATTTTGAGCAAAAACTCAAATTAAAAGAGCACGAATTGCAGTCAGTGAGACAAAATTACAACAAAATAATCGAAGAAGAGAAAACGAAAACTGAGAAGCTGAACTCTTTGAAAATAACGAGGGCTGATGTCGTCGAGACAATCAAAAGTCTTCAGCAGCAAGAGAAAGATTTGATAAAACAAGAAGCTGACATTGAAAAAGATCTGAAATCTCTGGCTGAAAGAAAGAAAAAACTTCAAGAAAAAACGCAACTTTCATCAAACCATGGCAATAATCCCAACTTTTATGACTTATTTATTTTTCAGAAGAAGCTGATGACTTTTCTTGCAAAGTCTGCTTCTGCGCCTTCGATAAAAATCTTCATCGTCAGTCTTGCATTTCGAAATGCGGGCATTCTTTCTGCTACCAATGCTTGAGCCAGCTGAATCCGAAAATCTGCCCAAGCTGCCGAAAACAATTTGAAATGAACGAAGTCATCAAAATTTTTGAAGACCACTCTTCTTTCTGATCAAATCTTATTATCCCCATGTTCCGATTTTCCTTTATTTGTAGCAATTTATCTTACTGATTTGCCTTCATAATTTAAGTTTTTAGCGAAAAATTTTTATCCTTGATCTTGAAATAAATTTGAAAAGCATAACTTCCTTTATTTCTTTTTCCATCATTTATTTGCTCAGAGAGTAGTTGGAAGAAAATCAGTAAGAGATTGATCATTGTTTCTCGGGTCAGAACCAAAGTGCGAGTTGATGCAGTCAAAAACATAAGGGACGCCTTGGAAAGCAGAACCAGATACGTAACCGACAAAATATTCGACGATTTTATTGTCGATATTGTCCTGAAAATAAGATCATATCCGGTTCTCCGGATTATCTCAATGTACCTGAGTCCACATAGAGTCGTTGATGTTTTCAAGTCCAATCAGGATGTTTGTGACTTCTCCAGTTGTAAATGGCCCCTGAAAAGTTTCATTACTTCTTTCTCGGAAAATCAATTTTGCAAACCTGTGGTGAATCAGCATTTGGCTTCAAAACAATAATCGTGTTGGCAAAAGTATACCACTGATTCGCGCCGAATCCTTCCGAGTAAACTCCCTCGAGATCGTAGTTCCAGACCATGACGTTTTCCGCCTGGAGCTGAATTCCTTGAAGAGAAATCAAAATGAAGTAATCGTTGGTGTTTTCGACATCTTTGTGAATCCAACCAGCGGACAAGATCTTTCCATCCACGCCTTGGGCACCTATTTTCTAGCTTCAAAAATTACTTCTCGGGGAAAATCGGTGAAAATTTGAAGCGATTCCTTCATGCCCAAAAAGTCGGCCTGCTTCTTTCCGGATGTATTCCAGTCGATTCTTCGGACACCATTGCACTCATTGCATGTCAAATCATTGAGTCCATTTCCTTGGAGTTGCCAGAAACAGCCTTTGTTTTGATTGCATCTGCAAATGTACTCAACTTTGTCTTTTCCATCAAGATTCGAAGCAAAGCCAGCAGCACAGGCGCTCACAAGAGATTGAAAAATAAACCCTTCTTATTAAAAAAAGGGTTTTTTTCAAACATCTTCCTGTAGCAAGTCGAAAACTTATTGTGGCCATCCGAGCAGCAGGACTCTAAGTTGACCTTATTTCCGCTTGAATCCTTGCATCTAGCATTTGGCGAATCGAATCGGTTGTACGCTGCGTTGGGGTAGCACAAGTCAAGGGGAGGGCACTGACGGTACCAAGCAGGGATGTTTGTGTTCAAATCCTTGTTGTGAGGCCACATTTGAGGGCAGCCCTCGGTGATGTCTCGGACAACGCCATCTGCGGCTTTGTATGACGTCAGAGCTAGAGATGAGGGTCAGCTATTCTTAAGGGTATAGCAAGGTGTTAAATTTTTTTCAAATTTTTCATCAAATTTTTGAATCTTACCAGCTTGAGAGGCAGATATCATCGTAAAGAGCTTCATCTTTTTTTCTCTCTTAATTTCTTTATTTTCTTCGTGTTCGAATATATCTTCCAATCACAAAAGAAAACTGGCCCTCCCTCTTTCTTGAGAGCTTTTTGATATTGAATATGACATTTTAAAATTCATCTATATATCAAATTTGCAACGCTTTGTCTGCGAATCAGCGGATTAGAGATTTTTTATGGAAAAGATGATTTCACGGTCCTGACTTCCTGAAGTTCAAGGAGGTTTCTAGTGATTTTATTGATGATTCATTCTAGTGACAGCCCTTTCTGGGGGGTCCGGGGATCATCCGAAAAGTCGTGACCAAATGTGAGAAAACGATCGCTTTAGAATTTATGCAAAATCGAATAAAGGATCAATTAAGCTGGGATTTGTCGAGAAAGGATGAGAATGGTTGTATTGATTCGCCGGAGCGGCAGGGGGCGCCGCCGGATCACTCTTTATTTTCGCGCCGTTTCATTTCCACTCCTCCTTTGTTCCAAAGTGCAATCGCAAAGGTTAGCCCAGAAGAGCTTGAAAAAATAAGTTTGCAGAAAGAAAAACGAATAAGAGAGGGAGGCAAAAGAATTGAAATCAACAAAGAGAAATTACACTTATTTGCAATTTTTATCGCCAAAAAACTGTGACAAAGGTAATTTTATCAAAATTTTTAACAAAAAAAAAATGTAAAAGTTTCTCAAAAAAATTTTTTTTTCATATTTTTTTGTTGCAAATATTTCCCTTCAGAAAAAAAAAAGCAACATGGAGTACGAAAAAGTATACCGAAATCCTCCGAATCCGTATCAGCCGATTATCCTTCTTCTTGAAATGGGTCTTCTTGTGAACTCAGTCTACATAATCATCACCCCACGATTTGCCGATTTTAATGCGGAGCTCAGGATCGGATTTAGATCTGTCTCTCTTTTCCTCTGTTTTTACAATTTATTAATCCGAAAAAGTGCATCTTTGGTTGGAGACAGTGACAAACAACGAGGATTATTTTGGGAATGCATTGTCGGCTCTCCCGTTTCATATTCTTGCTTCTACCTCGAGGACAGTATTCTTGACATGGAAATGACCTATCTCGTCATGCGAGGACTGGCAGTTTTGAGCTCGATCTTCATCTTTCTTGGCATGTGTTTCGGCTTCATGGGGATGAGCACGACGAGAATTTATGAAGATAACAACTGCAAAAAACTCGTCTGGAAATCGGTAAGTCCAAGAATGAATTGACTCAGAACAGATCTTTTTCAGACGAGCGCGATCTTCATTTTCATGAGTGGCGTTATGATCTGCGTCGTCTGCAGCTGGTACGCGCTTTTCGTCCTGAAAGAACATGGACATGGAGATATGGAATTCGATTTCGGGTAAGACGAGCTTGACGATTTTTTTCTGTAACATCTTCCTTTTTAGACTCTGTCTGTACCTTGGCTGGGGTCAATCCATCGCCAGTCTTTTCATCGTCTATCTGATTCTGCTTCAAGATGACCGAGAGGAAGATTCTCCTTTAGAAACTAAGGGGCCGCTACCGACTTACTGTGACTATCCTACCACTCCTTATCAACTGACGAACCAATGTTATTTGTAAAAGAAAGCTTCATGAGAAAATAAGATTTGCGATAAAAAAGCATGAGAAACTGATTTCGCCGCGCGTCAATTGAAAAAGTTGTTTAGTTGACAGGTCGAAGTGGTAAAATTGTTGAGCGTGTATTTGCTCTGAAGGCATTTATCGAGCTTGTTCCTGCTTTCCCACTTGGGGTCCTCTATTCCACAAAGTCAACAATCTAATCGCCGCTTGAATAAAGCCTCGCACTTCGACGCCGCACCTACAGTCCATCAAAAATTGTGTAATAAAAATCACGTTTTTTCGGATTATCCATTTTTTTCGAGTCGATTTTCTAGAGATTTTGCAAGAAACCATGGATTCAGGTACATCTAAAACAGATTTCCATTAAGGGCATCCCTTCGATAAAATTAAAAAGCCTTTTTTCCCAGAAAAACTTAATTAAAAGACTCTTATCTAGAATCTAAGCAGTTATCTAGAATTTCTCTCTAGGACTGAAACTATGGCGGCGCAGCGAAGCGACAAGCAAAACCGAGAAATTCGCCTTTTCTAGAAATAATGCGGAAAAACGAGCTTGTGACAGTAAAATACGAACCTATTTTTATGGCAATAAGGTAGCTCTGGAAATATTTTTCGTCTCTTTTGAGAGTTCTAGAATCGCTGCGGAATTCTAGAAGTCAAAAAGCGATTCGTCGCGGAACGACTTGACGAACTCGACGATAAAATGCTCCCTGGACGACCTTTGACTCAGGTTTGCCTCTTGAAAGAAGCTTTTTCCATCGAAGAAATGATTCTAGAGACGAATGAGCGTGGACAAAAAGAACAAACTGCAAGGCCACGAAATGCAGCGGCTAAAGAAAAAGATGTCCGTCGCTCATGCGTCGCACTTAGAACGACTCGAGCTCGAAATGGACTCTGTTTTTCAAGTTCTAGCACGTGAATAAATAGCGAAAGAGATAGAAGTTACGACAGGGCAGGCGTTTTTTACCATCTCTTGTCATGTAAAACTGCGATTTTTCTTTTGAATTTATGATTTATCGGGGAATTTTATTTGAAAAATTGTGTACAAAAAATGACTTGAAAAAGAGAAGAAAAGAATTTTATGGCGCCAAAAGGCAGCCCATCGCATGAAACTTCTGATTGGTAAGAAAATCTTCTTGCCTCTTGAGCATTGCCTTGGTCTTCGCTGGAATCATTCGTTTATTGACGCTGGTGTCGATTCCGTCCATGCAGACATAGGTGTAGTGGAAGCTTCTAAGAGCGGCAACAAAATTTGCAATCGTATCACATGGTGCATTTTCATCGACGACTGGGGGTACAAAGTCTGCTTCTTCTCCTACGTCCGCCATTACAGAGCAATCGCCGGGCATTTTGTTGTGCTCGCCCATCCAGGTGAAGCGGGAGAAGATGTTTTGGAAGTGCTTCGCCTAGAGATCAAATTATTCGTCAGCGAATAAATGGCGTTGATCTTACCTTTCGATCTTGAATATGATCTCTTTTATGATCATGTCCATCAAACACCAAGCTCTTGATATCCTCAAACGCGTTCTGAACCGAGTTCCAAGCGAGATTATTTGGCGGCTCCGAAAACGCTGTGAAAGTAACGCTCATTCCAGTTTTGACGATCACATTTTCGTTCGACTTGAAAACGAGTGTCATGTCGGATCTGGTCCCAACAACATCCATGGGGTTCGCAATCGCGCCGCAGAGGCGGGCAAGCTCGAAATTTCCATCGGGACCGTTGTAGAAAATCGCAGCGTCTTGATCACACACACCGCCAAGTCCGGCATCCTCGATGTCGACGTTGTCAGCGATTCGAGCGCGGATTGAGTAGCCTTCTGGAGCTGTGACGTAAACTCGGTAGTACTGGTTCGGCAAGTAGTTTCCCTCCCCATCGACTGGGATCGACCAAGATTCGGTGAGGGCACCTTCGACGAGATTGAATTCGATTCGAGCGGTTGTATCTGGAGTCCAGATTCGAGTTTCTTCGGTGATTTGAGAGGTGTCTTCTGAACTTATTGTTCCAAGGGCAAGAGCAGCTGAGAATAAGGGAAAAGCGAGCTAAGAAAAAAATTATCAAAAATCTTCGAAAAAAATCATACCTTCATTTACTGTTATCTCTTTCTCTCTCTGACAAATCTGATAACTGACCCTTTCGTTCCCTTCATTTTATACCCGCGACGAGCTTGTCGCGCTTACAAACATTAGTACCACTTCCAATTTTTTGTTAAACACTTTCTTTGGGCAACTGTTTATTTTAGATTTTGCTCAATTTTTTTATGATCAAGCGGGTGTACATGGAAAATTTTGTTTGAAGCTTGTTATGATTTCACGATTCTTGCTTCTTGAGACCGTTTGGTGTGGTTAATTATTCCGTATTTGATTAGTTTTAATTAGAAATTCATCGAAATCCTGACAAGTCATGAAATTCATCAGCATTTGACGGTTGATTTCGCTTTGCCGTTTGTATGATAATTGGTCGGTATAAAAGGAGGACAATTTTCTTCCAAATCATAATCGACTTGAAAAAGAAAAATCGACCAAAAAATGAAGTTTTCTTCGATCATCGCTCTTTTCGGAACCATGGCTTCTGCTCAATTCTACGACTACGATGAACCAAGTAAGCTTTTTAAGGGGGGTTTCTAGAAATTAAGGGGAGGGGGTCGACGAGAATCGGGACTTTTTGGAACAAAATTCCGAGAAAACCTGATTGGCTGGAAAAATTTGGACTTTTCGGGTGAAAAGAAAAAGGTTGAAATAATCTATCGGCGAAAAGAAGAAAAAATTTTGACCAGAAAAAATGGTCGAAAACTTGTCTCAAAGTGGACCCCAAATTGCCATTTTGGCAATTTTCTGATTTTTTCGGACACTTTTGGTAAAGAAGTGCACGAAATTTCTGCGAAGACTCGCGAAACTCTTTGCCGATAGATTCTTAATACCCTTCTTTTCCCAACCGAGAAGTCGAAATATACTTACACAATCGGGTTTTTTGGGAAATTTGTTCCAAAAATTCTTATTCTCGTCGAACTCCCCCTTAAAGTTCTAAAAATCATAAATCTAGCAATTATTCCCCGTTTTATCTTCTCAACCAACCTTTCCTTCAGTGGAAAAACGCGCTGGTGACGGAAATTTCGCCACCGGAATGGGCGGTCGAGCATTCAACGCTTACACTGGTCGACGACTCCGAGCCATTGACGGAGGTTCTGCTCGATACCGACAAGCAATGTTCGGATAAAACATCATCATTGGGAAAAATCAGCGCTTATATGTTTTTATTTTCTTTATTTCTTACTTCTGCATGACGAGCAAATAAACTAACCCTGCTTCAACGAGTCGTTGTTTATTTCACCAAAAAAATTCACAAAGTATAAAAACAGGAAAGAAAATTTATGCACAGCTGAGATCGCCCTTGACTTTGACATTCCAGGAGACCTTTCCTTTCTTGACTTTGCATTTGCCCTTGTTTTTCGCGCAATTGTGGGCGATTTTGCCGCTTGAGTCGAGTTTTGAAAGATTCCAGTCGGCTTGAAAATAATTTCAGTTTTCAAAACAGTTCAGGGAACATACCTTCGTCGAACACGTAGTCGGGGTATTTACCCTTCAAATATTCCTCTAAAGAGGCAACATCGCATTCAGGAAGAACAACTGGAGGAGCATCGCATCTTTGGGCACCGATGAGGATTGTTTTTCCCTTTTTTCGCTCGCAGACGAATTTTGAGACATCCTCGGGACTGAGAATTAGGATAAGAGTTCTCATTCGTTTTGGCTGGAAAATACCTGTGTTCTGTATTTGAGCAATCCAAGGAGCAAACAACGCTAGTTCCATCATTCGTGCAATCCCATTCTCCATCAGTAGGATGATCCGCTAGAAGATCGCTCAAGACGCATTTTTCGCACGATGCTTTTTTTATCACGCCTTTGCTCACTCCACTCCAGCCACTTTCCATGCAAGTAGTGACAATGTCCGTCTAGAAAAGAAAATGATGAAAAAAGCAAACTTGCTTTGGGTTTTACTCTGATTCCGCCAGGACAGGTATGGTGGCATGTTTCACGGCCATTTTCTTCTCCGCAGATCCATTCTCCACCAACTGTCGGGTGAGGGACTGGACCACAAGGGTTTTTAGGTTCTTCAGGTCCATCTGGTCCCGATGGGCCGTCCGGGCCCGTTGGTACTTCTGGCTCTCCCGGAGGAGCGGGGAATGAGTCATCGTCGCAACTAGAGAAAACGATTAGGGTTGTTGATAGAAGTCGTCGAAATCCGCATCATCAGCATTTCCATATGTATCCCAAAACACAATTATCTCCCCTCGCCGACGGCGCCCTTATCCACTTACTTGATCTTTAGTCCTTCTTCGTCTGTCCACAAGTCCTCGGGATTCCAATTGTTCCTGCTCCAGGAATCATCACTGAGTCGAATTTTTCTATCGCAGTTCAATTTGTACCCAGTCGCTTTTGTCGGGCACCAAATCGTGCATTCGACTTCTGTGTTGTCAGAAAGATTGCAGACAAACTTGAGATCAGTTTTTTTCTCGATTTCTTTGACTTCGAAATCCCAGTCTCGACGATTGCATCGGCGGCAGTCTCCATATTTCAATTGCCTATTCTAAAAATATTTTTAAACGCTGAAGTTTCTTTAATCGAAGTTACATTTGGAACCCTCCATTCTCCACCATCGCATCTCGTCGTGATTCCTGTATCTTGACTGCCCTCGTCGCAGATGTAGCTGCAAGTGTTGGCCCCCTCGGTGCACTCCCAGCTTCCTCCCTTGATCGGAGTTCCCATAATTCCATTCGATCCCCAGTTAGGAATGTGGCTCTTGACGCAGCCATTGTAGCAGTCGCTCGCTAAGCCCTCGTCGCAAATGTCTTGCCCATTCGCTTCCATCTTGAATTTCCGCTGCTCGTCTTTAATCCAATCAAGGAAGTTGCTCGTTCGAGCAAAGACGCCCGGGAAGCCTGCTCGTCGACAACCGTCTACTCCCCAACTCGTGACACCGCGAATCACGGGCATGTCATTTTCAATGCAGATGAGGGAAGAACCTGAAAAGGGATGGAACGTTTCCGTAGTGTAGTGGTTATCACGTTCGCCTAACACGCGAAAGGTCCCCGGTTCGAGCCCGGGCGGAAACAATTTTTTTCAGCACAGATGTTTTCATCCCTTTCCTGAATCACCAGAGCAAGTGGAATTTGTGCCAGAAATGTCTCCTGCGCAGATTTCGCTCTCTTCTCGGATGCCGTATCCCCAGACATCCTCGAACTTCTCATTGCACTGGTCAACATCGTAGATGTTCGCCTTCATCTCCTTCAATTTGCTTGAAAGTTGTTGGACATTGTAATCGTATTTTCCGAAACCAGCGGTGAAACAGACTGGTGGAGCTTCAGCGGATAGGTCGACATCTGGATCGGGAATTCCGTCGTCTGGTAGACAGGCGGGAGCAACGCCGTTATTCATGCTGAAGCGGAATTTCAGAATACGGTAACCCTCTAATGTAATAAATTTCGAAAACGTCAGCTCGGGCCAGATTTGAAATCGTGAAAATTCAATACGTCTAAGTCAACTGCGCTCTCTACGGCAATTATCTCACCGAAGGGGACAAGATAATTATTAGATAGAGGATTTACATCGCGATACCGGGAGAGTTTTTAGTAAAGAGAGCGGTAGTTTTATAAAGTTTTTTTTTCTTATCGCTTCCTTTTTAAAAATTGATTTGAATCGATTGGAGTCGAAAAGTTCAATTCGGCCTTAATCAGGGGGCTTTTTACCTGATTGGTTTTCTCGTGAAAATCAAGCAAACATCGTTCTCCGCCGATTCCGAATCCTCCCTGTAGTCCGGATGTCTGACAAATCTCTGCGCTCGATAAAGTTTTCTGTGCGCATTTCCCGGATTATCTCCTGGCAAATCGTTCAAATTAACCATTCCCACTTCAACATCGTATCTGTCGACCAAATCTCCAGTACTGTACTGCCCCTCGAATTTGTAACAGCAGTGCCCAGCAGTGAGAACTGTCCGGGAATCAAGAACCGTTGCACCGCAGAAAAGTTGGGGCAGGAATGCGTGCCAACGCCACGTTAGAGCACCAGCGAACTGACCCCCGATTATACGGTTTTCCTAAACAGCAGAATGGTAAGAGCTTGTTTTGGAGTCCAAGAAGCAAGGATGAATGTAAAAAATGACGGGGAAGCAAAAATCTAAGTGGAAACTTGAGCAGTTAATTGATTTTTTATCATTGCATTCTGACAGTAAACGGTTTCTAGTATTTATCGAGGGTTATCATAGTGACACCCATATTTTGAGTTAAAATTTTTTGCAAAGAAATTGATTTTAATGAATATTTTTAGTGAATTTTCGATAAAAAATGCGATTTTTTAGTGCAACTCAGAGATAAAAAATTGAATAAGGGTGTCACAGGGGTTTCAGGAGAAAAAAAAAGATTTTAAGAGTACCTCTGGAATACATTGTAAATCACCGCTAATGAGCGCTCTAAATTGCTCTCTCTTTTCTTCCTGTCTAAATTGCGCCAAATCTCTTGGATAAGACTCGCTTCGTGGATCTGGTTCTCTTGAGCTTTTTCTTGCTGCGACTGTTAGAATTGGTAGAAGCTTCATTTTCTGCTTCCCTTCTTTTTTGATGGGAAGATAATTTATTCAGTAATTCACCGCAGCTCTATGAGCTAAAAAGGTCGCTGGAACGTTAACCTTATCGAGTAGCGATAGCGCGCTCTAGAAAACTGCCGCGGGCAATTCCAGTGTTCTGACTTTTCTGAATAAATACTTGCGAAAACTGTGTAGTCTACGTCATACTTATTTACGACATTTATTCGGAACAGATGACCGACTATTTGATCGAAGAATAGAGCATTCTATGAAAAGATACGATAAGTTATGTAATATGGAGCAAGCGTAAACGAAACGTGACTTTGTTTTGACCAAAAATATATGCATTTATTTTTGCTTCAAACAGTACTTTACTTCGATATAAAAAGTATTTCATTCCATTCGTATCAGGGTTCGAAATCGGAGCGAAAAATCAGGCGATTTCGAACCCTGATTCGTATGATTCTCGAGGATTTATTTCTTCTTTTTGTGAAATTTCATACAATCAAATATCTACAGGAGCATTTATACTTTCTTTCTGAACCGGTGGCGGGGGCGGTCGAACAGGTTTCTTAATTTCTTTTGGTGGTTCTTGATAAATTGGCTCATCATTTCTTTCAGGCTGGGTTGTCACAGGCTCCTGTTCTTTTGATTTCTTCTTTTTTGTTGATTTTGGAGCTTCGTATGAAGGTGGCGGGCTGTCGAAAGAATCATTGGCATTGGAAACTGTATCTTCTTCCTTGGCGTTCAGCTCAGAAAGTTCATCTGAAAAGCCTCTTTGAAAAAGTTCTCTGATAAATTCTTACCTGGCGACATTTCCCGCTCATTATTTTTCGGCATTTCTAGCTCCTGAATCTCATAATTCAGATCCGGCTCGACCATTTTTATATCCACTGGTGCGCCAAAAAATGCTTCAACTGCAAGATAGCAAGCCATGAAAAAGTGGAGCAAAATTCCGAGAAAATTTCCGAAAATCAAAGGGTAGTCGATTGCTCGCCAGCAGTTGAAATCGAAGAGTTTTGCCTTATTTAAAAATTCTGATCGCATTTTAGTTAATTTTCTCACCTGAATAACTTGAGCTATGTTTTTACTCGTGTCAAGCTCGTAATGCAAGCAGCCAGTCCGATACTTCCGGAAGGTAAAAATCTGATAGCTCGATGCAATAACACGGAAAAACATCGCCAAAAGCGGCACAAGCCCGAGGCAAAACAAAAAGACCAAAAAGCACCACTGCATGCCGGATATTTCTTTGTCAGGGTTGTTCTTTTTCGCTGTATTGAGTTGATGGAAAAGATGGCTGAGGATGAAAATGTTGCCAACAGCGAGCGTGAAGGAAATAAAGGCGGACATGATGACGACCCAAAATTTTTGCTGCTCGGCGTAGTCGTATTTGACGCCGGCGTATTTGTCGAAGAAATAGTACTGGAGCATCAATTCGACTCCATCTTCGAGGAGATAGCTGAAGATCGAAATTAACTTTTCAAAAAAAGGAAATTTTATCGGTGAAAATTACCTGATATTCAGTAAGACAACTTCTCCAATCAAATTCTTCTTCAAATTCGGCGTAAAAGACATTTGATAAACAATCATACAAGTCAGCGGAACAGTAAAAAAACTGAAGATATCCCAAATTGCAACGACGATAAGGGCTCCATTGTTGATCTGTATGTGTTTGTCCATGATATTTCGGGATGTGTAGAGCGAGATTTGGTTGAGATACTCGATGTCGAAGTAGAAATCAAGGAGGAGAGCCAAAATTGGAGCATACTGAAAAAATGACGTGAAATGGAGAATTTTCCAGAAAAAAACACCGCAAACTCAAGAAGAATACTCTTCTACCTGAAAAGCAAGGGAAAAAGCAATTCTCTTCTTTTCCGAAAGAGTAAATTTCGGCCAGCTGGGCGGCCAATAAAACGCTTTGTGCCCAAAAATCACGTCTCCCTCTTCGATTTCCCCTTTGACAACGTCATTCCAGTAGTTATAAGTCTTGTTTTCCTCCGCAGTTCTCTTCCCGTCTGGCAGACAGAAAACTTTCTTGAAACATTTGTAGCCGCGTTTGCCCGATTCTTCCGCTTTGTCGAGTGGTTTTGCGCAGCAGCAGCAGAATTTGTCCTTGGGAACAGAAATCGCCAGGCAGCAGCAATTCTGGATCTTTTTGCCGGGACCAGGTTTTAGGTTTGATTCCCGATCATCGGCGAATTTGAAGATGCTTTCGCGACATTTGGTGTTGTTCCACATAAACGTCATCCAGTAGAAGGCGATAAAGATGTCTATCGAAAACAGAACCCAAAGAAACGTCACAAACCCATCCAGCCAGTCTGGAATATCATAAGTCTCACACGCAAAGCAATATTTTGCGCTCGTCACAGCGGGATACGTTCCATTTTGGTCGATACAGTTCGAAGTTGTGCCATTATTCTCCCAGCAAATCTCTAACCCAGGTTTCTCAAGAACCGGTATATTGAGCACCATCTTTTCTGTCTCTCTCTCTTCAGAATTGTGATTTAAAAAAGGAGATGCATTACATTAGTTGACTTTTTGCGAATAAGCGGGACTGACTAACGAGCTACGATTATTTGACCAGTGACGCGGGGTGGTAAATTTGGAGAATCAACAGGTCGAATTTTTCGAAAAATTTTGTAGGAAATTTAATAATCATCAATACTCGCGAATAAATTTATTGTCGTAAAGTGGCACTTCTAGGATTCCGGAAAAGATGATGTTTGTTCCTTTTGTCGGGAGTTTTCTTTGGCCCATTTCGGGGGTAAGCTTCGACAAGAGTTTTTCTTCTTTCATCGCAATAATTGAGCCAGCGTTCAGGGCCACGGATACGCTTCCATGACCAACAAATCTAAACAAAACGATGCTAGAAAGATGCTGAGTATTCATTTTCACCTTAGTTCTTCAGAAGGCACCCCAGATCTCCTCGTAAACTGGCTGTTGTTATTCGCATTGACTTCGATTCTCACATTCACTCTGCTCCAATTCACCGATCCTTCTTGCCGCTGAATCAGGTCAAAATAAAGCGTTCCTCCAAGTCGCTTCAGCAATCGTTTCGTCTTGTCATTTGGTTGGAAAAACACATTGACTCTGACAGTAAAACGGTAGATTCCAGTATCGGTGATGTGAATTTCGTTGGATTTTTCACCGACGCCGAAGTTTTTGCCGATGTCGTATTCTTCTGAAGTGTCGAGGTTCAGATGCGTTGGGTAGAAGAAAAGTTGCTGTCGTTGCATCATCTCTAGAAAAAAAAAATCGACAAGAGTTTTTGAAAGAATGTACTTTCAAGGCATCGGTCATCCGTTCCATCGCAATCGATAACTCTCTGGAAGGCAAAACGCTTCTGATTTTTTATCGTAGAAATTGACTGGTTATTGATGGAAATTGTTCTTTCTAGCTGAATGAATTTTGTATCCAAGTCGCGGAAGTTCTTCGCATTCGCCATTTTGTAATTGTCGTGTTGAGACTTGATCTTTGGAATTTCCTCGTAAAACGATGTCAGCTGCTTCAAAGCACTAAAAATTTCTAGAAGGGATTTTCGGAAGGGAAAGAGAACCTTGCGACATCTCCTTTGCATTGCTCAAGATTTTCTTTGGACAAAATTCTGACTTGCTCGATTTTTGTTCTGGTCGAGTTGAAAATTTCAGTCTTTACGAAGCTCAATTCTTTGTCGAAATCGGACTGAAGCTTGCGGAATTTGGTCTCTTTGAAGGTTCAAAACAAAATGACCAGACAGCCATCATTCATCTTTTTGAACCTTTTCTAGCAGCGCATATTTCTTCTGAAAAGCTTCTCTTTCCACGACAAATGCATTCTTCAGCGCTTCGATTTCATTTCTTGCTTGTCTCTCATTATGCTCAATCTTCTTCGCCGCCAGCGCTTGTGATCGAACAGCAATGTTTGTGTTTTCATGAAATTCGCCTCGTAGTTTTTCGATTTCTCGTTTGACTACTTCCTCTACAGCTGCATAGCTTGTGCTTTCGGATGTCACGCGGAAGATTGCCTGAGGATCGTCGAGATTGTAGCCGTAGGCGAGTAAGTATTCGATGTAAAGGTACTGCCCAGAGGACTTTTACAGGGATAGAGACAATATTTTTTTGAAAGTTTTTTAGAGACTTTCATGTTTTATCTATCCCCTTATTTTACACTTAGTGGTTTGGAGCGTGGGAAAATGCCCGACTGAGGGAGGTACCTGTCGTCGAATTTGAATGGCGTGTCGTAGACGTACAATGAAGATCGATCGGTTGATTGGTATTCTAAGCTAAGCTTGGAATGTTTAGACGATGCTTCGAGGATTAGAGTACACGCTTCTCCTGATGCTCGATCTCGGATGAAATCAAAGAGGTTTACGGTTCTTTTTCAGGGGAAAATAATCATTTTAAATAATCTCGAGTTCGCAACAGATGGCGCTTTTTACTCAATAGCGCCTCTTAGCAATTGATTTATCTCTTATCTGATTGGTTCTTTTCCCTTTCCCATCAACATGAATCACTCCTCCACACTGATTCGGTCTGAATGGTTGTGGCAAGGGTCTGACAGTTGTATAACTGACCCTCGGCTGCGCGAAATCCCTTTGATAAATTTTTGGCTCTTGAGTTGTCGTGGTGGTCCTCGTTGTTGACGTTTTTGTTGTCGGCGGTTTCCAGATATTTCTTGTCGTCGATTTGGTCGTTGTCGGTTTTGGAGTTGGATAGACTTCTTGTCTGTTTAGTTTCGGTGCGCCTTGACGATTTGCCCTGCTGGTTGTGAACTCTGATTTGAAATTGAACACGTGGCCGTTTCTATTTGCTTCGACGGAAAGAGATGTTCTGCCATCGGCTTGATCCAGGATAACGAGGGGCTGAAGATCTTTGAGCTTGTATTCAATTGCTTGTTTGAGTTCTTCGGCTGAGATTTGCCCGCCGCTGAACATGTCCCAAACTTTTTTGAGGAATTCTTGATGGTCTGTTATGTCGCCCAACTCAGGAAATGAGGGATCAAAATACGGTGTTCTGCTGTCAGGTTCTCTGTGAAGTTCAGTTGTGGTAGATGTGCTTGTTGTTGAACTTGTCGTTGTTGTTGTCGTCGATGTTGTCGATGATGTTGTTGATGTGGTCGTAGAAGTTGTCGGAGCAGTCGTTGTTGTCGTTTCATATTCCGTCGTTTCAGGAAAATATTGAAAGGAAACATCAGGAGCCTTTTGAGATTTTAGGAAGTGAAAATAAAGAAAAAAGCGAAGCAAAAAAGGATTACCGTAGTACGGACCTCCAAGGCGACGGGCTCAGTCTCCGAGGGAAACGGTCCTGCGACGGAATAATTTTGGCCTAATACACAAGTTCAAAAATAATCATGAAAGACGGAATTATTCAGAGTTCTGATGGTCAAGTCATGATAATTTTTGAACCTTGTCATCAGGCTCTTTTTGCCCAAAGCCAGAGCCATTCACCTCGATATCTAAATTTTCAAGCGCATATTCATCCGGGACCAGATTCTCTTCGTGTGAGTTTTCCTCGTAAAGGGCATCGTAATTTTGATAGTCTTTCTTGTGAATAAAAAAGAAGCTAATGAACAAGGAAATTAATCAATTTTTGATTATCCATTCATTCAGGAGGGTAGGTAGAAGCCGAGAATTCTGAACTTTCGGAGTTGTAGCCTTGGTCATAATACGCATTTTTCTCGTCATCGTACTAGAATTTCATTCAGGAGATCAAAAAATTTTATTGTGAATCTCGATAAAAAAATTACCGTTGCATAATAAGCAAAAATCGTCGGCAAAATACACAATCTTCTCATTTTCAACGTCTCTTTTTTGCAAACTTCAATCAAAAAATTTTTGAGTCAAAAACAAAAATTCTCAATTCTCTTGAAACCATTGGCGAGGTACTTCCTCAACCCCGAAAAGACAACAAACAATAACAAGACTCATCAAAGGTCAAATGTCAATTTGGCTAAATGAAGAAAAATGAAGGCGTTTTTTGGGCTTTTGTGAAGATTTTATTGCAAGAAAAATAGGAACAGGAATGTTATAGGTAAAATTGCTAGAATCAAAAGGCTTAATGAAGTTTTTTCTAAATTTAAGGGTATCTCAAGCGTTAATTTTTAAAAAATAAAATTATCGCTTGGGATATCCTTAATACAGTGAATAAGTGGAATGACATGAAAATTGCACAGCTCATAATTTTTTTTCAGAATCTCAAGTTTTGTGAGGTCTGAAATTGCCAGAATCCGGCTAGTACGCTATTTTGGCTAAGATTTTCCAAATCCAGGAAACCGGCTTGGAGATTTTGAAGAAGGTAGACATGGGATGCTGCTCAGGAACGTTTTTTCTTCGTGAAATCGCGGGGAAAATACAGTAAAACGGATTTGCTGCTCATCGTTACTGTACTCTCTTGGCCATTTCGAGTCGAAAATAATTTTTGAAGAAACTTTTTTTTGATTTTTTTGAAGGTTATTTTTTTGACAAAAACTTGAAAAAATCGCAAAAAGTGAATTTTATGCTGCTTTTTCGAGTTTGAGTGATGTGAGCATGGAAACTGGTGAATTTTATAGTGGAAGAGGGTGAATCAGAATTGAATGTTTGGTGAGTAGGACACGTTGTGCTCCGGGCGATTCAAGCGTCAATAGGAAGAGAGGTGAGTAAAGACGAATTTCAATAAGAAATTTTCGGGCAAAAAAATGACCCCCCTTTTTATGTGCTCATCTGAAAGAGCGTAAAAAGTTGTGCTAGAAAAAAATATTTTTTTTGCCTAGGGGCATAAACTATGACTCATAGGCCCGATTGAAAAAATTACAAACTCCCCCCCTAAATAGCCCCAGGGAACTTATTTTTTCGGGAGATTTTGACGTCATTGGAATCCTCAGGACTCAAGCTTTTGGCGGACCCCTTAACCGCGGCCAACCACCCGGTTAACCGCGTGGTAAACCGCGGTTCATTTCTCAAGGTACAGTATATATGCAAATATACATACCAATCGACTTATTTTTCGATGCTGCATTCATTTTTGACCAAAGAAAAACCAACCGGGTGGTTAACCGCCCGGTTGACCATTGCTGATGAAAATTTTTCAAAAAAAAATTTTTTTCAAGAATTTTTTTCATTTTTTTTTTTAAATTGAAAAACTTTCAATGATGAAAAATTTTCAAGAAATAATTTATGAAGTGATGGAAATTTGGCACTTTTCTGCGCTAAATGCCCGCATCATTATGCTCAGCAGCTTATTGCCAACTCGACTCATCTATGGTGTCACGAATGAAGAGATAAGGCTTATTGTGAACTGGGCAAATAATCTTGGCTCAGAATTCCAACGTGACAAGCCTCTTCGCATGACGAACAAGCACGTAAAAATGGCCTTGGAGAGACGTGAGCAAGTTCTCGGTGGCGAAAAATATGATGACGATCGAAAAGCAACAGTTAGACGATTACGCGGAATCACTGATGAAGACAAGGAATCAATTTTGGATTATATTTACGACCACAGCGATGAATCACCCGAAACAAAGGCATTTGAATGCAAAACGTCACTCATCATCGAAAGATCCATTGATTTGTATGAAAATCTAAAGAAAGAAAAATTCCAGATGAAGTTCGGACTTCTCTTCACGACTAATGAGAAAGTCGAGAAAGTTCAATGCACAAGAAGACTCGCGCATTCGAAATACAATGGACTGTGGGAAGAATTCAACGCTGTTCGTCTCTCAAAGGGGCAGGAAACGATCTCTTTGCATCATTTTCGGGCGCTCATACCGCCGATGATGATCGAGCCACGTCATCGGGATACCTATCAGTGTATTTGCGCTCCGTGCAGTAATCTTGGGAACCTCCTATCGAAATGTAAGCTTTTAAATAATATTTCAAATCTAACAGATTTTAAGTCTCCGACCTTTTGATCTTACAAAAGATCGAAAAACGAAAGCTGACTCGTGAAGAAATCATTGAGATGATCTACGACTTGAAAGGCTGCAAGAACTCAATATATCAGGACCCTTACATTGTCCCTCTTGCATGTGCGGAAAGCAAATGCGACTGCAATGATGGCGAGGGAAAAGTTTTACCTCTCCTGCGGGAGCGCTTCGAAGAGATCGACGTTCTTTTCCGCGATGAGACGCCGCAACTTGAGCGATACAACATTATGCTCATGAGAGATGTTTATAAACGCCTTCAACCAGGCTCCGAACCGGTTCTAATCATGAAAGATGTTCATACCCGCTTAAAGCTCAGTGATAAGGTAAACTCAACTATAATTATTATATTCTGAAAGTATTCAGCAACTTGTCGAAGATCTCAGCTCAGCATTTGATGAAAACTCCTATCATTACTCTGAGAACAGGCTTGCAAATCTTCTTTATGGACAGGTACGACGCGGTGAGAAAGAATTCGACAATACGATTTTCTTCGAAATTGATTACAGTGGAGAGTACACCTGTCAAGGAGGAGTAAAGACGACCCAAAACGTAAGTAAAAAGCTCGGAAAAATCTTGTGCTAATATTTTTTCAGGCAGAAATGGGAACCAAAATCGAGCTTGTTGTTCATATCGTTGTTGCTTGGGGATTCAAGATGACAGAGTCGGGTGAAAGAGAGCGAGTAAGACTAGACTCAGGACTTCTCATGGAGAAAAACAAGGAAAGAAAATTCGTCAAATCGCCCGCTGTTATCAAAACCCATCTGCTGAAGGTTTTGAATCACATTAAAACAACTCAGCTGATGACCATCAACGAAGATACAGTTGGCGTGCTTCTCAGCGACAACGCTGTTGAGTACAAGTCCAGATTCAGCCTAGCAGACATCGCTGATACCGACAACTGGGGCATACAAATGATGAAAGCGTTCAAAATCACCCGACATGGGAAGTCGTTTGTGGACGGTGCGGGATCGACTCTCAAACAGAAAATGCGAAAGATTGAAACAGAAGGGACTTACATTCCTTCGATTGGTTTGGAAAAGCTGATTGAAATGCTGAATGAGTCGCCATCAACTACCGAAAAAGGGACGTCTTTCCACTTTTATATCCCTGGAACGACCCCGAAGTCCGGAATAATGTGGAATCATGAAACAGCATTTACAAAACTGATGTCGATGCCTTCAAAGAAGAAAGACGGCTCAGCCATACGACGCGGAAATCAACAAATTCGAATGGTCAAATACGTCCGAATCCCGATTACAAAACGGCATTTTGAGGACGAAGAAATCAAGTTTCTTGTTGCAACAAATATCTGTCCTAATCTGTGCCAAGTGTGTTTCTCTGCCACTCCCGAATTCTGTGCAAGCGTTCAAAATTACGCTCTCTCTGTGAAACGAAGTCAGTTTTTCTTCAATTGAAAGAATAAAGTCACAAAGATCAAATATGAAGCTAAAGTTTTTTCAGTTTTGAAAATTTTTCAGTTTTGAAAGTTTTTCAGTTTTGAAAGTTTTTCAGTTTTGAAAGTTTTTCAGTTTTGAAAGTTTTTCAGTTTTGAAAGTTTTTAAGTCTTGAAAATTTTTCAGTTTTGAAAGTTTTTCAGTTATGAAAAATTTTCATTCTTGAAATTATTTCAATTTTGAATTTTTTTCAGTTTTGAAATTTTTTCACTTCATAAATTATTTTTCATCATTGAAAGTTTTTCAATTTAAAAAAAAAAAATGAAAAAAATTCTTGAAAAAAATTTTTTTTTGAAAAATTTTCATCAGCAATGGTCAACCGGGCGGTTAACCACCCGGTTGGTTTTTCTTTGGTCAAAAATGAATGCAGCATCGAAAAATAAGTCGATTGGTATGTATATTTGCATATATACTGTACCTTGAGAAATGAACCGCGGTTTACCACGCGGTTAACCGGGTGGTTGGCCGCGGTTAAGGGGTCCGCCAAAAGCTTGAGTCCTGAGGATTCCAATGACGTCAAAATCTCCCGAAAAAATAAGTTCCCTGGGGCTATTTAGGGGGGGAGTTTGTAATTTTTTCAATCGGGCCTATGAGTCATAGTTTATGCCCCTAGGCAAAAAAAATATTTTTTTCTAGCACAACTTTTTACGCTCTTTCAGATGAGCACATAAAAAGGGGGGTCATTTTTTTGCCCGAAAATTTCTTATTGAAATTCGTCAAAAAGGATTATTAGATCTGGTGATTGAGACGCTTGAGTAAGATCATGAATCATCAATTGCAATTTAATTTTCCGGGAAGATTTTAAAATGACGAAATATTGAGAAAAGCTCATCTTTTTTTTTGAGTTGTTTGAATTTATTGATGAATTTTTGAATTCAGAAGATGTCAGGAATTCTGTCTGCAGCTCTTGGATTCGGATTGCTCATCTGCCGAACTGGCGGTGGTCGAGAGGGGTATCCTTCGCTCGGAACTTGTCCCGCCCTCATTTGATCCATCTTCATTCGGTCCAATCGGGCTTCTATCTCCTTGACCTTTGCTTCCATATTTTCACCAGAAAGCGAGAGCTGGGAGCCTAAATACGGCATTGAGGAGCTTTTTTGTTGCCCTCTCCTGGGAGCAACTTCGATGATTTTTCCTCGATCGTTTGCTCTAGAAAATTAATCTTGAGGTCTTGAGTCTCAACCAGATTCTCAAGCTCTTCAACTCGTCTTTTCAGGTCGCCATTTGCCATTTTTGATTCTGATGATTCAGCCTGCAAGAATCGAATTCGTTCGTTCATCTCTCTCATTTCCTGCTTTATTTTTTCGAATTCTGAATGATCGATCGAAAATTTGTTCAGAAAAATTTACCATTCAGGAATCGATCATCAGGCTCATCTGTCAGAAAGCTCTCACTTGCGGGATAATCAGCCATCTTGTTGAAACCGAAAATGGAGTAAGTCTTCTCTTTGGAAAAATTTTTCTTTGTTGGAAATCAAAATGCAAATAGTGAACAAAAGAATAAGAGTCCAAAGAGACCTTCTTTTACTGTAAGATGTTTTTATTAAAAATTCGATATTGTCAATTTTATATTGAGTCAAAGAGAGTAATTTTCATCTGAAAATTGATAACTTACATTTATCAGTAATAAAAAGCGGCAGTTTATAATAGATTAGGCACATCGTAATTGACTCCCTTAAAACTCTTGAAGTTTTCTTTCCAGGCATTTTTCTTCTCATCTCGCAATTTTCCTATTCTTGCTTCGGTGTTTTTCAGTCTTCGAAGATTTTTAGGAATGTTTTCATATATTGAAAATTTCATACCTTTGCTCGTCACATTTGAACTTTTTGGACACGATGTTAGCGAAAGCAGATCGCATAATTTCACTGTCGTAAACTTTGTGGGCGACGGTCAGGCCTCGGATTGAGCAAGTGTCGTCGATTGGGATGTTGTTCATGACGCCGAGGCAGATTGCTTCCGAACGAGCCATGTTTTCACTGAAAAGAAGGGCCGGAATGAATAATCAAAGGATTGGAGAACAAACCTTTTTCCCATTTTTTCAATCAGCATCCCAATCCAGCAATCATCCAGCGGCACGACCTTCACCTCCCCGGCCATTTTCGCCAAGTTCCTCGAAAACTCGCCAGTCGTCAAATATCCAGCTCCAGAAAAGTACGGTGGCCATTTGGGCTCCCGGTAGATTTGATTCGGGATGAAATATTTTATTCTCGGATTTCGGGCGACAAGTTCGGGTCCTTTTTGCAACCAATGGCTTCGATGGAAGAGGAGGATTTGATTTTGGAGATTTCGTTGATGAGATTTTGGGGGACCAATAAGATGTCGTCATCGCCTTCAAATTTTCGATAAAAATTAATGATTCCTTTGAATTTTGTACCTTTGAAGACGAAATCCGCTGTAGAGCATTTTTCTTCAATAAACCTCAAAAACGCCATGTCCTTGTAGGGCAAATTATAATGACTCTCTTCAAAGTCCAGCACCAGCAAATCTTCATTTTTCCTCATTTCTTCCGTCAGATTCGCATTTTCCTTCTGCCCGATGATGAAGACGACTTTGATTTTGAACCCGAGTTTGGTCCAAAGATCTGGGTTGAGCCAAGTGTCGCGAATGGAGTTTCGGAAGTTGGATGACTCGGGCATTGACTTGATTCCGAAAAGAATGGATTCGAAGTCGGATTCGTTGGAGTTGGTAAAATCGCAGGTTGATGGAGAATGAAGGGTGGAGAAATTGAGCTTCGGGTTAAATTCGAGCAACTTGTTGATGTGCGAAAATTGACCTGAAAAAATTCTTTGAGTCGAAAATCTTCCTCACGATTTTTATTGCCAAAAGAAGCTCACCATTATAAATGCACCTTCCATCCGGCCGCCGAAATCGCTGTTCTCTCAAATCTTTGTACGACTTCTCCAAATAGCCGATGTTGATCATGTGCTCTCCCTCCAGCTCATCGTCGCATTTTTCTAGCTTCAGCATCCATGAATGTTCCCCGCTCGTGCTGGAATACGCTTTTGGACCGGCGCGCAGCTGAAAGGCTCCATTTTCTCGTGTTATTCCAATGCAATCGTCAGCTTTTTTGCATCGCTCTTTTGCTTCTTCGAGACTTTCGATCTTTTCGCAGCGGTTTTTCGTACAACCCTAGACAAAAAAAAATCTCGACAAAATCGAATATTTCATTTCTTACGGAAATATAAGTATCAGCGTAAAAATTCCAATCTTGATCGTTGCTCATGTCGAGATTCAGGAGAAAACGGTCTATTCGACTCGAAAGCTGGTTCAAAGAAGATCGCAAATTATCGACCTCGTTGAGTAAATACTCTTTCTCGGCGTACATGTTCTTCAAGGAGGCTAAAGATGCTTAGGGTAAGGGTAAGGTTTTAATGGGTATTTTTTACCTTGAGTTGTTGAGTCATAATAAACTTCTCTGAAAAAAGCTGAGTATCGAATTTCAGGAGACATCGATTTCGCAAAAATAAAGACTAGCTAAAAAGATTTGGTAAAATCTGACAGGTTCCTTTTATATTTTACTGAAAATGTTGAAAATTTTGTGAAAAAAAAAATTGTTTGAAAAAAATTATTTGAAAAAAAAAAATTTGAAAAAATTTTTTGAAAATAACTTACAAATGGCAGACAGCAAATAATTCCCAGCAGGCAAATCTTCATCCTCTTTTCTTTAATATTTCGCCACTTCAAATTCAAATTCGCGGAGAAAACTCTCTTCATCATTTTTGTTCTCTGTTTTGTTTCCTTTCTCGGATTGGGGGAAATGAGGAAACGGCGATTTTGAATCTGGGAGAGATGTTTTTCACAATTTCCGACTCGTCGTTTTTTTTTGCCTTCGCGCTGGGAGAAAAAACAAAGACGATTTGAAGTGCTATCAAATCGCCAGATGTGATAAAAAATCGGGGTATTTCCTTCGTAGGAAAAATTATTTATAGATTCTTCGAAGCTCGAAGTTAAGAAAAATGACAGGCAGACAATGAATGGTTAATTGCGTTTGAATAGTCGAATGACGAGAAGAAAAAGAGTTCCGATCGAAACAATGGGCAAAGTTACGTTTTTGCGGAATTGGTGTTTTACGGAATTTTGCAGATTCTTTCGGGTATCCTCCGAATCCTTGGGAAAAATCTGATATCTATGTTCTATTGAAATGATTTTCAAGCCTTTAATTCTTCATTTATGTCGTCTGAAGGTTATTTTGGAGTTTTTGTCGGTAGGAAAAATATATTTTTGCGTTCATTAAATTTTCTCCCTCTTAGGGTTAGTGTTAAGTCCAATATGCAGCATAATGAAATGTGCTTTAGTCAGTCAGAAATGCCAACCGCGGTAATTTCTGTGTAATGACCTTGGCTGTAGAATAACCTGTCGAAAAAATGACGGACTAAAAAGATTCCGCCATCCTTTATATACCGATAAAATCAAGAAATGAGTTAGAAATTCAGAGAGCACAAAAACTAAAGGAAATAAAAATAAAATTTCAGACTAAGAGCATATGAGAGCAATGAGTCTAATTTCAGATTCTTAAAGGTGATCCCTTGAAAGCTTTTTCCGGCGGGCTCCGAATTTGATTTATTTTATGGAGGCGCCATCAGATTACTAATCTACACACTAAGTACTTACACTAAGTGTGTTTTATTGATTTTAATAAGAGGCCGACTAATTTTATTTTTTTCCTGTCAGATTCTTAAAATTTAAGACTTAAATAATGATAATTTATCCTGGATTAAAATGTTGAAAATCAGGGCTGGGAGACGAATTTCAATAAGGATTTCTGAGTGAAATCCTTACCCCCCTTTTTTATTGGCTCATCTGAAAGAGCGTAAAAAATTACCCTAGTTGAGTCGGAAAGATTGGCGAATTTTCGAACTTATGACGTCATAGCACGTGACGGAAGTTACGAAAGTACCAAACTTTGGACGCTTACCATTTTCATGTCGCTTGAGCTATCACGACATGCAATACATGAAAATGATCGTCTGATCGAGATCTTGGTGTGCATTTAGGTTTCATCCCTCGAAAAAAATCTCATCCCTTTTATGAAAATCAGGTACTAGTGATAAAGGGTTGAAAGAAATTTTTGAAGGGATGAAACCTAGATGCACGCATAGCTCTCGTCGCGACGATCATTTTCCACTATCACACGCCCTGATAGCTAGAGTAGATCGAAAATGCGGAGCGTCCAAAGTTTTGGTACCTTTGGAACTTTGGTCACGTGCCATGACGTCATTTCGAGGGAAATTTCATCCTTTTTTGGGCGAATCTAGGATAACTTTTTACGAAATAATTGCACTATTTTTGGGAGGTTTCTGGAACCGAAAAAAAAATCCCGACAAAAATTTTCAATTTTTTCATGTAAATTTCAATCGCCCACCATTATCTGCTGCGGTAACGAAAATTTCTCAAAACTGCCTAGAAATGTCCATTGTGGCCTGGAAAAGCCATTTCTGCATAGTTTTAAGAAAATATTCTTCTCAAAAAATTTATATATTTTTTCTATTTATGTATTTTTTCTGAAGTGTCTTTTTTTTGAAAATTTTTGTCGGAATTTTTTTGTCGATTCCAGACACCACCCCCTATTTTTGACCAATGACTTTTTTTTGGATTGGTCAACGTTAAACCTGGTAAAAATCGAGTAAAACATTTAAAATGATCGCGTTGGGGAATTATTTACAAAGTTCCTTTTTTAGTATCACCTGTAAGGGTTAGGGTTCGGAAATCGAGGTGAAGCCCTCCGAATCCCTGGATTTCAGGCTAAAATCCAGGAATTCGGAGGATGTCCAGGGATTGGGAGGTTCACCTTCGATTTTAATTATTTTTTTGGGTTTATCTTTCATTTTAACAAAAAAAAAAACAAAATATAAAATTTTCAATCAAAGATTAAATTTGTTTGTTCGAAGTCCCGACTTTGCATGGAGCAAATGTTTGATCTCTGCAGTAAACACAAGGACCTCCTCCAGTCTTTTCAAGCTTTTTATTCCAAATTTACTTCTTCAAAATGAAGCTTGCAGCGTTTCTTGCTGCGTCAGTTTCGGCCGATGTGCTCGAAACTGAAGAGACTTTCAACAAAGAATTCGTCGATGAATTGACGGATGGAGATATTCGCGGAAATTTTGGGCCATTTTTTCAGAAGAATTCTAGATCCGCTATCAGGTAGGGGAATTAGAAGGTCGTTTTCACTGGAAAATTCTAGGTCTGATTTTGTCCGATGGCCATCATCAACCAACTACGTCCGGATCCCGTTCGAAATGGCCAGCCACATGCCAATCGTTGCCCGTGGAATCGCCCAAGATGCACAGCGAAATTACGCCCTCCGGACTTGCATCGATCTCCAGCCCTGGCAAGGCGAAGAGGACTACGTCTACATAACACAAAGCGGCGGTTGCTGGAGCTACATCGGCTGGGCTTACAATGGAGGACAACAATTGTCGATCGGCGAGCGATGTACAACTCAATCTGGCACATTCCAGCACGAGTTTATGCACGCTCTCGGCATTTTCCACGAACAATCGAGGCCCGACCGCGACACATACGTCGAAATCAACGAAGAGAACATCCAAGACGGCACTTTGAACAATTTCAACAAGTACGACTTCAACTACGTCGACATCAAGGATGTCCCTTACGATTACGAAAGCGTGATGCACTACGGCGCCCGTGGATTTGCGATCAACAGCACTATCGATACAATCATCACGAAAATTCCTTATTTCTCGAAAGTGATTGGCCAGCGCAAGGATTTTTCCCGAGGTGATGTTCAAAAAATCAACAATATGTACGAATGCTCCATTCCTCTCCGAAACTCATATTCTGTCGACTTCACCGAAATGAACTGGGGAGGTTTTGTCAACGAGCCCGTCGACAATCCCGACTTTGAGGAGAAAGAAAACCGAATTGATTGGCGCCAATATGACGTGAGCGAGAAAGCTCTAGTTGGAGACACCAGCTATCACGGGACAAATGGTCAAAACGCGCCGAAAACTCGACAACTCGTTTTCCCGGATTCCGATCAATCCGACGGCCGATTTGACCACGGCCGATACCTGGCTCTGAACGGCTCTTGGTTCGAAGGCGACGATCACACCGGGAAAACAGGCATTCTTCAGTCGAAACAATTCACAACAACGACGAAGCAACAGTGTCTGGAAATCTGGACGAACATCAAGTCCGCTCAGCCGACGGAGCTAAAGGTTGAAATTTGGGAGTCTGATGATCGATTCGGAGAAGTTGTTGGTCGATTTCCTGTTCAACGATTTACCATCACAGCTGAAGAGCAACAACGATGGGAGAGCAATAGATGGACGATCGATGCCCCGGAGCGATTCAAGGTTCTTATTACGAGCACTCTTACCAGCGATGAAGATGTCATCGTCGTCGATGATATTTCCGTGTTGGACAAGGTCTGCGAGAGTCACTCCTGGCCGATCTACGGGTTCCAGGAACTCTACGATAGCAAGGAGAAGGGCGAGTACATCACTTCCGAAATGATGACCGCACCCACAGGCCACAAGTTCAAACTGCGATTCTACCCGAAAGGACATCCTGACAGTGACGGAACTTATGCTTCTTTGTTCTTTCATCTTCATGAGGAATCGAATAATATTCCCGGGCTCAAGTGGCCGATGGTCGATCAGTACTTGAAGTTCATCGTTCAAGATCAAATCTCAGACGTCGTCAATCGAATGGATCAAAATCGAATCCGCTCGACGGAAATTCTCGAGAATGATCCCGAGTCGCCAGGTTTCTTATCTATATATATTCAATGATGAAAGGTTAATATTGAAGTCGTTTCAAAAGAAAATCAATATGCTTTATTTTAGAGGGAATTTGGGGAATGGTCGATGATGCAGATCACGAACGCCTGTCGGAAAAATCTTCAGTTGGATACCAGACGATGATTCCTCTTTTCGACTTGTTTGAAGCTTCTTATTCTTACATCAAACACGACATGGTGATGTTGATGCTTGATATGCGCGATCTGAGGTGAAAAAAAAACTTCCTTGAGTCGAACAATTATAATGTTCAGCACCCTCGATACATCTTCAAAACTCGACCGATGCATGCAACAATGCCCGGACGAATGGTTTGACCAGGGTGTCTCCTGTCTGCCAGACAAGGAAAAAGCTGGAGAGTACTCTTGCCAGTGCAGAAAACCATTCATCGAAACAATTGTCGATTGGAAGATCTCCTGCACCTGCCCAGAAGGTAACGGCTTCTCATTGATTTTTCTGGGAAAAAAACGATAAGGGTGTCACAATTCTAATATAAATTTCAGGATACGAGTACAACCCAAATGCGATCAACGAAGAAGTCGAACGTCTCACTTGCTTTTCTCTTTGCGATTTCCCAGAAACAAATCCATGTAACGAGGATCAAATTTGCGAGCAAACTCCATCTGGGGCAGTCTGCAAGAGCGAGAACGATGCTCTTTTTCCTCGATCCGCGACTGTCGAAGAAATGGATGATTCATGGAACGAAGTTGAAGAAGAAGATTTCATTTTTGGCTACACCCCACTTGAATTCGGTACAACTATCTTCATTGAAATCGTATTATCGTAAAATTAGGTCTTGCTGTTGCCCTTGGAGTTGTCAGTGCGATGCTTGTTATGGTGACTCTCTTTGCTTTTTGGCGACATGAGCGAGAAGATCCTCGATCCTGCGAAACCAATTCGAACCCAGCTTTCAAGTCCCTTTAGATTCTAAAGTTTAGAATGAACTGAATAAAAAGCAAGAAAGAGTTTTTGAACATCTTTTTAGCAGAAAAAGCGGTATAAGAAGGCAGGCGCTCGAGCCAAGACCCTTTGAATTTTTGAAAACGAGTCATTTTGGTGAAAAATTTCCGGCAAATGAAAAATTAATTTTTTTTGACCTCGTTTCGACCTTTTCTTGTCTATATCAGTCGATTCTAGAGACACCAAAAACAACCGAAAATGCTTATTTTTCCGAAAATCAGCAAACAACAATGGCGAAAAAACATAGAAGAGGGCCAGTTTTACACAGAAGCAGAAGCATCACATATTTGCATGACTTTCGGATGCGGCATTTTTATTCTTGTCTGCGCGATGATCGGGTACTTCTACTACAAAGTGGTCGAAACAACTGGTTTTGCTTTGCCAGGTCTTTATCAGGTTTTCTTCATAAAAATATGATTAAGGGGGTAGAACTAGATTTTTGGAAAAACCGTGATTTTCGTCAGACACTTTAAGGGATCACCCCCCGATTTTTCAAACCTTTGGCACCGGTCATTATCGCCTATGATTAGATTCCTCGTGTTCTGAGGATCATTTTGATATATGATAGTACCCCTTTACATGAATGCATCCCCGAAATTTTGGTTCCCAAAGTTCGGGAAAATGCATGTAAATTGTACTTCGCGTGAAAATCGCAATTTTTTTCGATTTTTCATTGTCATCGAAATAACACAAACAAGGGCTCTCTCGAAAGCTTAGAATGTGAAGATTACGAATATAATAACCGCACTAGAATTTTCGGCCAATTGTTGGCGCTAGAGAGCATTCTAACACCCAAATAACGCCAAAAATGGTTTCAAAAAGTTTTACAACTAGAATTTTTTTATTCACTTATCCGATCATGCTGATTCTACCAAAAAATAAAGATTAGCGTCTATACTTTTAGATAAACCAAAAAAATCTTGAATCACAAAGCCCAAAAAAAAGTAGATACGATTTGAAAAAGACCGAAAATGGCCATTTTTCAAAATGTTAATCACTTTGACGGCCTGTAATGCATAAGCGAATGTTATGCTGGCAAGCTGATTCTACCAGAATTTGCTCCTTTCGAAGCTGGCTTTCTAATGCGCCCATAACCAGCTTCCTACGTAAGCTCAAAAAAAAGTAGATAGAGGTCAAAGTTGGCGAAATTGGGGGGGATCCCTTAAATAAGAAAAACCTGTTTTTACTTATGATTACGCAATTTCCTCAAAAATGTTGCTAGATAAATTGTTAAACTATCTTAAAATGCGATTTAAAAAATTTGTCTAGTCACGTGACTCGAGAAATTTGAGGACGCGAATTCGCTAAAATTGCGATTTTCGAAGAGGTGGGTTGACGTTTCGCTCTCTAGCGCCAAATTTTGGCATTTTAAATGTCTTGACGAAAAAAAATTTTAAGAAAAATGTTGTTAGATCTAAGTTTGTACTTTCTTCAACAGAAGAGAGAATTCGAAGATCTAAGCTCTCCTGGCTTTGAGCGCCGGTCTAGAATCGGCTATTTTCGAAAAACCTAGTTCTACCCCCTTAAGACAATATTTTTAGCAAAGCCTGGCATTGAGTGCGATCGGAATGCTTTTGCTTTTTCTTGGAGGAAAATTTAAATGGGATGAGTATCAGAAACAACTGAAAGACTTGAAGATGAAAAACTTGCAAGTTTGAAATTCTTTTCACAGAAAAAAAATTTTTTTTTAATAAAAAATATATAAGCAAATTCTTATTCCTTTGATTATTCTTCCTTTTCTTCTTTGAATTCAAAATGCATTGTGCTCTGGTCGCGGCCAATTATTGAAATTTCTTCACTCGACTAAAATGCATATTTTTCCGAAAATACCGAGGCGACGAAAAAATATGAGAAAAAATGATTCTTACACAGGGCAAGAAGCGTCAAATATCTGCTTGACTTTTGGATGCGGCATTTTTATCCTTGTTTGTGTAATGATCGGCTATTTCTATTTCAAAGCGCTGGAAATGTCCAATATGGTTTTGCCCGGACTTCTCAAGGTATTCGCTTTTTTATCAATTTTCCGTAAGAAATTATTTCAGCAAAGTTTAATTTTGGCTTCTTTTGGATTCTCACTTGTTCTTCTAGGAGCAAAACTAAAATGGAATGAGCATAAGAAAAAGTTGAAAGACTGTAAAATAAAATACTCTCGTGTTTAACCCATTATTTATTCTTTTTATTGGTCAATGAATCGTGCCGCTTAAGGGATCCCCCCCGATTTCGTCAACTTTGACTCCGAACTACTTTTTTTAGGGCTGAGCTTTTAACTAGGATAAAGGCTCATTTTGAAGCCCGTTTTTTAAGGAACAAACTCTAGTACAGAAATTAATTTTCATAAGGGGAAACACCTAGAAAAGACGGGCTGAAAACATTGATACTCGCGAAAAACCCCATTTTTGGCCATTTTCAAAATCGAACTTGTTTTTTCTGCTCTTAGATAGAGCCCTAAATCAATAACAACTGTCTTCCTTGTTCCCTTATCTACAATCTCTAGTACAGGCATGTGATTCCGTCAAGGATTGTAGAATTTTTCTTAACAAGATGTTTTTTAACTGATTTTTGCCATTTTTTCGACTTTCTTTGCTCTCTAGCGCCTTTGAGTGGTTAGATGTTTCATTTAATCTATTTTTTTCTAATTCAGTTTTTTCTAAGCTTTCTAAAGAGCTCTTATTCATCTGATTATGTCGACTTTGAAAAGTCGAAAAAATTGCGAATTTTTACTAAGTAAAATTTTTCGTTAAAATAAGCCATTTTCAAAGCTGTGTCACGGGTTACCACGTGACGGACTCCCTTTGACATAATATATGAAAATGATCGCCAGACAGCGGAGATTCCGAAAATATATCACATAAAAGCCCTCGATGATATTTTTCAAATCGGGAGGGGATCCCTTAAAGCCGCTTCTTGCTCAGTCTCTCTCTCTGTAACTTGATATTTACTGTCGCTAAAAATCATTCCACAGTGACTTCCATAATAAAAATTATTTTTTTAAGTACGAACGAAGGCAAAATTTCCGCTGATACTTTTGATCCCTCAAACATGCTGCGAGAATAAATATTTTTCTATTGAAACCAATTTTTTTATTTATAATTTCCTAACGTAGGATCTCACATGACTCATATGATATGAGTTACTTTTTCAGAATAAATCTTCCTAGAGTAGGATAGTCTACCATTTATCTTCCATAAAAATATGCAGCATTACTGCAGCTCCCAAATTTGTAACTTGACATTTGAAAGATGGGATCCAAGTGCTGCAAATCTGAAGAAAAATACGTCGAGGAGAAAGTCGAGAGAAAAAGCAACGAAGAAAATTTTCCTCCTCTCGCTGGAGGCAGCATATCCATCGAAGAATCAAAAAATAATGATCATGAGACTGAAGAGGATAAAAATGAGGACTTTGATGAGAAAAAGTGGAAGATACCTGATGAATTGCCGCCAATCGATTTCGTAAATTGAAAAAAAATAAATTTTTAAAAAAAAAAATTTCAGGACAACATGAAAGGCCGCCGAGAAAAACGGAAGAATAGGAGAGAAGAAAGAAAAGCCGGTCGCGAGAATAATTCTGATGGGGGAGGAAGACGACCTCGGAGAAAGGCAAATTCAATTGGTTTTTATTTTGTCAGAATATTTCTTTTAGAAACGGCGACAGCGGCGAAAATAGACGATTATTTATGAAAAAACTTTGTAAAAAAATATTTCTTATTATCATTTATTGCTGATTTTTGCAATCAATTTTGAGCTTGTTTTTTCTTGATAATAATGACAAAAATTATAGTTATGAAATAAATTTAATTATTTCTTGTCTTTGTTGTTAACCAAAATTCTCGCGCGATCCTTAATTTTATTGATTATCTAAAAGACTCGAGAGAATTGTTTGACACGATTCGCTTTCTCTCTAAATTCATGCAAGTAAGTAAGGTCACCCTGTTGTTTAGCCTTGAGTCTCTCTATTCTTCGAAGGTCAAAAAACGTCGACCTGCCGCGTTTGGAAACCATAATCTTATTCTTCCGAAAGCCGAACTTGAGCGACCCTCGTCCAGTCGATTGAAAACTACCGCACCGGCAATCAGCGTTTTTTAGCTAGTAACCGGTTCATCTTTTGGCATTACTGCACTCAATTTTATCGCTTGGGAAAAATGCTGATTTTTTGGACTTATGGAGATATCGATGTTTTGACGTCTCGCGAATTCACGAGCAAGAGATAGTGGAAGGGAAAACGTGCAAGTTCGAACGAGTTGACTTTTTTGCCTAGAAGAAAAAAGAAAGAATTCAAAAGACAAATACGAAACAGTGATACGAAATAGTGATACTTAAAAATGCCGAAAATTTAGGTTTATTGACGCAAAAGTCATAAAAATAATGAAAAACGTCCAGAATTGACCTATTTTTCCCGCTATTCAATAAAGTCTATATTCGCATTTTTAGACTTTCCAATCGAATAATTAAGGACACCCCCCCCCCGTCAGCTTTTTCTTTCGAAAAATGAAAATTTTTAAAAACACCATAATTTTGGTTCTTAATGCATCCTCAGGTTAAATTTGCTTCAATAACTTGATTAGAGAAATTTTTGACCATAAAAAATAACAATATTTTTGCCAAAATAAGGGCAAATTTGTCAATTTTCGGCGAAAAGTCCAATTTCCAAAATTTGCATTATGCGATTTTGGGAGTTAATTAGTCGAGATAGACCTCAACGAGATGAAAAAACGTTGTTTCCATAGTATGAATGACACCAAAGAAGCATCAGAAATGAACTCGATCATCAAGAAAAGCATTCGAACCGATTTCAACCTCTTTCGCGCTTTCCCTCATCTGGTTTCGGACATTTCGGATCTTGCTTTCGCGGTCTTATCAGCCGGTTGTTATTAAACAAAAAGCAATCTTACTTATTTCAGAAGAGTGAGCGGAAACGGTACTTTCTATAATCAAGAATGATCGCCGGCAAAATTATTTATGAGTGTCTAAAAATGCAAAAATAGACATGTTACTAATAGCGATAAAAATAAGGTCAATTTATAAAGATTTTTTATGACTTTTTCTATTATGACCTTTATGAACAACTTGAGCCCACTGTCACGTGATCTGAATTCAATGAATTTTTGAAAGAGATCGATTTTGAAATTGAACCTGAGTTTCGGGGTCAGGGGGTTTCGCTGGTCGCTGGTTCGCGTGAGGAGCGCTGGGTTCGGTTAAGTTCGCGTTTGTGACGGCTGCCTTGGCGAATATAGGTCGCGGAGGGTCGTTTGAGAGGGCGCCCCGGCGCCGCGGCTCATCCGTCTCGCGGCAGAAATCCACAAGAGCCAAAAGAGACAACAAAATGAGGTCAACTGAAAACTACACGACTAAACCAGATAATAATTGCCACAGCGAAACCAGCAGCGTGTCGTCCAGAGAGAGCGTCTTTCTTGAAAAGCGAAAGATGACCGACCACATGAGCAATCTCGCACAGATCAAGTTCGACAGAAGCGCCATGATCACGGACCAGCCAATTGGCAGCATTGGAGAGTGCGTCAGTACTATTGGTGAGTTTCTCCAGAATTTTCGCCCCGAAATTATTTTAGCTTTATTTTTCACTTTTTCATAAATTAAAATATTAAATAATTTTAAACAAAAATTCTTAGTAAAAATTGCTTTTAAATTTTCTTGGAATTAATAGTTTGAAATTCTGACCTACAATGTTAGTATTTTAAAATAATCCGTCAAAATCTTTTTGAGAAAAATTTTATTAAGATTTTTGATAATTTATTTTCTTCTGGGCGTTGGCCTTCTGACCCGCAGGAAAACAGTTATCCTCGCTTGTTTTCACTTCAAATCCGCTCAACTTTTTCTACGCGTGGTCACAAAACAACTAGGGGTTATTTTCTTTAAAGCGTTCTTCCTTTGGAAACTCGCCAAAATTGAGTACACTAGATTATTGAGCGGAAAACTCAAAAAAATATCTCACGACATCAACATTACCAAGAAATTATTAATTAAGGACCCCCCGTCAGCTTTTTTCAAAAAATCGATTTTCGGAATTTTGAAATTTTGACCCCGGAAATGGATTCTACGGATCAAAAACGATTTTGAGGCTTCATTTTTTGGGGGTCTATCTTGACTCTAACACCTTCAAAATCGCGTTTGAAAATTGGACTTTTTGCGGAAAAATGACGAAAAAGTCCAAATTTTGGTAAAATTTTCGATTTTTCTTGATCAAAACTTCCTCAGCTCAACTTTATACACCAAGTTTAAGCTTAAGACGCATTGAGAACCAAAAATATAGGGTTTTGAAAAATTTCAATTTTTCGAAGGAAAAAGCTGACGGGGGGGTCCTTAAGAATTTGAATATATCAAGCGCATTAAATTGATATTAATTTAATCATGTCAAAAATCATGCTCCGAATCTTTTTATTTTAATTTTATTCGCGTTCCGATTTTGCCTTGTATCTCATTTTTCATCGCTTTTCACAGAGTCCAGAATTTTACGACCGGCGTAAGTACTCGCTTACTTAAAAATGCGTACAATATTATTCATATATTTCTATAAGGTCTTATGCTGATAACGCCCTTAGGTAAAAATATGCACAAAAGAAATCACTTTATTTCAAAAATCACTTTTTTCCAATCTTTCAAAACTAACCAAAAAATTTTTCGATAATAATATCCTATCTTGAATGCTTTCCTTTCTTAATTTTTATATTAGACCTAATGGAAGACTCACGAAAGCAGTACAACGCAAATGGGCCACTTGACATCGAGCGATTGTACCAAATCGGCCAAGAAATCACCAACAATCTTTCTACAGGTAATTTAAAATTGCCCTAGATTTCTTGAATCATGAACCCTCTTTTGGGTTCGCTTATTTGAACCTAAAAAAGCGGAAACGCTTCGTTTCTAAAGAGACCCACTTTCGTTTTGAGGCCTGCTTGTAAGTAACTGTTGTTTTCAGAAGACGATGAATTCGACATGAAATGCAGAGTTTGCAACGATAAAGCTTCAGGAGTTCATTACGGAGTCGAATCTTGCGAAGGTTGCAAGGTAAGAAACCGCGCCCAGCGTCCAAAGTTGGTAGCTCGAGGTTACTGTGTATCATAATTACGTTTCGTTACGTAAAATTGCGTTAACACGATAGCGTCAGTTCAATCGGAAATTTATCGATATTTGCAATCCTTCCAGTCACAATCTTCCGCCTCCCATCTAGACGCCGACTTTAAAAATTGACACTAACTGTATCCTGATTTCTGAAGTTCAAAATTTCGAAATCAAAAATTAGACACTCCTACAATTTTCGACGAGCTTTTTTGTTTCGCCTTTTTGATTTATCATTAGGGTAAATCACTAATATTTGAGCTCTTTTTTGGGCTTTGTAGAAGAGGCATATAATACCTTTTTATAATCCCTAGAAGCTACGGATCATTTTGACTGTTGATAGTCGGGGGTCATCTCGTACCCTGAGGGCATTTTGGTACCCCAAAAGTCCCAAAATATGCCCAACTTCGGAAATTCGAATTTTCGAGGCCGTAACTAAGCTTTTTAGACGGAGCTATCTATACCAGCTTGTTGCTCAGGCTCTGACGGTCATTTTGAGGGGTAGAAAAGTATGTCCCGGGCTACTCTAGAAAGTGGTGGAGGTGGTGCAAAGCTGGGGTCAAGACCAAAAGTCCAGCTAAAATGAACTCTTATATGATTTAAATACAGTAACATTTTAAAAAAGCAACTGTAAATACATAATTGGTCACCCGAGGTCAATTTGGGGTCACTCGGGGTCATCTGGGGTCAAGTTGGGGGTGTTATTTAATTAAAGACGTATTTTTAAATCTTGACCTTAGATGACCCCGAGTGACCCCAAGTTGACCTCGGGTGACCAATTATGTATTTACAGTTGCTTTTTTTAAAGTGTTACTGTATTTAAATCACGTAAGAGTTCATTTTAGCTGGACTTCCGGTCTTGACCCCAGCTTTGCACCACCTCCACCACTTTCTAGAGTAGCCCGGGACATACTTTTCTACCCCTCAAAATGACCGTCAGAGCCTGAGCAACAAGCTGGTATAGATAGCTCCGTCAAAAAAGCTTAGTTACGGCCTCGAAAATTCGAATTTCCGAAGTTGGCCACATTTTGGGACTTCCGGGGTACCAAAATGGCCTCAGGGTACGAGATGACCCCCCACTATCAATAGTCAAAATGATCCTCAGCTTCTGGGGATTATAAAAAGGTATTATATGCCTACTCTACTTAGCAAGAAAAAAAGTGGAAAATATAAGTGATTTACCCTATTTATCATTCAATTTTTTGGAGCATGAAATTATTTTATTTTACGATCGCATAGAAAACCAGCTATAAAATAGTCGATCTGGGAGGAATTTTATTACCCGAGTCGGGTCACCAAAATAAGTTAAAGGCTCACGAGGTCAGAATCACGCCCTTCTTATTGGCTTATTTTAATCAAAAAAAGCCCTTGTCAAAAATTCCTTAAGGGTGTCAACATCGATTTTGATCGATTGACTAAATATCAAAAATTAAGATGTTGACACCCTTAAGCAAGGGACCCCTTTTCTTAATAATTGAATAAGGGTGTCTCAACGCTATTTTTAAGGTGAAAAAAAAAGGGAAAATTGAAAAAAAAAATAGATTTTTTTGCCCAAAAAACTGACCCAGACGAGATCGCCAAATCTCAAATCTGTCGATTCCATGTCAGAAATCTCGAAAAAAGCGACCTCATCTTGTCAATTTCAGGGCTTCTTCAGACGAACCATTTCGAATCACTACGCGTATCGACAGTGTCCGAAGCAGGGCCAGTGCAAGATCTACCGAATGAACCGCAACCGCTGTCAATACTGTCGATTCAAAAAGTGTCTCGATGTGGGCATGTCGCGAGACGCGGTGAAATATGGACGCATTCCCAAGAAGGTTAAAAGCCAGATGATTCAGAACAGAAAGGAGCAAATGTAAGTTACCCCCTTATTTGTAGAAAAGTGAACCCGAGTTTGACCCGAGCTTCACAAGGGCAGACATGTTTATCCAGTCGCAATATCAAAATCGTCTATCGTCTTTTTACTGTATATTTGTCTAGCAAAAGTCGTTTTTCCCAAAGCTCCGTATTTTCAAAATTGCACGAAACTGGCGCAACTTGAGCAAATATTCGAAAGAAGAAATATTCTGACCCGCCTCTTTGACCTCTTTTCCAAAAAGTGACCTCTTTTTAAAACCGGGATAATTGATTTTAATGAAAAAATAAAAATTAAAAAGAATAAAAAGAGGTAATTTTGGAACGCAATTTGTCGCCCCAAGGCCTCTTGGCATATTTTAGTAACAACAGCTTCCCGATAAATTATCGGCGATAATTTTCTTCGTAGTTTTTTCCGGGCTTTTCTGATGAAAAATGTGAATTGAAAAGTATGCATATTTTATTTCTCAGGATTTGTCGCGCTGGTATCAATAGAATGCGTATATTCTTCTGTTACCTCAGTCTTATATAATCGCCGTCGTCTTCCAAAAAAGTGCAGACGTGAGTTCTTTTCAGCCGTCATGCTCTAATAGCGATCTTAATTTGCTCTTTGGGAGGAAAGTAATAAAAGAAGGAGGCTTAAAATTCCTTTTTTCTTCTGAATTCTACCCGATAGTTTCAACGTAGTTAGGCTTATTTAATTTCAGAATTTACTATAGTGATACCCTTATTTTAAACCACAATGACAAAGAGACAAACCCTCACCACCTCTGACCCTTAACCCCGAGGCTTGAAAATAAGGGTGTCACAACATAAACTTGAGACCAGAAACCGAGTCCAAATAATTTATTCAAAACGATTCTGTTTTCGATGCATTCTCAACAGCATCGCTAATTAAAAAGTCCGTCTTTTTCCATTCTTAACCTGCACTTCAATACCTCGATCTGACCAAATATGCCTCTGCTAAATTATTCCCCGTCCTGCTGGGTCGCCAGGGTTCACCTTTTATACCCTGTCTCAACTCGGCTAATCTTTCACCTGACTACTGCGTCTCTATCTCTCTACTGCACCAGTCTTTTTATCTACCAGACCGGGTCGATGTGTGACAGAGGCAAATGCTGCTCTTGCCCGGGGCGTGTTGGGACAACAGCGCGCGAACTGAGGGGATTTGGGTGACTCGGGCACAGTTTTGAAATCAGCGCGCAAGTACAGTCCCTTACAGTAACACTCGGCCTTTCTGGCAGACGCGAGACCGTGGCCTTGAAATGGACTGTCAATCGTTGAGTTAGCCGAGTTTGATTTTGGATACAGTCTGGTTACGTAAAATAAACATAAGACGACCCCTATTTCTAAAGCGGAAAAAACATCTTCTTCGCTAAAGTTCCCCTTACTTTTACCCGAACCCTAACCCTAACTAAAATGATGATTCAGGATGGTCGAAAAGATGAAGCAATTTACTGAAGCAACTTTGGGAGCAGAGCAAATCGCGGAGCAGCTGGAACAAGCGCACACTGCCTCATTTGAATTGACGCAGAAAGTCGTCTTTGTCGGCTCAACAGCTGTCGTCTCTAGAAATGCCAGGAGAAATCATGCCAAGGAGGGAGTCTTACGCATCTTTACTGGCGACGAGGTTGGAAGGAGAAAATTGAAACGAGTTTTTTATGCTTTTTTAGCGACGATTTCCGCTTGGATTTGAATATGCCCAACAGATCTGGCAAGATTTCTCAGATCAATTTTCCCCAGCAGTCCGGGAAGTTGTCGCCTTCGCCACGAGAATTCCTTCTTTTCGATCTTTGGATCAAGACGATCAAGTTCAATTGATGAAATCAGGCGCTTTCGAGGTAAGAAAAGAGTTCAAAATAATTGGGCGTGAATAGTCGAGAAAAATGCTGAAGCTGAGCTATTCGAGAAGTCTACTAAAATCATACCATGACTTTATTACGGTCGTTAACTTTTTTTTCTGCAAGCTTTTCGAAAATTTCGCCTCGTAAAATCGATCGTCATTTAAACTCTATTTCAAGGTCATCATCACAAGATTTTCTTCCCTCTACGACCCTCAATCCGCTACGTTGGTTTTTGCTGACGGAAGGAGATATACAAAGGAAGATCTTCTCGATACAGGTTCGTGCTGACTCGAAAAGATGAAGGCTCAATTTTTTTTAGTAAAAAACGTCGAGACCCTTGTTGACGCGCTTTACGAATACGCCCGTCGACTCCACGACCTGAAGCTTTCTCAAACCCAGCTTGCGATTTTCTCCGCCATCGCCCTCATTTCAGCAGGTACGAATTTTCTAGACGGCCGGTGTCCTCCTTTTTGGCTAATATAATCATTTTAATGGGCTGGAAAAATATTTTGGAAAGTCTAATTTTCGCTTTAAACCCGGCTTTTTTCGTTGATAATTCTTCGATAAATCTAAAAATCAAGCATGAATAGTTCGTTCAAATTAAACCTTTTACCTTCACCAGAAAACAGCTGAAATGAAAAATGAACCTTCAAGCGCTGAAAGACGGAGCATAATTAAAGTGAATTTCTCAGATCGCGCCGGGCTATCATACACAAACGACGTGGAAACATTGCAAAATCAACTGCTCAAAGCGTTGAACCTGAATATCATCGTCGAAGAGCAACGACTCCAGTCCAACACCGCCAAGATTCGATTCTATGAAACGCTCAAGCTCCTAAGAGGTGAATAATAAGGGTTCAACAAAAACATGGAAGTGATTTTATGGATCAGGATTTTGATTGGCCGGAAGGCCAAATACAGCAATCTCATTGGTCATTCAGAAATTCACTTCCATTTTTGCCCAATAATAAGGCTTCCTTCTTTTTCGAACCAAATTTCTAGATTTGCGACAACTGAACTACAGTCACTCGGAAAAGCTCACCCTGATGCAGTTACAGACACTACAGTCGAGCCACGAACACATCGATATCAACCAGATGATTCCGCAAATCTTCGCTGGAAAAATTCCTTCTCAATATTTAATCCATTCAAATTCCTCGAGTGAGAATTTATACTCTTAAATTTATTTTACAACTATTAAAGAAAAACGAAAAAAAAAATTTTCTCCAACTGTAAGTTCAAAATAATTATGATATCGCGATATTAAACAAGTACCCAGAAAAAGCATTAGATTCATAAAAAATTATTTAAAAAACCAAATTCATGAAAATATAGATAACTTTCCTTGTCTGTCCAAAACTACTGCGAAGTTCATTTTGATAAGAAAAAAAATCATCAAGTTCAAAAAATAAGCTCCTGTACAAAAATTTTTCTTTTTGCCGATTTGAGAAATTGAAAATAAAGTATTTAATGAAAATTTTTTCAACTTCTTTTTTTTCTATTATTATTGAGTCATTTCTGAACATGGATTATTTGATAGTTGTGGTGAAACAAACTTACTCGTTGGTTTGTGTTTTGAGAAAATCAAAAGACACATCAGCAGCGGAGTTCATTGATGAACTCGGAGAAACCGTAAATATTCTTGAATTAGTGATGTTTTCATCCGCCACAAAAAGATGCAAGCATTCGGGGAAGCTCTTTTTCGTGATCAAATCCAACCATTCGCCCAGGATGGTTGTTAACTCCATTTTGTCAACAACAAACGCGACTTCCATTCTTCGGATCAGCCTTCCTAGGACATTGTGATAAGATTTTTATCAGCCCAGGGTTCTTGAGCAGGTCTTAATTACGTGTTTTCCATTTCGACGAATAATTCTATCCATTATTTTTTCGTGCAATAAAGTTTTGGAGCATTTCAATCTCTGGCCTTATTTTTGTCAAAAACAAATTTTGTTCACTCACTCAAAAACATATTTTTGACGAAAACACAGTTCCAAAATGATCCATCAAATTTTAATTACTATAAACGTCAACTCAAGTGAAAGAGAAAGAAAGAATCGTGGTGCGAGGTCGCAAGGTCGCGTTCGATCTCGCGAGGTTGCAAAAATTTCAGCAGCCTCTGGCAAAAAGTCACGGCAGTTCAGTCTAGGTTGAGTCGCGCAGCGGGAGTCTTGAGCACGTCCGAAGCGTTTCTTATCGAATTGAGGCCGTGAAAAATGCTTTTCGATTTCAAAAATATATTTTACCGTCCTTTTAACTCAAAAATTTGTGCTTATCAGAAGAACGCCGATTTCGTTTCTGACTAATAATGAAAACAAAGAAGGCGTCTTTTGAAGATAATTGAATCAAGTAACTGATGTTTTCGTTCCCTGGATGACTATTTAAAAACGAATGTATTTGATGTGATGATATTTGGAACTCGAGGAAGCGACGGATGTTCAACACGACGTGGATCATTGTTCCTAAAAACAGAGAACACGGCAGCTATCATGAGTCAAAAACCAGACCGCGCAATTTACATCAAGTAACCCACAAAACATATTTTCCGTGTTACAAAATGGCTCTTTTCGGAGCGTAATTTTGTCTTTACTCGTAACAACCGCTCATTTTTTATTAACGGTTGAATTCTTCAAGATTAACAAAGCTTTTCTGAAATAACTTGACTAAAGAGGGATGAAGCTTTGTTAACTGTTTGCAGAATGGATGTAAGAACTCCTTGTTATCTTGTTAGAGTTGCATTACTCCTGATGTTGCCTGTTATTTTTGTTCTTTTTTTCGAGCTGAAAATCGGGGACGCACTGACTATGTCGCCGAATGTCGCCGAATGTCGCCGAATGTCGCCATTTTGTTGAAAATAGCCTCAAAATAAAAAAAACGTCTCGGTATCAAAATAAATTCGTTTTAGAAAATGACGGAGGCGCAAAAATTGACAGACTCACTTTTTGAGTTTCCTTCTATCCAGGCGCGAAGCGCACAAAAATTTCTTGACGGGATGTTTAGTTTAGGTTTCTTATGGCTAGTTTTATGCTAATTTCTGTTAAAATTACATTTTTAACGATCATAATAGTATTCTATAAGAAAACGATTTTATGACAAGGAATCGAAGTTTTCTAGAACATGTTGTTTTTGTTTTTTTTGGCGACATTCGGCGACATTCAGCGACATTCGGCGACATTCGGCGACATAGTCAGTGTCAGCCGAAAATCGACAATTCTTAGCATGTTTGACTGAAAATGCAATCAATTGAGCTTCTTATCCTCAAAGGTGCCCTTTAATAATTACCCAAATCGTCGATTAAAATGGAATATTTTACAAAAAATGCCATAAAAGTTGTCTTACTTTTGTATAATGCGAATTCGCACTGCCAATTAAGACCCTTGGATGACCATGATAACAATAATACTTCGATAAGAGCTTCAAAAAACCGTCTTATATCTTTTAATCGTGAAATTTGCATCTTGGACTCTCACAAGATAACGGGTAGTTCGAATGTCACATGGAGTTACAGAGAAAATAATCGAAATTCGAGGTAAATTTCTTGAGTCTGATCAATAAAACACCGGAAATCCTTAATAAAGAGCTTTCGACGGGGTTTTATGTTTTGAACTCTGCTCCATTGTCTACCCTGAAAAGCCGCTTTGTTGAATGTTTGACAAGTACTTTCACTGTCCGAGTTGTTGTCTCAACAGAAACCTGCGTATTCGAAATGATGTGTTTTAGTAGAACATAATAAGGCGTCATCAGCGGGTTTTCAAAATACAAAAACTCAAGAACCCGGTCTAGACGCTGCTGAAAAAAGATAAGCGATTAACAATTATGATAACAAACGAGACAAGCGTCTTCAGCGTTTAATTTGTCGAGCGCTTTTGTCGCCAAATCCGTAAATACTCGAAAAACCTATTCACCAATTCGGCAACAAAGTTCATAATTTCGTCAAGATTAAAAATACAAAAAAGGCAGAAATTTGAAAATAGATCTTTTTTCGCTCAAACAGGAAATGCTCTTCTCAGACTCAAAGATGCAAAATACAGAGAAAGGTTTGTTTCTTATTTTTTTAAAGAAAAAGTAAAGAAAAAAATTGAAGATTGTTTCGAAAAATATTTTCAAGCGCAGTCGGCACTGTTCTGTAATGATAGAATTTGCGATGCTGACTGCCGAAAGTACAGCTTTGTGGAGGTTGTGAAAGCTGAAGAAGAGGCGCTTTTTGATTTCGATTGTCGAGCGAAGGTTCTTGGGCCCGGAAGACATATTTGCGAGAATCAACAACCAATAGGTAAATCAGCTTATGAAACACTTAATAAGGGTGTTGCGGGGCTATCGGTCGGGCACCCAAAAAGGCCTGTTCGTTTGAACCCTTTTCTTAGTTAGTGGCTAGGGTTGGGAGACAAGGAGTGCTTACTTGGGGGTCCGGGGGGAAGCCCCCTACACATGTTAGGCCTAAGGGGGTACCGGGGGGGATAGCCCCTGGGTTAGGCTTCGGCTTATGGGCTGCCTGACTGATAACCCCCTACTACTTTATTAAGGATTACCCCTTCAATTTAGCTCTGAAAAGAAATGAGGAAGGGAGTGGATGGACAACAACAGAATCGCCAAATTCTAGCGCTCAGAACATCTCGTCCTCGAATCTTATTTTCCTGATTTTCCTCTTCTTGCTCTCCAAAATCATCAAATCATAAAAAAATAAAGCTGAGAAAGAGAAATTTATTATCAAGAAAAAAATCCTTTGAAAAATTTTCTTCTGATTGTTCTCTTCTATGTCTTCAATTGTACTTCTTCGTTGTGGGAGCAAAAAGTGGCCTTCTTTTTCCTTCCTTTCCAACAAAGCGCAGTTTTTTGGCAAAATAAGAATGTACAGTTAGGTTCAGATGATACTTACAAATTATCATGTTGAAATTGCTTTCCAGTTATTTTGAAAAGTTATAATAAAAAAAATCGATAGGGTGGGCTAATTGATGGCAAAAAAGCAAAACCGCTATGGAAGAATCTGATTGGCTAATCGCAAAAAAAAAATGAGGGCGTCTGATTGGATAAGAGATTATTTTCATATTTTGATTCGCTTATTTCCCAAAAACTTATCTCTTATTGGTTTGACCCCAAAAAGCGTTGAGCTTTCAGGATCGTCAGAGATTTTTGCCCACCCTACTCTTTGTTTTTTTACTAAAATTTATTAGTTTTGATATTTACAAAAAAATCCATTTTGTCATCGCTCGAAATTTCCCTTAGCAAGTCCCGATTGGCTTTAAATGCTCCAAAAAGCCCGTTTTGCAGCACTCATGATTTCCGCCGACAACATATGGGAATCTTTTTGGATACTGACCGCAGCACTTTTTCTCTTTGTGATTCGTTTTCTGATGATCTGAGCTCAAGAAGGTGATTTGCTCGGAATTGCTGGAAAAAGAACTGGTCGAGGCATCGTCGAAGAAGACGCCTTCGGGAATGTCGGTTGAGAAGCTTGATTTGTTCTTGAGAGTCTTATTGGTTTTCGCATTAAAAAATTAGAGATAGCGAGACTCAAAAAATTTCGCGCAAGAAAAATTTAGTCGTTTTTTTTCGAAAAATGTCGCAAAGTTTCGATTTTTTTTTTTGCTATTTTCATCTCTAGAACGATTCCTTGATGTTACTGCCTGGTCAATTACTGAATTCGCGAATCCCTCATTTCTATTTTTCTCTTCGTTGATTCCAGAATCGTTATTTTCCGGAATTCTGACGTCAGAAGTACACTTTGCCCCATCATACTCCCTTGCTTTTTGTTAGTCTTCAATTTCGCTATCGGAATTTACCTGTAGGTAGAATTGAGCTGAATTCCATTCATGAGCAGCGTGCCCAGATCTTCAGCAAGCCCCTTGTCGCACATGCACGAAGCATAAGCGCAAGAATCTGGGTCATTTGTGCATTGAATTTGGTTTCCGGATGATGTACTCGTTATTTTATAACGATAGCTGAAAATGAACGGTCATGAAGGGGGGGGGAAAGAGAGAAAGTAATCTCACCCCATGGTTTTCGGATCGCATTTGTAGTCGGAAAAGGCGCAGGAGTAACAGAGGGAGTGTTTTTTGCAAGCACTTTTCTTTGGTTATTTTTTGAAAATATATAAAAAATTTTTAAATAGCTTTGGTCAGAAAACTAACATCTAGAGTTCCTGTAATCTACCAAAGGAAAACTCTACAAATCGATATATAAAAAATCGCTTATGGTTAGTCGATAGCCCGAATCTTTCTAGAGAACCCGACGTAAAATTTTAATGAAGACCGTCATGGTCAATCATCTATTAGTAATAAGACTAGAACCGATTTCCTGTCAAGCTCATCAACCGGTCGACCTCTCATCTTGTTCGGATCCGACGGGGCAACACAGTAGCAGCCGTAGTTGTGAAATTCAAAGTAGAACTTTTTCGCTTGAGAAATCTAAATGGAAAAATAACGCGATAAGCACTCAAATCGACCCACCTGAGAGTTGATCAATCTTCTCCGATGAGAAATCTGCCTCAATTTATCGCCAAGGTTCAAATCCGCGGTTCGAGTTCGCTGAAGTCGGATGTTCAGAGCTTGTCCCTCTTCAGGATAATCCGCGGGAAAACTGTAGTCTTCCGATTCTGTTTGCCCGAAAGCAAAACTCGTCAATTTCAAAAGCGAAATGGCAAATTTCATCTTTTCTCTCGTTTTTCTCAAACTGATATTTTTTCGCAAATACGCTTTTTCGACGCGAAAAAATTTACTTTTATACAGTTTTGCGCCGCGCTGCGGTTTTCGCGCGCGACGAGCGTTTTTTCCGAGGCGCTAGAGAGCAGTGCCGCCCTTGCCATGAGATTTCATGAAAAGAGAAAAAGACTTGCTTTGAAGTTTATTTGTTCTAACAAGAAGAATTGATAAGACTGTCGTCGCAGAAATCGCCATTGCAGACGACGATATCGCAAATTGTTTCGAGCATTGTTGGATTAGTTCCAGCGGCGAATTGGAAAGCAGTGTAGCTCAGTTTGAATTCGTCGGTCAGCCAGCCTTCGGAATTCTGGACGGCGAAGGGGGTGGCAAGGGGATTCAAACAACCATCTGAAATAAATTTTTGGACAGGTAGACTCGAAGAGAGCAGAACCCATAAATAAAGATTCAATAAGATCGGTTGGCTTTTTTTTTGATTCTTTAAATTTGAGTTATTATCATTATTATTGGTATCATTGATGATACTCTCTGAAGTTTTTATAACGTTGAGTTAACTGATTGCTAGAATGATCATTGATTAAACTTACTTTGTAAAATTTCAAAATCAGTTGTTCCATCTGTAATCCGACACTTTTTGACGTGGAATTTCAGTCCGTCGATTTTATAACTTTTCAAAGCTTTTGAATTTTAAAGAACTTGATTGATTTTTAGCTCAAGTTAAATCTGAATTTCATGATCCTCGGACCCTAAAAACGCATGTTTTGATCAAAAGCGATTCCTTGGTCGGACAGAGAAGAAGAGCTGAGTTTGCTTGATGACCGTCTCGGTCGTGATTGGCTTTGTTCTTGCTTCGTCCAAATAGTACGCGGCGATGAATTCAAATTCACCCTGAAATATTTTCATTAGATAGCGATTTTGATGCCGCTTTCTCCTGTAAAAGGCCTTTTTAATGCGAAAAGGAGGAGCAAAAATAACGTGAAAATTAAATTTATGCGAAATTATAAAATTCAAAAATATTTCTTATTTCTAAATTTTCCAATATTCGCAAAAAACAACATACCCGTCCTGGCGGCACGGAGAACTCCACCCTTTGCTGGGTCGTATTTGCGCTTGTTGAAACGCTTAAAATTGAGTTGAACGAGCAGCTCACGTCTAGGTCCAAATTCGCCATCTAGAATTTTTATTAAATGAAAATAAAGAATAAATGATAATTTAATTGTTTTAGTTCATATACTTTTAAATTGCCTGAAGAGGTGTTTTTCGTTGAGTAATTTTGATATTGGTGGAGAATTTCAGTTCAGATGGAGTTTGAACTAACTGCGTTCCACATTGTCCGAGGGGTACTGTTAGTTCAGTAGTTGGAGATGTGACATCAGTCCAGCAATTTGTCCCAACGACGCCGATGGCAGCGGCATTCGGGCCAAGGAGGCAATCTTGAGGGTTGTAGTCTACTATTGACAGAAACTCAAATTAGCATTGGGATTGTGATAACAAAGAAAATAAAACGAAAATAAAATTTTTATCCCTGAAAAGTGTCCAAGAAAAATTCAAATTGACATAGAATTTTCCATCATTATGGTGTCCTAAATATTATTCTGTCAATAGGAGAATACAACCATCAGAAATGCGAACATCGATTCCATGAAACGAGCAGCTGACTTGGATCGTACTGGGATCGACGATGCAAGTTTTGCCGTCCGAATCGAGAATTGAGCATTCTGGGCACTCGCATTTTTGCTCCTTCGAGTTGCAAATATGAGAGCATCCGCCATTAGCCCCGTCGAAGCATGAAAAAGGCGGGATGCACTGGTAAAAGCCAGGGAGGTTCAAACACGTGTGATCTGCTGGGCAAGGGTCTTCTAGAGATCGCTTTCGGCGACCAGCAAGCCCGTTTGATCGGCAAGGAACACCGTCTTTTTCGCAGACGTAATAATGATCGTGCGAGCAGTCGTGGAACAAATCGCACTCGTCGGCCTTTTGAGCTTGATGCATTCATCTGGTCCTCCTTTTCGTTGAGCAGGAGCTTCAAGAGCTGATCGGATTCCACACATCGAATTGAAAACGGCGCTCATGGGCTTTCCTTCGAATTCGTATCGTCCATTTGCAAACTAAATATAAATATTCAGAAAATTGGGAAGCCTTTTTTATTTGCGAAATTTCTTAGTCAATTTTGTCTTACTTTCGGAGCGATCCAAATATCCTCACGGAAATGATCAATCGCAAAAGCCCAATCCTGGCCATCTTGAGGATTAAAAAGATGCCCTCCCATTGCCTCGCAATTCACTGTCGCTTCATTGTACGTCGCTTTTGGCAAAACTCGGCAAAAATTTTCAGGTCTCGAGTGAGAGCAGTCGAACCAACCCGGATGGGAACAAAGAACGTAATGCTTGTGGGTGCAATCGTGATCCTCATCGCACTCGTCGCCGTCCTTGTATTTGATGCAGCTCTTTTTCGCCATGTATCCTTGATTTTCGGGTTTCTTGCAACCGATGAAGCTCAGATCCGCCCAGCCGAGATTATCGGAATATTGGTAGAAACCATTTTGAGCCCTTGGCCCAATCCAGACGTCCTCTTCGATCGTTGAAAGAAATTGTTTATCCCTCAATGTTCGTGGGTTGAAAAGCTCTCCTCCAAAAGAGCGGCAGTACGCAAGAGCATCAAGATATGCCAACTTCGGTCCAGCTTCGCAAAGTCCCGGGAAAGCTGGCACCGCTGAATCGCTTGTTGTTGTTGTTTCTACTGTCGTTGTGGTTGTTGTTGTCGTTGTTGTGGTTGTTGTTGGATTGCATTCATCGTAGTCTAAACAGGTTGATCCGCTCCAGTAGTAGCCAGTTGGACAGGAAATAGCTTTCACCTACAAAATTTCTGCTAGTTAGATTTCACAGCAAAAATTAAAAAATATCTCTTTTTAAGTATTTGAAGCAAAAACACTTCAAACTGAAGAAATAAAACTGACCGAAGCAACGATAACAGCCGCGGTCTTCATCAACGACTTCCTCTGGCTCTCTCAAAATTTTCGAATGGAGCGATTATTGAGTCTGCGCGATCAAAATCAAACGAGTGGATTAGGAACCCGTCTCAAATTCGGATTAACTCCTAATACCGTCCTCTGTGCCCGCATCCCAGAAATTGAACTTCTTCAGAGCGCGCTTTTTTCAAGTCAAAAAATGGTCAAATTTCGCAACTCATCAAGAATGCCAGTCTAGAATGTAGAATCTAGAAAACTTAATTTCTTATTTTTGTATTTTGAATTTGCTTATCGCGCCGCTGCCAGGTTTTTGCACTTTGAATAATCCAAAAAGAGATTTTTATATTAGAATTCGACTTTCCACGTGGTTTCGGCCGCCTAGGCGACGAATGTCAAAATGAAGCATTTTTTCCTTCAGTTTTTTCTTTTGAAAAATTTCATCAAAATTCGAGTCAAAAAAATTTGCGACTAAAAATCGACTTTTTTTTTTATAAAAATTGTCGGATTTTTTTGTCGATTCGACCCCTTTTCTGATGAAATTTTTCAAAGAAAAATAGAAGAAGGAAAAAACTGCGCAATTTCATTTGTCAAGAAGGCATGTTTCCCTGGGGATGTATGTTCACGTCTTGTGGTGCCCAGGTGCGCCCAGCTGGAAGCAACTTTTGACCGTTGCTCGATGTCGAGGGGGATCGCGATTTGGTCATAAACAACCGCAAGGAACCTGGATAGCATCATCCAGGCTTATTCCTTCTTTGAAGTGACGTTCACGAATGAGGTCGTTCTTGAACTCGCTTTTCTTGTCCTTCAAATTCTTCATAATTGATAGTACCAACTTAAGGGTATCCACGTTTGTGAATTACCCTCACTGCTCGATGACGTTTCCATCCGTCGAAAGAATCTCAATAAGCTTCTTACTTGCAACTTCTCGCTCCTCAAATTTCACTTTTTTCGAACTTTCATTTTTCTTTATTCGAAAATTCTTTCACCTGAAATGCTGGAATTTGAAATACAAGTCAGATCACTTGCTTAATAAAAATATTGAGTTAAGGGTGGCACATCACGTAACGTGCCGCTGACAACTTTTGAGTTTTCTTGAGTGACAACTGCTTTTTCTGGACCGGTTTCTTTTCTTGGAAATCATGAAAAAGAGAAGGGATAGGAAAAGTAATCCGATATTAACTCGTCATCGGTTAACCCTGAGACGCATAAGAGACCTTTTACTGTGGTCGGAAGCTTATGAACACCTGGAGCACGTGGCTTTTTTGTTCAAAAAAGAAGGGTCTCTTATAATTCTATTAATTTTCAATGAACTGTATTTTTCAAAAAAAACTATCGAAAAAAAATTTTCCCGTCAAAGGAAAATTTCAAAAATGACCAATTTTTTGGTCGAAATTTATAGATTTTTCCTACAATTAATCGGTTTTATAACAAAAATTTCTATCAGCCCGCGTATTGGTTGCATTCATGAGATTAAAAAATATTTGAATTTTGACCAATAAAATGGCTGATAGAAATCTTCGTTATAGCGAAAACGAGCAGTAGGAATTTAATTTCAAATTTCAACTTTTTTTTCTTGATAAATATTGACAGTACTTAATCTGTGGATATTTGATGTGCTCAGAAAGAAAGGAAGCTGATTGTCGATCTGACAGTATTTGCGCAGGGAGCTCTATCGCCTTTGTTGAACGCGCATAATATTTGCGATTAACGAGTGCCTCCACTCAGAGAAAAAGAAACGAGCGAACTACTCTTGACGGAATTATGGTTGGATTACTTAGCTCAGCCGTGGGATACTGTGTTTTGAATAATGGCAGCAAGATTCCTGTAGGAAATCATGTTTCAATTTTGCACAGAAATAAATTTATTTTTCAAAAAACGAAAAAAACATCGAGTTTTTTTTTGAAAAACATGAAAAGTGGGACTTTCAACTCGCGATTTGCCGCGCGAAAAAGCAGCTAGAATCGTCGAAGAAGCTATCAAACTAGGAGTTAGGCACATTGACACGCAAATGTCTGCTCAAAATCAGAAAGAAGGTAAATCAAAAAGAAAGCGTTTTTACAATTCTTCGTTTTATTTTCTGAGAAAGCATTTTTTCCATTTTCTAAAAGGTCGAAACCGCAAAGTTACGGAAAATAAGCATCTTTTTTTAGTCGGCGTTGGAATCGGGCGGGCGCTTGCGGCGGGAGTGTTAAAACGCGAGGATTTGTTCGTCACCACAAAACTACCGCCGGTACACCACGACCATGTCGAAAAAGGTGATTCAATCAATTATTCTCATACGTAAGGACACTTCCTCTAGAATTGCCTTGAACACGCTTTTTGGTAACAATTAAAAGAATAGGGGATTATCTCGTCATTTTTCTTATTGGATAGGGCCTTTCCGGGACTCAATAAAGAATTCTAGCGCTGGAAAAAGAACTCGAATTACTGCAACTCGAATATTCCGACCTTCACGTGATTGAAACTCCTTGGCAGCTTGCATCAAAAACTGAAGAACTCGACGGGCAATTCAAAACGGACTCTGGCGATCTTCCTATTTTTCTGGGAGGAGAAGGAATTCCGGCAAAAAAATATGTTCCAATCAGAGACGTTTGGGAGCAAATGGAGAGGGTTTATGAAAAAGGGTTGGTGAAAGCGATTGGACTGGCGAATTGTGATGAGGATTTGGTCAATCATATTTCAGGAATGGTTTCTTACATTTTTTACTAAAATAAAATTTTTCAAAAAATTAGCCGCAAAAAAGTCGCTGCAAAAATCAAGCCCGCCTGCAACTTCATCGAACTCCATCTTCGCCACCAACAACCAGATCTTGTTCAATTTCTTCGAAACAAGAATATTCTCCCCATCGCTTCTACCGTATTCTCCGACTTGGATTCTGAAGACAATTTGACTGAAGTCGCAAAATCTCATCGAAAACAACCTTCTGACGTTGCTGCTCGATTTTTCTGCCAAAAGTTTGAATTTTTCTTTTTTTCATTGTAATTATTTTTTTCAAAGAGGAACTCCGATTCTGGTCGATTCGAAAAATCTTGAAGGAGTTTTGCCCAAAACAGAGCTTGGTTTCGCCCTTTCTGGAGAAGAAATCGAAAAATTGGAGAAATTTGATCAGAAAAAACGACTCCAGGTAGGATGAAAAAATAAGGATAGGGTAAAACTTTTCAGTACTTTAAAATATCTTCAATCACAGAAAACAAGAACTACCCGCGATCGTGGCTGAAAGAAGAAGGATTCAAACTCGGCAAATTTGCGAAAATTGGGCTTTTATCTCATTTTTCTCAATGAAAAAAAATCGATTTTTTTATTTCTGAATAAAATTATTTTCAAAATCGTGTTTTAAAATTAAATCTTATCATTTATCTACGAGTTCCCTTAATCTAAATATTCCAGGGGCGCGCTAGAAATCAGCTGTTCCCTAATTCAAAACCTTATTTTGTAAAAAAATTTCTCAGGCCTCAAAATTGAACAAATTTTCGATTCGAAACGTGTAGAGATAACCTGGCCGCGTTAAAAGACTGGCCACTTGAATTTGTTCAAGTGTGATTTTCTCACAAAAATAAACTCGCCGCTTTTAGATTCATTTTTTATCGCTATTTTTTAAAAACCAAGTTTATTCCAGTTTTCGATTAAAAAAGAGGCTCTTTTTAACTTTCGCTCTAGATTCTAGAATTTTCGCCATTTTTTGACAGGATAGAGTATTTGCAGTAAAAAGGGCGTCAACCGGATAAATGAACTCGTCGTTTTTGTAACGGCGGTTTTCTTTCGATTTGAAAACGTCAGATAAGCGACTCTGGAGAGCGCCGTCCGGTTGACAAGGGCCGAGATCAGCCGCCGATCCTATTCCGAAACACACTTTTCACACGTTTCAGCATTTTGCCAAAAAAGCCGCACTGCGACAAACTTGGGTTTTCAAAAACTTTTTTTTCCTTCTTCATCCAAGAAGGGAGAAGCCTTTTTTCCCATGTTTTCAGAGAAGTTCTCTGTTTTATGCGCGAAAAACCTCCAATTACACCCTCACTCGCACTTGCTTATTTTTCTTCAATGCAATAATTAAATGATAAGGAAACGTGGGAGTTATTTGCTATCTTGCAAAATTCTTCCGGGTTTTAAAAAATGCTCATTTTTGCAAAAAGAAATGCAAACTTTGATAGGATTGTCATTTTTCCTATGCTTGGCGTTTCTATAGTGAGAAGATTACACATTTTACAGTCTGTAAATAATGCATCTGTCACTTATTCCTTTCTTCAGGAAAATCGTATATTAAAAATAAAATGAGAGAATTTTATCGTTGGATTTTGATTATCTTCGCTGTCATTGGAGCTTTTTATTTTTTCATGACTGGGAGCATTGAAACAAGCAAAGATTTTATAAGTGAAAAATCTGATTTTGAAATTATCGAAAAAAAAGAAAGACGAGTTGTTATCGGAATTCTAGCGTAAGTCGAGATTTTTTGATTTATCTTTATATTCTTAGGGATCTTAAAAACTTTGACCGCAGACTTGCTCAGCGAGAAACCTGGCTTTTATCCTCAAAATTCGAGCATAAATATCTGATCGATGAATGGAATGAGAAATGGATCGCAGAAAATAAAACTTATGGGGATATAATTTCTATTGACGCATCATTTCATGGATACGCGAAAGGCTTTTCGGAAAAGCTTTATCGTTGGTACGAATTTGTTTCTAAAAATTATCCAGGCAAGTGTCTATGAAAGCATTTTCATTTGTAAAATGAATACTTAAGAGGGCACAATCGTGGGCAAAGCAGATGATGATTTTTACGCATGTGCAAATCTTTGGGAGACTGTTATGGAAAATTACGATGATCGAATGTATTTTGGCTGGTGGCATCCTAACGGCCCAAAGGACAACGATCCCCCTGGTGATCCAAATTTTCCAAAATTAAAAGTAAACCACCCTGATGCGCAACTTGTGCTTATCTCATGGAATTTAATGAAAGAAATTTTGGAAAAGCCTTTTTGAAATGTTTTGAACTTTTGTAAGAAAGATTCGTATGAAGATATCATTTCGAAATTTAAAATTAATAATGCTGTTTAACAAGTCTTGCGTTATCAGTTTTTCTCATGAAACCATAATTAGTAGCTTGTCTTTGCGTTGCCAAGCAAACAAAAGATATCTTTCACAGACAGCGATCCTAGATAGGCAATTTTTGGAAGCCTTTGAGTTTCAAAACTGTAAAAGCTCAGAAGGCCAGCCAAACTGCGACGAAAAGAACCCTGATGTAAGGTAAGACAAATCTGATTATTGATTCTTTATTTTCTTATACCTTTCCTATGAATCGATTAAAACAACATTTCCAAAGATTCGGGAATAACTTTGGAGGGCAATCTCTTGGTGGCTGGCTAGAGAATATTGGCAACATTCATGGAGTCAGGTTAAATCGTAGCGAAGAAATGAGAATTAACTACAAAAATTTAGAATGAATGACAGAATGGTCCACACGAATCATGGCCTTGTTGCTCCCTTCCGAAATCCTCTGAAAAAGCCTTACTGCGGCGAGATGGTTTCGTATCACAAAGCCCTGCCAAACTTGCAAAGATATTTGGAGTGCTTCGATCAGAATATAACGAAGACACGTGAATACTGCCACAAAGCTAAAGATCTTGTAAAATACTGTCTAGGAAAAAGCTGTCATCATAAAAGATAAAAACTATGATCTGGTTGTTTACAATTAAATGTTTTGATAGCAGCAATAAGAATACAGAATAAAAAAAAATTTCAAATTAAAATTTTAAAAATTTTTAATACTCAGTCAGTAATCTTCTTGTAATTTCCTCATATAAGCCATCGCTTCCCATTCGCCAAGACGCATGAAATGATCATCAACAATATTATCGCAGTGGATTTGTAGTTGTTTTACCTCTTGCTTCATCTTTTCGTGCCCGAATTTTTCAATTTTCTTCCATAAAGTTCTATTTGCATGTTTATATAAAGCATCATCAACTCTTTCGCGGTAATAAAGTCGTGCCTTTGTTTCTTTACTCAGATTATCTTCTGAGAATTTCTTCTTCTTATTCGAATTTGACTTAAGATAAACAATATCCGTGAATTCTAGTTTCATGAGCTCTTTTAGAAGAATAAGGCTCTCGTCAAAGTATTCTGTGATCATGACCAAATCGTAGTAATCAACAAGCCACTCTCCGAGATCATCTTCGGTCTTTGTTTTGTACATGTATGAAAGACCTACAAAATAAAATGAATAATTGACATAAGAAAATATATTTGGCGAAAATCTGATAAGAAAATCGACGAGTGAAAGTCAAGAATTCACATCACCTAGATCGAATGCCATCGGGTTTTGAGTATTTTCCGCAATCCTCGCTTTCTTATTTTTTGTCGATTGATTATTTATCTCGGAGAGGCTTGGTGACGTTCTTTCAATATACTTTTCTAGTGCCGCGGCAGTTGGGCTCTTTTTAAGGATCAAAATAAGGCTAAAAGCTAATTTTTTAAACAAAAAAAATTTCGCTTCAATATCATGATAAAGAACACAAAAAACCCTTTTCCTTTCCATCGAAACCAAATACGGACTTCCCGAAATATTCAAAAGCTGAAACAAATTGAGAAATTGGCTCGCGTAGAATCGTTATTTTCGTTGCATTTGGAAGAACTCGGTCGATTTCTTAAGAAAGGTTCGTTTAATTTATGTCTGAAAACATGTAACAAAGGATTTTTTTATACATGTTTTTTATCACAAATGCCCCAACGCAATAAATTCGGAAACCCTTTCCTGGGGACCAAACATGATGATTCGCAATAACATTATATTGCACCTCATCTATGCATGAGGGTTTAAATGGAACATGTTTGCAAATATAGTTTGTTCTTCCTTTCAACTTGAGTTTTGGAAAGCCAATTTTGAGTTCTTCCTTGATTGCAAGTCGGAAAATCATGTTAAGCATCGTTGTGCTGCCTGTTTTATGAGCTGAATAAATATTTTCATCTATTTTTATTTAAAATAAATCATACTTTTAAGATAGTAAATATTTCTTTTCGGCAATAATTCTTTCTTCACAGTTAGTTCTTGCGAAGAACTGTAAAAATTTTCTCCAAAGAATAAAATGTAGAAAGAGCCCGCAACAACAAACAGAAGTAAAATGTAAAATTCTCTCATCTTATATAAAAAATAATTGTTGAAAAAGTCATCTGTTCTTATAAATCGTTCTTGTGTCTTTTTATGTTTCAAAAAGCAAAAAAGACGCTGCCTTATTTGCATTCATTTTGGAAGCTTTGCACAGTGACTTGTCAAAGTTAATCATTGAACTCGTCGGTAAGCTAAAATAACTCAAAAAAAAAACGGGCGAAAAATCTGTAGAGAGCTTTGGACTTTTTTTTTGAGGATGACGATTACTCCTCATTTCAGACAGAAAGTTCTGAGCGCTCTGTTTATGCTTCTTTTGGTTGTTTTTGGTAAATATTTTATAAGAGAAAAGATAATTATTCTTTAGTTTTACTGATGTTCAAGATTGTTGACGGTGGGAAAGAAACGAACTCGTTCTCAAGAATAAGCGAATAAAACATCGAAATCAAATAAAAATATAATTGTATTTATCAGACAAAATAAACAGATTTACTTCAAGTAATCAATTCTGGCTCCTCAAGAGAGCGAACAATTCTTGTTTTTCGCACTTTCTTTCTGTCGAACAAAATCTTCGAATGCGTCTTTTCATCAATATTGCCTCCGCAAAGAATCGAAACGACGAATTTTCCCTTGATTTCTGGCGCTTTTTTGATCATTGAAGCAAGACCCACTCCAGCTGCGCCTTCGATTATTTGCTCCTCATTTCTAGAAAAGCGTTGAAATTTTGAGAAAATTGGGAAAAGTTGACTTGTGCGCGATGAAAATGGCATCTTCAATTTCTGATTCTGTTACCGTTACCCAATCATCGACCAACTCCTTAAACTTTTGCGTCAATAAAAATATCATTCATATTTTTTTTACTTGACAAATGTCGAAAGTAATCGCTCCGGGCTCGATTCCACCCGCTGACCCATCCGAAAGAGTTTCCTTCGATTCCATTTCAATTATCTTCCCGGCTTCGATAGATTCCTTCATGACTGGAGAATTCTTTGGTAAACATCCATAGATTTTGATCGATGGTTTTTGAAGCTTCAGCGCCGCAGCAACTCCTTAATTTTTTGCTGAAATCAACGAAGAGAACCCAAATCTATCCGCTAAAAAATGCAAATCTCAAACCTGAAATCAGCCCGCCTCCACCAACAGTGACAAAAACGACGTCGACTTTTGGGCATTGCTGGAAAATCTCGATGCCGATTGTTCCCTGGCCCCGGATGATGTTCAAGTCGTTGTAGGGACTGAGAAATTTGACTTTGCTCTTGTTTGCTTCCGCTGCATTTTTTGCCGCCAACTCGACTTCGACTTGATCGCTTTTTTTATTGTTTCAACAAAAATCTTTCAATTCTCGATTTTTTCGAAATTCTGAAACAAACCCATCGACGAAAATGAGTTCACATCCAGTTTTCGTTAGTTTTTCGAGTTTCAGCTGAGAAATTTTCTCAGGAAGATAGATTTTTCCAATTGTATTGACTCTAGAAAACGCCCAAGCGCATGCAAGACCATGATTTCCAGAGCTAGCGGTTCTTTTTCGGGTTAATTTTCGCCAAAACGGTCTTCAGGGAATTCTTTTTTGATGAAAAAAAGCTTATTTTCTTAATTAAATTGACCCTTTCATAAATTCTTCATAAATATTTTTCAAAGTTTTTACTGAATACATGGCTCCCCTGATTTTGAAAGATCCAGTGACATTTTGATTCTCCAATTTGAGATAAATCTTTGCAGATAGCAGATTGGACAAACTCGGTGACTTATGAAGGGCGGTCCTTAAAATTTCAATTTTCCCCAATTTTTTGAAATGAAGAACCTTGGGATGAATTCTCTGATAACTCTCGTCGCTTCCTGAAAGTCCTCTAGTTTAAAGTTTTCCATTTTCTATCTTTACAATTTTTTCTCCGATGCTGAGCCATTGTAGAGCAATCTTGACACTATCAAAATCAACCAATATTGACTTCGACAAATCTTTCGCTTTGTGTCCTTCCCGCAGAGCAAATTTATGAGCCCCTCGCTGAGAAAATATCTTCGGGAATATGCTTATTCTTTATTGGAAAATAATGTCATGTTTTGCCCAGAACAGTAATTAGGGAACGTAATAATTATCGAACTCTAGGACGCAGTCGTCGTCAAATTTCTCGGCAAGTTGAGAAATTTTCTTCGCCTGATGATTCCATCGAAATGAAGGTCGATCTCGGGGTTTCAGCGCCGTCCATGGACAAGAAATTGTCAAAGAACCTCCGGGCGTTTTCTGCAAAATTTGACAAATTGTCGCAAATTTGTTTTGAGAAAATTACAAAGTTTTTATTGAAAGAAAGTTTCAAAAAACTCAAGGTTTTTTCTCCCAACACTTGACGTTTTGCGCTGATCATATTTATTTCATAATAATTCTAATTAAATTTTTAAGAAAATATTGGACAGAAATAAAGAAGCAGATGAAAATTTTAATTATTCAGACAATTTTTCACAGCGCTGATGAGAGGCCAAGTTCCTTCTCCGCAGAATTTGCCTCTGTAATCGTCCATCGCTGTGTCCCAAAACATGCCACCAGCGAGTCCCATTTCTTTGATCCAGTTGCATCGTTCCGTCACGGTCTGGACATTTTCATATCCCATCCAGATATTCGTCGAATGGCTGTACGAATAAGCACTGCCGAGTGCAGGGTCAACAACAGTCGTGTATGAACCCGAGTTGAGAGCGTTGCAGATTTCATAGTACGCCCAGTAGCCGGAAGTAGCGAGATAAGGGCCCGCAGGGCAAGCTCCGTTAGCTGGTGCTCCTGGGGAAAAGTTTCCGTTGAGCATGTTCCAGCCTCGACCGTAAGCGGGAAGACCGAAGACGAGCTTGTTGGCGGGGCAGCCTTCGGAAAGCCAGTATTCTGCCGCAGCTTTTGTTGATAACTAAAGAATTTGTCACGATTAGATACATATTCTTTTTGAGCTTCTTACCTGGGTATCACCATAATTCGCCTCAAAATTGGAATGATGACCCAAGTTCGCCTCCCAAGATCCATGCAAGTCATAACTCATCAAGTTGATATAATCAAGCCACTTCGAAATTTCAGCAATATCATACGCGCTACTCGCAGTTGAAGCTGGCGCCGCAACAGCCGCTGTCAATTCCAACTGTGGTTGTCCAGTAGAAATTGCTTCTGCAATAAAGGCTTCTTTCAATTCTTTGCAAAGAAGACTAAAGCGATCTTTGTCTTCTGGCGGGCTTCCTCGATGAGCCGGGTATTCCCAGTCGAGATCGAGTCCGTCGAATCCGTTGTCTCTCAAGAAGGTAATTGCATTTTGGATAAATTCAGCTCGATTTGCTTGAGTAGCGACCATCGCTGTAAATGGTTCAGATCCATGAGTCCAGCCGCCGACAGCAAGAAGGACTTTGAGGTCCGGATTCACGTTTTTGAGCTCCATCATACCAGGGTAAAGAGCTTTCATGGGGCTTTTTATGATTTTTAGGAATTTTTTGGTGGATCAATTCAATTTGGTGATCGCTTAAAGAACGAACTAGAAAAGAGCCCCCAGACTGAAATATCGTTCCATTCATATGGCTCAAGTTTGTTTAGTCCTTGAGGAATTTTTGCGAATGCATAAACATAGTGTGTGCAGAGATTAGCATCGAGATCGCTAGAACACGAGATTTTCAGAGGATTGCATACGATTTTTTCTTACCTTGGCATTTGTTGAGCGTCGCCATTTCTGTACTGCGCCCAGTTGATAAAGTAACACATGAGCACTTTTGAGTTAGGAGTTGTTGGATCTGTTGTTGTACTAACTGTTGTTGTCGTCGTCGTTGTAGTTGTTGTTGGAGGACCTGTGTATGGCTCATCAGTAGTGGTGGTCACTGCTGGCTGGGAGAGACAATCTTTGACTGTCTTGAAAAGTGGCCATTTGCCTTGGCCGCAGAATTGGCCTCTGAAATCGTCCATCGCAGTGTCCCAGAACATGCCACCAGCGAGACCCATGGATTTTACCCACTCGCATCGCTCGGTCAGAGTCTCCACATTTTCATAAGCCATCCAGACATTTGAAACAGTGCTATAAGAATAGACACTGCCAATCGCTGGATCGAGGACTGTTGTATAAGTGCCAGTATTCAGAGCATTGCAGATTTCGTAGTAGCTCCAGTAGCCTTCACTGTACATGTAAGGTCCACCAGGAGCAGCTCCGTTCGCTTGATCACCAGGACTATTGGCTCCGTTGAGCATTCGCCACCCTCGGCCATACGCTGGCATTCCGAAAACGAGCTTATCAGCTGGAGCACCTCCGGCGAGCCAGTACTCAACCGCGAATTTGGTAGAAAGTTTAGGGTCTCCATAATTCGCCTCAAAGCCGGAATGATGACCAAGTGTCAACTCCCAGGTGCCGTGAAGATCGTACGACATCAAGTTGATGTAGTCCAGCCATTTTGAAATTCCGGGAATGTCGTAAGCGGAATCGACTGTGGCGTAGCCAGCAGCAACTGCTGCAGTGAGCTCGAGTTGTGGATTGCCAGTGTTCTTGGCCTCGTTAATAAAGCCTTGTTTCAATTCTTTGCAGAGCAAAGTGAATCTATCTCTGTCAATTGCTGGTGATCCGCGATTTGCTGGGTACTCCCAGTCCAAATCAAGTCCATCAAATCCATGGGTTCGGAGGAAGGTGATCGAGTTTTGGACAAATTCAGCTCGATTTTCAGGAGTAGCGACCATAGCAGTAAATGGACCAGATCCATGAGTCCAGCCTCCGACAGCAAGGAGAATCTTGAGATTTGGATTGACATTCTTCAGTTGCATCATTGCTGGATACAAGGCGGAGATATCGTTCCACTCGTATGGCTCAAGATGATTCGATCCCTGAGGAATCTTGGCAAAGGAGTAGACGTAGTGAGTGCAGAGATGAGGGTCGAGATCGCTCGGCATTTGTTTCGCCGCACCGTTTCTGTATTGAGCCCAGTTGATGAAATAGCACATCATCACCATTTCTTTCGCGTTGGGATCTCGAGTTGTTGTTGTTGTAGTTGTGGTGGTAGTCGTTGTTGGGGGGCCAGTGTAGGGAGTTGTTGTGGTTGTGGTAGTAGTTGTTGTAGTTCCTGGATCCGTAGTGCCACAGCTCGACGTATCAACATTTGCCTCCCAGTCGCAGTTCACACCATTCCAAAGGGTTCCATCAGGACACTCGAGAATATTCGTCGGATGTCCAACTCCCGAGCATTGATAATATTTCTTGCAATCGCAGTGAGAGTAGTATCCAGGAGCTTTTCCATCACAATAGGTCATGTCATCCTGGCAACCGCCTCCTCCCCCGCCGTCGCCGGTCGTGGTTGTTGCCGAAGCAGTCGTTGTTGTTGGCCCCGGTGGAGCCACATCGCCGCAGTTGGAAGTGTCGACATTCATTTCCCAGTCGCAGTAGCCAGCATCGGCGTTCCAGACGGTTCCAGGAGCGCAAGTCTACGTTTATCCTGATAATAAAGGTTAAAAAAAGAAGAAACCTGAATATAAGTATTCCCGGCATGGCACTGGTAATATTTCTCGCAGATTGGATGAGCATAGTACCCATCATTCTGACCAAAACAGAAATTTGGATCTTCTGGATCGCTTGGTCCCTCTGTTGTTGTCGAAACCGTCGTAGTCGTTGTTGATGTCGTGCTGACCCAGTCAAAGTTGTCTTCAAAGAGGCAGGAGAGATCTTCATGAATGCCAGGAATGTAGCGAACGTTGAAATTTGGCAAATCATCTTGAGCAGCTCCGACGATTGTGACGAGGAATTTGTATTTTTCTCCAGCAGCAATTTGCTGATTGAACATATTCGAGGTAAAAACAGCGACTCGGTGACCGACTGAGGTCGTGACAGAAGTCTCCCAGGAATTGAAAGACAAAGTAGCTTCGACTTCATCAGTGAACCAAAGAACAACTGTCCAGGTGTTCAAGTCCATTTCCGGCTGGATTCCGAGTTTCATCGCGAAACCATGCTGCCATTTATGGATAGTTCGAGCGGCAAAGAATGGCTTGTTTTTGTACATTTTCGGACAGCGCTTTTTGCAGCTAGAAAAATTTCAAAAGATTCGACTTTCATGAGGATTTACTAGAATGGTCGGGAAGCTCTCCACTTTCCAGTAGCTTTGCATTGAATCTCGACACTGTTTGATTCTTGATCCCCATCATCCTGAAAGACCATTTTGTAGTCGTTTTCACAAGAGATCCAGCACTTCGAGTATTTCTTTCCAATATGACCTCCATCAGTACAGCCATCTTTGCCCTCATCAATTTGAGCCTGAGTCAACTTGATAATTGCCCGTTCCCAAGTTTCTTGCCAGGGAGGGCAGAAACTCAATGGATCTTTTGTTGTCGACGTCGATGTTGTTGTCGTCGTGGTCGTTGTTGTTGTCGGACCGCTGTTTGTCGTCGTTGTTGTGGTAGTGGTGGTTGTTGTTTGGGGAGTTCCGTCGTTGGAAATCATCACATCGGCGCAGTTTTTGAACTCTTCTTGGTAACCCTTACCAATTCCGCAATCATCGGGTCCGTCGCAGCCCCAACCGTTTCCAGCATGATAGGTCCATCGGATCACACATCGGCTGCACTGGATATCTGGAATCATCACTGGAACATCGTACCAGTAACCCTTTTAATAAAAGAATGTAAATTTCAAGCGGAAACGTACCTGTTCAGCATAATCCGCGGCAGATGGATCAGGAACCATGAATTTGTCTCCCTGCCCCTGAATCTGCATGATATTTGATTGAAGGCAATCTTCGAGCTCTTGAGCGGTAAGAACTTGATTGTTCTGCGCGCAGATGTGGAACTGAATCCAGCCCTTGTGGTGAGCGGTAATTTGGATTCGAGAAGTCATCACTGTATTTGGCGTCAAATGAGCGACGATTACTTTTTGTCCCATTGCTCCGCCATCTTCGTTTTTTCGCGGCTCCGGGTTCCTTTTTTTTATAAATGAGAGGACAAGAAAACTTAGCCTACCCGTAGGGATCTCCACAAACTCCGCATCGGTAGTCTTGGCTGATTTGGTAGGACAATCCTCCGCAGTTTATTCCATTATCGGTATACTCGATTCCGAGAATATTTTTATAAGGAGTAAGAAGTGGATTGGAATCGACAAATCTCCAAGCAGTAGATCGACCAGGAGGGAACATCATCCGGCCATGGCCATTCGCCAGGCCGAGAAGACCTAATTTTTTGTCTTATATTTTCACTTAGACCTTGAAAATACTCTCGAAACATATAAAACAACAAACCTATAAACAGAGTCTTCATCTTTTTTCTCTCGAAGATCGACTGGACCTTGAAACAAAGAAAAAGTCGATCGGCGATTTTATCCCCCTTCGCTGATTTTTATCCGCCGGATAATGACGGAGAATTAACCCCTCTTATCCTCTCATCGAAAATGATTTATGTCTAAATCAGAGTTTTTCAGACTTTTGAAGTTGACAGTTTATTGTTATTGAAGATCATTCTTAGAGCAGTTTTTTTATTCTTCCCAGTGGTTCTTTCTTCCTATCCATAAGATTCCGTCTTCTCCAGTAGTGATGTCGTCAAACATTTTGATTGGATCGATGTTGTTGATCAGCTCTTTTTTGTTCTCGGAAATTCCGTTGAAGAATAACTGCCATCTCGGCTGAAGAACAAATCAAAATTAAAATTTGAAGATTTTCTTACGTCAACTTTCGAGTGTTCTCGTATCTTTAATCTCAAAGTCATCACATCATCGCCTTAGAATTTCGTTATTTTTTCGGCCAAATAGAGGAATTTTATTAGTTGAATTTTGAGCTTACCTTCGTTTACTGTTATGGTTTTTGTTTTCGGTTCAATAATATCTCCATATCGGTCAGCAATCCAACCTATCAAGAAATATTTTGACAAAAATTTTTTTCATATTTACCAATTTTGAATTTTGTCTTTTCAGAAATTTTGTTTCGCGCAAAATCATTAGAAACCGTTTCTCCGAATCTTTTCGGTCTTTTGACGATTTCATCTTGCGGCACTGGTTTTTCTCTCTTTGAGATTTTTCTGACTTCGTTTTTGAACTCGCATTCTTCGCTCATGTGCCACGATCAGGGTTCGGTAATTTGAGCTCACGCTAAAACTCAAGGAAACAAAGCTTGAGACTCACGTTTTTTAATTTGAGTTTTGAGAACTCAGAGATGAGAGCTCACGTGAGAAATCAATTCTGGCGATCCATGAGCCAATCAAGGAAGCGCTCGCTTAATTTGAGTTTTGAAAACTCAAAACTCTCAAATCTCTCAAAAACTCAAAACTCCCAAAACTCTCAAATCTTCTCAAAATGATTTCTCAAGTCACTTTGAGTTCTCAATTTGAGGAAATTTGAGCGTCTAGCCAAAATGAGTTTTAGCTTGAGCTCAAATTACCGAACCCTGGCCACGATAGTTGATCATAACCGAGGGGTTTCGTGAAGCATTGGCAGCATTCAAAGCCGTTAAGTTGGCGAAGTTCGATGATTTTCGGCTGATCTTCGATCAGAGAATCTAATTTTTTGATTAGGTCTTTTTTCTTGGGAGTTTTTATTTACCTACTTGTTCACCGCATCGGCATTCTTGTCCTCTTTCTTGCTTTTTCTCAAGACATCTTCTACAGCAATGTTCTTCGCAACATCCTAAAGCAACAGCATCTTCTATTACAAGCCTTAGAATAACAAAAATGACTATTCAGCAAAGAAATATTTACTTGCAAAAGTAGCACTCGACTAAATCTCTGAAATCATCTGACAAAAGTCTTGCAGAAAATCCCATTATTTCTAACGAAAAATGACGAATCTACAAAACTGGCGAAGGCAAAAGTCAAATATTAAATATTACGCAGCGCCTCAGTCGATTTCTTTTGCAAATTTAAAAATGCCAAGCCAGTCTCAAATCGAGAGAAATGGGATTCGCGGCAAGACTTTTGGATCGCGATTTCGCCGATTCCGTCATTTGCTATCTTTGCAAGTAGGGATATGAATATCGAATTAGCTTTGATTTTTCATTTTCAGGGAGGTACTTGAAGATGTTGTGGCTTTAGCTTGTTGCGAAGAGCATTGTTGTAGAAAATGCTACGACTCAAAGAAAAGGGGGAATGAAGAGTGCGTTTGTGGCCAAAATGTAGGAAAATTTCAAAAAAATAACATTTCAAAAACTATTTTCGAAGCCACTTTTTTCTGAAATTTTGAAAAGTCGACCACATTGAAGATCGCCCAATGAAAAACGAACTTGCCGAAGCCGGAGATTTCGAATGTACAAAATGCTTTGCCAAACCGCTTCGATACGATCTTCTTCCACGGCATATGAAGGATGACTGTGCTAGGCGAACTGTTTACTGTCGCCATTGCGAAAGACATCATGGAGCGGATTATGTCGAAAGCTGCGCCAAAAATACCGATGCAGCGGCAATTCATCGCGAACGAGCTAGGCTAGAAAGAGAAGCCGGTAAATCTAAGAATTGATCGATTCAGCCTCTTTTTAAAGTCGACTTCTGAGATTTTTATTTTTTTTCAGCGCTTTCAAAAAAAAGAATGGAAGATGCGATAAAAAGCGAACACGAAGCAAAAATGAAGATCGAAGAAGTCCAACAGCGCGAAGATATTCTCCAAACAAGATTCAACCAACAAAAAGAACAACTTCGCCAAACTGAGCAACAAGGTATTTTTCTCTTCAAAATTGTCCATTCTGAGAAAGAAAATCTTTTAGCAAATCGAATAATGATCGCCCAGCACCAGGAGCGACTCAATAATCCACCACCACCAAATGAAAGAATCGTCACGAGACCGCTTCGATACGGCCCTAATGTTGGAACTAACTTTGTCAGAAAACAGATTCCTTGGCAAAATGACTTCAAAAAACTTACTTTTGGTAATTATATCTTCGTTTTTAAATCGAATAAAGGATAAGGGTGGATTCAAAATCGATTTGGCAAGCCCATTGCTCCAGAAAAGCGTGAATTGATGATCAATAGGGAAGACACAGTCAGATCCGTTCGAGATAAAATTCGGGCGCAGTGCAAAATCGAGGTAAAAAACCTTTTTCGAGCAAAATTGATCATCTAAAAAAGTGGCCACGACAATTGTTTTACAACGGAATAACCGATCGAAACTCCAAACTCATCAACAACATCGACCCAATCAAAGAAATCGATGATATAACAGTCGGAGCCGATGGGATTCTTTGGATCGGGAGGAGCAATATTTGGGACGATGAGCAATTTCTTGAAGACCAAAAGAATGCTGCTTCCTATCGATACTGATCTTTCAAAAAATAAAATAAAATAGCCATATTTTTTCTAGATATCGACTCTTTATTTGATCATGTTCATTATTCCCTTCATTCATTCTTTCAAAAAATGGGTTGCAAGTGTTGTAAGCAAAAATCAGAGAAAACAATCAAAAAAGGTGAAAAAACAAAGTCAAAGAGAGAAATTCTTTTTGAACCAGGAAAAGCTTTTAAACAAAAAATTCAATCAAAAAACAGTTAATAAGCTTGAAAAAGACGATTTCGATCAGAACAAACTGGAAAATCTACGCAACAAGAAGCTTCCACCAAAACCAGAGCCCGATTATGAAACAATCGAGAAGCAAGAATCCATGCCTTCAGTCTTTCGTCAGGCAAAATCGATGGGAACCAGAAAGGCAGAACACAATTACTTGATCGAATATGAAACTGTCGATGGAGAAGAAAAGCGAAAACGAAAAAGGGTTGAGAAAAAGAAAGAACACTCTGAATATGTTTATGAATACATCAAATAAAAACAACATTTTTCAAAAGAAAAAAAAACTTCATTTTCATTTTACGATTTCTTTTTTTTTCCAAAAAATCAAAAAAAAAATAAATTGCTCGTTCCCAATTGGGAACATTTGATAAACGACATTCCTTTTTCTTTCCCAAATACCTTCTTTGACGTTTCATTTCCCGCTTTCCTTGTTTTCCCACGTAAATGAGGATGATGGAAAAAACCCTCAGAAATTGAAGAAAAAATGTCAATTTTACAAAAATTGGGAAAAAATCGTTTTTTTTTTGACATTCAGAGTATATTTTTAGAAACAGACGTGCTGACTTTCTTGCAATAAATCACACTTCCCTGATCCCCAGATTTGTTGACGCACGGATGCCACCATCAAAGGGTCGTGGGATTCTAGAGCTCTGAGCTGACAGAGGAACTTATAAATAGCCTCATTTTCTCTCTTTGAGCTCGCCAGAGCTAGCAAAGGTGATAAGAGTCTGCTCTCTATGTTTGTGGTCTTTCATCCCTTTCGGCCATAAAACGTGCCGAGACCGGAGAAATAATTTTTCGCGAAAAAGAGATCGAACGAGATCGAAAATGACGAAAACGAAGAAAATACCGAAATCGTATTCTGGAATTGATTTCGGTTTTATTGATCGAAAAGGGGCGAGACTCTTCTTTATTCTGCAGATTTTTTTGATAAGCGTCAGTGTTATTGGAATTGCGACATCGATTTGGGGATTATTCGATAAAAATATTTCGTCAAAAGGTGAAAATTTTAAGCCGCGCGCGGCTAAAAAAATATTTCAAAGTGAAAAAAAAACTATTAAGAGATCTACATCAAACCCCTTGGAGAGCTGTTTCTAGCGCTATTTACTGGCATTTTTGGCCTCAACGCCTTATCACGTGACAGTTTGCCGTTGATGGTCTGCTACTGTTTCCTAGTTTTCGCATCCATGTAAGCCTATTTCACCAAAAATCGCCCGACAACAAATTCTAGCCGCGATACAATTTCCCTGACCATCGAAGCGACCAAAGTTTTCAGCTCCAATCGCGAAGTCACGGAAGATTTGAGCGAAAATGAAGTCATCGCCACTTGCGTTCGGGACTCTCTTTTCATGAGCTCACTTCTTTGCTCGTTTTTCTTGCAATTTTCTTCTGTTGTTTTTGTGATTAAACAATGGTACAAAATGCATCCGACTTCTGGAAAAGGTAAATTTTAAATTAATCAATCCGGGATTGACATTGTCAATTTGACAATCCCCGATTTTTTTTCATCCTTTTTTTAGGGCTGGAGTATTTTTCGACGCCACAATATCTTTTGCTTGGAGCAAATCCAAAGAAATTATATAAAAAATAAATCTCTTCTTTTAAAACCTTCATTCGTCAAAAATCGTCTGTTAAAACGTAATTAAAGCAGGAATAATGATCATTCGTGACCTTAAAAAACTCCAATTATAACATAAACCGAGGCAACTCTCTGTCTGAGGTCTTCGATTTGCGTTACTCTCATTTTCCCGTTTCAAATGGAGCAATTTTCTCAAATAAGAAATATTCAACTCGAAGATGAAGTTTTCAGAAGAGCGAGTTGTGAGCAGAGCAGGATTGTTTATGCGGCAGAGAGTGGAGATTTGCTGCAAGTTCAGAGAATTCTCAAGTTTGTGGGAAAAATTATTGAAGAGGTTTCGAAAATTTAAAAATTCAGGATTCGACCAAATTTGGTAAATTGGACAACTTCGGCTTGTTGGAGCGCGCTTCATATGGCTTCTCGATTTGGGCACTTGGATATTGTAAAGGAAAAGGATGCTTCTTTTAATAAAAATTCTATCAAAGAATCAGGAATATGCCTTTTGATAGTTTCTCGTTCAATCTGGCGCTGATTTGAATATTTTGAGGTAAAAAATATTTTTCTAAAAACTCTTCCTTGATTTCAAATTTGACTTCAGCTACTCGAAATCTACCCCACTCATGGAGGCCACTGCAGCGGGCCAAATTGATTGCGTTAGATTTTTGCTGAAAAAGGGATGCAAAGTCAATCTTCACGACACGACTGAGTTAAAATAACGAAAGCAATTTTCATCAAAATTAAAACTCAAGAATAGACCGAGATGGTTGCACGGCGGTTCATCTTGCTCTAGAATGCGAAGATCTGAAACTTTTCAAGCTGTTGCTCGCGAACTCTGCCAGATTATCGAGAAAGAATAATCAAGGACAAACTGGCTTCAGTCTACTGAAAGACCTGAAAGAATCAGTTGGCGAACCATGGACACTGATTTCAGAAGATTTAACAAATTCAGCTACGTACGATTCTCAATAAAAAAACATTTTTACAGAAGAATTTCAAATTCATTGTTCTAATGACATTGCTTTTTGAGATAATTGACAAAATAATTATGATAGAAAATCAATAAAAATCGCCCCGCAACGATTTCTTTTCGATTTCTTCCTAAAAACATTTTGCTATCTCAACATGAGCATAAGAACTCTTCTTTTTCTTGCATATTTTCGAGGCGAAAAAGTCACTTCTTCGACGAACAAATCAGAAGAATGCGTAAAGTTTTTCAATATGCCTTCCCATCTGAAACTTTCATGGAATAAGGCGAAGAAGATTTGTGAGAAACTCGGGGGAGAACTGGCCTACTTCGACACTGAAGAAGAATATTCGCTTTACAAGGAAAGTTTGAACATACTTGCTCAAGAGAACCTCGGAAAATACCGTTTTGAGTGGCTTGGTATTGAGAGAAAAAATGATAAATTCATCAATTTGGACGGACAACAGATTTCAGCGAGTTTCACCCCCGAAAATTTCAACATCTGGGCTCCAGAAGAACCAAATAATCAGAGGGGAAGAGAAAACTGTGTTGGAATCGATGGGCTTCATATTTACAACATCCCAAATCCAGGGCCGTTCATGGATTCCGAGATTCATTTGACAAACAGATGGGTTGACCGAAAATGCAATGAAAAACGTCAATTTACCTGCAAATTCAAGAATGCTCTTTACTGCTAGAAATGAGAAAAAAAAGAGGTTTCTTTGAATTTTTTTTTATTTTTTGATCAATGAAGATGAAAATATTTTTCGCAGTCAGAGAGAAAGAACATTTAGCAATTTGGGCTCTTTGACCAGCTGATTTCTTGAATTTTGTCGGCAAATTTCGCCTTCTTTCGGTCTGGCATCTTGTCAAGGCAGGCGGCGTTTTTGGCGATTTCCAAAACGTATTCTTCGATCAGGTCGATCATGGCGCAAGTATCAGCGAGTGAGTCGCTAGTTCGAAGTCTTTCAAGTTCGTCGTTGTTAGCCGCTTTCCTAAAATGGAATAGAAATGATGAAAAGCTTTTCTTCTTACCAAGTTTCATAAGAATCAGTTCCATAGTTGCCGGGCCAAAATGGCAATCTGCAGCCGCCTATAGCTGGTCTGTCGATGATGATTTCGTCGTGGGAGGTGAAGAAGCCGTTGACGCGGTTCATCAAGTTAATATATTTATTGTGATTCATTTGGCTCTTCTTTGCGGAGCTGAGTACGATGTCTCGGAGGTCGATGAACTGAGCGTACATGGTTCCATCTTTGGGAAGGTCGTAGCAGTTGGGGCAGACGTGGCCGGCTGTGGCGTGCGAAGTCAGGTTGTCTTCTCGGAATTCTAGAGAAAAAGGATCGGTGAGGATTAAGGAATCATAGAATTAGTGGTTGATAAAAACTTACGGATGTTGAAGTCAATTCGACCGTCGCCAGGAACGAAGCCATCTTTGAAGGAGATTTTGTAAATCTGGTCGCCGGCGGAATTGGTGTCGTGGAGTTCGACGTTGTCGACTGGATGGGCAGCGGTGATGAAGGTGACGGGCTCGTCGAAGGTCATGTACATGAAGTCGTCGTGGGTCCACCACCAGTTCATGTTCAATTCGCGCAGTTGGAACTCGATTCTAAATGAATAAGCTAGCTATAAAGCTTTCTGGGAATCTAACCTGTAATTGAAGCAGTCCTTGCAAACCCAAGTGTTGGTCTTGGTCATTTTGTAGGAGACGTCGTTACACCTATTCGGCTTCTTGTCCTGTTTCCAGGAGCAGGTAGCAGCAGCGGCGGAGATAAGACTGGCGGCTTTAAAAATTTTCATCTTCCTGTTTTTTTTTTGTCTTTTATCGATTCAAATTTTTTCTATTTGAATGATTGATTTTGATGATTTTGGCAAGATTTGCGGCTGTTTTATACCTGCTGGAACTGGCGATGGCGCCAACAGAACGGTTGTTTTACACGAAAATAAAACTTCGAATCGCAAAATGAACTGCGCTCAACTGCTTTTGGGTAAATACGCAGTCCTGGAAATCTCTTCCCTCGGTGGTTTAAAAAATCAACGTTGAAATTTTGATATTTAACCCCGCTATATACAAAGAAATTGGAAATTGGTTTCGTTGAATTTTTAAATTTCCAGTGAACATGACCCCAGCTACAAGGGTGCTGTATTTTGAACAAAAATTTGTCACTAAAAGACCGATTAGATTTAGAATGAGCACCTCCTGAGCTTTCGGAAGAAATTAATTAACCCAATTTAAAAAAAAACAGAAGCAAGAAGCAAAATTCGTAGGGAAATGATTCCCAAAATTAAACTAATCGTGGAATAGATTAAAAAGGCGCGGTCAAATAAGTATCATTTGGATCGAAATATTATATTAACCCTCATCGTGCCCAACTGGTCCTTTTTCACGTTATCAATTAATAGCCCGCTGTATGACAGGATCTGCTCAATTTGCAGCGTAAATTGCTGCTCATGGTTCCAATTGACAATTGCTGTCTCTGTTTTTGCATAAACGGGGAAAATAATTGCGATTCCTTCAGCAGAAAATAAGCATATTCGCAGCGATAAACGAATTATAAATTAAATTAAGACCGATGTTGAAGGCTCGAAGTGAATTTTAACGGTCAGCCCTGTTTTTCTGTCAAATACTTTAATTAATTTTTCAATTGAAAAATCTGTCCCTATCGTTGTCTCATTATTTTGATATTTTTGAATTAATCAAAGATATTGAGAGGTTGAGCTCTGAACTGCTCGCTTTCTCATGTTTTCGGAATAATATAACGGCCATTTCAACGGATTAATAATGATTTTAGATTCCTTTTCCATGAGCTGCAGGCTTCGTTAACTAGCTGTTTTTTCGAACTTTTTCGATTGAATGAACTCTTTTTGACCTTATTTATTCCTACAGAAGCTGCGATAACTCAAAATATTTGAGTCTAAAACGGATACTAAATCTCAGTTTATTCGTAAGGGTTTCCTACCCGAATTGACGAAAGTCAAAAAAATAATTTCCTTTATATGCAGATTCTGATAGCTCATCAAACAGAAAAGTTTTTCGTCCAAATTTCAGGTCGATTCCAAGTCAATTCTTTCAAGATCTTTCGCCAAATAAAAGTCGCCTTTCTGGACAATATTATATTTGTACCAGCCCATCTCCGAAATTTCCTAGAAAAAGAACATCAACCCCCAGCCGAAAGAAAATAGATTCACCTGAAGAAAAACAAGCGGCGAGCAATTCTGATTCGTAATAAAACCATGAGGAATTCTGTTCGGATCGCGGTTAAGTTTGAAAATTTCCCCGAAAGAAGGACGAATAAACGTGGATTTTTCGCTTATTTTGGCGAGATCGTCCACTTTGATCGTCATTTCTACATTTGTGCTGGCTAGGTTTGTTTACAAACAGCGAGAAATTTATGAAAAACCTGGTGGGGCATTTTCTATCAGCTCGAGAAGCTCTTCTTTCGTGGGAATCGACGCGATAGGTTTCTTTTTCAGCGCGAAATCGTTATCAAACTAGATTTTTTTATCATTTTCCGATTTCTGTGTCCCTTTTTTACCTTGAACCTTGCTTGACGAATTGAATATCTACACGCTGCTCCGGATATTCTCAGCATTCTATAGAAAGAATTGACAGTTAGACAGTTACTGTAACAGAAAAAGGTACAAAACAAAAAGAATTTATTACTTTTTTGTATAAAAATAGCAGATTTTGAATCCAAAATTGATTGTTGCAAAAATAATTAATAAAAGAATGTCTAAAAGTTTGCTCGAAAAAGCTACAGTCACAAAAGCGAATGCAAGAACAGACTAGTGCGAAAATACAGGGACAAGAAAAGACGAGAAAAGCGAAAGAAAGGTTTCTCAATTGTCGTGGCGTTGCGTTTTGACTTTTCCAGCGTATTTTTCATTTCTTTGCTGTCGCGTTTTTGACTTGCTTGAGGACCCATTCGAGGCCTTCTTTGACACCTTCGCCAGATTTGGCTGAGCATGGCTGGATTTGAAACGCGCGGTCTTTCAACTTGTGCAGCTTCAGTTCTCGGGCGACGTCGGCGCTAGAATTCAAAAATAAAGGTTTGAAATTTCTAAAAAGGCGACTTACGAAGTCTCGGCGGTTTCCAAGTCCTGCTTGTTCGCATAAACCAAACAAGGGACTTTTGCCAGGCGATCTTCTTGAAGAAGCTCGTCGAATTCCTCAAAAGACGATTTCTACAGCTCTTTTGCGTCTTCTCTTACCTCTGCTGCTTCCTGAAGTCTTCGAATATCCGCGCTGTCGACGACGTAAATCAGCACATCTGTGTTTTCAAAATAATTCGACCAATATGGCCTCAATCGCCGCTGTCCTCCGATGTCCCACACATTCAGCTAAAGAAAGAAGAGGTGAGAGAGGTTAAGGAGGGGGTTAAGGTACCTTGAAGCCATTTGTATTGACGGATTTGATGTTGAAGCCTTGCGTTGGAGTGACTTCCGTGATGTCTTCGCTCGAGAATTTCTTGACAATCGTCGTTTTTCCTGAAAAATTGAAGCTGTGGAAATTCGAGGTACTTTACCAGCATTATCAAGCCCTAGTAAAAGAATTCTGCATTCTTTCGTCTCCTTCGGCCGCAAACTCCTGAGCAACGCCAGCAAACCCATCTAGAATTTCAAAAATTGACGTTTATTTGTTCAAATTTAATATGATTTCTACAGATAATTTCATACAGCCTGTATGAATTTTCGAAAAGAATAGAGAAGAGAATCAAAATCAAAACAGGAGCGAGAAAAATAATTTCATTTTTTGTTTATACAGAGATTTTTTCTTTAATTTCTAATAAACAATTAAACATCATTATAACAATTATCTCGGGTGATAGACACTCAAATATCGCGGTGGATCGTGAGGAAGAGGAATGGTGATGTTCGTTAAATTCGTCAAAAGAGGATGAAGATATCGAGCTGCATCCATATTGTTCTAAAAAGATCCAATTTGAGATCGAAAACAGCATGATTTTTACCTGAATGAGACGGCGAAACTTTTCTTTTCCCTCTTCGTCGCCTTGGAAATTCGGGTCTCGGTGGAATTCTGCGCCAAGTCGGATCAGCTCGAGGCCGAAAGTTCTGATGTCGTCGGCGAGGAGGCGGATTTCTTGACCGAGATCTTTCGCTTGGGGCGTAACTGGGGTCATTCGTTCTGGATCATTATATCTAAAATGCGTCTGTAGAATGGGGCAATGGGAGGAGTAGACGAACCTGGTTCTTTCTTCAGGTCTTGCATTATTGACGCACTGGACAAGCGCAGCTCGAAAATTTCTGAAAAGAGGGTTAAGAAAGGAGGACCGATCGATTTCCGATTTACCTGTGGAAAATAGCAATGTGGCGGAGTCGATTTCCAGCCATACTCAGCTGTTGATTTTGGGCCTCTTCCGGATTAAAATATGGCTGATTATTAAAGTATTCGATCGTCTCTTGACGCTTTTTTAGGTTTGAAATTTCGAACGGAAAAGGGGAAAATCGGAGGAAGTATGTTTTTCGTAAAGAAACATTGCCTTTCGCTAAAATTTCAAACAGTTCCTGTCTGGGAGTCGCGTGATCGGACACAAGAGCGTAGCCAGTTGGGTTGAAGGGGAGATTATTCGCTGGATTTTGAAGATTATCAGAAGGATGGACGGAAAGATGACTGGGAACTACCATTTGCTGCTGCTGGGGCTGTTGATAAATCTGATGCTGATGATGCTGGTGTTGATGATGCTGATGCTGGTGAGAATGCTGCTGTTGGAAATGACCTTGCATATTTCCAGCTGGATTGCCAGTCATTGGAGACCGCGATTGAAGAGTTTGCTGCGGTGGCATCATTACAAAAGGAGTACCGCCAGTTTTGACAACGAGATCGCCCAGTTTTATGCTTGTTTCGTACTGCTGCCCGCGATTTTTGGGTGTTCCCCAGATAAACTTGTCGCGCGGAGTTGAGTTCTCGTTCTTGTGTCGGACGTATTCGAGAATGTGGTGAAGGGTGAAGTCTTTGTCGGCGCTAGAAATTCGGAATAAGATCATTTGAACGATAAACAACTAAAATCATCTAATAAAGCAACACAACGATTCTCATCGATGAGCGAATTACTTTCGCTGGGATGTGTAAACAGCAGTAGTCATTCAAATTCCAACGAAAATGAGTCGCTCGAAAATAAGAATCATGATAGAGAAGCGCTCTTACATGACAGTAACTGGGCTCTGCCCTTCCTGATGCCGCATGCCTTGCCCAGTTGAAATCTTCCTCATCACTTTGATCGATATCTCCACTTGATTCGGTTTCGGTTTCTTTCGTATGTACAAATCTGGACGATGAGTTGGCCACGCTTTCAGGTACATATCTTTAGCTGAAGAACGGATTGGGAAGGGAAAGGAAAGGGGTGACTTACATTTGAAATCGATCTTCGTTGAATCATGGTCTTCGATGGAGTCGAAGAGGTTTTTGACGTTGTTGAAATTCGCACAGAGGCAATAGAATTCGATCGTGATTTCTTCGGAGGGAATATTTTTGAACTAAAAAGAAGTCATAACCAACATCTAGCGGTTAAAACTAACCTTTATTCGAATAATAGATCTGCTGGACTGATTTCTATCCGGTTCTACAGTCGCTTCACATCCCGAATTTCCAATGACGATAATTTGGCTGTCCTTGACTTGATGTTTCAAATTTCGCAGAAAAATTTCTTTCTCATTTGCTTTGAAGACGATTTTGATTCTTTGCTCGGACGGATCTGAGGTTTGAGCTTCAGTTTCGATTTTGACGATTTCGAATTTCTTTCCTTGCTCGTCGACTTCCATTTTCTTTCGTTTCTTTGCCGATCCGATTCTTCCTTTTTAAGAAAAACTCTTTTCCTCTTTCGGAATAAAATTCACTCCGCCCCATTTCAAAGCACGCTTCGAAAGGGAAAATCGACGAATAACGGCGCGGTGATTGGACGATTGCTTTCCCTTTCGTCTTGAGTAACTTTGAATCAAGAAAAAAAGGAATTAAAAATTTATGACGAAAGAATGAATCATTTACTGCTATAATTATTTCTTTACATCGACAGTTTTAATAGAAGAATGAGGACCAAAAATAAAAATTCTTTGAAAATGACTTTATCTCGATTTTCAATTTTGTATCAACCATTGCATCTGGGTCAAAACTTGAGTGGAATTCAACCTCTTCTAACTACCTCGATAACAATATAAGCTTCAGGAAAATCAAGAAAATATTGTTCGAAGTTTAGCTTTATGGAAAATTTTTGCAGACTTTGTCAACCTTCATCCAACGCATATGCTCGCAGCTGTATTTAGGGTTTGAAAAATCACATTTTTGGCTGAGCATGAGCATGACTGAGCACGGCGTGCCCAAATTAGCTTAGGCGGAGCAAGACGGAGCATTTGCGTGGTCAAACTTTGCTCATTGTTCATTCTGATTCTTCTGATTCTACCTATCATTAAAGAGAATTATTATCAAAAATCTTTGGAAGTACAAATACATAGTCTGCAAGACCATATTTGCATTTGAGTCAAATGATTTTACAAAAGTGAACTCGGTAGACGAGGTCATAACCCCGCGCAAGCAAAGTAAACTTTGAAAATGCAAACAATTTCAGACCAGACTAGACATTTTCTAGCTCGCAGAAGAACTCGCTTTCAAAACCGCTTAAAATGAAGATTCTCAATTTTCTTCTTTATTCCTCTTTTTCCAAAGAAATTCCGACAGAAACGATCGAGAAAATCGTCGGCGACATGGATACCATGTTCAAATCGAGCATCAGCGGATACAAAGAGATCAAAGCTGGAATTTCGAAAACGAATTTTATAATGCCGGAGCCGTGTAGAAACATGAACTCGTTTAAAAATGTCGCTCAGTGTGGACAGACTTTTGTTGAAGATGTTTATGCTACTGGATGTAAGTTTGGCAAGAATTTTTTGAAAGAAAATTTCAAAAAATAGATTTCCAAAAAAAATAATTTTCGAAAAATCAGAATTGTATTCTGATCCCAATTTAGTAAAAAGCATAATCGCCACATTCAACAACCTAATTGGCGACACCTCCTCCGTCCAAGAAAGCTTAGACAAACTGAACACGAACTTCGACCAGCTGGTGCTCGAAATGGGTGGAGACATAGATGAGAACACGAAGATCAAAATAGAAAAAGCGAAAATCGCGATATCCAGCTTGGTCGATTTTACCATCGAAGGTGGGGCAGATTTCGGGTTTAGAATATAACTCGCTTGATTCTCTCTTTTTTTTTCATAACTATTTTTCACATTGAAATCAGAAGGTGCTCTAATTCCAAATTCGCCCAAATTGCTTTTCCCCTGACAACCCGCTTTAGACAAAAATCTCTTCGCTGGTATTCCCAGTTCGATAATCAAAGTTGACGATATAATTTGGGAATCTGCTGAAGAATCTGTTCAGATTACTGATGCTCTGTTAGCAAAAGTAAGTACTTTTCCCGAAATTGCCTAAAACCACAATTTTCCAGTGGGGTGGAAGATACACGCCCGCGGCAAGAAAGTCTTTCGACCTTTGTCGAGGCGAAAATGAAACGATCCCAAAAGATCAACTGTCCAGATGCGGCGAAAAACTCATGGAAGATCTCAAAATCAGCCAAAGTAGCCTAACCCACACTCACTCTTCCTCTAAAAATTCTCAGAAACGAGCTTGATGACTGATTTTCTTCAATTTTCGTTCGATAAATTCGATGCTGACTGGAATGGCGAGCTCGATTTTCAAGAGTTTGAGAAGATTTTTGCCAATTTCATCGCGACAACTGGATCGACGATGATCAAATTATTTGACAAGAATGGAAATGGTATATTAGATAAAGCTGAAATCGTCCAGGTAAAGACGTCAAAAATGATAATGGAAACAGGGTTTTTCAGATTTTGAAGGAGCTAGGAAAATTTGGTCGCTTTCAGGCCGATTCTTTAGACGGATCAGATATTAACTACTATATCCACCCCGCTGCAGATGTAAGTTTTTCTCAATTATTCAAATTCCAATGGAATTTTGTTAATAACAAAATCTAGTTTATTTCGAGCTTTCTGGTTACGATCAAAGAGACAATCTCAAAGTCAGAAATGACGAATATGACAGCGAAGGTGATCACTAGACTAGCTGGAGATTATTACGACCTGCAAATGAGAAATTGGACGAAAGATACTAAAAATTCGAAATAAATCAAAATTTCAAATTTCAAAAGCTTGGCAAATTGCTTGCATAGCTTCATTTTATTTTAAGCCAATGAGTGAAGTAAAATGAGGATAAAAGTTGCGTGAGTGAAAATTTTCAAATCTGCTACAGTTGTTTTTACAGTTAGATCTTGACGACCCAGGAGTCGGAGACGTATATGTAAAATCTGCTACAGTTGTTTTTACAGTTAGATCTTGACGACCCAGGAGTCGGAGACGTATATGTAAAATTTCAAACAGTTCCTGTCTGGGAGTCGCGTGATCGGACACAAGAGCGTAGCCAGTTGGGTTGAAGGGGAGATTATTCGCTGGATTTTGAAGATTATCAGAAGGATGGACGGAAAGATGACTGGGAACTACCATTTGCTGCTGCTGGGGCTGTTGATAAATCTGATGCTGATGATGCTGGTGTTGATGATGCTGATGCTGGTGAGAATGCTGCTGTTGGAAATGACCTTGCATATTTCCAGCTGGATTGCCAGTCATTGGAGACCGCGATTGAAGAGTTTGCTGCGGTGGCATCATTACAAAAGGAGTACCGCCAGTTTTGACAACGAGATCGCCCAGTTTTATGCTTGTTTCGTACTGCTGCCCGCGATTTTTGGGTGTTCCCCAGATAAACTTGTCGCGCGGAGTTGAGTTCTCGTTCTTGTGTCGGACGTATTCGAGAATGTGGTGAAGGGTGAAGTCTTTGTCGGCGCTAGAAATTCGGAATAAGATCATTTGAACGATAAACAACTAAAATCATCTAATAAAGCAACACAACGATTCTCATCGATGAGCGAATTACTTTCGCTGGGATGTGTAAACAGCAGTAGTCATTCAAATTCCAACGAAAATGAGTCGCTCGAAAATAAGAATCATGATAGAGAAGCGCTCTTACATGACAGTAACTGGGCTCTGCCCTTCCTGATGCCGCATGCCTTGCCCAGTTGAAATCTTCCTCATCACTTTGATCGATATCTCCACTTGATTCGGTTTCGGTTTCTTTCGTATGTACAAATCTGGACGATGAGTTGGCCACGCTTTCAGGTACATATCTTTAGCTGAAGAACGGATTGGGAAGGGAAAGGAAAGGGGTGACTTACATTTGAAATCGATCTTCGTTGAATCATGGTCTTCGATGGAGTCGAAGAGGTTTTTGACGTTGTTGAAATTCGCACAGAGGCAATAGAATTCGATCGTGATTTCTTCGGAGGGAATATTTTTGAACTAAAAAGAAGTCATAACCAACATCTAGCGGTTAAAACTAACCTTTATTCGAATAATAGATCTGCTGGACTGATTTCTATCCGGTTCTACAGTCGCTTCACATCCCGAATTTCCAATGACGATAATTTGGCTGTCCTTGACTTGATGTTTCAAATTTCGCAGAAAAATTTCTTTCTCATTTGCTTTGAAGACGATTTTGATTCTTTGCTCGGACGGATCTGAGGTTTGAGCTTCAGTTTCGATTTTGACGATTTCGAATTTCTTTCCTTGCTCGTCGACTTCCATTTTCTTTCGTTTCTTTGCCGATCCGATTCTTCCTTTTTAAGAAAAACTCTTTTCCTCTTTCGGAATAAAATTCACTCCGCCCCATTTCAAAGCACGCTTCGAAAGGGAAAATCGACGAATAACGGCGCGGTGATTGGACGATTGCTTTCCCTTTCGTCTTGAGTAACTTTGAATCAAGAAAAAAAGGAATTAAAAATTTATGACGAAAGAATGAATCATTTACTGCTATAATTATTTCTTTACATCGACAGTTTTAATAGAAGAATGAGGACCAAAAATAAAAATTCTTTGAAAATGACTTTATCTCGATTTTCAATTTTGTATCAACCATTGCATCTGGGTCAAAACTTGAGTGGAATTCAACCTCTTCTAACTACCTCGATAACAATATAAGCTTCAGGAAAATCAAGAAAATATTGTTCGAAGTTTAGCTTTATGGAAAATTTTTGCAGACTTTGTCAACCTTCATCCAACGCATATGCTCGCAGCTGTATTTAGGGTTTGAAAAATCACATTTTTGGCTGAGCATGAGCATGACTGAGCACGGCGTGCCCAAATTAGCTTAGGCGGAGCAAGACGGAGCATTTGCGTGGTCAAACTTTGCTCATTGTTCATTCTGATTCTTCTGATTCTACCTATCATTAAAGAGAATTATTATCAAAAATCTTTGGAAGTACAAATACATAGTCTGCAAGACCATATTTGCATTTGAGTCAAATGATTTTACAAAAGTGAACTCGGTAGACGAGGTCATAACCCCGCGCAAGCAAAGTAAACTTTGAAAATGCAAACAATTTCAGACCAGACTAGACATTTTCTAGCTCGCAGAAGAACTCGCTTTCAAAACCGCTTAAAATGAAGATTCTCAATTTTCTTCTTTATTCCTCTTTTTCCAAAGAAATTCCGACAGAAACGATCGAGAAAATCGTCGGCGACATGGATACCATGTTCAAATCGAGCATCAGCGGATACAAAGAGATCAAAGCTGGAATTTCGAAAACGAATTTTATAATGCCGGAGCCGTGTAGAAACATGAACTCGTTTAAAAATGTCGCTCAGTGTGGACAGACTTTTGTTGAAGATGTTTATGCTACTGGATGTAAGTTTGGCAAGAATTTTTTGAAAGAAAATTTCAAAAAATAGATTTCCAAAAAAAATAATTTTCGAAAAATCAGAATTGTATTCTGATCCCAATTTAGTAAAAAGCATAATCGCCACATTCAACAACCTAATTGGCGACACCTCCTCCGTCCAAGAAAGCTTAGACAAACTGAACACGAACTTCGACCAGCTGGTGCTCGAAATGGGTGGAGACATAGATGAGAACACGAAGATCAAAATAGAAAAAGCGAAAATCGCGATATCCAGCTTGGTCGATTTTACCATCGAAGGTGGGGCAGATTTCGGGTTTAGAATATAACTCGCTTGATTCTCTCTTTTTTTTTCATAACTATTTTTCACATTGAAATCAGAAGGTGCTCTAATTCCAAATTCGCCCAAATTGCTTTTCCCCTGACAACCCGCTTTAGACAAAAATCTCTTCGCTGGTATTCCCAGTTCGATAATCAAAGTTGACGATATAATTTGGGAATCTGCTGAAGAATCTGTTCAGATTACTGATGCTCTGTTAGCAAAAGTAAGTACTTTTCCCGAAATTGCCTAAAACCACAATTTTCCAGTGGGGTGGAAGATACACGCCCGCGGCAAGAAAGTCTTTCGACCTTTGTCGAGGCGAAAATGAAACGATCCCAAAAGATCAACTGTCCAGATGCGGCGAAAAACTCATGGAAGATCTCAAAATCAGCCAAAGTAGCCTAACCCACACTCACTCTTCCTCTAAAAATTCTCAGAAACGAGCTTGATGACTGATTTTCTTCAATTTTCGTTCGATAAATTCGATGCTGACTGGAATGGCGAGCTCGATTTTCAAGAGTTTGAGAAGATTTTTGCCAATTTCATCGCGACAACTGGATCGACGATGATCAAATTATTTGACAAGAATGGAAATGGTATATTAGATAAAGCTGAAATCGTCCAGGTAAAGACGTCAAAAATGATAATGGAAACAGGGTTTTTCAGATTTTGAAGGAGCTAGGAAAATTTGGTCGCTTTCAGGCCGATTCTTTAGACGGATCAGATATTAACTACTATATCCACCCCGCTGCAGATGTAAGTTTTTTCTCAATTATTCAAATTCCAATGGAATTTTGTTAATAACAAAATCTAGTTTATTTCGAGCTTTCTGGTTACGATCAAAGAGACAATCTCAAAGTCAGAAATGACGAATATGACAGCGAAGGTGATCACTAGACTAGCTGGAGATTATTACGACCTGCAAATGAGAAATTGGACGAAAGATACTAAAAATTCGAAATAAATCAAAATTTCAAATTTCAAAAGCTTGGCAAATTGCTTGCATAGCTTCATTTTATTTTAAGCCAATGAGTGAAGTAAAATGAGGATAAAAGTTGCGTGAGTGAAAATTTTCAAATCTGCTACAGTTGTTTTTACAGTTAGATCTTGACGACCCAGGAGTCGGAGACGTATCGTTTCTCGCATCGCTTTACTTGGTGCCAGTAGAGTCGCTTGTCCGTCAAGAACTTTTCCTCGCAAAGGATGCAGACTCTCCATCTGATCGGTCGAGGAGGCGGTTTGGGCTTTTCTTTCAATTTTCGTCGAGGAATAACAATTCTAAGAAGAAGTTTTATGATCAAAAACCCACAATTCATGACTTACAATCCATTAGCCCGCATACAGTAAGGCGCGTGTTTCTGAACCTCGTCAAAGCGCTTGAATTTGAGTCCGCATTTGTTGCATTTCTTCGGGTGCTTTCGAAGGTGCAAGTTGAGCTGCGTCAATGAGTTGAATTGGCGAGTGCAGATTGTGCATTCGTAGATTGTCCGCGTCACTGTCTTTGGAGCCATCTCGGGTGCGTATTGAAGTCGCGTTTCTTCAAATCGCGGGGCGAAACCGTTCGGAAGCATGACTGGGACTGGCGGACCGGGAACGACAATCGTGGAGGAACGAGGCGGAAGGAGATTCTTGGGCCGAGATTTGGAATTGGCGGCAGTGGAGGATGAAGGAATGGATTGAGAAGAGGAGGGAGTTTGGCTGTCTTCATCATCGGAATCGGATTTGAGGCTCAAGTCGGGAATAGGAGCTGCAGAAGCGCGTTCCTTTTGATAAATCTAAAGTCAAAGGTTATTTCTTAGGAAAAACGAAGATAAAACGGTTGATGATCATGACTTTTGAACAATTTTATGCAAGATATCTCATAATAACTCACCTTTTCTACGATAGCCTTGTATTCCCTACATTTTCGTCTATTCGCGTCTGTTTCCCGAAAGGGCGCTTTGAACTGCAACTCTTCGAGCAAATCATCAACCAGCAATTGATGCTCGACCGTGCGCGTATGCCGCTGCAATTTCGTCAAATTCGGCGGGTAGACGGGCCCCATACCGCGGATTCGAATCAGCTTGTGGTACATTTTCTCTTTTTCGGAATAGCTCAAGCCAGGTTCGATCTTGATTCCAAGAACGTCGGATGCTTTTGGATGCGGCCTTTGATCGACCACGTCAGAATCTGGCTCCGTTTTGTATTCGTAGAGGTAGTCGTGATACGGATACCCGTCGCAGAGACGCTCGGAAATGTGCGAACAGCTGGATGATAGGGTAGACCCTTCGTTGTCTGATGGACATTCTCTTTCTTCGACATATTCTTCATCCACGACTTCTCCCTAAAATCGTTTGATAAAAATTTTTTATAGAAATAACTAGGATTCCTGGGTGACCCTCCTTTCGTCAGGAAAATTCTTGTATCCTCCATTCGTCAGGAAAATCCGCTTATTTCCTGACGGATGGAGGATGAGAGTTTCTAGAACCTTCAAGCACATGTTAGTAGTTATAGTAGTGACTGACCATTTGATAATTTTTCTGTGTGTTGATTGGGTGCGAGCGATGTAGCACTGAACCGGAAGGCTCACGGCTCAGTGCGGGGGGAAGGCCCCTCAGGGCCTTCTTGACACTCATCAGACTCCAAATGAAAGCATTTTACGCCACCACCAAGGTGCTGCACCACTTGCATTACATGCATGGCACCAACACACACTATAGGGCGGCGTGATTTTTTTCTCCACTCCACACAGCGATTTTTTACTTGTTCAAATGGTCAGTCACTACTATTTTCGCCTATTTAAAAATAAAAATTATTTTAAACGCACTACCCCACTATTCTAACGCTACTGAACCCGCCTATCTTTTTACATTACTCTAAACTTAACTCTAACCCTTAGAACTAAACCCTTCAACAAAGTAATTTCGCTAACTCGGGCCCCTCTGCACCAATTCTCTTCGCCCGCTCGACCCAGCGCTCCAATACCAACGCGCCAATTGCCGCGCGGATCCACGCCCATGGATTAGCCCCGCCATTGTCCCGCATCGATCCGCCTTCTCGCTTACTCATCGGGCTCTAGAAGCTTCGGCACGTTCTACTCATTCTCGAACTTTCTATTCATTGATCCATTCAGGCTCTCTCCACCAGCTCAGCCGCCGCCTCCGCCGCCCAGCTGCTCCAGCGCCCCGATCACTCTCACTGCCACTGATTATCACGACCCTCGCGCACGATCGCTCAGCTTAGTCTATTCTCACTGCCTCCGAAAACCGTAATCCCTTTTTCAGTCTGAATGAACCTATCAATAAATAAACCCCCTTCTATTTGAATAAATGGAACTGTAAAAAATCAAGTCGCTTTATTGACGCAAGCATCAACCCCTTAATAAAACTTAAAATCGGTTCAATATCCAGCGCTCTTTTTCTCGCGCTCTTGGAAGTAAAAGTCGATGAATCGATGGCGTTAGCTTCCCCTTCAAATACGATGGCCCGTATTTTTCATTTTTACTTTAGAATTCTCAGCAGGAACCGATTTCATAGCCTGATTTTTTCCATATTTAACCACGAAGCTAAGAGCCTACTTCATAATTTTAAAAATGCATCCTGAGCTGCAATAATGAAATCGCGAAAGAGTTTTATTGTCTATTAAAAATATGATTTTTTAAAATGAGCTGCAACTTCCTGAAATTTAAGAGCGATGCCACTACAACGGCGCTCAATTGAGAGAAAATAAAATACAAAAAAAGTAAGTCTTCCATGATTACAACGATCATTAAATGGGGTTTTTAGAAAAAAATAAAATGAATACTGAAGCCGAACGAAGATCAGAAGATTTACCGGAAAGCTTACTTGTCATATAAAATGTTAAATCTAAAGCGCATTGAAATCCTTTGGAAGGTTCTCCAATAACGTTAAAATTATCATAAAATGCTTTCTTTATTTTTCTTAGTTTTCGGATAAAACTTGACCATAAAAATAAAATGAAACGTAAAGATTTCCGCTTCTGTTAATGAAATACTGGATTTATTTCGTATATTAAAATGAATTCTAAATTTTTGTTTGTGCCTAGATAATGTCGAACTATTTTCTTAAAATGATGCTAATTTTCTGATGGCTTTTAAATAATCAAATAGACTTTCTTTCTTTAAATGAAACTAAAAAATTTCTGATAAATCTAATGTAGTCTACGATAAGTAAAAACATTCTATATATTAATTAAAATAAAATGAATCTCTATCAATGCAATTTGCGTGGTATATGACTTCTTGAAAATGAAACTTTATGCAATTAAATTATGAATAGAGTAATGTTATCGAAATAAAATGAGTCTCAAGGAACGAAACCTGTGCAGTAATCGCAGAGATCTTAAAATAAAATGAATCAAAACTGTCTGTCTCATTTATTCTTATGTACATTCGAATTATAAAATGATAGCAAAAAGTATTTCGCTTTTCGTCTTTTGTTAGAAAATTAATTACGTTCTTAATAAAAATACAAAATGAAACTTTATGATCAATCATATACTGCACAATCGCGTTTTCTTGAAAAACTTTTTTAAAATAAACTCTTTAATTTCGAATTTTGCAAATTATATTTATTTGCAGGAATGAATGGGTGATTATATGTTATGTACAGTTACTATTTGCAGTTCAGCTGAGTTATTTACAGTGACAGTGGATGCTTTTTTGCAGTGTACAACTAGAGTTCGCAGAAGTGTCGCAAAGATGATGATCCAGAAGATGTGATAGGCAAGGGTGATCCAGAATGCAGTAATTACAAATGCAGTGAAAAGAGCCAAGAGAGCAAAAGAGGCAATTCCATACTTGAAAATGTCCATCATCTTCTTCTTTCTTCTTTCTTCGTTCTTCTTTTTCTGAAAATTTAGTTTTTTTTGATTTTGATAACTCTGGAATTTTCGACCGCTTATATGTAGACTTTCCAGCTGTTTATGCAAGCAGATTTTTCTCACCTGGACTTGGTTTCATTTATGACCATCTGGATGTTATTAATCTCGATAATAATCTCAATTAGTGTTATTATTTTGATTAATTACTTTTGATCAAGGATTCATATAAATTTATTTTAATCAAAGCGCTTCTCAGAAATAACATGCATTCATCAAATAAAACTGAATATATTTAGATTTCAAGCTCAATTTACTGTAGAATTTGATACTTTTGCCTTGTCAAAAAAATATTGAAATCAACAATGATATAAAGTATTCTTTTTATTTTTTGATTTGTTTGTCTAACAGAATGTTGATAAAAAGAAATTACTTTCCGTCTTCAGGCTTCTTTTCGTCTTCATTCTCGCTTTCAGAGGATTCGTCTCCAAAAACTCCTTGAAGTCTCCGAGCTGCCTTGTTCTCTTCTTGGTCGCGCATTTTGGTAGTTGTTCGTAACTCTCGTCGAAGTAGCATTAGGTTGGGGTCATTATTAGGATATGATCCAAAATAATTATAATCTCGCTTGTTGATCATGATCGTAAAGTTATCAAAAGATACGCCAGATCGAATTCTGTCTCGCAACTTTTTCGGGACTTTGAGATTCTTTCGTTTGATAATTTCGGCAAGAGTTGGCGCTGGAATATAAAAGTTTTCACCACCAACAACTTTCCACAGGCGATATCCTAAGAAGGGCTCGAACTTTTTTGCCCGTCACCGATAAGTTCTTCGCATTTCTGAATATATTCGTCGTGGCTCATTTGGATTTGAGGGATAAATGGCGTTCGTTGTTGATCGCACTCGTCCGCTGAGCACGAGTCTTCGCTAGATTGTGCGGGGATATTCATTTTAAAACCGTCAGTCATTTTATTGCTTGTACTTTTATCGAAGTAAAGGACGTCAAAGTAAATTCACCGCTGAATTTAAAGCGCTTTACACCTGGGCGGAAGGAAGTAAAAAGAAGCGTTGAATGTTGTTGACATTTACGGCAAGGGTGGTTTAGGCGGAAAATCTCTCGAACGTGATTTTCTAGAGATACCGTTGTTTTTCGGCGAAAACCGCGTCTCTAGAACAGCTCCTTATGTTTTGAAAAATTGGCCAAAATGGTCAGTTTGTCTTTTCAAGCAGTCAAGGAAACGTCAAAAGTGCGTTTTTCGTCAAAATGGTAAGTCATAATCGGCGTTATTTCTGCAATAATGGGCTAAATTTATTCGGGGGCGGTAACTTACTTGATTTTCTAGCGAACTAGATCTCTAACTACTCGTTTTTCCCGGTTGGAGTCCAATCTTCGGGCGGCTGAGCGTCATCTTCGGGCAACTCGTCTCGAGCTTTTTGGCGAAGAAGATTCATCTTCGGCGTCAAGCGAGCCTTCTGACTTTGACATGTCCGATGCGGAAGACCAGAGAGGGTTTGTCAAATATACCGAGCTTGGGTCCATGAGGAAACGTTCCAATCCTCTTGAACAGCGATCTCGCATTCAGGAGGAGCAACTGGAGGCGCAGCACCGGGAAATTTGTCGTCAAGCCGCGGTGCTACGAGACGAGCCTCTGGCGGAGGAAAACCGACGCGATTTGTTCAATCGGCTTTCTCAACGAAAGCAGCAAGGCAAGGCTGGTCCTTCAAGCGAGGAGCCGACTGATATCGAGGAACCTCGTCAAGGGCCAAGACGTGGCGCACGATTTGGTGAGACTGGCGGTGTGGGTCCAGCCTTCCACCGAGGGATGAATGAAATCTTCAACAGTCTCGACGAGGCTGCGCGAAACCCAGGTAAAGCTTTCCGAAAAGCTCTTACCCCTGGAAAGAAAACCCCGTCCCGAAAGACGCCCGCCAAGAAAACGCCTGGCCGTAAAACGCCCGGCAAAAAGAGTGCGAAGAAGATTGTCGGCTCAATGGTCCGAGGACGACGTAAGTTTTTTTCGTTTATTTTACGTTAAAATTTTCTTAGGAGAGACCTTCAAACAGTCTCCTCGCGATCAGGCCGACCATAACGAAGAGTTACCAATTCAATTGGTAGTACGTCTGCTTGGCCAGTATTTGAACGTGGACGACCGCGAAATTCTGGCGGAAAAAGCGGCCGAATTGGAAGCCGAATTCGAACGGCGATTTGGCGTCTTTTGGAGCGATCTCCTGAGCGGCCGCTGTCGAGTTACATTCCTTACACGAAGCGGAAGAAGCTGGAATGTCGACGGCCCCCAGTGGGAAAAAGAGGCCGACGAGCAAGACGAATAAATCTTGCCTGCAAGAAAGACAAATCTGTGCGCTTGTTATGAGCTGCAAATAAAAACATTTATTTCTAGAAATTGTGTGTATTTATTGTCGAAAGTAGCGGTTTGATTAGAAGCAGTATTACTAGAGGCTAGTCGAAAGGAGTGTCTATGGATGTGAAATAGTATCGTTCAACGGCTACTCTGTAGTGGATGTGGAGTGTTTTTTCGAGGTCGTGGACCATTTTTATCGCTTTTCGAGTCGGTTTTTCGTATTTATTGCCCCCAAGAAGGGCCGCTTTCCAAAGGGGTTCGTTCAAGAGTTTTTTGATTTTGGTCAGTCGCCGGCAGTGCTAAATCCTATTTTATAGAAATCTAAGAAAGATTTACTTACATCAGGAATCCAGTGCTCAAGTAGCATCATCTCATCACTTGCGCAGATATAAGTCAGCCGTACAGTGTTGACAAACATTCTTGATATGTTGGTGAACGTTTGCATTTGATGGAGGTCTTGCGCTATTTTTTGGCGATAAGCGGTTATTTCGTGTTGTGTGAGTTCGCGCATCTTTAAAAACTTGATGAAATTTTTTAATTTGCCTATTTATTGAACTAAAAATCGAAAGCATGCAGGAATTTAGAAAAGATCAGTTGTGAAAGTAACAAAAATAACTAAAAAGAAGTGTTTATCAAGTTGAGATAGTAGCGATCAACTGCAGCGGGAAAGTGGATTTTGAGAGTGTTTTCAAGGTCTTGCATGAGTTTTCGTATGTTTTGCACTTTTTTGCCGATGTCGTCAGGTCGCTTATCAGCGTCTTTCCACATTTTCTGATCGAGCATTGTTTTCATGTCGTCTAGTCGTTTGCATTGCTTAAAAATAAACAAAATTGAACATTTTTGTCGCTTACCTCGGGTACGTTTCGCTCCTCTAAAATCACTTTTTCGGGCCAGATTGATACGAGACAATCGATTTCGTCCACAAAGTGTTTTGTGTATACTCGAAAGTCGCGCATCTTCCGTAAACCCCTGGTATATTGATCTTCGTAAGCGTTTCGCTCCTCTTCAGTCAGGTCGGCCATCATGAATGATTGGTGGCGTTTGGGTTTCGCTCGGCTATTTATACCCTATTTCGATTTATCATGAATATTTTTGAAAAAGGCGCGATTTTCAATTGAGACATCTTTTCAATTTACCATAACTTCCAGCAAAAGTAAAAAGTTGAGCGCTTAAGAAAAAAGTGGCGCCCGAGGGGAGTGTCTGAGTTGAAGTTCTTTTCATTTTTACTAACAATCATTTCGCAAAATGTTGATAAAAAGCCTGGAGTTTTTTGAAGATGTAAAACTGGATTTTCCATGTTTCAAGCTTGAGAATTCTAACCGTCAATGCCACAATCCGATACTTCAATCAGTCAAATCTATGGGATTTTTTAAAAAGTTACAACGAATTTCCTTCTTTATTGAAAGTTATTTTAATACGGAATCAAATAAAATAGAGAACAGAGTCGTTGTTCGACAGCACGAATGGTTGATTGAGTACTCTCCGTCTTTCTGCGTTCATCAGATGCACTTGAATAAGATATACGATAACTTACCATCAATGACTTCTTATGGATTGACCAAAAGTGGATCTTTTGGAGTGAACTTCGGTCGCCGCGGCGTTATGGAACACATGTGCAAGGTCCAACGCGAGTTCGTCTATGATCGCAGCGTCTCGGAAACGATTTTTTGCAGCGTTCAGAAGATAATTTATCCATGTTTGAAAGAGGTTTTTTTCTCATTAAACCCTGGCAGAAATTGTGAGTACCCGTTTCGAATACTTATCGTTTTATATGGGCAACTCTGGGCTCGTTCTTTGTTGGAGAAGGATCCGCGTTTTCAAACTTCAGACGATCAACCTGACATACAAGCTATCAACTTTTTCATAGAGCGTCTTTTGAAAGACGTTGGTATTCCTCAAGATGAAATTTATCCTGAATTAGGGACACAAGACGAATTCCTCTACCATATTTCAATCTGTAGATTAGTGTATGGAAGCTACTTCAGATTTTCCCGCAGTAGAATGGAATATTATTTCGGAGGCGTATATTCTTTCATGCCTTGGTTTGGAAGCAAGCAAAGATTTCGAACATACATTCAAGAGTTAGAAGAAAAAGCGTTGACATGCGGCTATACTTTTGTAAGCTTTCTTTTTTCAACGCTTCAATAACGATTTAGTTCCACCCGTTCTTTCTCCCAGATAACGAAGAGCATGAAATCGCGTCCGATTCTTACGTTCCCCGACGAGAAATTCGAAAATACAATATCTTCAGGAAAACTGCCTTAACTCAGCAGAGGCCTACATCTTTTATTATAGAGCGTGAATGGTACGATATGGTCAATTTGTATAGGCACAATTAGAAAAATATGGCGCTACATTCGTAGATTGAAGAAGAACTAATCGATCACTCTTTAAAAGCTCTTGCGCGCTGTGCTCAATAAAATATTTCTCCTGTTTTATTTGATAAAAAGTTATGAAGAAAATTTATGAAGAGTTTACTCGAGATAAATTGTATCAGTACGATGTTGGAGTTGTTGTTACTCATCAGAATCGCTTTCAAAGCAGTCAACCTATTCTTTATGAGTTTTTATGCAGTGCGGTTACTCACGCGTCGTCAAAAATAACGTTTTTTGTGAAAGAAAACATCGATGAAAGGACTGGGATCAAATCTTCGTCATTGGTTATTAGACAGGTGGAGGAGTGCATCTCTCCCGGACCGTCTTCAAATATTCACTCATCGCCGAACGAATTAGTTAAAAATAAAAAGAAAACTGTCAAGGAGTTTTTGAACGATCAACCCGAAGAAGGCGCTACTTATTGCTTGGGGTATAAAAAATTACGGAATGGTTTGGTCAAGCGAGAATTTGTCTATGAAAATAAAAAGCTAACATGTACTGTTCAATGCCATAAACATCCAAATCTCAACATATTTTTTCGAAATCTGAATTTATTTGGAAAGGCTTTTTTATGCGAAAAAGCGTTGTATGTTTTGTACGCGCAAGTTTGGGCGAGAGGGCTTATGGAAAAGAATCCAAAGTACTCGTCAGATAAGAAAAAGATTGATGAGCGTGTTTATTCCCTTTGTCGCGCGGCTCAGATGGCTCCTTGCGAATATATGGTATCGGAAATGGACAAAGTTACGACTCATTTTTATTATGTTACTGCGAAAATGTTTCTTCAACGCGATCAGGGTCAGTATTTTGGAGACAACAAAGAACTTGGAGAAAAATGGATTTCTCTTTTAAATAGTAAATGTAAGTTTTTTATATTGATGATTGATTACTTTTTATCAAGGGTCAACTCCTGCGCTCGAACACAACTCGTTTCCCCTGCATTTTCGAAACTATTTAGCGGAAGAAAAATGTTGCTGCGCAAAAGAGGAATGCGACGAAAGAATTTGCGAACATAAAGAAATGCCTTGTATTTTTATGTAGTTTTTTTATTCATGTCAGAAATCAATAAATTTATATTGCAAATTTACTGTGACAGGCCAAACATCCATGGTGCACCACCCAGCCCAGCCACCTCCCCGAAATAATTCGTAATTACTCGAGGTTGATCCGCGTGTCGGACGTCCCGTTGGAGGATGACGTAGTTGTAATTGGGGATTCTTCTTTCTTTAAAAAGTTTCATTGCTTGATTGTAAGGCTCGACCAGGCCACACTTGGTTGCAATCGTTTTGTTAATGCCGCAGTCAGTGTGATTGTTCATTAGCACAAAACTTGTCATGCAATTCCTAAAATAAAGTGTTAGATATGAAATAAAAAACACGAATAATAAAACAAACCTGGCAGTAATAGCTTTTTTGCCCTTTTCGTAAAAATTCTGGGCTATAAAGGCTAACGAGACACCTAAATGTCTACGCCCGTATGACAGTAAATATTCGCAAGTGTTACTTTCGACCGATGATGACCATAAATCATCAACCACTATAAGGCTTTTACTATCTGCTTCAATTTGGAAAGTGTCATCGACCCACTCTTGCGAGGGAAGTCCTTCCATTAAATATAGTTGCTGATGACTATGGGGCGTAATATGAAGAGGCTCTAGTCGTGGCATAAAATAATAAATAGATTCAATTTCGCCGTTGATTCCGTCACACTCGATTAAATTTTTTACGAAGTTACTTTTACCTGTGCCTGTCGAGCCCGCAATAAGCAGTGAACAGGGGTGACGGAAGCGAAAGTCGGGGACGAATTTCGTTAAATGTTGATGCATTTTACGAAAGCGACTTCGAATTGGCCAGGAATCTTTCCTTGGTAAGTTGGCGCGTTTGCGTCTGCTGGCGTGTATCCGTTGATACAGACGACGAGTGTTTTGTCCTGAAGGTCAGTAAGAAGACCAGTCGGCTCGTTGAAGTAGTTTCTGATTTCGGGCTCTTCTTGATTCCAATTTCTTGGGTTGAAGTGGAAAAAAGCGTCGCGATTTGTCTCCAATTTCTCTTGGCCTGGAAATTTTATATCTCCAAGGTCAAACTTTTTGATTTTTCCGGTGACCTTGTAAGTTCCACCGCTTATCCAAGATTGGACGTTCAAGTTGTCAATTTTGACTTTGGTTAAGGATTCAGCTCTTTTTGCTAACTCGTCCATTGTTCTGGCGTTTTGAAATACTGTCGAGCGTTTTTATAGTCCAAATTTCATGTTAACACTAAGGGGCGCTCGCGCCGCGCGTATAAAACCGGATACCGTATCAACTTTTCTTTAATCTTATAATTGTTCTTTTTAAAGTAACAGCAAAAGAAGAAAACCAATTAATCAGGTATTTATGCGTGAATTTTTGAATGTTGATTTGGAATGATTTTATGATTTTGTGAGCATGAGTGTAACGCTTTATTTTTAAAGAAATGGCTAATCAAATTGACCTGAATAAAATACCCTTGAATGGTGGCTGTTATTTTTCACTGTCGCAAATGTTAAATATTTGCTCCTTTTGGGAAATTAACCCCCTGACTAATAGAGTGAGAGTTCGGGCTCCGAAAACGAAAGCAGAGCCTTATCCCGATTATGATACCGAGGAAGAGGGTACAGCCCAGCTACTTGCGGGACTTTGCAACCGGAAAATACCTCGAGGACAGGCTAGACGGTCTCGACGAATTAGAGGTCAAGCGCCTCGAGACAGAAGCGAGGAAGCCAGTGAGCCCGAATCCACCTTTGAAGAGAAAACGTGGCCGCCCGCGGAAGGTGAAACAACCCTTAACGGAGCAAACAACTATGATGACTTTGAATCCGAAATCAGCGACGACTACTCAAAACCCTCCAGACGCCGCAATGTCAAATCAACTGGTCGCAAAAGGCGGAGAGCTGGATCAATGGACAAAGACAGTATCGAAGAAAGTCAATCAGTTACGAGGCGTAAACGAGGAAGAATTGAAGCGCCTAAAGAAGTACGAAGAAAAAGGCGAGCAAACGACGATGGCTATACTATCACCAGCGATGATTTCAGAAAATTCAGGAATTCAATTTATGACGCAACTCATCGCAGCAAGAAATCCAAAAACAGGCGAATTGAAGTTCCCTCAGGAACTGATAGTGAGCAAGTTTCCGACTTCACCGATGGAGATGAAAGCGTTTCAACCAGAACCGATTCGAAAAGCGCCGACGACTCTCAATACTCGACCGATGATAATGACCAACGAAACGCCGGGAATGGAAGAAAAAATCCAAGAAATTCAAGAGAGCTCTCCGTCATTGTCGAGAACCCCGCGTACAACTTTAACAAGCGAAAGACTGAAAAAAACCGGGCTCCCGCGGGGCGAGTTATTACAGTTCGAAAACCAAAGCAGCCTGAAAAATCTGAACCGGTTTCCAGATCCCGAAAAAGGGGTAGAACTAATAACACAATTTCAACAAAACGAGCCCCTGCAAAACGAAGGAAAAACTCTCCCGAATACAGCGAGAATGACGGGGTCTCTTCAGACACCGCAGACAACAACGAAGACGACGAGCCAGTTCTCGAATCCACCGCCAATTTCTGGTCCCGCTAATAAACCCCCATATACGCTAGATTTATTTTATAACCCTAAACAACCTTCATTTTACAGTGGTCTTAATGTTGATCGTTTTAAACGCATGAATGAATCTATTTCTCTCCATAAGCCGCTTCATAGAAATTTCTCACGTAATCCTATTATAGCAACTGATTTATACTCATGCCTCTTTGCTGATACTATTCTAGCTTATAAAAACTATGGAGAATTCAACAATAATTATAAGTATATACTTTGCGTTGTTGACGCTTTATCAAGACAGAGCTTTGTTCGTAAACTAGTAACTAAAGAAGCCGGAGAATTAGCGAGCAATCTTGAATCTATTTTTCAAACCCTAGACTTGCCCGGACACACTTTCTTCGTGACGGATCAAGGATCAGAATTTCAGCAAGAAGTGCCAGCGCTGCTGGCAAAGTGGGGGATGACTCGAGTGTTTAATACGGGCCCCCATAAAGCTGCGATTGTCGAGCGTTTCAAGTAAGTTTTTAAAATTAACTGTAACAAAATAATATTCTATTTTAGTAAAACTTTGGAAGCGCGTCTTGGAAGGGCTTTCACAAGTCAGGGTAACGTTAAACGTTGGATTCATATTTTACAATCTGTGAACACTGCTATTAATAATACTGTGCATTCATCTACCAACGTTAAACCAGCTGATGTAAATCGTTATAACGCCCGCCAGCTATTTGACTACTTAGAATCAAAACGATCTAAGCAATATCGTCAAACGTGGAGTAAGCTTCATGTTGGAGATGTTGTTAGGATTCCTCGCAAAAATATAAAACGCTTCGAAAAAGGTTTTACACCTAAGTGGTCTACCGAGCTTTTCCAAATTTATCAAATTCATCACGGAGCTAAAGTGTTTACGTTTACTCTCATAAATTCTAAAGGCGTCAAATTAGACAGGCGTTATTATGAAAAGGAATTAAACCTAGTTATGACTCTTTCTGAATTGAAACAAAGACGTTTACGTCAACAGTAAAAATTCTTATTTGTTTTGTTCAGATGACAAGCAGATCTTATCTTGTAAAACCACGATTATCACGACTACGAAATTTGGTTCTAGCTGCACCTTCAACTCGTCAAAAGAGACGGCGACGGCGACCGCGAAGACGACGGCGAGCTCCTCGAACTCGCCGATTGAGGCGACGACGAAGACCAAATCGAAAACGGAGAAAGCGTCGAAGAAGGCGACGAACATGAACGACGTCTCGTCAAAGTGCGCCAAATGCTCTGAATGCTACATGTCTACACTGAAGAAAAACATATTTTTAATTATTTTAATCGCGATTGTTTTTACCCAGCTCCTTTTAGTTTCACTCATATATGCTCACTTAAACATAATATCATTTAAATTAGGGGTTATGATACCGTTGCTTACAAAACATAAATTAAGCGATCTTTTAGGCTAGATGTTATTTGTTCACAATTTATTGTAATAAAATTTTAGTTTTAACGATGGAAGAAAACTATGGAAATCTACTCTACTACAAAAAGCCAAAAGAATCCCGATCCCTATGCAGGATATAAAGTTCTCCACACACTTGGCGACTTCTCTTCTGGTAATGGGAAAATAACTTTTGCAATGCCTCCTGATAAATTACCAATTAAACTGGACAGATGCGCAATTTTGTTTCAATTAAAGATGCCTTCAAATTTCGTCCCTGATAACGGTTTCGCGTCAAAGATCATCGATAAACTCAACTTCTATATTTTGGATGAGTGTATTTTCTCAACGTGGACCAATGGCTTGGAGTACTTATTTTTTAACAATTTCGTTAAAAAACTCAATTACTCGCCAAAAGCTCAGGAGGTTGAATTATTTCCAGAAGGTCACTACGATTCCTACGACGCGGACGCCGACGAATTGCTCGCATTAACATGTAAGCATAATGGTTACAATCTTGTAGAAAATCGGCAGCAATACGCAATGGAAGAATGGAAGGAAATGGACAAACCTATAGAAATTTCAACAAATCAAAAAGCTATCAGTTGTGAAATACTGTATCATCGATATCTTGTTAGATCGCCGATTAGCCACGGATTGGCGAGACAACAAAGAGTTTTACCTGCAGATTCAAGAGTTAAGTTTGAGCTTCTTACTCAAACTGGAGTGGATATATCGGAAACGCCTAAACGGATGGCAATGAAATGGACTGAATATCAAAAGCTTAGGACTTTGGAAAAAATATCTACCAGAAAGACGATCGGGGAAAAGTTATAGGCACTAAAATGACCTATCCGTTCAACAAGAATATTCAATTGGTGAGCGAATGGGTGGAGCATTTAACAGAAGCATCGTGTGACTGTTCTGATTCTAAGTTTACAAGCTCCGATGAGGATATTGCTCCTGAATATCTCCAAATAGAACCTATTGGTGGCGCGTATTTACCTGAAAATCAACGCAAAGAGCTGTACAATAAAGGTACTCCTGCTAATGCAAAAACTAACACTCAAGCAGTATCAAGTACGTGGAGGGCTCACAAGATCTTTCGAAAAGTTCCAAAGTATGATAAGATGGTAGAAAATGAAACAGCGTATGTTATATTTTGGGCGAAAACGGGTACAGATTTCACGATAACTACGGATATGCTTCGACACTTACAATTTGAGAGTGTTTTTTGCACTCCAACAAAAGATGAACGACCGTTTATTATCGGTAAAAGACAGGCAAAGATCCCCTTTTACCATCCTCGATTATGCGTTGGAACCTGGGCCCCGGGGTATCGAACGTATATCGTCGAATGTTCTCGGGGATTATTTCCAGACATGTTGATTTTCACGGGAATGAGCGAGGCTCGTAAAACTCCAGCTTTCGATAGATGTATTACTAAAACGTCTCTTTTCGAGGAAGGGTTTGAGATTGAGCAATTCGAAATTCTAGTCGATAACGAGCACGCTCATGGTACTCCATGGAATTCTGCTCAAGATCATTACCTTAATTTTCTCCGCCATAATGGCCGCTACGCAAATAAAACTGTAGGGGAAGGCCTTGATTTTTTCAGTTTTGTAACCAAAACTGGTTTGTTCCCATTTATTTTGGCGATCGCCGAGATATGATGGGAACAGTTCAAATCCGAATAACATTCAGAGCTCCTTTAACAAAGGGTTGGGCTCCGTTCATCATGCGATTTCCGGTGGATAATTTAATTTTGGACGCGTCAAGAAATGGTTGGTTTTGCGTTATAAAATAACTGTATTAACAATATTTTAGAAGCTTCTGTGATTTCAAGATCAAGTGTGATGTGCAAGGCAACTCCTGATAATCAAACTCCTTCAATTCATCTAGATAATACGGAACAAATCGGACGAGCACCTCCATCCAAGAGGTCTAAAATGTCGCGTTAGCGACTCCACAAAAGGCGCTGCGAGTTAATCCAACGTTCTCCTTGAGCGTTCTACTCTCTGCTGACATTTATTCTATATAACGCTAACTGCGAATAAATCTTGTGTAAACTCTTGTTTAATGAAGCGTTTTCTTCCAAATAAAGCAAAAGGTTTATCAAAAACAAATTATCAAAAAAAACGAAGGCATTTGTTAGCTTCGGCAAACAGTCAACGAACTGCAGAAAGCTCTTTTTTAGCAGATGACAGCGATGATAGTGAATTAGATGATGTAGTTAAAAGGCCTCGTCAGAGACCGGATCCTTTGGAGAGCGATGAAAGTTCTGATGACAACAATAAGTCAAATGGAAATCGAACTCGTACGTCCAGTAGTTCTAGCGATGATTATTCTCCTGCAAATCCTGACGATGAGCGTAATCGCTCGAATGTGTACGATACGATTCTTTTGGGGATCAACTGGTGGAACTATCTTAAAAAAATACACCCGAAAATTCCTACAAAATTAAACCAAGAACTGCGCGAAGAGCTTTCAAAAGTGGATTCTAGCGAACTAGTGGAAAAGTTTGGTTTGTCGCCGACGAGAGCAGATTTACCAAAGTTAGAGCGTTTCTTGGACATTGATATTTACGCTTTGTATGGAGGCTATTTTCGCCCTCTTGGTATTAGTTATCGACCTCATCGAGTTGGTGACCGCGAAAATGTTGAACAAGTTATTGGCAGATTAGAGTCCGTCAATCCAATGTCAACTCGACCCTGCGTTGTTCTGCAAAGCGCGCGACCTTATTTTTGGCGTCTTGGAACATTTCATCTTTTGCCAACTAGGCGTACTTTTGAAGATCGAGATAAAAACTGGGTAAGTATTTGGCACGCGTTGATAAAAGTACGGTGGCCTAAACTACATCTACGCGAGTATAATGTCAAAATTGCGGAGATAAAAAAGGAGCTGTTTGGCGAAGCTTACGCAGATAAACAATTTTCGATTGCAGATGGCATTTTCCAGAAAATAAGAAACAAATACAAAGTCAACATTCGCCTTTTTGTTGGAAAAATTATAAACGACAACGTTAATTTGAAGCGGTGCGTTTACGCAGCGATGGGGAATTCGGATTGTATCAATATGAATATTCTAGCGGCGCCCATGCAAGAGGATGAGTTTGCAAACGAATTCAAACGGCTTACAAATCTAACGTACAGGGAATTTGATAATTATCCTGGTCTGCTACCACTTTACGCCGCGAATAAAGATTTTCAACGACGTTACAGTAAATGTTCAAGATATCTGGGTAAGAAGAAGACAGCTCAAATTTTGCGTTGGACAAAAAATCACAAACACAACTTACACGATGCAACAGAAGTATTGCAAAGCGATGAGGAAGATTTGCAAGAACTCGAAGGTACAACTGCTATGGAAACAGCTGCGATGGAAACAAATGATGACGATTTATCTTTTGTTGATTTTGATAAATTGACTGAAAATGCAAGTTCAGAAAAGAGTCAAGCGCGAAATCCATTTGTTGATAACCAATGTGCAGTATCGAAAAATGGCGAGGATACTTCGTCTTCCTTGCATACAAATGACGATTTGCTTAATTACGATACCGACGATTTGTTGCCAGAGCCTGCTCATGAAAGTGATTCTTCAGATGAAAACA